AAAATGAAGGAACTCGCGAGAAGTAAATTTTCTGATGAGACCCTACGAATGCTGTGGTTGGGCCACTTACCCGCAGCAGTCCATGCTGTTTTGACCGTTAGTGAGATCATGGATTTGGACAAATTAGCAGCTATGGCGGACAAGGTCATGGAAAGTACTCGTTTCGCGGAAGTTTCTGAAGTTTCTAGTGCCAGTAAGAGGAAAGAGGAAACGGATTTACAAGCTCAGATCGCGACACTTACGCGGCGCTTGAGCCAATTAGAAAGGACTCAACCTTCCCGTAATATTACCCGGCACAGAAGTCAGAGTCGTTCCAGTTCTCAAGGCAGAGATAGCATCAGTCGGCGTAATCCGAATTGGCAGTGCTACTACCACTTTCGCTACAAGGACAGGGCGAATAAATGCATACAACCTTGTGCATACAAGAAAGATGACAGCGGTAGTCCAAAAAACTAGGTGAGGTGCAGGCAGCGACGGATGTCTGTCAAGTCTCAGCGAATAACCGTCTATGTATCACTGATAAAAACAGTGGTTTGCGTTTTCTAGTGGATACCGGGGCGAATGTGTCTGTCTTACCCGTAGTGAAATATAGAAATAGTGCGAGTGTCAATAGTGAATACAAACTGTACGCGGCCAATGGGACTGAAATAAAGACTCATGGTGTAAAGACGTTAAAGTTGGACTTCGCTTTACGTAGACCGTACACATGGACATTTATCCTTGCGGATATTTCGCAGGCGATTTTGGGTGCTGATTTCCTGTCACACCACGGTCTAATGGTCGACCTACGCTCACGTAAGTTAATTGACAAGTTAACTAATTGTAACTCTATAGCTTGTGTGGTTAATGTAGATCAACCAACTTTGAAAACTATTGACAATAACCATCCTTTTTATGATTTAATAAATAAGTATAGTGATATTACTAAACTTGTATCATACAAGGAAGTACCCAGTCACGGAATTTATCATTATATTGAAACGATTGGACCACCAGTGTTTGCTCGGGCTAGACCTTTAGCGCCGAATAGATATCAGAAAGTTAGGGATGAATTTAGCATGATGATAGAGCTTGGCATATGTAGACCGTCTAAAAGTCCTTGGGCGAGTCCGTTACATGTCGTTCCCAAAAAGAACGGGGACATTCGTCCATGCGGCGATTACAGGAAACTAAACTCTATTACTAAGCCCGACAGATATCCCATACCACGCGTTTCAGATTTCACTTATATACTTGCAGGTAAAAAGATTTTTTCAAAAATAGACGTTAATAAAGCTTATTATAGTATTCCAGTGCATTCCGATGACATTGAGAAAACCGCGATAATTACGCCCTTCGGCCTTTTTGAGTTTCCGCGTATGACGTTTGGGTTACGAAATGCAGCTCAAACGTTTCAACGTTTTATGCATCATACTATTTTAGAAGGTTTAGACGAGGATTGTCGAAATTGTATATTTAACTTCGTCGATGACGTAATTATTGCTAGTGTGGACCCTATTAGTCATCGCAGGCACTTGGAAGCGTTATTTAAGCAATTTAATAAATATAATGTAACAATTAATTTAGCTAAATGTTCTTTTGGTAAATCAGAAATTGACTTTTTAGGTTACCATGTCACTTCAGAAGGCATCAGCCCTCTGGAAGACAAGGTTAGGGTGATAACGGAATTTCCCAAACCCCAAACTATCGAGCAGTTACGACGATTTTTGGGTATGGTAAATTTTTATCGTTCTCTTATTCCTAATGCAACTTTATCGCAGTCAATTTTACACGGTTATTTACATGGGGCAAAGAAAAAAGATAAGACACCTATTGTGTGGAATCGTCAAGCTGAGCAAGCATTCGAACAATGTAAGTTGAGCCTGTGCAATGCGGTCACGTTGTCGCATCCGGTCATAGATGCACCGTTGGCACTTATGACTGACGCCTCTGACACCCACGTAGGCGCGGTATTGCAACAATTTATTAATAATGCATGGTCCCCATTAGGTTTTTATTCAAAAAGTTTGTCGAAAACTGAGCGCAAGTATAGCACTTATGATCGCGAGTTATTGGCAATATATTTAGCTATTCGACATTTTAGGTATATGGTCGAGGGTCGACAGTTTACTGTATATACCGATCATAAACCACTAACTTTTGCATTTTCTAAGGTTAATAGCGAAACTGAAACGCCTAGACGAACACGTCATTTAGTTTATATTAGTGAATTCACCACGAGTATTAAGTTCATCAGTGGGGAAGATAACAGAATCGCTGACGCTTTGTCTCGCTTCGAGACTGTCGATTGTCCCACGGTTATAAATTACGATGAACTCGCTAAGGCACAGGAAAATGATAATTATATATCACAGCTATTGAGTAGTACTAATTCTCAATTTATACTTAAGAAATTAAGGTTGCCTAATTGTGAGAGATATATAATTTGCGATACCTCGAACAATAAGATTAGACCCTATCTAACGGAAAGTTTTAGGCGTATTGCTTTTGATTCCATTCACAACCTTTGTCATCCCGGTGTTAGGACATCTAGGAAGATAGTTCAAGATAGATTCTTTTGGCCTAACATAAACAAGGATGTAGGTCTTTGGGCTAAAACGTGCGTGCAGTGTCAGCGGGCTAAGGTAAGTCGTCACAACACCTCGGCGTTAGAAACATTTTTACCATGTGATAGATTTGAACATATTCACGTCGATATCATAGGTCCTCTGCCAACGTCATCTGAAGGTTTTAGGTACTGTCTTACAATAGTAGACAGGCGCACGCGATGGCCTGAATGTTTTCCCATTAAGGACATAACCGCGGAAACTATTGCACGTGTCGTATACGAAGGTTGGGTATCTCGTTTTGGGTGCCCTAAAAGGTTGACATCGGATCAGGGACGGCAGTTCGAGAGTAGGTTATTTAGCGAATTAATGAAATTATTAGGAATTGATAAGTCACGTACCACACCTTACCATCCACAATGTAATGGGGCTGTGGAACGCTGGCATAGATCGCTAAAAGCCGCGTTAACCGCTCGCTTATGTAATAAAACCTCATTGCCTTGGACGGACGAATTATCAAGCGTATTACTAGGCCTTAGGACAGCAGCTAGGAGCGATAACGGCGTGTGTGCAGCCGAGTTAACGTATGGTACAACTTTACGTCTGCCAGCGGATTATTACGACGGCAAACTAAGCACATCTATAGATTTAGATAATAGCTGTGAGTACGTAACTAAGTTACGGGATATAATCCAGCAGTTTAAATCTATTTCCGTTAGGCAGAGCAGTAGTCCTAATTTATACATACACCCAGATTTAGGAAAATGTGATTTTGTATTTGTACGGAATGATGCTATTCGTAAACCTTTACAACCGACTTATGACGGACCTTTCCGTGTATTAAGTAGAAGAGGTAAGGTTTACGAGATACAGTTGCCGGGAAGAATAAGTAAAATATCGATCGACCGCTTAAAACCAGCTTACTATATTAGCGATAGCGATGTAGCTCCAAACGCAAACACTGATAGTCCAAATCGCGAGTTACCCAAAACGTACACCACACGAAGTGGAAGAACATGTAAGCAATCGGTACGTTTCCGAGACATATAGGTAACGTGTCATCACTTTTAACTAGTGTATGATACTGGTTTGTTTTACGTGAATAATTTTAAGTAGAGTTTTATGTTTTACACCCCCATAGTTATATACATTTTATACAGTGTACACTTTTACATGATATTATATTATTTTAAGTTTTACTTTTTATTGTTTACATGCATATACATTATACATTCATTTTAATATGTAAGAAAATTTTTATTTGTGTTGTCATGACAGACAATTTTATATAGATATTTACATTTATTTGCAGTAAGCAAAATTGTAAATCATCTAGGTCAAAGAAATAAAATATAAGCTGTTGTTTGTAAGTTATTCTTTCTTTAATCACTGATTATTCGATAAATTCAATCACGGACGTATTTTCTATATATTTTAGATATCATATAGTAAAATGGGCAAAGGTATCAGTAAAGAAGCCAAGCAGGACAACATAATTGTTGCTCATAGTGGAAGTAACACTATCCAGATGGAGCAAAAATTGGAGACTTTTGGACTCATTACTTTGGTGATGGTAGTGCTGCTAGCTGTTATCATCGCATATTGTGTATACAAAAAGCTATATACAGGCATCAAAGCTTGGACTCGCAGACAAATCGCTTTCGCAACGAGGTCTGCCCAACCAGTTCAGGTGGAACCTACACCTGTATCTCCACAAGTAATCCATGCGTGACTAATTTAGAGTTAAAATATATAATTAAAATAGTTGTGAAAATAATATTTAAATAAGATAATCAGTGAATAAAGTTAGAATATAATACTTAGTAAGCATTCCACCAGTGTAATATGAGATGCATGTTATTGTTAATTGTTCGTCGCAATGTAACGACACTGTATTAGAATAAGATTTTAATGTACGTAATATTTTTTTGAAATATGTTTTATTAATTTTATTTTTTTGTAAGGGGGGGAATACTGTAGGGACACACTACTACAGGTTTGCATACCATGCACTAGTTGTGATATAATATATAATGGCTTGGAATGCGCCGTCTCGCCAGTCACGGGGAAATCGGGGAGCGAACGGTCGCATCCTTATTGTTATTAGTTATACCGTAATTGTGAAGGAAATAATACACATATATATCACTCACAAAACTTTTATTTGCCCCGATCCCCGTGCCTCAATAAACTTATATGTAACAAAAATATAAACTTCGTTCACAAAACAAAACAATAGTACTATCTAATGATACATCTATCAGTCTCAAAAATATTTAAACAAATAAACTTAAAAATTATCAGTACACAGTATATATGAAAACTTTCATTTCTTGCAAAGAACAGAATCAATAATTTCTACGGAACTAAATATTTTTACTTCAATATTAACAATGAACAATTTACTTTTCAAATACATCAACTGGCTTTGGAAACTTTTAGAATACTCTGTTACCCTTCATACGTATATTTTGGCACTGGTAATATGGTCAAGATCTGTTCCCATTTAACATCAGACATGTCATTGTCATTTATTCTAAAAAGCGTAGCATCTTTATTGGAGATCTTTAAAAAAGTAACCCTGATCTCTCCTTCTTCTTCATCAAAATCTGACGAACATACGCCAGCATATCTATATTTTTTATTATTAATATTATATTCCACAAGTACAAAATCTCGGTTCTTGACAGTCATAGCGGTGTCTGCATTGTCTATAGTATTAATCACATGAGTAGATGTTTGTGCAACTATTTTGTTTTGCACATCTTTCTCAGAATCGGTGTATACTGCATCAACATCCAATTTGTTTTATTTTTTATTTTGGGGGTATTTAATGTCGCCTAGGTGAAAGTGAGGACAAAAATTGCTACAAAAGCAGCTGAGGCTCTTCATGTATAACGTATTGCTGAGATAGTTTCCTCGTACTTGATATACTTTTAGTGTACCAGTAAAAGGTTTGATGTTTGGTCGATTATCTTCAATAGAAGATAATGATCTTCTTTTGAAAATCAATTTCTTCTTCGGGTATCACAAAAATTTTAATGCCGGGACAAGATTTGTTTAATTCCGTAGCAAAGTTGTCAATCGTAGCAATGTCAGTTCCTAAAGCTACAATTTTGTCAGCGGTTCGTTTACATGTACCTCCGATACCATCTGGAGCTCCTTTACCATGACCGGCTTCATGATAGTTCCAGGTAAAATCATAAATATTCGGATAAGTTTCAGTCAATTTACAAAGTAAGTAAAAAAACATATCTTTGTTACGGTACTGAGTAACAGGACCATCGCTTAAGAAATAAACGTTTTCTACCGAGGACGGAAGGAGTTTCATGACAGGTTTTAGAAGAGCCCAGATTACAGGTACATTATGGTTTAGGTTTTCTGACATTGTGGCGAAACATTTTGTTTCTCCCTTGGTATATAAGCAGGGCCGTGCCTGACGGGCGTTCATTGCGTGCACCGCACGCAGGCGGCCGAAATTAAGAGGCGGCCAAATCGTTACAAGTTGTTTACTGGGCAAAAATACAATCGGTTTGTTTTCATTAAGATACGAAGTAAAAACAGTTTCTCTAATCTAATCTATCTAAAAAGAGTTTCTCAGGAATAAGAAATGTATAAAAACTGATTAGGTCGTTGTAGTATTTATATACCTAGTCCATGAACGAATTAACCACTGGACCAGACATATAAGCGGACGTACCTTTAACGGTCATGTCTGTAACCAGGGAATTTTAGCCTAGATCATTTGTTTTTTGTGTCAGCCTCAAGCACTTACTTGTCAACAAAACATCTCCCAAAAATGACTAAATGTTCTGTTAAATGGTGTAAAAACTATAACGGCGGAAGCAGCACTATTTCTTTTTACTTGTAAATACATTATTTTATTACATTTATTGTTATTTATCACAAAATTTAATTAAATGTAAAATAAAATGTCATATTATCCAACTATGTTAAATATAGTCGATATTTATATGTATTGTTGACATCTGACAACCATCATAAGCGGGCTGGATTATACCATTCAGAACAAATGACAAAACTGTCGAGTGAGTCCATTTGACATCGACTAGTGCTTGACAATGTCGAAAAATATATCGATATTTGACGAAATAACTGAACGAATTGCGTTATTTGTACAGTACAATAACATAAAATACTTTTATCACAATATCCTACAATCTGATGACAATAAATTTATAAAAATATTTTCTAAATCAAATAAAAATATAAATGCAAAAATTATAATTAGTATGTGTACTTAATTTTTTATTTTATTTTATACCACATTTATATACTTTGGAATATAATTCCATTGTAATAATAATAAAGATCATTTTATTTCAACACATAAATTACACAAAATCAAACAATAATGTTTTAGCACTAAACTTCTGGGTTGGCGATTTGTAATAAAACACTTTACCACTTGCACTAATTATTTACTTTCTTGATCCAACACTCACTTTTTCACAATTTGCAATCACTTTTTCTTTTTCCTAATTTCACAAATGTTTATTAAGAACTGAGCAATATTAGGACAGTGTCACATTTTTAAAACTACCCGAGACAATCAATTGCCAATTAAAATAGTTCAATAACAGAATCAACAAAATTACTTTATTTAATTAATTAACTTAATATTTTTGTAATCTTTACAAAATAATATTTATTATATATTAATGGAATATACACCCGATATTTATTTGTTGACTAACATTATTATAGGCCAACAGAATGTTGCCATCAATGCCATCGTATTTATATAAATCAAATTAAAAAATAATTATTATTTGACACATTATTATTGCCTCTTTAATTCATTTATTTTAATTTATTATAATAAATACAGATATTTTAAATTAAAAGATGTAAAATATGATGACTATGCTAACCAATGTCTAAAATGTCATTCATTGGTTCATCGATATATGTATTTTATCGAATACGTTCAAGCACTAGAAATATTGTATTGTGTATCAGTGTTTATAATAATGTAATAAAATCTTTGTGTGCGTTATGCGTCACTTGGTTGAACTAGTTTTCATACATTTGTATTTTATGTCAGGTCCAGTCTCTAATTCGTCCATGACCTAGTCATGCAGCGAATCCGAATTTTTTCGAACATTGCACGAGCGACGAGCCGAAATAGTTTTTTCAATTGACCGGCGTCGCGTAAGCGGTCTTATTCGTCTTATTAGTCGTATTAGTCTATAGACTAGCGAGGATAAATCGTTATTTGTGTCCTGTGTGTGATCCGATATTATTAAAGTCTTTAATTTAACGAATAAAAATAAATTGCTTAATTCCTGAAAACTTTTAGCTGTGTGTTCGTGTGGTGAAATTTAATAAAAAGTTTATTTACTCGACAAAGACTGAAAAAGGTAATACACAAAAAATGTAAAATTTGGGTAGACTTTCACTTTTGGGGCCCGGGAAAATTTGGCGGGTCTTTTTGGAGGGAAAAGGCCTTTTGATATGAAATTCTTAAATAAATATTAAAAAATATTTAATAATATTAAAAAAAATTAAAAAAAAAAATTAAATAATAATTAAAATAAATAATAAAATAGCGCAATTTAATATTAAATTACTTAAAATCTATAATTAATGTATATTTTAATGCGCATAGGATGACACGATAAGAAAATCATTTATAAGCTTTTTAAGTAAAACATATTTTTAAACATAAATATGTCAAGATTTATTTTGAAAATGAAAACGGAGAGGAAAATTCAACCACATATAACTGTTTTCTAGTTCAATGTCAGGTAAATTTCTTCCATTTAATAACAATAACATTGCTATTATAAAAAGGAATCATAAGCTTAATTTAAAGAGTTGCTTTCGGCTACACAAGTTCAAATGCTTGATTTTCCATCGGCGGGTTGTGAGCGATTTAAACAGAGAATCTCGTATGCAAACAAACAACTTTTAATTATTATATAAATGCATTCAAAATGAGAAAGATATTCATTTTTTAGTATAAATTAAGGAAGATTTTAAGTAATTTAATATTAAATTGCACTATTTTATTATTTATTTTAATTATTATTTAATTTTTTTTTAATTTTTTTTTAATATTATTAAATATTTTTTAATATTTATTTAAGAATTTCATATTAAAAGGCCTTTTCCCTCCAAAAAGACCCGCCAAAATTTTCCGGGCCCCAAAATTGAAAGTCTACCCTAAAATTTAATATCACTGCTCATTTACATTTTTAAAGGCCTACGAATGTCTGAAAGGAAAACGAAAAGATTGTCTGGAGCGCAATATAAAAGAAAGCGAGAGGAAAAGCAAAATGAAGCTAAAAAAATGTTTGGCTCATTAACAAAGTTTTTAGTAAAATCGCCAGAACCGGAAAGTAGTTGTAGTAGCCAATTAAATCCAATTGATGATTTGTTTTGCGATGAAAATGAAAATGAATTATCTGTCGAAAATGAAAAGGCTAATGACAATACTAGTAGTACCGACGAAATGGAAACAGAAGATAATAAGGATATCGATCTATACAATACCGATACCGCTGAAATTGATAAAGCATATTTTGCTATGTGTATGGATTTAAATGATCCAGCTTGCTGGCCTTTAACAATTACCACTAAAATATTGGATATATTAATCGAAAAAGGACCCATACAAAATAAACAATCTACATATCCAATTAATGAATTGGGAAGATCATTTTCATCAACTTATTTCTATAGAAAAATGCCAAATGGTGAAAAATTTAATCGTGAGTGGTTAATCTATTCTCCAAAAACGGATTCCATATTTTGCTTCTGTTGTAAATTATTTGGCAAACAAGAAATAAAATTAGTTAATGAAGGCTTCAATGATTGGCAACACACATCTGATAATTTATCTCGTCATGCTGCAAAATCGCATCGCTGCATATCGGAAATTGCACCAATTGGAAAAATTTGGAATTAAATTTAAAAAACAAAGCTACAATTGATAAAAATTTGCAACGGTATTATGACGCAGAGAAAAAACGATGGTATCAAATTGTCGTACGCATGATATCTGTGGTACAATTTCTGGCAGTACAGGGTTTAGCGTTTAGAGGTAGCTCGAGCAGATTGTATGAAAACAATAATGGAAATTTTCTAAAAGCAATTGAAATGATAGGAAAATTTGATGATGTTATGGCAGATCACATAAATCGCATTCAACAATCAGTTGCTTTAAAGAACCATATGCCACATTAATTGCGGGAAATCGCTTCCAAAATGAAATAATTAGTATCCTTGCAGCGCAAATTCAAAAATATATTTTGTCAGCAATAAAAGACGCCAAATAATTTTCAGTAATTTTGGATTGTACGCCGGACATGGGACATGTCGAGCAAATTACAATAATTTTGAGATATGTGCATATTCAAAATGACGAAGTAGAAGTGAGAGAAAATTTCGTTGGTTTTTCTCCAGCTCAAAAAAGTACTGGAGAAGCTTTTTACGACTTTTTAATTGAAAAATTAAGCTCTCTTAAATTAAATGTTAACGATATGAGAGGCCAGGGGTATGATAATGGATCAAATATGGCTGGAAAACATATTGGATTGCAGAAACGAATTTTGGACAATTATCCACGAGCTTTGTTTATGCCATGCAACGCGCATACATTAAATTTGGTCGTCAATGATGCAGCGAAAGTTTCTTTTTCAACTGTGGATTTTTTTAGTAATGTGTCAGCAATATACAATTACTTTTCCGGATCACCTTTTCGATGGCAAATTTTAAAAAAACATGTAAAATCGTTAACAGTAAAACAAGTTAGCGTAACCCGGTGGGAATCAAGGATTAAGGCGATTAGACCACTGCGTCATGAATTAGGTGAAATTTATGACAGCCTAATAGAACTAGCGGAAGAATGTTCAACACCAATAGGTCAACATGAAGCTAAATGTTTGGCAATGAAAATTAAATCGTACAAATTTATTTGTTCCACAGTAACATGGTACGAAATCTTAGAAAAAGTAAATATTATTAGTAAAATGATGCAGACCGTTTCTTGGAATCTTACTTCATGTGCTGAATCTATTAATAATATTTTAATTTTTTTCCAAAGTATTAGAAATGATGAAAATTTCGAAAAGTATTTGAAAATTGCTGATGAATTATGTGAATCACTTGAAATACAACCGGAATTTCCTGTTGAAATTAATCTACGTCGACGCCATAAGCGAAAACAATTTGACTATGAAGGAGATGAGGATATTCAGTTAACTGCTAAAGAAAATTTCAAAATTATTTTTTTCTATGTAATATTGGATACAGCCATTTCATCTGTTACTACCCGATTTGAAACATTATCCAATTTCGAACAGTCTTTCGGATTTTTATATAAATTTGTTGAAATAGGAGAGGACGACATAAAAAAAAGTGGCTTCGACTTTCATAATAAATTCAAGGATGGCGAATCGTGCGACATAAACGGAGCAGAATTATACGAAGAGTTAATTTCATTGAAAATAATTATAAAAGATAGGAAACAACCCGAAGAACTCCTAAAGTATTTGTACAAACACAATTTACAAAATTCATTTCCAAATGTATCTACAAGCTTAAAACTATTATTGACCATGCCTGTATCAGTTGCGTCTGGAGAACGTAGTTTTTCTAAATTGAAAATCATAAAAAATTACCTACGTACTTCCATGACGCAAGAACGTATGAGCAATCTTTCAATTATCGCGATTGAAAGTGAAATTGCTGAATCTTTAAATATTCACGAAGCAATTGACGATTTTGTCAGTAAAAAATCCCGTAGGATTAACTTTTAATATGTACTTTATTTAATAATTGCTTCGTGAAGATTCAGCAATTTCACTTTCAATCGCGATAATTGAAAGATTGAAAGATTTCCCTAATTAACCGGTAACCTAACCGAAATAATTTTATGAAACCGGTTAATTAACCAAAAACCTTTACTATTTTCAATATCAATAAATAATACGTAAGATTTGATTTTTTAAAATCAAATAATTTTAAATTGTCACTGAGCGACACCTAGGATTTTAAATTATCGTATTCCTATGTTCTTTATGTTTGATAATTTTGTCTGTGATTATAATACCAATACCATAATTACTTTTTTTCATGTTATTATTAAAGTAAGTAAATTAATTCTATTTTGTATACCTCCCAAATTGCAAGTCAGCCCAGATCTGCCATTGGCCACTGAGCTTTGTTATCCTAATATGTTAGTATAGATTTAAGGGTTATTCCTTGTTCTTTATGTTTGATAATTTTGTCTGTGATTATAAAACCAATACCATAATTTTTTTCATGTTATTATTTTTGTTTAAATTTTAAATAAAAAAATGTTTATTTTGTGCATTTTTTTTTCTTAAATTTCATCCAAACATATAAATCTCATAAAACCGGTTTTGGGAACAAAACCAATATTTTTTTTCGTTCTCGATTTCGGTTAACCAAAAACTGATTTTTTTCCCGGTTTGATGCCCTGTGTATAATAATAAACATTAAAAATTAAAGTAGTTTTTTTTAATGTTATCCTGGGGGCGGCCATACAGACTGGCACGCAGGCGGCCATATACCCAGGCACGGCCCTGTATATAAGACTACAGTATGCAAACTTATTTGCGTACGTGACCCACCAAAATGGAATGATTGAACTGAAGAATATTTTGTATTATAATTTTCGGAAAAGTCCATATGTATCACAGCATCTTTTTCAGTTAACTTATCTTTTAGACTTTTAATGGTTTCATATTGATGCATTATATTTGCTTCATGCTTTAAAAAAATTTCAAGGTTTTCTTCAAGTTTCATCACAATGTCTTTTGGAGCATAGTTTAATGTTATTTTCTTATATTTTCGAACCCTGCGTTTTTTCTTGGTTTTAGTATCTAAAATGTCCTCTGTAATACGTTGCCATGAAGAGTATTTGATCAAAACAGAATTATCGAACTCACGTTAACATATGGAACGTGATTTGCAGTTAAGACATTCTCGCTTAAGACATTTTTCATTGTATCGGTCACAACATAAATACAAATTAAGCATGCTCTGGTAGTTTGGAAAATCTATGATGTTTGCCTGTTTTAGGGAAGCCAAGGTTAGCTCCATGTTTGCATGAGTTACACACAAACAAGTTTCTCTTTGGTGGATGTTTGGGGTTACAACCCAAAAAGGTCGTAGGCGGCAAAACAGTGTGTAACTCAACTTTATAATTTTTGTTTTTATAAACTTGGTATGTAGATTTTTCATGGTGTCTTGTAACAATCTCTTCTGTCTTTTTATTTTACCTTTTGTAATGCTATCTTTTTTACCTGGGCATAATCTGCTATTGCAATCTGCTTCAAAAAAACTCTGCGACTTTTTTCTCTAATTCCGAATTCGTTTTATCGTTTCTTGGCTTCCGTGTCATATCTAACAAACTTTTATTTGCAGTAGATGACTGTCTTATAGGTTTCATATTAATTTGGCTCAACACTTTATACTTCTTGACTATTTTGCCACCTAATACTTTTTTAAATACCTTTTTTTCATTATCATTCGTTGTCAAATTTATATTTTCTTTGAGTTGATTTTGGATCACCTCACTAAATAATAATTTTTTCTTCACCTCTTCTATATTCTCTTTACGATTATTCTGTAAAAGATCGGCCACTTTTGAGTTTGGAGTCATTTTCTGTTTTCCGATGCGCCGTAGTTTCTTTTGACAGTCACGTACCTTTTGACGCAACTGTTTAATTTCATATTTTTGTTTTTTTATAAGTTGATTTCGTAGTTTCCGCTGAATTTCTGATCGCCTTTTAGCAGCCAGAGCGATATTGTTTTGTGGAAGTGGAGGTTGGTCTTCATTATCAGACGCAGGTGGTATTAGTGGATAGTTTCTGGTAGATTGTAGCTTCACGCGATCTCTATGCTTTTTAGTCTTCTCTCTCCATATTTTTTAACAGCCCTTTGTTCCCTTTCAGTCATATCATTTATGCTCTTAACTTGTCCCTTTTCTTTTTTCTTTTTATATTGCTGCCTTTCTTTTTCTTTTAATTCGGCATTTTTAACCGGATCGTTTTTTATTCTTTGGTAGCGTAATTTTTCAGCTTGACGCTTTTTTTCTAACCTCTCTTCCCTTGTTTGTTTCATTTTAACATTCGCCATGATGTCTGATTATATTCGAGTATCTAGAACAAATGAAATGAAGCCTAAAAACATTAAATATTAACGAAAAAAAAATCGTCACTTCTCTGGCGCTTATGTATTTTGTCTGTCATGAAATCTGCCAGAGAAGTGACGCCAGAGAAGTGACAAAACCGCACATAACCTACGACACTCGCTTTTCTGACCACAGTTTAACGTATTACATGATATATACACACAATAAACATTGCATTGTGCAAATATACAATTTCGTAACGATAGAATACAAAAACATAGACATACCAGAGTAAATACTTCGACGACTGGCACAAACACGCTTTCCTACAGCGAATCGCAAACTGACGCACTATTAATGGAGTTTTGCTCGACGTCGTTAGCTTGCTTCTAACTTCACACCGTTGTACGTGCATAGTTCAAGGACAAAAACATACCTATGCGGTTTTAAGTCAAATCTTACTTCTTTGAGTTTCGCCAGATGAAGTGACATTATTGTAACATGACATGGAAATAAGTTAATTTTTTGTTATATTAATAAATATTTTTACAGTGTATTTTGACAAAATATGTTTTAATGTTTATAAAAGCATATGATTATATTTAAAAAAAACATAATAGTTTACGTATTTAAAGTATCTGGCTATAAAATCACTATAATCTAGTAATGGGGGAGGCCAGAGGAGTATACATTTATAATTATTTTAGACTATTAATGCCTTAACTTAAACAATTATCGTGAATACACTATGTGGGCCAAATACAAGACCATATTCTTTATTGTTTAATCATACAGAAACAATAATATAATAAGTTTAACATAAATTTTGTCTATTAACCATTGGAATTCAAATAGCATATTTTCACCCATATTACAATATAGAAATACTCCTAAAAGCTGTGGTTATTCTCCAGCACAACTGTGTATGTCACGTAGTCTTAGAACTAGGATACCTATCTCAGATTCTAACTTGAAACTTAAATGTATTGATTATAGGAGAATGAAACAACACATTGATACACATAAACAAAGAACATCACTTTATTGTAATAAACATACAAAGTCACTTCCTTCTTTAAAACAGGGTGAAAAAGTTTACTTCAAAAAACAACCACATAATAATTTTTCACTTATAATGCTTGGATTCCAGGAATCATTTCTAAAGTAGGCCCAGGGCCACGTTCTTATATAATTTCAAGTCCAGAAGGTGAATTTCGTAGAAATAGAGAACACATTCATTCACCAAAACATCCACCGACTATTCAAGTTCAATCAAAGGCATCAGCCAATTCACATCATATTTCATCAAATTCAAATCCAACTTTGTCTTCTAGAACCGATTCTTCAATAAAATATTCCAGATTTGGTCGTCAAATTCGTAAGCCCGATAGATTCAATTAGTTATTTCGTAACTTTTTCTTATTATGGTAATTTTCGTTTATTTTACTTGATAATTACATTAGTTTTAATTTCAAAAATGTTTTTATTTAAATTAATTTGTCACTTGACATTGTCATATGTCAGTAATTGTCAACTTCAAAAAAGACGTCATTTCTTCATAGTGTTGCAAGCACAATGTATACATAATATTAAAATTGTATAATAAATGTTTTTTTGTTTGTTCAGAGGAAAAATGTAATAGATATAGTCATATAAGGATTGTAAATGTATAAGATATAATAGTTATAATTATGTGTGTAATGTAACAACAATAATTTGAAAAATAATTTTGTATTCCTTCAGCAATTGTAATTCTGCATAAAATTTTATTTTGTAAGGGAGGTGTTGGGTAGTGTGTAAACCTCATTATTGTCTATGGTTAAATATAAAATATACACTTCGGTCTGGTCAATGGCTTCAACGTGAACGCTTGTTTCATTTACACCCGAGTCCTAATAAATATTAAATAGTAAAATAATAAATACATAGAACATAACAGGCATCTCTTTAAAACCCATTTGGTCAAAGAACTGTGTTTCTAACACCATAACTCCTGATATTCCCGAAAAAGTTTTCTATAGGGTCTTGGTTGAAATTTCTTGTCAACATTGCATCAATGCCATATTTGAAAGACAATAACTTCCAAAGAGATTCTATACCCTCTACAGTTTGAATTAAATTTGTTATAGATGGTGCAATAGTTTCTGTCAATCGTGTTTTATCTCCAAATCTAACTTTCTTAATATATTTTGTGGTTTTTAATATTTCTTTAGCTTTTTGCCATAATTGATGATGAGGTGAATTGCGTTTAATAGGCCCTTTATAAATTTTACCATTTTGAACAGATAAACTGCTAACATTTAATGAATCAAACAGATTATCAACTAACAAAATAAAATCTATTAATTGTCGGCATTCATTAGGAAGGTCACCTCTTGCTGTTAAATGTTCAGTCATTACAGCAACACTGTGAATAAATAACTGTGTTGCTGATTTGACCCGCATTTTATTAATTTTTTCGGTAATCACATGTGCTTCAGTTGATTTATTGAGGAGACGCAATTCTTTGTAAGACTTGTCTGCATTATACACCAATTGGAAATATTCCCACTTGATAATTTTTTCTTGGCCATCTATGGTATATATTAAATCTTTTGTGATTATATTATTTCTGATTCCTTTAATTAGATGTGGAGTATCATATAATGGAATTATATTTTGATTTTTAACACGGAACATGTCTTTATTCCAATTTTTGTTGCGCTGCAAGTATGAAGCTTTTGTTTCATTAATTAATTCAGTAATCGCTCCAACATTAACTGGGCTTTGATCGCATACTGTACTTGTAATGATAAGCCCAGTCTCAAGTGTGTGCTCAATGATACTTTTAACGATATTTTTAAGTGTTATCTTATTTACTGGCTGCTTAAAATTACTTATAACTGTTATAATATGTAAACGTTGTTAATCTATGTATCTAAATTATGAGTCTATGTTTACTCTATGAATATTGTTGTACTCTGTAGTCTATGGATGTAAAAAAGAAGATGTCGGATTGTTAGAAATACAGGTGTTGGTTTGAGTAATGTCTTTTAATTAAAGTGAGTTGCGTGGGGGCTTAACAGCCTAAATATATCAAACTTTATATAAATTCTCACATCCACGGACCTCTGCTCATCTGATCATGTGTGTAATAAAATAATTAATAATAAATACAAACTGATGTTCTGTTTTCGTGCGTTTGAAGAAATGAAAATTGTCAAAATGGACGCCATGATCTAGCACTTTCGGCCCCGAGAAATACTTTACATATGATACTCTTTACTGAGAAACAAAAAGGTTTATATGTTTGAAAGTTTGAATTAATTCTATTAAAATTCATATATTAAAAATGTCAAGTTTAGAAGTTTTTCCACAACTTAGTGGAGGGATTAAGTTTAGTAATTGAAAGTTCAGGTTTAACATTTTATTTGAAGAAAAAGGTATTGAGTATTTATTAAATGGAAAGAAAGAAGAAAATTAAAAAAAGAGACGTATAAAAAAGACGATGCTAAGGGAAGATCGATAATTATAAATTGCTTAAACGATAAATTCTTGGAAGTAGTAAAGCCAGCGACCAGCGCATTAGAAATGTTGAAACTATTAAGTGCAGTGTTTGAAAGGAGAAGCACATTTAACAAAGTGTTACTTAAGAAGAAACTTATAACTTTAAAACATCAATTCTCGAATAAACTTCAGGATCATTTAATTAACTTTGAAAATATAATTAACGAATTAGAAGATGGAGGTGCAAAGATAGAGGAGTTAGATAAGGTGGAGCACCTGTTTATAACACTACCAAACGAGTATAATACCATAATACAGTGCAACCTTAATATAACGTACCTCAATGTAACGACTTCCTCGATTTAACAAATTCTTCGTAATCCCCTTGAATTGTCCATAAGAGTCAATATAAAATATACCTTTACATTGCGAACATTCTTTGCGTACAACCTCTTTATAACGAATTTTCAACTATCAGGAAAAAGTATTCATACCTCTAATTAACGAATTTTGCCAACCCAAAACCTTTATATAAAGTTTCCACCAATAATATAACTCTTAATCTTATAATGTGATTCATGTCTCGACATGTTTCGACACGCTTTTGTTTGTACAGTAATCATTGTTGTTTTGATGGAAAGTAATGTAAACACCTCTGCTCGTCACTATTGTTAAAGATTTAAGTTAAAATGGCTCAGAAACGTAAAAGGTGTTCCTTATCGGTCGCAGAAAAGCGAAACATCATTAATTATGTTGACCAAAATCCCATGACGAAAAAATTAGACATAGCTAATAAGTTCGGGATTCCCGCAAGTACATTGGCTACAATTTTAAAATTTAAAGATAAGTTTTCAGAAGAAAGTTTGAATGTAAACAGTAAAAGATTAAAATCATGCGAGTTCAAAGCCATAGAGGAATGTGTGTTAAAGTGGTTAAAACAGTGCCGAGACAAAAAAATCCCAATCGGAGGCCCTATTCTTCAGGAAAAGGCTCAGCGGTTTGCAGTAGAATTGGGACATGAAGGGTTCCGTGCTAGCAACGGGTGGCTTCAAAATTTCAAAAAACGAAACGAGGTTGTTTTTCGAAAAATATGCGGTGAAAGTGGTAGTGTTAATGAACAAGTATGTGATGATTGGAAAGACAAACTGGCAGAGTTGACCACCGGATACGATCCCGAAGACATCTTTAACGCCGATGAAACTGGACTATTCTATAAATGTTTACCTGACAAAACCTTATCATTCAAAAGCGATAAATGTAATGGTGGGAAAAACAGTAAACTTCGCTTAACAGTACTGTTGGGAATAAATTGTACTGGGACTTACAAACTAAAGCCACTCATCATCGGAAAATATCAAAAACCGCGATGTTTTAAGAATGTCAATAATCTGCCAACAGATTACACGTCCAACCATAAGGCTTGGATGACCAGTGATGCTTTTTGCAATTGGCTTAAAAATCTGGATAAAGAGATGAAGAAAAAAAACAAGAAAATTCTAATGTTCATCGATAATTGTACTGCACATGGAGAAATTCCTAACCTGAAAAATATAAAAATAAAGTACTTACCTCCAAATACCACTTCAAAACTACAACCACTGGATCAGGGCATCATCCAAAGCTTCAAAATGCATTATAGGAAGGAAGTTGTCAGACGATTTCTTGCTGATGTTGAACGTCAAACACCAACTACAATTGACGTTTTACAAGCCATGTGGATGATCGCCAAAGCTTGGAATTTAGTCACTGAAAAGACCATTGCAAACTGCTTCAAGAAAAGTGGGTTTAAAGTAACATGCGAAGATGAGGAGGACGATTTACCACTCGCAGAACTTGCTAGGACCTGGCAAAGAGTTCAAGAAGAATTACACCTTCAAGACACTGACTTCGAAGACTTTGTTACCTTTGATAATGATTTGGCCATCTGTGGAGAACTAACTGATGCTGACATCGTCACATCTGTGTTGCCAGTTACTAATGCAGAAGCGGATGAAGACGAGGAAGAAGAGGGTGAAATTGATGAGCATAACTTCACAATAAAAGATGCTTATAATGCTTTGAATACAATAAAATCTGTGTTTCTCAAAAAGGGAGGTTTGAGTGACGATGTAGTGAAATCCATCACGAAATTAGATTGCGCTTTGGATGTCATAACTCATACCGGTAGTAAACAGACAACTATCAATGACTTTTTTTCTAATCAATGAACAAAATTGAGATTAAGTTTCTATATAACCACAGTGTTAATTGTTTTTGATTATTAATGTAAGAAAAAAAATTTATTATCTACCTAATTGTTTTTAAATACATAGCAAACACATATAGTAATTTGATAAAAATGTGTTATCATTTATTAATAGAAGTTGTTCGCTATAACAAGATAAGTACGTAATATTGAGGTGAATAAAACTGTTCTTTTACCTCTTTATAACGAATTTTAGACCAATCTAACCTCAACATAACAAATCTCAGTTCAACGAATTACTTGATATTACGAATATTTTCTTGTTCCCCTCCGATTTGTTATATCGAGGTTGCACTGTAAATACGTTGGAATCCCTCGACAAGGAATTAAATTTTGAGTTTGTAAAATGTAGATTACTCGATTTAGAAAATAAATTAAAAGAAAATAGTATTGAGGAGAAAACTGAAAATATGTTTATTACAAACACAGCCATTATTTACTTTAAATGTAAACATAGAGGACACAAATCATTTGAGTGCAGTTTAAATAATAATATGACTAATAACAATGATATGAAGAATTTTATCACTCATAATAATAGAGAAAGTAATAGAGGAAGTGTACTCAACAATAATTTTTTAATAGAGGATTTAATAACAACTATAATAGAGGAAGAGGTTACAAATATCAAATTAATCAAGGAAGAGGTTATAATAATTATATGAATAGTGGTCACAGATATAATAATAACTACATGCGTCTAGTAAGAGGTTACAATAATAATTATATGAATAGAGGAAGAGGACGGCATCATAATTTTTCTAGACAAGCGAACACCACAGAAGAATTTAATTTACATGAGGAAAATAAAAGCACATTTGTGGCATTAACTTTGGAAAATGAATTTAAAAAAAGCAATGACATCTTATTTATAATAGACTCTGGGGCAACGCATCATTTTATCCAAGAAAAATATGAGAAGTACATGTATGACATTCAATTACTAGATGAGCCGATGAAGATTAAAATAGCCAATGGTCAATTTTTAGTTGCTATCAATGGAATAATAGTACCAGAAATTTCACATAATTTGATATCAGTTTCTAAATTAATGGAAAAGGGTATGACGATAATATTTAAACAAGAACAAATGAAAATATATACTAATGATACACATAGTAATACACGCCATATTTATAAAGAAGGAAAACTATTTACTATGAGGATGCTAATCAAACAAAATGCACAGTGCAATCAAGCTATAGACAAAAATGATATTTGGCATAAAAGACTTGGACATTTAAATAGAAAAAGCTTACAATTAATGGACTTACCTTTTAGTGATAAAATATGTAATGAATGCATGATGAACAAAAGTACCAGAAAACCATTTTATCCTGTAACAAAACCTCAATCACATGCTATAGGTGATCTAATCCACTCTGATATAGCAGGTCCAATGAAAACTACGACCAATGAAGGAGAAAGATACTATCAAACTATCATAGATTACTACTCACATTTTACATTTACATATTTAATACTTTCTTAGATTTACGCGAATGTTTGACATTATTATTATTTATGTTGGGTGTGGTGCCGAGGTCGGCCCTAGCTACGTCGACCAGTTTTGGTCCATTGTAGCTCATGTTTGACATTATTGAATAAAACTATCTTTTCGGATTATATCGCGGATTTATTTTGATTTTTGGTTCCCGACATTTCGAATGCTTTACAGCATCCATGGTCACGGGAGAGACTGAGGTGTTACATGTCTTGAATGTATAGTTGTTACAGACAGCCTACCCACAATTAACAAAATGAAAAATGCACCAATTACATTACAATATTTTTAACTTTAAAACATTTTTATAATTGTTTATCTGATTATCTAAACTTAGATATTGTTTGTATAACTTGTGGCACAATGATCTACTTTAGTGTTGTAATTATTTAATAATTTAGAATAAGTTTGTTGCGATTTTCACTAATTTCATTACATAAAATTACTAAAAATCGAGGGAGAATGTTAGAATATGTAAACGTTGTTAATCTATGTATCTAAATTATTAGTCTATGTTTATGAATATTGTTGTACTCTGTAGTCTATGGATGTAAAAAGAAGATGTCGGATTGTTAGAAATACAGGTGTTGGTTTGAATAATACCTTTTAATTAAAGTGAGTTGCGTGGGGGCCTAACAGCCTAAATATATCAAACTTTATATAAATTCTCACTATGTTTTGAATAGCATGGATAAAACTTTAGATTTAATTTTATGCAACAAAGTCATTACTAAGCTCATGCGAAATACCACGCCTATGTCTGTGATTGATCCTTTACATCCTCTGTTGCAGATATTTTTCTGGCTTAAAACCTCTAAGTCACTATCTTACAATAATGATGCACGTTTCTGTTTTTACAGAGCCGACTATGATAATATAGTTTCTGAGCTTAACAAAGTTCCATGGAATGAGCTCCTACGGGATAGTAGTATCGTAAATGAAATGATTACCGTTTTTTATAACATACTTCATTCTATAATTGAGAAATTTTCCCAAAATACAAACCTAAAAAGCAATCATATCCGATATGGTTCTCATTTAAACTAAAGAAGGTGCTGAAAGAGAAATACAAGCTTCGAATGAAATTGCGCAAAAATCACTATAACCCACTAGAGTCTAGTGACTAGACCAAATATCATTTAGTTTAATATAAAAACGTTGTCTTGAACTGCAGTCATCTTGCTATGTCGATTATTAAGCGCGAATAGAGAAACTTTTGAAATCTAACCCTAAACTATTCTGGTCTTTTTATAAAGTAAGCGAAATAATCGAAGCAATTACCCAAAAAAAATGACCCTAAATGAACTCAATGCTTCAAATGGTCCTGATATCTGCGACCTTTACGTAAAGCAATTTTCTTCTGTTTATAATACGGAGTCGTTGGATAATGGAATAAATTCTAGTATGGAAGGGGACTCTCTTATCACAACTAGCAACATTACGGTAACAAAAGATGACGTCTTCAGAGTTTTAAAAAGAATGGACCCATATAGAGTGGGTGCAGGTGCAGATAAAATGTCTTCGGTATTTGCAGTTAGGTGTGCAACTGCCTTGGCATATCCTCTATCCATTATTTTTTATAAATCACTTAGCAGCGGTGTTTTTCCTTCTACGTGGAAAAAATCCCTAATTGTTCCTATCTTTAAATCAGGGAACCATGAGAATGTTTGCAATTACCGACCTATCTCAATTCTTGTCACATTTGCTAAAGTTTTCAAAAAGGTAGTTTATCCGATTATAAATTGGAACTTTAAACAAATAATATCCCAAGACCAACATGGAATTTTCAAAGGCAGGTCCACTTTGACAAATTTAGCATGTTTTATTGATAAAATATCCTCAGCAGTCGACTCACATAAGCACGTCGATGTGATTTATACAGACTTTAGCAAGGCTTTCGACAAAGTTCCCCACAGAATTTTAACAAAAAAATTGTCTCAGTATGGAATCATAGGACCCCTCTTAGAGTGGTTTTCGTCATATTTGAAAGACAGGAATTCGGTAGTAGTCGTAAATGGTTACCAATCTCAACCATTCCAAGTCTTGTCAAGAGTTCCACAAGGGTCTCATTTAGGACCTATCTTCTTCAACATTTTTATTAATGACATAAGAAACTGTTTCACTAACTCCAACTTCTACTTATTTGCAGACGACCTAAAATTCTTTCGCTGTATTGACACAAATAATGACGTTGCTCTGCTTCAAAACGATTTAGATCGACTTGTCTCTTGGTGTGATACAAACGGTATGAATCTCAATATTGACAAATGTTATTCTGTAGGATTCACTAGGAAAAAACAACTCAAACCGAGCACCTATAAAGTAAAGGATAGCTATCTTAAAAGAACATCTGAAATTAGGGACTTAGGCGTTTATCTTGATAATAAATTACGTTTTCATTGTCATATCGATAAAATCTGTAAAACTGCATTTAAAAACTTAGGTTTTATTCTACGTAACTCTAGGGACTTTAACAACCCTTCGACGGTCATAATGTTATACAATACTTTCGTTCGTAGTGGTTTGGAATATTGCAGCGTAGTATGGAATCCATTCTATAAAATGTACATTAAAAGATTAGAAAGCGTCCAGAAACGTTTCATGTGGCACCTTACGTATAAGTACGGCTTAGCGAAAAAAATCACCAAATACAATGACAGACTAACGCGCTTCAATATGAAATCACTCTCTGAGCGAAAATGCATACTGGATAACGTGTTTTTTTATAAGTTGATTAATGGTATGGTAGATTGTCCTGAACTCTTATCACGTATTATTTTTTGTGTTCCATGCAGATCAAAAAGACTAAAAACTAGAAATAAATAAAAATAAATAGAAATAAAAAAAGAATAAAAAACTAATTTGGGTATTAACTCCTCAGTCAATCGGCTTATAAATTCTTATAACAGTATATTCAGCCAGAACAGCGAAATTGATATATTTAACAACAGTCTTAACAAATATAAAAAGAACCTATCAACTATTAACTTCATATCTAACTAAACACTTAGGGCCGATTTCACCGTTTGCATTGGAAACTAAGTTTAATAAAACGACGTTTTGCTTAATCGAGTTTATAGTTCGATTCTAATCTTGGTTTTCGTTAAACGGATTTCACCAGCTACAATTTAATCGCGTTTACGAAAACGAAGGTTGGTGACATAAATCGTGAACATCGCCTTAAATTTAAGCGTAGATGTCATGCTATACAGTTTGTCAACGTCAAAACTGTCACATATATAGCTGTCAAATTGACAACTCTAGTTTTTTATTTTAAATTTCTTGACTTTCGTGGTCACGTCGTTTTTTCATTTGAAATTTTGAACCTTTGTGTTTGATTTGAACCGTTGAACGTATAACGCACAGTTTTATTAACGTTCATTATTGTGATTTGTGATAATGTCAAAACGAAAAAGGGACCCGACCTTTACCATTAGCGAAAAAGAGGCTCTACTTGATTTAATAAAGACACATTTTTCAATTGTGGAGTCCAAGAAAACAGATGCCGTGAGCATGAAGTCCAAAACAGAAGAGTGGCGTAAAATCGCCACAGAATTTAACGCCATCTCCGGTATATATCCCAGAGACTGGACAGTTTTAAAAAACTGCTGGGAAAATTTAAAGAAAAAGGCAAAGCATGAACAGACTTTGCGAAATCAACATTATTTAGGAACAGGTAACTAAATATTTTTATTAATTTTCATATGTATATAAGTTCCTCATTACTCACTATACTCATAATTGATTTTTACAACTTTTTTATTCGTTTATAGGAGGAGGACCTCCAAAAAAAGATATTGAAGACCCTATTGTAAACCGAGTGCTTGAGCTCATCCAGGCCAGAGTGTCTGGATTTGTCAACTGCTTTGACTCGGATGGCACTCAAATTTTAGGTGAGTAATTACCTATATCAGTTTTAAATATGTAATTCATATAGTGAATATGTGTTCATATGGCTTTGTATTAAGCTACCAAAAGAATGAATGAGCGAAGATGAGGATTTTAAGATGTATGTGGACACAAATGGACATAATATGATGTCTTCCTTGTATTTTTTCATATAATATGTTTTAAATATATATATGAAAACACCATGATAATAAAAATTATATTTTTCAGCCGGTAGTGCACCTGAAATTGAGAAAAAATTAAATGATGACAAGAAAGCAGACCAATTGGAAGTGGTGTTGGAAAAGTTGGAAAATGGTATGTATTCTATTAAAAACTAATTATATTTCAAAACATTTTTTATGCAAAATAACATGATATAGGGTACTAAAACAGGTTTTTATTTCAGATATTGATATCTGCGAGTCTCAGTTAGTGAAATTGAATGAGCCAAATGTGACCACATCCTCTGACGTGATTACCACATACACAATGGTAAGTTCAATGTTGTGAAAAAACTTGGTACCTATCTATCACATATCAGGTATCAGGTTCTATTAATTGTTTTAGGATAAAAAGTAGCATATGTATGTAATCTAGGTTATATTCTACCTCCATATCAAATTTTGTCTAAATCCGTTTAGGTGTTTGAGCATGAAGGAGTAACAAACACACATATACATACAAACTTTCACCTTTATAATATTGTTATATGTTTTAGAATGTAATTTTTTTATTGTACTGTTTGTTTCCCTTGAAAAGCTAATAAATAAATAAATAAATTGTGATAATAAGTACTAAAACATAACTATTTTCTCATGCAGGATTGGTCTCAATATACTCCAAGTATGCTGAAAGAAAAAAAAATCCAGGTTTGAGGAAAACGCCAAGCCCTGATGTGCAACAACAGCATTCTCAAGTGTGCCATGCTCTTAGCACTCCGCCAAGGTAAGAAATTAATCATCTACTATTGTTGATAATTATTATAAAGATGTGTGTTTTTGTATAAATTTTGTTTGAAACAAGATAACTCTGTAGCAGCTGATCAGATTTTAATGAAATTTGGTATGTGTGGAATAGGTATCCGTATATAGGCAGCTAGTAGTTTAATCTTCCTAATATTATAAATCCAAAAGTATTGGTGAATTCCCTATGAGTCACATCAAATGAGTAACACTGTGACTCGTTGGATTTTTTTTTTTTTTTCAATGAAAAACAATATTTAATTATAAATTTGTGTTGCAGGGTCCAAACACCAAGTGTGGCAGCATTAGCTGCAACAACAAGTCGCAGAAGGGCATTGTTTAAAGAAACATCAGGAACCCCTGACTTAATAAAAGGAAGGATAAAGACCTTATTAAAGGCCAATGTTCATGCTGATGAGGAGCATGAAATGAAAATAAAAATTTTGAGAATACAGGAAGAAAAAGAAAAAGAGATTTTAAAACTAAGCAGGAGGAAATAAAATTAAAACTTTTGGAGATGCAATTAAAAAAATTAGATTAATGTTGAAGTATTGTTTTATTATTTTTACTAATATTACATATTATTTGTTTATTTTAATAAACCTATGTTTGAAAAATCAACTTCTTGTCCTTCCTATGTTTGACAAATATTACTATTTTATCCATTCATCATGACAGCCTCCTCGCCTGAACTCAATACAATTTATTTAAGTACATAATTATATAGTTCTTAACGTTTATTATTATTAAAAACAAAAATTTTAATATTTTTATATATCTAATTCTATTAAGTATTTCTTCATAGAGTATTAATCTATATATATAAGATTTCCACCCATATATTGACTCATCACGATATCTCTGGAACCGTAAGGCGTGGAGACTTGAAATTTAATAAAAATTAAGTAATGATATATATATATATATATATATATATATATATATATATATAATACTAGCTGACCCCGCAAACGTTATTTTGCCATATATGTTATTAACCCCCGCAACCCCCTCTTGTGGGTGGAATTTCGTAAAACCCGTTCTTAGCTGACCTCTACTCGGTGAAAGGAACATTCCTACCAAATTTCAAGTCTCTACGCGTTATGGTACCAGAGATATCGTGATGAGTCAATGGGTGGAAATCTCTTATATATATATAGATGAGGTTTGAGATAAATTTATTTTCATAAGAACAATTGCAGGGTCAGCTAGTAATGATATATAGGTATATAATATGAGGTTTGAGATAAATTTATTTTTCATAAGAACAATTGCGGGGTCAGCTAGTAATGATATAATAAGAGGTTTGAGATAAATTTATTTATCATAAGAACAATAATCATTGACTTACATGAGAATTTTTTTTAAACAAAAACAAAAATTAACTATATAAACAATTAACGACGATTAAACGACTCTAATACAAACTATTTATCTTGCTAGTTGTGAAAAATAATTTGTTATAATTTCATTGCGCCTTCTATAAGTTGGATTGTTTCTTTGACTTCTTACTGCATCCACACTTACATTGTTTATATTGCCCTGAGCTAAGACAGCTTCCCAGGAAACTGGATTTACTATTGTATTATCATTAGGAGGTGTAGATTCACCACTTCTTCTTGCAATATTGTGCAAGACAGCTCTGGCGATGATAATTGGGAATGAATTTTGTAGGGAAACTCCCAGTCCTATTGCCATGCTCGGAAAACGTCTTTTCCATACACCAAACAACCTTTCTACACAACTCCGTGTTCTTATATGTGACTCGTTGTACAAATTTCCAGCAGCAGTACTGCACTGTTCTAATGGAGTCATCATATAATTACTGCAAGCATAACCCGCATCTCCAACAAGAACAGCATTTCCATATCGGCCTTGTTCAAACATTGCTCTTCTGTAACAATTATTAAAAATGTACGAATCATGTGTACTCCCTGGCCAACGAGCAACCACATCAGTAAATTCTAAGTTGGCATTGCAAATGGCTTGAACATTCAGAGAAAAATAGTTTTTTCTGTTTCGAAAAATTTCAGGATTATCTCAACCTGGTGATCTAATAAACTTCACGTGAGTACAATAATAATCTATAGCACCTATTATATGAGGAAATCTAGCCACTTTATAAAATTCGATTTGTGTCTGGCGACTGTCATCTGGTAGTTCTGGAAAGTAGACGTGGCCGGAGTGATGCAATAGCTGCACTGACTCTGTGCACAATTCTATGCGCAGTAGAAGTGCTGAATCCACATAAATCTGCAGCAGTCATTTGGTAGCACCCAGTTGTGTATAAACGCAGAGCACATAACAATTGGTTGATCGGAGATATACTGTTATTCATATTGGACGCAAACTCTAATTTATCCTCAATAGACTCCAGTACAGAAAGGACTGTTGACTTCGTGAGACGGAATCCTGTTACGAAGTCTTGATCATCAAGAGTGTCGAAGTGTTCTTCTCTCTCACGTATCCATCTCGGGCGCCTTGGGCGATGAACATACTCATCCTCTTCGTCTTCCTCAAAAGCTAGTGACAATGCTCTTTCCATCTTTGAACTACCGCTACTAACTACGCTAACTACGCTTTTATAATATAATACACTACTATAAACTCGAGTATCAGAATATATTATATGACAACTTGACAAGATTTGTTTTTAATAGGTTAGACCGTTAGAAGCTCTCTACAAAACGCGTTTACACAGCTAAACGCCAAAAATCGGTCGTTCAGAATTTAAACTCAGTTATTCTCTAACTGCGTTTAGTTTATGTTGGTGAAATGCAATTTAGAGCTCTAAACTTCGTTAAACGCGTAAACCGAGTTTACGTCGAACTAATCGCGATTATTTTAATCAGTGAAATCGGCCCTTAAACAGATATGTATATAATATATTTTTGGTTTTGTTCCTATCTTTGTTAGCAGTAGATGCATATAACTTTGTTTATTATTATTTCTTTTAGTTTATAATAGCTTGTTTTTTATCTAAAATCATTGTTGTCTAAATTTTTGCATGCCGTTTTCACCTGTAATTGAAATACCATTTAGTTCACCTAGTTTAAGTTTATCTATGTATGTAAAAGAATGTGTTATTGAGTATTTTGTTGGTGTTAATAATAAATAAATAAAAAAGTCACGTCCGCTAAATCAAAATGAAATGTTGAGGGTTCTTCATGATTTTTCATCGGGATCAGATGACCTTTTTTATTTACCTTCCCGAACGCGAAGAACGTCAAAGAAATAGTGATTCATCTTCGGAGTCGTCATCTGTGTCTGGTAAACATCCTCCTGCATCAGGGAACGATGCATCGTCGTGTGATCTAGAGTACCAGTGAAACTTAGGATCAACCAAGCCACAGAATTTTGCTTTTTTAGGTAAACCAGGTATAAAAACTGACATTAATCTTACTCCTGCTACATTGGCATTATATTTTTCTCGAGACAAATAATTACGCCAAACGTACGAGTGGACCTCTAAAAAAATATACCCGTTTTAAATATTGGAAATATACTACCTACGCAGACATGCGTATATACTTGCCGTCTATGGCACCTAAACAATCAGGAAAATTTGTATTTTGAAGAAATCCACTGGCAATTTCTATCGACATGTCTTGAGTCGGTTCCGGAATACAAACGGCTTTCAAGCAGTTCCAAATTAGTTGACATGTTTCTTGTCCGATAGTCCTAGCTGTAAACGCCCCACGGTGGTAAGACAGTTTAAACTCCTCGAACGACCATCCAGTTCCTAGATACCTGAGACAATAAAGTAAAAGGTTTTGTTCAGCAATTTAAATGTTCGTCGTTTGAATTTTAATTTTTTCTACTATTGTTGTTACAGTAACTAAATTACAAAAGAAGTGAAAGAGTCTTCGTGACAGTTTTAATAGAGAAAATGAAAAAAATAAGAAAGTTGCGAGTGGTTCGGAAGCACCCAGTGACCCAGCAGTAAACAATATATTTATTTCAATCAACTATCTTTTTTGAATTGCTTAAAAGAAGTAAGACCGTCTCCCGATGTTGCTCCTGAGGGTGAAACTAATAATGCAGAAACACCTCGCCCGCAAATAAACAAAAAAATATATTAAAACAAGTGCTGAAAAACAAAATGAAATACTCAAAACACTTTCTCAAAATTTAAAACGTAAACATGACACAATAGACAAAGAAAATCATCCCGATAAACAATTTCTGATGTCGCTGCTTCCACATATAAAAAAATTGACGAACGTTCTAAACTTGATTTTCAATCTGATATATTACAGCTAATTAGAAAGTACATGCATAATCGAAATTATGAAACCTATTCGTCACATTTCTATGGTTATTATTCTGGAAATGATAATATATATATACTACACCAAACTACTACATCTACCCAGCCTTCACCTATAATCCAGCCTTCCCTTATTCTGACCAATTCATGGACAACATTCTGTTATCGAAGATATGTTCCGTGATGATAATGAGTGATACAAAATTTTCTCATATTTATAATAAATACTCTAAGTAAATAAATATAAATACCTACGTGTTTTACTTTTAACTGTTCCCCGCATGGTATATATCCTTTTTTACTCGTCGATATTGTAGCTATTCCATAGCCCGTTTAAAAAACAATCAAAATCGGTCCAGCGGTTTAGGCGTGAAAGTGTAACAGACAGACAGAGTTTCTTTTCCATTTATAATATTATAGGGATTATAAATATAATATAGATTATTATAGTGTTCTATGGAGTTTTATGCTAGTGATTGTTCGTACCTTACTGTGATAGCAAGTCTTTCCGCAGGGGCGTTGTTATTGCGCATGTTGGTGTCGTGGAGCTTAGAGTATTAAGGTCGCCTTACCTCATACATACTTGTTCTCAAAATACGCTTAAGAGAAACTTTGCTTTCTTATCGATACAGGATCATCTATAAGTATGTATAGTAAAAAGGTCTTCCTTAACATAAATTCCAGACCTTAGCAATGATGTTGTCAAACTTTAGGGTATTAATAGCTCCTAAAATCCTGTCGAAACACCAGGTACTTTTCAGATGGAATTTAATTTATCTGAACAAATATTTAAATATAAATTTAATGTAACTAATGATGATATCAACATAACTAATAAGGGTTTTCGATACTTTTTCTGCCACTAGGCGGCGCTTCGTAGGCGTCAGGTCCAAACAGCTGTCAAATAGCACAGAGTCGTAGGTACTGAACATAAATTATTGAAATTCTATTGTATTTGGAAGTGTTATTGATTTTATTATGGATTACGGTCAGAAGAAGATCGCTGAACTGAAGATTGAGCTCAAAAAAAGGGGCGCAAAAGTCACTGGTAAAAAGGAAAAGCTCATTGAAAGGTGGGTAACGTAACGTACTAGAATTTGTTTACACAATTCGATTTCGTTCTTTAACTACTAAATTGCAGTTATTTGTGTTTTAGTGAGTTTTAGTTGATTAATGTATATTATACATTTCAGGCTAAATGACTATGACAGAAACAACAACTTTAAACCAAATAAAAATAATAATTCTAACCTCTCAAGTAAGATATGATAGAATGGCCAGAAGAAAAGTTATACAAAAGTGTGGATTCAAAAACAGTTTTACCCAATTTTGATATAATTAATATAAATACGTATTTCCTTGAATTGTATAAAGAGGGCATAGGAATGTCAGATTATTCTGCAGTGCACAGAAGAGGTTATAATATGCTGCAAAATATCTACCTGCTAGCATTAGTAACCGCAAATACTAGTACACATATATTTTTCAAAGGTCAAGTTCATTCAGAAAATACAAAATCCCTCACTTATTTTGCTTCCATTGCCATATGTAACGAAAGCGGATGTATTATACAATCGGTGTGTGACTGTATAGCAGGAAAAGGCCCAAAAGCCATTTGTAAGAATGTGTCCGTTTTGTGCTATGCTATATTCAAATTCCGAGAGCAAAATGTATGGTTAATTAAACACACTCCAATACAAAAAAAACAAGTATGGCATGCACCTAAAAAAAATAAACTTGATGTTTCACCACAAAAAGCAGAGAATCTTTCATATGAAATATCAGAATACAATGTTTGCAAAAAAAGAAAAGAAGTATGTGCTATGATCCAAGACCACAGTCCTCTAACAGCCTAGGAAAGGAATGGGCTGCAACAATCAGAAACAAAGTTATTAACTACTGTTCATTGTCACAGAAAAGGATAGGATTGTGTGGAATTTTGGACAGTGCTAACATGGAAGATGTGATACATGACCATGATTACCTACCTTTTCCTTTACATCTCCAACTTATCCTTAATAAAATAACCGTAAGCCACCTATTCCAGATGAATTTATCCATTATAGTAGCTAATACTTGTAATAAGATTGTACTATTGCAAGCGAGGTAGTGAATGAAGTGAAGCTGTAGCTACTATATTTAATTACTATTTTGTAATTACATTTGCAGTGTAGATGTTTGTTTAGATTAATACCTTCATACTTTCCTTATCCTTTGCCCCTAACAGGTAACTACTGACTCAGCGAAGGAAATTGAAAAGACAACCAAAAATCAGACGAAGACAAAGTTATGGTTTACAGAACGATCTTTTCGAGTAACTGCTTCAAGAGTCGGTGAGATTTGTAAATTTACTGCTAAAAAGGACCAGGAAAAGTATGCACAAAACCTTATATGTAATAAGAAAATAGTAAGCACGGCCTTTGAATGGGGCCTTAGAATGGGGTCTATGGAAACCACAGCAATTGAATCATGTGAGGGGAAAGCTGGTAAAAAAGTAGAACGCTGCGGTTTATATGTTTCTGTGCAGTACCCTTTCATCGGCGCTTCTCCTGATGGATTGCTTGAAGATAACAAAATCTTAGAAGTTAAATGCCCATATTCCATAAAGGATGAAATCATTGGAGTCAATAATTATTCCCATTTAGAGCATAATTTGGAATATTTGCAACTGAAAAAAACAAGCAACTATTATTACCAAATCCAAACACAGTTACTTGTCACAGGTAGAGATTGTTGTGATCTATTTATATGGACCAATGTTGATGAAAAAATAATAAATGTTTATAGAAATGATTAATTTATACAAAATATTATAATCCCTCGAGTAAAAGCTTTCTTTTTTCAATTTATGTTGCCAAATATAGCCAAAAATCTGTATGATTGTTAATATAATTTTATAGTATATTGTAAGGTTCTATGTGATAGAAATTGAAACAAAGTTTAATTTGTATTCTTGTTATTTAGTATTTAACAAAGTATATGTTTATTACAGTACTGTTGTAACCAATATAAGATAAATGATTTTGAAAAAAACATGTTTACTTTATAATATTATTTTTGAAATTACATTACATCGGACCTTTTTTTAATCAAAAATAAATTTGAAGCCATTGGTTTGGAACTTAATTTTAGCAAATGCGAACTTTTTATAAATAACTGTGACTTAAATTTAAATGATGTAAAACAAAAATTTAATATTCTGGCTCCAAATATTAAAATAGTTAACAGTAATTCCCTTTACCTTTTAGGTTCTCCAATTTTTGATGAATCTATTTCTGAATATATTAATAATTCAATCACTAAATTTCAAAATTCTGTTGACCGTCTCCTTGAAATTAGTCCACATTATGCACTTTGCATCTTAAAATGCTGTCTTTTCGCCCCAAAATTTACGTATGCGCTCCGTTGCTGCTCCTTTTGCAATCACCCAGATCTTTTAACACAAGTAGACGACTTAATCAAAATCAGCTTAGAATCGATTCTTAATATGCAACTGAACGAGCAATCTTGGACCCAGGCATCCCTACCTATCCGTTATGGTGGTTTAGGGATTCGCAAAATTTCCAGTGTCGCTTTACCAGCCTTCCTATCTTCTTTCCATAGCTCAGCGAATCTCATAAGTAAAATTTTAAGGGCATCCTCTTCAAACTTTGAGATTGCTGGTTTGGAAGAAGCTAGAAACGCTTTTTTAATTGCATGCCCAGGTCAAAATTTTCCAGTTTCTGCAAATTCACAGAGGAGCTGGGACGACATAAACTGTAAATTGACTTATGACAATCTTTTAAGCTGTAGTACAGGCTCGGCGCGTGCTAGGCTTTTGGCCGTGGGTACACATGAGGCTGGCTACTGGCTTCACGCGTACCCTTCGTCAAATACAGGAACATTTCTTGAGCCTGAAACGCTCCGAATCGCAACCTGTCTACGGCTTGGGGTTCCGGTCTGCGCTCCTCATAAATGTCCCTGTGGTAGTGATGTCGACAAGCTAGGACATCATGGTCTGTCATGCCAAAAAAGTGCAGGCCGCTTCTCGAGACATGCCGCGCTTAACGATATCATACGCCGGTCCCTTGCCACCATTAACGTGCCAAGTCTACTTGAGCCGACTGGTATTGCAAGAGACGATGGCAAGAGACCGGATGGTATGAGTTTAATTCCATGGAAGATGGGTCGGGTGCTGGTATGGGATGCAACCTGTTCAGACACGCTCGCCCCTTCCCATCTACATGGAACCAACAACAGAGCTGGTGCGGCTTGTGAAGCGGCTGAAAAAACCAAAGCATACAAATACAGGGATCTAGGTTCTGAATATGATTTTGTTCCTTTCGGTGTCGAGACCCTTGGTCCGTGGGGTCCTAGCGCTATAAGACTTTTTAAGGAAATAGCAAAAAGGTTATTCGACGTCACAGGAGACCGAAGAGCTGGCAGCTACTTCGGACAAAGAATTAGTCTAGCTATTCAAAGGGGGAACGCTGCCAGTATCTTCGGAACCTTGCCTAAAGGGACTCCTTTTAATAATATTTTTTAGTTATTATATTATGTATATATACTTAAAGATTTTTTTTTTAGTTTAATGTAATTTGTTTCTAAATTAAAATTTTTGAAATTGGTCAACATAAAACAAACAAATATTATTCTATCTGATAAAGGCACCAATTTTTTTACGGTAGTGAAATTATAAAAATACAACTGTCGAGAATAGTAAGTGGATTGATCAGGTATCTTTAGTAACGGGAGGTTTTTTTTGGCAATCGAAGGAAAGAAGGATCTCATGGTCTTCTTCTTTTTGAAGGACTTTAAAGAAGGATGCAAATTGCAAAGACGTAAAAAACGACTGAAAAATTAATGAACGTATTTAGGTGATTGTAGTGTAGTGGTTTTATTACTGCTATCTTAATTCCCACATTAGGTACTAATGATTAAAAAAAAAATTATATCTATATTTTGTATTGTTTTAATTTAATTGCGGTATCTGCCACAGTGCCAAGGAACTTACATTAAATTACAATAAATTAGAAATAAAATGTAATTATTTTATTTTCTACAAAATAGATTAAATATTGTGGGCTGTATGCACACTATGTCCTTGGCCTGTGCCTGTCACTCATTAGTTTTCGTTTACTCTATTCAATTGCGACTTGAGTTAATACGGATTTATTTTTCGATTTTTTGTTTTTAAGTTAATATATTAATAAGGCTGTTGTTTAAGAATCATTCTTTTTTCACGATATCCATTTGCAAAAGGACTTTGATAGGACCAGCTTGACACGACCACTCGGCTTTTTGTTTATGGGTCGTTTTCAAAATTAATGTACATTTTGTTGCAATTATGTGTCCATCAAACTTATGGTAAAAATAAAATATAAAACAGTACGAAATTTAAACATATAAGCCAATATTCAGATTAACTAGTAATAAAATAGGAAACATACATATATTTCTCTGTGACAATTCATTTTATTCTAATAAAAAACCTAAAGGGTATAGCGAGGTAAGGAGCACGAAATGGCCCCCACGGCCCATGACGGAATTATCATTTGTACTGGTATTGGCACTCTAAAACAACACGAAATGTAAGGTCGTTGACCCCTGACCTTGACCTGTCTTTGAGATATTCGAGAAAGTTCGTATGCGCGCCGATTTTTTTCATAATTTTTTTTCCGAAAAACTATAAAAGCTAGAAGGATGGGACCAATTGCGTATAATGAGGGATACTTTGAAAAATATTCTGTATTTTTTTCAGAGTTCTCGTGAAATGACAACTGTGTAAAATAATTAAACAAAATGTAAATAATTTTTTTTAGTACTGTTCTATTATGTCTACCGCGCCAAAAAAAATACATAATACTCTTTGATTTATATACTTATACCATACAAAAGCTGATCAAAATCAAAGAGGCGCTTCTTGAGTAATTATGAGAATTACTTAGTGTGCGTACGGCTGGTAGGAACTAATTAAAGAGGTCATTTTTGGATTAATTATTATAATTACATGTTGAACATAATTTTAATCATCATCATCACTATTTTCATTTATCACAACATTGACTGCATAATTTGAAAATATTTTCGACAGAATTTCAGCAGGACGTAAAATGCGAAATAGATATCTCGCATGAGCTAAATAATATATTACACTTGCGACATGAGCGCAGCATCCAACTGTCCTGTTTCCATTCGGACAATCACAACAATATCCTCGGATTCCTTCGACACTGTTCATATTAGGAACATAATCAATGAACAATCGGTAATATTTACTATTTACTATTTACATGTCTGGAACGAACATTTAACTTGATGATAGTTGGGGTTTGTTTGACGTAATATATATAGAGATTGCTCTTGTCGTCCATTATTTCAGCGAGGTATGAAACAGCTAATGAGAGCTGATAGGAACCTGTAAATAATATTCTTAATTGTTCTTCGTTTAGTCTTGGAAAATCTAAAATTTCTGATGACACCAGTTGTTGAAAAGCCGTTTTTCTTCGATTCCAGTGCTGCTTTTCTACCTCTTCACTTAAAGAATTTGGTAACGCCAGTCGCTCTTTAAAGTATTGAACAATTGTCTCATTTAAGCCTGTATCAGAATCCAATCGCTTACTGAATTTGTTGTGTAAAAATCCAACAACTTTGCATAATAGACTTACTTTTGGAAGCATTTTATTATCAAGATTGTTATGAAGCAAATTATATTTCTGAGCAATAGCTCCGTGCACAGCTTCGACTACCCATCGGATTTTAGTCACTTGTCGTGACATATTGGCTTCATCGGTAGGTAACTGGGCTCGATTACCTTTAATCGCCGGCATTAACACGGTGTAGCCTTCTTTGGTGATGTCGCCAACGGCGTCACGATATCCACGATCTACGACAAATACATCATTCCGACGTAATAGAGTTTTAAGTTTAGCATCCTGTAACACTTTCTTCATAATAGTGGCATCATTTTCCGTTCCATAAAATGGCCCAGCAAAATCAACTATAAACCCGTTCGTAGTACAGATTGTGAACGGTTTGCATAAATGGGTTTTCTTTTGCCCAGAATACGATTTTCTCTGGTATTCATTGTTAAAACTTTTTTGATGCCTGATATAAGTGCCGTCAAATATCAATACCAGCTGATCATCTCTAAGGTTCAATAACATTCGAGCTGTTAAACTTGTGTTCTTTATTAAATCTTCTCGAGAAACGGAGGTTAATCCAAAATGAAGCAAAATATCAGTCTTAAAACTTCTTAATACTTCCTTAAAAAATGTCGACACATGTTGTTCGTATGGTAAACCCAGCACTCCTGCTATCACTGAATTAGAATTTCCAGTTTTTAATTTAAACAAGAATACAACTAACGCTTGAGTCACAGTGCGTATGCTTGTGTTTCGCATAGAAGTCAATAGCTGTCTTAATTCAATAATGTTTTGCCGACAAAGCCCTGTCAATATCCTTATCTGATTTTCAGACATATCATTTTCAATTTTGTCGAAAAGCGACATCCCTGCTCTTTCTGAAAGTGATTTTAAAAAATGAGCAACTTCTTTAGAGTTCATTTTACTGGTGTTAGATACTACACGTAGGTGCACCAACTCGTCTTTATAAAAGTTTTTTCCTATTATATGTGTGCAGCAACAACGGTTATCCTCTGGTATAAAAATCCCAATGTTTGTATAAGCCTCGTAACGCGCTTCAAAAGGTACTCGCATTAAGTTTGTTGTGGATCGACATATACAACAATACTTGTGGGTGGATACAACACGTGGTATATGTACATATATAAATTCGTCGTTTTGGGCAACATGCGAAAAAACATCATCGCCATCATCATCATCATCATCGTGGTCGCTTTCGGAACTGCATGGTAAATTCATTTCACATTCTTGTTGGAATGAAGCATTAGAAGATGTTTCCCCAACTGCTAAGTGTTCACCAGACTCCTGTTCGCCTTCACACTCTACCAGGGTAGATGCCGCAGAAGTTGATGCAACGTTTGATTTGCTATTGTAAATAATTAGCCGACACTTTCCACACAATACGTCACCAACAGAAACTGTTTTTTTACTCGAGTCACTATATAGTCTAGCGTCCTCTTCACTAGTGATAACTTTTTTCTTCCGCGAACTTTATGCACGAAAGTGTCACAAATAATACAGTTCACAAACATTGTTATCACCCGTGGTTATCACCATACAACTTGCGACAGGCATACGCAATTATTCTCACCGAATGACCTATTAGGTAATTTATATTTGTGTGTGGTTTCCTTAACACGGAAGACTAAAGCAACCATGCGTGAAATCGTATTTGTAATGACACGAATACACTTATAATAATCTATTGAACATGAATAAACACGTTTGTTTTCTAGTCCGCGCGAAGCGGCTGGGCGGGCGCCCACTGTACACGATCGAACAAGTTTTCTTTAGATATTACTCAAGAAGCGCCTCTTTGATTTTGATCAGCTTTTGTATGGTATAAGTATATAAATCAAAGAGTATTATATATTTTTTTTGGCGCGGTAGACATAATAGAACAGTACTAAAAAAAATTATTTATATTTTGTTTAATTATTTTACACAGTTGTCATTTCACGAGAACTCTGAAAAAAATACAGAATATTTTTCAAAGTATCCCTCATTATACGCAATTGGTCCCATCCTTCTAGCTTTTATAGTTTTTCGGAAAAAAAATTATGAAAAAAATCGGCGCGCATACGAACTTTCTCGAATATCTCAAAGACAGGTCAAGGTCAGGGGTCAACGACCTTACATTTCGTATTGTTTTAGAGTGCCAATACCAGTACAAATGATAATTCCGTCATGGGCCGTGGGGGCCATTTCGTGCTCCTTACCTCGCTAAACCCTTTAATTCCTGTCGTCATTTGTTTTCTCATACAAAAGTGCAATGTCCACACTCGCGCGTATTTAAAAAAAAGCAGCAATTAATAAGTAATACACTCAAAAATAACCTTATTACACAATATTTAGTCAGGTAAAAGTGTAAGTTATATGAAATATACTATAAAACAATATAATTATAACAAACCATTTATTTGCCCCTAAGCACGTGTCTCATATTCGATTATTTTGTGTTATTCTTTCTTGTAACGTCGATATTTAATAATAAGAGAAGTAAATTTCTAATTTACTATGGCAACTCCATGCGTCAAATTAGTTACAACTAGAGGACGCTAGTTTCTTTCAGTCACCATTTTGTGTTTTAAGACTGATGGTGTTACTTCGTGTGCGTCGTAAAAAGGACAATTAAAAACTAGTTAAAAAGTGCCAAAATACGTGAATTCAGTAAGTACTACATTTTGCTATGCACCATGTCAGTGTAGGTAATGATAAATTATAGATAAATGCATGTTTCACGAGTAACTCGAGGATGAAATTACAATAATATTATTAATTGTACATTGGGGACACGTGCATTTTGTTCAATTGTGTGACCATTGTGTTATTATTTTTGTGTAACGTTACACAATGGAATGGGTTAGGGCCTGTTTACAGTATGCAGTATTACCTATGTGAATAGTAATTCCATTTTCGGTTTTAGGAAAGATGCCGTTGACGCCTGCTGAAAGGCAAAGGCGTTATCGAGAGCGCTTAAAGATAAATGATCCACAAAAATGGAAGGAAGTCCAAAAAAAAAATTAATAAGAACGAAAAATAAATACATACCGATCAACCAACTTTCTGAATCCGAAAAAAAAGTTAAGAGAAAGGAATGGCGAAGGTTTAAGCAACAAAAAAGTGAAGAAACAAGGGATAAAATAAAACTTTGTCGAAAAGTGTATAAAAAGAGACATAGCGAAATAACAAAAGAAAATAAAAAATTAAAAGAAAAGGTAAATGCATTAATTATAAAAAATAAAGCACTGAAGAAAACAATATATAGGTACAAAATTCTACAAGCAGCGCATTCACAGGATGATGAACAATATAAAGAGAATAATATTTCAAATTTAAGGGACCTAACGCCAAATTCCAAAACAGAATCGTTCGTGAATTCGTTGAATATTCCGCTTTCAGAAAGAGAAAAAGTTAAAAAGGAACTCTTCCATAAAAATATATTGTGCGAATCAGTCAAGCGTCAGTATGAATTAGCGTTAAGTAATGAGCAAAAAAGCACATTAAAATTGTTGATAATAATTTGGTTAAAAAGTATAGAACAAAAACCAAGCTGGAAGGAATAATTGGACTCAAGGGTAGAATTCGAGTTCGGAGGAAGAAAATTCCAATGAAACACGAGGCACTCACACACAAAATTCATAACTTTTTTTTACAAGATGACGTTAGCCGCGCTACAGCTGGCAAGAAGGAAACGAAGACGGTGAAAAAAAATAAGATGCAACGACGATATCTCCTAGAGTCAATGAGAAAATTACGCTATAAATTTATTCAAGAGACAAAGATTCCAGTGTCTTATACCACTTTTACTAGATACAAGCCCTTTTTTGTATTAAGTCCCAATCTCTCTAATCGTGAAACATGCTGTAAAAAACATGGTAATATAGAATTTAAATATACTACACTTAAAAATCTTTCAATAGTGAAGTCTAAAGATTTAGAGGAATTCATAAAAAATAATGTCTGTGATATTCAAAAGAGGGAATGTATGTACTCGGAATGCAAATGTCATTTAAAGGAAGAGACAACTGTTTATGATTTCTCGGAATGTAATTTAGATGACGAAGTGTCTTGGCTGGAATGGACAGTTCAAACTATTGAATATCAAAAAGAGAATAAAAACAAAACAACGAAAAGAATGGCGAAAATAATAAAATCAGGTACTCTAAGACATTTAATCGTGGAGTTTAAAAAAGAACTAGTAGAATTCAGTCCACTGTTACAATATATATCACCAATATAAGTGTTACAAATACTTAAAAGAAAATTTAAGCGTAAATGAAATTCTAATCCATTGCGATTTCTCGGAAAATTATACATGTAAGCTGCATAAAGAAATCCAAGCTCTTCATTTTGGTGCATCCCAAATACAAATTAGTCTTCATACCAGTGTTGTGTACGGGCATAATTCTTTGGAGTCTTTTTGCACATTTTCAGACTCAACTAAGCACACTCCGGAAGCAATTTGGGCTCACCTTTTGCCCATACTAAGGGATATAAGAAAAAAATCACCGCATGTGAACATAGTTCATTTTTACTCAGATGGACCCACTAGCCAGTACAGGCAAAAAAAGAACTTTTTTTTATTCTCGAGTATGTTGGAATCCATAGGATTTTCTTTTGCTACCTGGAATTTTTTTGAAGCCGCTCACGGCAAAGGTGCTGCTGATGGCATAGGAGGTGTCATCAAAAGAACTTTGGACAAGAAGGTAGCTTACCATATGGACATAAATGGCGCGAAAACGGCATATGACGCTTTAAAAAATGAAACTGCAGTGAAGCTGTACCTAATCGAAGAAGAAGATATTAAGGACATTGAAAGGCAAATAAGCCCATATGACTTAGTTGCTGTACCGCAAACAATGCAGATACATCAGATAACAAGTTCCTTTGGTATATCTGAATTATTTGTAAAACAAGAACTGTGTGTAATCAGTTATAGAAAATTGAGCTGCTTTTGTCATAGTGAAGGGTCTTCTTTCATAAAGGGATTTTGTGATTGCTTTTCTTTAAAAGAACATAGATTGCTGAAAAAAAAGGTTCAACCATGTCCGACAAGAAAAAGAAAAATTATTTATTCGTCTGATTCCGAGAACAACGATTCTGATAATGATGAAGTAATCGTCAAAACTGGTTATAACGCAAAAAATCATAAATCGACTTATTTTAATACAGATGCTAATAAACCAAGCAAGTCCACAGTCACTATACTTTCAAATGTACGAGTAAACTATAAGTTATCCGACTTGCAAAAAATGACAAAATTAGCCCAATCTTACAATGTATCCTCATTTGATTTAAAAAAAGAGTTTAGTGAGATGTTTGATGATAGTGACGATGAAGCTATTTTTTAAATACATTTTCACAGGCATCGCTTGTTAGTTTTTTATAGGTTACTTATCAGAAAACCTAAGCTTTAATACCTAAATTACCTTTTAAGATAGTCATTCAAAACTTTAGATCTTACGTCCGTTAGACGTATAAACCTTTAGGCCAATAGTCGCCAGTCTTACGCTTTCTAAAATTAGGCCATTGAAGCTTAGCTCTTCTAATACGTAATATATGAAGTTAACAGTCACAGGTATAAGCCCAATACTAGGGGCATATAAGGACTTAATATACAAAATGTTGATTGTTAAATTAGTAAGTACAACAAGACGTTTTTTTATAATTAAAATAATAGTTGAGAAAATATGCTTATATCGTGAAAATAATATGTATATTTATAATATGTATAATATTCAATGTACGTATTATTTTAACAATCCAAAAATACTATTTAAGAATGTTGAATTATTTTTAAAAAAATTGTTAGGCTATTCAGTTTTATAAAATTTCTTTAATTCTATATTATGTGACTTTTACACAACATTGAAAATATATGGTAACGAACATAAAAAAAGTTTATTAAATAACACTATAATGTAGGTGACATTGTTAAATATTATAAGGTTTTTAAGTCGTTAAATATTCCAAAAATATATGAATAAAACGTTAAACGTATGTTAAAAAATGCGAGACTGCTAATATAATTATTTTGAAATGTGATTTTTATGATCATGATAAGTTTAAGACATCATTTTTATTTAGTTTCTAAGTTTAAAGATTAAAAAATTGATTTATTACTAGAACATTGTTTTTTTTAATCACTTCGCTGTGTATTTACCCTTATTCTTCATTTGTGTTACTTTTGTGTCACGATAACACAAAATAAACAGAAAAGAAATGTACAATAATTTTGAAAACTACCCTTATAACGCATATGTACCTGCTGTACACGACGATTTAATAATTCTTAGCCTGGAAGAGACTATAAAAAACGGATATTGTAACTGTTTGGGAGGTTGTGGGACAGTAAGTACCTGTGTCCACAATATGTCAATTATATAGTACTTGGCTTGGACTCCGCACCAATTTAATAGCTATTTAATATTTATCTTCTTGCATAATTCCTCGATGAGTTGTGAATAAGTTTTAACGACGAATAAAGCTTTGAGATATATTATTTTGTTTAATTAATTTCTCTTTATTCTCTAATGTTGACATAATATTCATTCTGCCTCGTTTTTGGATAGTAAATTAAATTGTAATTGGTTTCTGTTGACTTGAGGTATACTTATACTTCAATGTAGAATTCGTCTTTGTCCATCTCGGGCATATTTTTGTAGGGATAATAAGCATTCCCCTTAACTTACCTATGCCTACCCCGTGTGGTTAAGGCTAACCCATACTAAACGGGTGCGGTGTTAGTCAGACTAATTCGTGAAAAGTGGGCAGCAACGCTTTTCATTGTAATCTGTTATGATCATCTTGCTTTCTTAGCTTGTATTTGATCATTTTCCTCCTTTATTTTTAGAACATGCCGCCTAAGAGAATATACGATTTTAGTTATATAAAATTTGGGTTTACCTCAATAGCGATTTAATAGAGAGCAATAGAGAAATAAAACCACAGTACGTAATATGCGCGACCGTTCTCGCAGATGACGCTTTGAAGCCAGCGAAATTAAAACATCACTTGGAAACGGTTCATCCTAATTTCTCTGACCGATCGCCAGAATTCTTCGAAGGAAAATTGGAGAACCTGAAAAAAATGAAATTCGGGTCTACTGGTACGAGATTTGCGTCATCAGAGAAAACATTAGTAGCGTCGTTTGAGATTTCGAAATTAATAGCGCAATCTAAAAAACATCACACAGTCGGAGAAACACTCGTGAAGCCATGTTTGATAAAGGCTGTTGAAGAAGTTTTAGGATTAGAGGCTAAAAAAAATACAGAAAATACCTCTTTCGAATAACACAGTTAACGCTCGAATTGAATTAATGTCAAATGATATCGAGGAGCAACTTGTTTCAAGAATAAAAAAATCACCATACTTCGCTTTGCAGTGCGATGAATCGACTGACATTTCTAATTGTTGTCAGTTACTTGTCTTTGCCCGCTTTTTAGACGACGACAACATAATCAGAGAAGATTTATTGATTTCTCGGGAACTGTACCCCTAGTACGAGTTTACAAATTACAGAAACGATGATAGTTTTGGTGAGCTCGATGAACTATATAGTTTTCGATGTAATCGGTAGTACGAGTTAAAGTTTTCGAATATAGTTTACACGATGGCGACCATCGACTAGCTCGATTGAACGAACTTCACTTTATTCGCTTCATCTCTTTTACACACCGGCAAAATAAAAGAGACGACATTCGTTGTCCTTCGATATTGTTTAAATTGACGTTTTGGATGAAGTAAGTTTTAAAACTTAGCGTGATAACGGACTTAAGAGTTAAGACTTCTTCTTAATCTTTTATTAATCATTAAAAACGTAAGATGATGAGAACCAGCCCGTCGCAATTCGAAGTGATGGTAGATTTTATGGAGAGGTACGTAACAATCTTTTCTAATAATATAGTCTACCAAGATGTCTTAGGAGTTTGTTTTAAGGCCAGGTATTCCCAATTTTACATTAATTTGATTTAATAATAAACAAAGAAATCGTGATTTTTTAAAGTAAAAAAAACACTTATTGAAGTTTACTTTATGTACTTTTACAATTTGTGGTTCGAAACACGATATCGAAAATTCACTCGATCAAAAAAAAATCCGAAGAACAGTCAAATTCGATATTTTTTAAAGGTAATTCTTGTTTTTCTCGAAGCTTATAAAAGCTTTACTACTAAAAACCATATCTAAAAAAAGGTAATTATACATATAGAAAAATAATTTGTGGTTACATTTAAAAAATAGCTTAATTCTTTTAATAATAAATTATTATATAACACAGCGGCTCGCGTTCGTCACTTCAGTCGCCCGCCAGGCCTTGTCGAGGTAAGACCTATGTCCCTTTTTTCCAGCGCGCGGCTATCACATATTGTAAATAAAAGAAATCAGTTATTCGTTTTTGTTAGTAAACAGAATTAGCTATGGGAAATAAAAATAAATACAAGAAAGTGGCCAGGTGTAAAGTGCGGAAAGTTAGACAAGAAACCAGGTAAGTTTGTTTACAATTTATTTATTTACATATTATCAACCTAATAAGTCTTGATTTTTATTTATTTATTTATTAAAACTTTACAAGAATAAATACTAATAAATAGATAGATACATACTGTTGAAATGCATTCATGTCATGGACAATTATCTATTGTCTATTGACGTCTATGATATCTATGTAATGTCTATGTTTAAGTTTTTGACAGCTCTTACTTCCTCTTTCTCTTATGGCTCTGACCGTGACCTGCACAACCCCTTTTAGATATAATATAATATAAAGTGATTTTTGTCAACAAGTTTAATGTGCAATAATAAAAGAATCCAATATCCACGTGTACCTGATTTTCATTTAATTCACGCTACTGCCTACATCGTCTTTGCAACAGGTTATGTGCCCAGGCTTCAAAGAGAACAAAGGGATACAACATGGCGGCCAACGCTTCCCACAACGCATTAACAACTATCGAAAAACTAGAAGGTATTTCAAATTGGATTTCTTGGAAATTTGCAATTAAAATGCTATTAAATTTGGACGGATTGTACAATTGTCTCGAGGGAACCGATACCGACCCTACTCGTGATGCACGTGCGCTTGCTCGCATCTGCTTATCGATTCAACCTAACCTATATCAACTAGTCCGTGATGCAAAGACTGCATCTGATGCTTGCAAGCGATTATCTGACACTTTCGAAGACAAAGGTCTGTACAGAAGAGTACTACTGCTTCGACAATTACACCGTATAGAATTTAATAATTTTTCAAGCATGTCAGACTATATTGAAGGCGTCATGAAGTTGGTAGCACAACTCTCTGACATTGGAAAGGTTATAGATGATGCAGAAATTGCCGAGATTTTGTTGTCGGGTCTACCTGAAGACTTTAATGTACTAGTTTCAAGCCTGGAGACTGCGAGCTTGACGAAGACACTCTCAAGTGAAGTTGTTCGCACTCGCTTACTCCAAGAAGATCATAGGCGCAATAACAATGGGAATACTTCAGAGAATTTAGCTTATGCAGCTAACAACAAAAGAAGATTTAAGAATCTAGTCTGTACATATTGCAGAAAGAGCAACCATACTATTAAACAATGTTTTAAGAGAAAACGTGATGAAGCGAAGAAAAAGAATGAAGATCAACATACACTGTTTGCAACTGCATACTCCACTTCCCATTTGAACGAGTTCATCATAGATAGTGGAGCCACTGTCCATATGTGTGCTGACTCAACACTAGTCCAGGATCCAGTGAACAAAAAATGTGCTATTACTGTTGCCAATGGACAACAATTACAATGTGAAATGGTTGGTAAAACTACTCTTTCTGATAATGTTTCCCTAAGTAATGTTTTGTTTGTACCTGATCTTTCTAATAATTTGATATCCGTCAGTGAGATCACTAATAAGGGTTATGTTGTAACTTTCCACAAGGATTACTGTACTATATATAGTGATTGTAAAATCAAAGGCAACCAGGTTTTATTTGCTAATAAAAATAATGGACTCTATAAATTTAAGTTGCAAGATCGGCCCAACCCTCGAGTAGGTCATTCTATGTCCCTTCAATCTAGGCAAGGAACCATGAGTGCCAATGCTGCAGCTTGTGTACCTATTAGTATATGGCATAAGCGCTTAGGTCACCTGAATCATAAAGGTATGTGCATACATGGTGATGGGAATCAGTGTGTGGTTGTCGTTTTTCAGCATGAAGATGATGTGCCCGGCAGCTGCGTCTCTTGCCTTACCGGAAAGATGCATGAGTCATCTTATCCTAGGTCAAGTGGGGGACGTGCTGCTCATCCGCTGGACCTGATCCATAGTGATGTATGCGGCCCGATTCAAGTGAGCAGCTGGGGTGGAGCTCGCTACTTGCTTACCTTTACTGATGATTGCACTAGGAAGACCTTCGGTTACCTTATGAAGCACAAATCGGAAGTGAGTTCTCATTTTATTAATTTTAAAAATTTGGTAGAAAAGCAAACTGGTTTGCATATTAAAGTATTACGTACTGATAATGGTACAGAATTCTGTAATAATAATTTATCCAATTACCTTAAAAAGGAAGGCATTATTCACCAGACCTCTGTGCCTTATTGCCCTCAACAGAATGGGTTAGCTGAGCGTGTTAATCGTACAGTTTTTGAGAAGGCTCGAGCTATGTTACATGCGTATATGTGTGTATATATGTGTCTGTGTGATAGATATTGGGGAGAGGCTGTTATGACAGCTATTTATTTAAAAAATAGGTCTCCAACTACTGCACTATCAGATAGAATACCTGAATGTGAGTGGACCGGATCAAATATTGATCTTAGTCACCTCCGTGTTTTTGGCTGTGTAGATAAGCTACAGATGGGACTACAAGCCTGCCTTTACAGTCACCACTATCGGATGTTTACCGTACTGCAAGTGAAGATTCTACTGAGGATGATGATGATGAGGCTGAGGTGCTTTCTGGCCCTGATGTCTCGCTGTCGCCCTCTTTATCTCGAGGAGCAGAGCAGACTGCGTCTAATGGTAACGACGTGTCTATCTCTCGCCCTGTACGGAGTACCCGAGGTATTATTCCCGAACGTTATAAAGATTATTATTTATCTTCATTATTGGCTGATGTCAGCTCATTGGATGAGCCTTCTACTTACGACGAGGCGATGAATTCTCCGGAGAAGGATGAATGGCTTAAAGCTATGAGAAGTGAGTATGACTCTATGATTAAAAATAATGTATGGGGCTTGATAGATCGTCCTAGTGACGCTAACATTGTCAAAAACAAATGGGTTTTTAAGAAAAAGTTTGATGCAACAGGTAAATTTATTAAATTTAAGGCTAGACTAGTTGCCTGTGGTTATAGTCAAAAAGAAGGTATAGACTATGCGGACACTTTTGCACCTGTAGTCCGGCATTCAACTTTACGAATTTTGATTAGTATTTCAAATCAGTTGGACTTGTCTATGGATCATATTGATATCACCACCGCTTTTTTGAATGGTGAGTTAGATGAAGTAATATATATGGAACAGCCAACTCGTTTTAAATTAGAAAGTAATAAAAATAAGATATGTCTTTTGAGGAAAAGCTTGTATGGCCTAAAACAGGCTAGTCGCATGTGGAATATTAAAATTAATAATGTACTATGTGCAAATGGTTACAAGCAAAGTAAATGTGAACCTTGTGTATATGTAAAGAAAACTAAAGAAGAGTTTGTAATTCTTGCCTTGTATGTAGATGATATTTATGTATTTCACAATGGATGTATTGAAAGAATTGTATCATTATTAACTCAAAACTTTGAAGTTAGACATCTAGGGAAATTGAAAAATTGTTTAGGCATGAATGTTACTAAAACTCAAGATATAACAATCCTTGATCAATCTGATTACATAAGGCGTTTATTGGCAAAGTTTAATATGAGTGAATGTAAACATGTATCCATATATAAGTCATAGTCATATATAAGTCTGGAGTAAATAATTTACAAAATGATGTGTATAAGTATAGAGAACTACTAGGCTCCCTTATGTACTTGTCTGTATGCACTCGTCCGGATATATCATATGCCTGTAGTCAGCTAAGTCAGTATACTACGTGTTTTTTGATGTAAGCCATTGGCGCGCTGCTAGGAGAGTACTTAGGTATTTGGCAGGAACAATTAATTTTGGTCTTTTCTTTGTAAAAACCAGTAATTGTAATATAAATGCCTTCGCAGATGCCGATTGGGCGAATGACTTATCTGACCGCAAGTCGTATACTGGCTATGTCATTAAATTAGGTGCAAATGTCATAAATTGGGAAGCCAGAAAACAGCGATGTACTGCCTTGTCTAGCACTGAAGCTGAATATCTTGCAATTAGTGATGTGTGCAAGGACATCTGTTTTGTTAAGAATTTCTTATCAGAAATAATTGACAAACACTTTGATGTCACTGTATACAATGATAATCAAAGTGCTCAAAAATTGTTGCTAGTTAAACAGTATTGCCATAAAAGAACTAAGCATATTGACTTATGTTACCATTTCGTCAAAGACTTAATACAGGATGGTAAAATTAATGTAGAGTATATGCCTACTGAAAACATGGTGGCGGATATTCTCACTAAACCATTATGTTCACAAAAGCATCATATTTATGTAAGATCATTAAATCTGAATTGTTGTACCTAATTGAATTGTTAGATTTGTATTTTGATTTATATAAAGTTTTGCTTGTAATCAAACCTGTATTACTGTATTTTAATGTAGCCTTAATGTCCTTGACAGGAATGAGGAGCAGTGTTGAAATGCATCTATTGTCTATTGACGTCTATGATATCTATGTAATGTCTATGTTTAAGTTTTTGACAGCTCTTACTTCCTCTTTCTCTTATGGCTCTGACCGTGACCTGCACACCCCCTTTTAGATATAATATAATATAAAGTGATTTTTGTCAACAAGTTTAATGTGCAATAATAAAAGAATCCAATATCCACGTGTACCTGATTTTCATTTAATTCACGCTACTGCCTACATCGTCTTTGCAACACATACATATAAACATAATGAACTTTGAATCATTATAAACGAAGTAACTTTTTTGTAAGGTAAATTCACGCCAAAAAATATTACGTAAGTTGAAAACATGATTTTTTGTTTATGTAGATACTCTGTTGTTTTTAGTGTCATTTGATAGGTTTAGGTCCAAAACGGATAGGACAAAATAAATTGTGCAAATAGGGCAATCCGTTTAGAAGTTATTAGGGATTATCGATAGTGAAAATTGACAAATGTAAAATTTTATCGGTGCCGGTAATTATACAACGTATATTCAAAGTATTATCTAATTCTAATCGATTTATGTATTCAATGTTTACCAACAATATCTATAAAGTTCAATATTTTACACATTTTATTTTACCAATACCTACATATTACATAGTAGAATCATAACAGTAGAATAACTTGATAATATTTTTCATGAACATTTTTTTATTGTTGCAGTGCATCAAAACCACGATGCAAAGGAATGTATGCGTCCAAAAAAAACACAAATATAAAGTAAGTATCTAGTATACCTACCGCAATGCAAAATGCTACCAGCTCCAAGGGAAAAGGCACCCACACTTACGACCACGGGCATTTGTTTGATAGTTTGTTTGTTAGTTTGAGTTCTATGTGTGCGTGCTTCTATCACACGTTGTAAAGCCCGCCTTCTGTACTTATATAGGTATATATTTATTTTGTGTACATATCCTAAGTATTAATTCTATGGATACATTATTTTGTAAATGAGTTTGAGTGCTAAATTGGAACCGATTTTATTTTTTGCTTCAGGAATCTTATTGTTATGGTCTTTTTTCAGATACTACGAAACAATGGCAAGCGCCTGTGCAAGTGGAGTTGATAACACCGACAACTCTCTTGTGACACTTGATCCTGTTGATACGCAACCCACTGAGACTGCTGTGTAAGTTTTTTTTACTAATAAAATTACTTTCCCCATAATTTTCCTTATGTAATAGTCATTAGTATATTTATATTCCAAATATATTTAAATGATTTTGAACAATGTGGCAGAATATACGTTTCGTTGGAAAATTAATCTAGCTAAAATTGATACCACTGTATTCATGTAAGAGTAGAAATGCTATAATGCTTTTTTTTATAGTCTAAAATCAACCCGTGCGTTGTATCATATAAAAGCGTAATTGTTTTTCATTCATTGTTACAGTGGAATGGAAGACATTCGTAATTCATTTATTGTGAAAGAAGAGGCTAGAAATCAAGATGATTTTCATCCTGTTAAGGGACGTCGAATAGTTGATATAAATTTCCTTCTTAGAGAACTGCAAGAAAAAGGGAGACATAATAATTTATTTGATTGCAAGATGAGTAATTTTCGATTAATCAGCGAAAGAAGTCTAGGGCTTATATCTGTTTTTAAATTCCAATGTAGCATGTGTAAAGAAACTTGTCTGGTCCATTCTGAAGATTACAAGGATCCACAGCAAGTAAATTTAAATATAGCCGCAACCACGGGAATCATTGCTTGCGGCATTGGATACTCTACATTTGAGGAATTATGTTCTTCCATGAATATACCATCATTTTCTTCAAAATATTATTTGAAATTGCAAAATGATGTTTATGCAAAATGGGAGAAAACTGCTAGTGAGTCTTTGGCGGCTGCTGCAGCAAAAGAAAAATAAATAGCGCTCGCAGAAGGAAGAACAAAGAACGGTTACCCCGTCATTGACGTATATGTTGACGGCTCATAGTGTACTAGGTCTTACGGAACAAATTATAAATCTACATCGGGTACGGCAGCAATAATTGGCAGAAAGACTGGGCAAGTTCTATATCTTGGAGTAAAAAATAAATATTGCTTGGTGTGTGCTAGAGCCGCAAACAGAACGGTCGATCCGAAACAGCATGTCTGTTTCAGAAACTATATTGTTCGAGCTCAATGGAAACTCAAATTATAGTCGAAGGTTTTAAATCCTCGATTCCAATGTGTGGACTCATATACAGCAGAATGATAGGAGATGGTGACGCTTCAACCTACGCTAAAATTCTGAACGCCAAACCGTACGAAAATCAGAATTTGACAGTTGAAAAAATTGAGTGCCGGAATCATATATTGCGTAATTTCTGCAAAAAGTTACGTGGACTTACCACAGAAACTAAATATATGTTGGTACATCGGAAAACGCTGACCAATATAAAAATCATGTCAATGCGAAAAGCAATTGTTAATTCCATAAAACACCATAAAGTTTCCCAGAGAGCATGTAGCTATATTGGTACTACATAATGATATTATTAACTCTTTGGCACATGCTTACGGTGATCACAGAATGTGCCAAAGTTACTTCTGTGCCAAAAAAAAACAACTTTAATGAGGAGTTTAAAAAAAATCAAAATTCGACGTTTGCATTTAGAATAAATGCAATTATTTCTAACATTGCTGCTAAATCGCGAAGTCTAATAGAAGACGTAGACACTAATACTGTCGAATGTTTTAACAATGTAATAGCTAAATTTATTGGGGGGAAAAGAACAAATTTTGCATCAAAAGGAGGTTACCAGGGCCGTTATCACGCTGCAGCAGTCTCATTCAACTCAAGAGCTGCTCTTTCCACCATTCAAAAAGCTTTTATCGAGAAAAACCCTGGTGGAAAAGTGGAGGAAGTAGAGAAGGAAAAAGCTCTTAAAAGAAAATATAACGTTGGGCATCCCACAAAAAAAAGGAAATTAAGAGAGACACAAAAATAAAATGATTATGGGCCAGCTTCTTCAGCGCCAGACATGACAGAAACTCAAATGGAGCAAGCCAAAAATGAATACATGGAAAATTTAAAAAAACTTACGTCTGATCGTGATTCCATAGAGAGGTCCACTACTTTACAAAGGGATAGTAGCGAGTGGATAGAGATAAGGCAGAAGCTTATAGCAGCCTCTAACTTTGGCTCCATATGTAAGCGGAAGTTGTCATCCAATACAGCTCCTTTGGTATCCTATATAAAAATAATTTGGCTCATGTTGCATCAATAGCCCATGGAGTAGAAAACGAACATCAGGCGCTGCTGCAATTACAGCGACAAGAGAACGTTAATATTTTGCCCTGTGGATTATTTATTGACAAATCTCACTGTTATATTGGGGCCACGCCTGACGGGTTGATTGGGACTGATACGATTGTCGAAATTAAGTGTCCAATAACAGCATCAAAACAAGGGTTGGTGAAAGCTATAGAAGAAAATAAAATTCAAATAATAAAATATAATAAAAAAACGATGACCAAAACCATTAACAAAAATAGTAAATGGTTCTACCAAATCCAAGGACAACTTCATATCACAGGACGGCGTGTGTGTCTCCTTGGGATCTGGGCAGGAGAGAATGAGCCTATACATACAGAGCGCATTGAAAAAGATGACGAATTCTGGCAAAAAAATATGGAGCCAAAGCTGGTACAATTTTATTTGAAGTGCTTGCTACCAGAACTAGTGGACAGCAGATATGAACGTGGTATGCCCATTAGGGATCTGACATTGCAAAATAAAGAAAACATACAGCCCAATAGTTGCACATCGTCGTTATTGTCAGAATCACATGCGGGTCCAAGCTCACGAGTGGTCAATATTGATCAATTTTGAATCATACATATAATTAAACTTAGGACTTTTCAAAATAAGAAGCGATTTCCATAATATAAATACGCGTAGTAAAAATGAAATTGTGATACTTACCTAAATTTAGATTAAACTAGCAAGTCGTTTCTTGTAAACAGCATCCGTTTTTATAACAAGTTGCCAAAGCCGGTTACAGAACTTAGCGATGGAAAGTTCAAAACCCTCATCAAACGTGTCCTTATCAAAAAAGCATATTATAAGATGAAGACGTTGAAGACAAGGTAGTTTGGCAATAATTACTTCTGCACATGGGGCTTCCCTGGCACCTCATTAACGGCATAACTATGTCTATTAACTGCTCCCAAATTACGATGTTTATTTTGTATTTATTTTTTACATACTTCTTTGACATAATATTTTTATCATTTGACATTATATACAGACAATGCAAATTTTTCACCTCTTTTTTAGTGGTTGTAATGGCAATCATATCACTTGGTTTTAGTAGGTTTTTACATTTTATTTTTTATTTATCCTTTTGATACATTCTTATTTTGTAAATGTGAGGACTTTGTAAGCCTTGTAGACTTTAGATCTGTAGACCATTTTTTATTTTATCAAGTACCTGGTACTTGTTGACAGGCCTACGCTGTACTCCCATACCTACTGTTATTTGAAAATATTGTAAAAGCCAATTATTTTTAAAAAGAGTAACGTTCTTCTCCATAGGAAACGACCAATACACCGTACACCTAGCTTTTGACGTTTCATAAGTACCCATGTAGGTTTATGTGAAATAAAATATTTTTATTTTTGATTTTGAATTGATTTCCTTCCATATTTACTCAATACTCAAAAACTATAATACTGATTTATCAAAAAGCAGTCGTTTTGTGTTTATAATTTAATTTTATTTTGTATTAAAAATAATTTGAAACTAATTCCGTTGTTTTTTTTACCCACTTCATAAAAAGGAGGATTCGGTTAAGTGAAAACCACTTTTTACAAAAAAAAACAACCGATATAAAAATATAATCACTACAAAGTACAAAATAATACTTTCGTGACTAAAAAGGAAAAAAACAGAACTAAAAACATCGACTTTCGAAACTATTATTTTGCACTTTGCAGTGTTTATATTTTTATGTCGGTTGGTTTTTTTTTTGTAAAGTGTTTTTCACTTAACCATAAACACCATAGTTACTAAGAAATGTTGTGTGTCACGCGTGTGCGTGAAGGCGAGTGGTGTCAGCACATAACATTTCTTGTGGTGTGGTGACCACAACACACCACACCCAGCCAACCACCACCACAACTGAAGCGCGTGTCGCTTCGTGAGATACACTTTAAGAAACTAAAATGTCGAATAATTGAATAAAATGTATTTACAACACATCAAATTATTTTCGGCCTTTGCGATTACCACGTATATCGGTAAACAAGAATCATGGATCAAGCAGCATATTTTATTATTTTTTAAAACAAATTAATAAAATAAGTTGACCTACTGCCTATACGACACGCTTACCTGTACTGTGACACTTCGCCACTCAGCGTTGGGTTCATGTAAGTTCACGCAGGCGACGTACGCGCACGGCTCGCGTCGCGTAAACGTGGTAGCGTTAAATGCCTACTTTGCTTGGTCTACCTGGCCTTAATTACATACAAATATTTTTTAGAAATGGTGACTTAAATAAGCCGACTGACGGTCTCAGCGGCAGGATAAGGGCCATTGAAAAATGGCAAGAGCTAACAAATTCTCTCAACTTGGATACGACAGGGACTTCCAAGCCGGTCGAAAAATGGAAAAAGGTAACTTTCACCCAACTTACAACTACTTTACGATGCATGTAGCATGCTGCGTTCCTTCCCAAGCATTCTTTTGTTTGAAAGTTGTGTAACCTGCTTATTAACTACGATCCAAAAACATTGGGTTACAACTTACATTACATAATAGTTTTTGTTTGATATGCACTAATTTAGTTTATTTTGCATGTAAAGGTGTGGAGTGACCTTAAAAATAATACGAAGCGGAAAGCTTCGAAAATCCACCGAGCTGTAGGTGGCACAGGTGGTGGGCCAGCATCAAAAATGATTCTAATTGACCAGGAGCAGCGGGTCCTTAATATAATTGGACCCCAGGCTGCAACTGGTCTAGTTACAGTCCAGGAAGTTGGTTTAGAGGTAATTATTTTATATGATTACCTTAGTTTTAAATTTATATCTGCACATTTTTCCCATGGAAACATAATGTTGGAAACAAATTAAATTTCACATGCTACAATTCTGACACTGCTTGCTTAGACTATACTACACTTACATACATACATAAGAATACCCTGGGTAGGGCTCCTTGTGTAAATACCTAATAATTACATTTGTATTATCTTTGTATTTTTTATGTGCTAAATAATCCCGAAATCTATTAGATATCTTATATACAATTTAATGGTAAAACCTCACTTTGAGTATCTAATTGAAATTTGGGGAACTTCTGCTAGAACCAACTTAAAAGCTTTACAAATAAAACGAAACAACATCATAAAACTACTTTTCCACTATAACTATCTTACTCCAACAGAGAAAGTGTAGTATAAATATAGCATATGTATCTTGGTGCAAAAGATTTTAAATAAAAATATTAACACAAAACTATCTACTTACAAAACTACTATCTATTTACAAAAATAGGGCAGACACAAAAACTATTACTAAATGGATCACCTTACCAAACAATATTAAAGAAATTCAACCTTAACATTGTTCAAAAAAACACTAAAAGTACCACATCTTAAAAGAATTTTCAAGACAATATATAAATATAAATTATGCTTTAATACTTTCGTACTACCATTTTTATTGTGCAATTATTGTTTAATATCTTAATCTAAATATTATTTTATTCAAAAATCAACTAACTACACTGAAAAAAAAGATTTTCTACAATACTACAAGAACGTTTGGTAAAAAAAAGAACTGTTGTATCTACGAAAAACGGGTTCAGATAAACAAAAATATCGTATCATGAAATAAGTGACTTGTAAACATTGTCATACGATTCTAGTTAAATATGATATTGTAACAATTACTTTTAAATCGTTTTAATTAACCACGAAACGTAAATAATACAAATAGTTTTGTAAAAATTATGATGCATCTGTAACGGTAAAAATATAAATTGTAATCTGTATTCTGTACTTGACAAATAGACAAAATGCGGTACAAGGTCAAGGTAGCGGCACGAGCGCTAACGGTTCCTGCGCAGAAGTCGAAAATAAGGTATCTCAGGGGGGGTGAAAGAGACGCGTGCGGGCGTGCGTAAGCGCTTATTAGTTAATATTGCGTCATATAACATATTCAATAAAAGAGTTGGGCCGGGTGGTGATTTATTGATTGCGGTCATAATAATGGAGGAAGATATAAAAGCACTGTTGGAGGCGTGGCATTTGGAAGGCTACGTGGAGTTATTTGCAAGTAAGTAAAGTATGTTTTTCTAATTTAACTATCAATTTAATAAAGAGATTTGTTCGATATAATTACACTGTTAAAAGAAACGGATCCAGAGGCAGTGCCGGTATTTGTGGCGCGTGAACTACATAAACTTCCACCGGTCACTTTCGATCATTTAGACGCCACTCGCCTTCTAAAAGATTTGCTAATATTGCAGAGAGAAATAAACCATATTAAAGAAAATTATGTTACAAAAGATGAGTTTGTAAGTATGAAAAATCATACAAAGAGTTTCGAAAAATTGTCATCTAATATAACCGACTCCCAAGTTGCTACGCAAGCGCTAGCCAATAAAAGTATCGAATTATTTCCTTCTCTTTCGCTCGAGCAGAATTCAAGAAATGAAAAGAATGTCTTGCTCGATCATTCTAACAAATCCCGTACATCGCCACGGATACACGTGGAGGCCCCAACGGCAACGTCGGTTTCGACGGGAATGGTGAGGCCCACTGAGGTTTCGACGCACGTGGAGGCCCACGCCACAGCATTAGAGCGCGTGGAGGCCCGCACCGCGGTTTCGAATAATGAAATTACACAAGTGTATGAGCCGGCGCATAGTAATAGTACTGTATGCGGAGATGGAAAAGGAACGTACGCGCAGTTATTATCTACGCCAAAGAAAATAAATGAAGTTTATCAAAATATACGAAAAGATAAACGATTGGATTTTAGTTGAAAAGAAAAAGAGATTTAAGGAAAAATTTATAGGGATCAGAGGTCGAGCAATTACAGACGATGACGGGTATGGAAAATTTAGAGCTGCTAGTATAAGAATACCATTGTTTATCAACAATGTAGACAAAAGTACAACTGCAAATGATATACATACATACATATTGGAGAAAACGCAAATAAATGTATTTGTAGAGAAAATACAAATGAGAAAACAGAAAGATTATGATGCCTATAAGATATTTGTACCCAAACATAAATTATTGGTATTTTTAGATGATAGCTTATGGCCAGAGGGAGTAACATTCCGTAGGTTTGTTGAGATACAGAAACAAGACACTAGAAATGGCTCTCAGAAATCATAAAACTAGTAATTTTGTAACTTTTAATTGTAAATCTATAAGGAGATCAATAGACTACGCCAGAGTGTTATGTCAAAAAGCCGATATTATCGCGCTGCAAGAGACTTGGTTGCTGCCTCATGATATTTCATTGCTGGGGAGCATCGATACACAATTTGACTACGTGGGCAAGTCGGCAGTAGACACGTCAGCGGGCATCCTAAGAGGTCGACCATATGGTGGTGTCGCTATATTGTGGCGTAAGAGTGCGTTTCAATCTGTGTCTATAGTACATAGTGAGAGTGCGCGTATAATTGCTATAAAAATAAATGTTGGTGACAGATCAATTATAGTTTTTTCGGTTTATATGCCAGTTGAATCGACAGATAATCTAAGTGAATTTATTGATTGTCTGAGTGAGATAAATGCTATTATTGAAAGTAATGCGGTGGATGCGGTGTACGTGTTAGGGGACTATAATGCACCACCTGGTGGCTTATTCGGACGTGAGCTTTTAAGCTTATCGGCGGAAGTGCAATGGCGGTGTGCTGACGTTGCTTTACTTGGTAGTGAGTCGGACACCTACACGTACGTAAGTGATGCACATGGTACTACTAGTTGGTTAGACCACTGCGTGGTAACTGATGCCGCCTGGAAAACTATAAAGGATATTAGAGTGATGTATGATGTTTCCTGGTCGGACCATTTACCATTGATTATAGAGTGTAAGCTTGATATATTGGTGCCAAAACTCAGCACAGAATTTTCTCAGTGTAATAAAATAGCGTGGGGGAATAGGAATCTTTCTCAAATTGAAATATATTCTCAACGTTGTAGTGAGGGATTTAGCGATTTTGAATTTCCAAAGGAGTTTCAACTTTGTAAGGATAGTATGTGTCATAACCTAGAGCATCGACATATAATAGATAAGTTATATAAAAATATTGTAAATATTCTTTGTGAATCTGCTATAGCTAGTTATAACTATTATAATATGAAGAGTAAACGCAAAAAGTACTTGAAAATAGGGTGGAATAAATATGTAAAAAAAGCATATAGACAGGCTCGACTTGATTTTCAAAACTGGGTTCACACTGGTAGGTCTAGAACTGGAACCTTGTATGATAGAATGGTGGCTAGTAGAAAATTATTCAAAAATAAGTTGAAATGGTGTCAGAACAACAAAGACCAAATAAAAATGAACATAATTGCAAGTCACCACCAGGCTAAAAATTTTAGTGCGTTTTGGAAATCTACTAACAGTTTGAATCCCAGGTCGAGTCTGCCTGTAAGTGTTAATGGTGTCAGTGATCCTAAGGAAATTGCCGATTTATTTAAAACACATTTTAGAGTCGTCTCTCCGTTGGGTCCGTCGACCCATGGATCGGAGGATTTGGTGTGGTCTGGAAGCGCAGTGATTTCATTCACAACCAAGGAAATAGAGTCTGTGATAAAAGGTATAAAAAAGGGAAAATCGCCTGGGCATGATGGTTTGAGTATAGAACACCTTAGATACGCTGGTAAGCATATAACGCGAGTTTTGGCTATGTTGTTTAACCTATGTATGAGTCACTCGTATCTACCAGACGAATTAATTAAAACTATTGTAATACCTATTGTTAAGAACAAGACTGGAGATATGAGTGATAAGAATAACTACAGACCTATTTCCTTGGCGACCATTATTGCAAAGGTATTGGATAGCCTGATTGATAAACAGTTGGAAAAACATATAAATTTACACGATGCTCAATTTGGGTTTAGGCAACATTTATCAACAGAATCAGCGATCCTCTGTCTCAAGCATACTGTCCAATATTATGCGAAAAGAAAAACTCCAGTGTATGCGTGTTTTCTGGACCTCTCCAAGGCCTATGATCTAGTCTCATATGATTGTCTTTGGAAGAAAATCACTGACAGTACTGATCTCCCAGTTGAATTTTTAAATATACTAAAATATTGGTATAGCAACCAGTGTAATTATGTAAGATGGGCGGGTATGACGTCAGATGCATACAGGATGGAGTGCGGGGTAAGACAGGGGGGACTCAGCTCACCCAAGCTCTTTAACATATACATAAACCAGCTGATATGTGAACTGAGCAATACCAAAATTGGATGTTCTATTGACGGTCAATGCTTTAATAACATCAGTTACGCGGATGACATGGTGTTGCTGAGTCCTTCTATCAGTGCTTTGAGAAGGCTACTCAGTATCTGCGAGAACTATGCGGTGGCCCATGGTCTCAGGTATAACTCAACCAAAAGCGAACTCCTAGTTTTCAAAGCAGAAAATAAGACTTATGACACTGTTCCACCTGTCTTCTTAGGAGGATTGCCGCTCACTAGAGTTACACGGTTTAAGTATCTCGGACACTGGGTAACCGATGGGCTCACTGATGATGAAGATATGGAGAGGAAACGCAGAGCGCTAGCAGTTAGGTGTAACATGCTGGCCCGCAGGTTCGCACGATGTACAAGAGAAGTTAAAGTTACATTGTTTAGAGCCTATTGCCAATCCATGTACACGTGCGCCCTATGGGTCAGTTATACGCAGAGGTCGTACAGCGCTCTGCGTATCCAATATAATAACGCCTTCCGGGTAATGCTGGGGCTACCGCGTTTTTGCAGTGCTTCGGGAATGTTCGCGAGTGCTGGTGTGCCGGACTTTTACGCGTTAGTAAGATCACGAATAGCGTCCCTGATGCGGCGAGTGCGCGATAGCCCCAATAGACTTGTAGCCACTGTGGCTAAAAGATTTGACAATAGCATAATGTGGCATTGGATGACGACACATAGATCGTCATTTAAATACATTAAATAAAGGTTCCTATTAGTATTAAGTTCAAAGTTATTGTTAAATATTAAATTTTAAATGTTGTTAGGTAATACATATTAAACTATGGACCTGTGTCTGAATGGAAAATAAAATAAATAAAAAAAAAATAAAACCCTTATTCAAGTATTCCGGTGATCGTTGAAACTTGTAGCTAACCTTTTATAATCTAAAATAGGTAGGTCTAGGTACAATATTGTCCCTTGCACCGAAATTGACGAAGACGGCGGGTGCACTCGGAAGGTTGTTGCCGAACGTCAGTGGACCAAATTGCGCAAGCAGGCGCCTATATCTTGGAGTCCTGCGGTCCATGGCGCTTTACGGTGCCCCGGTATGGGCAGATGCTCTCTGTCGCGAGAATGTGGCTGTCTTGCGGCAGTCACAACGAGTTATGGCGACGAGAGCTATAAGGGGTTACCGGACCGTCTCGGCAGATGTGGCGTGCGTGCTCGCGGGAGTAACACCCTGGGACCTGGATGCGCTTTCCTTGGCGTCGACCTATTGTCGGCGTCGAGGCCTTGCGTCCGGGGACCTCAGCCTAGCACAGCACGAGAACGAAGAGCGGGATGCCGCAATCGACGAGTGGCTCGCAAGGTTGGAGCACGCATCGGCTGGCCGGAGAACTATCGAAGCAGTTCGCCCCGTCCTCAGGCAGTGGCTGGCGAGACGTCACGGCGTCCTCACCTTTCGGCTGACGCAGGTCCTCACGGGGCACGGGTGCTTCGGCGGATACCTGTGCCGCGTCGCCGGAAGGGAGCCGGATCCACGCTGCCACCACTGCCACGGCTGCGTTGACGAGTCGGCCCAGCACGTACTCGAAGAGTGCCCAGCCTGGGAATCGGAGCGTGAGGAGCTCCGAAGTGTTGTGGGGGCTGACCTGACGTTGTCGGCTGTGGTCTCGGCCATGGTTGGTAGCGAAAGGTCATGGGCTGCCGTCCTATCCTTCTGCGAGGACGTGATGTCGCGGAAGGAGGCAGCGGAGAGAGAAAGGGAGGCGACTTCCGATCTCGCTATCCGCCGCAAAAGGACTGGGCGCCGGAGAGCGGCCCACGATCGCCGCCTCCCCCCCTAACACCAGCCAGAGGGCGGTAGACTTAGGGAAGTCTGCCGCCTAATCACCTGGCCTGAGTAGGCGCGCGCGGTGTCCCCCGCGCGCTACTCCAGACGTCGTCGTTGAGGGCGCTGCTCCCGCCCTCCGACACCGAGACGTGCCGAAAGGCAATCGCCGTCGGGGTTCGCGGATGATTCTTTAGTTCCCGTGGCCCCGACCTGGAGGCGAATGAGGCGGACACAGTCAGGTTTTAGTGGGTAGGCTGCCGTGCGTTTACCACCTTTTGCGCGGCAGGAGCCCCACATAACCCGTCGTTCTCTCCCCAGGCGGCGGGTACCCGGCAACAGGGTTTCCTGACTTAAAAAAAAAAAAGGTACAATATTGTAGTGTACATTAATATTTAATTGTCGCCTGTCGGTCACCAAAATAATGAAGTAAATATTAGGTACCTATTTAATTATGTTACGATACGTATGATACGTAGGTAGGTATACTAAACACTAAAACTAGGACTAGGAACACTAAGTAAAATATTTGTTTATCATTTTTAACAAATATTTCACACAACCCAGATTCAAAAGTAGGTATGTGTCAGGCCACGTGCAATTTAGGGTTCTGTATTTTCTCGTCACAGTATGCGATATTGGCTACTTGTTTTACTAAATTAAGATTAGGTATCGTCTAAGTAATTTCGTTCAAGTAGATACCTAATACATTTTATAAGTTTCAAAAAATTGCGCTTTAAAACTTATTATTACGCACAGCAAAATATTAACTAAGTGTATTATACTGTTGTTTGCAACTTAATATTTTTTCTAAAAAAGATATGAATCGTTTTTTTACAGAAAACAAAATTAACATTGATTGTCTACATCTGCTTGATGTACAGATGATTAAAGAATTATTTCCAGTCATAGGTGACAGGGCAATATTTACAAAAAATTTAGAAAATTGGGTGAAATTGGCACAATCACAACAGACAGATAAAGAAAACCTTCTTGTAAGTAAATCAAATTATATTGCATTATTAGTCTGTATGTATCTGTAATTATCTAATAAGTGTAACCCATTTCAAATATTGCCTGTAGGCCTTTAGCTTAGAATTGTGTAATTAGATAAGTTTTAAATACATAATGTGTTTTTGAAAAGTTTATAAATACAAAAGGCCATTATTTGTAACCTAAATATTAGTATATGAGTTGGAGTTAATCAAATTGCGGACCACCTCCATAGACAAGTGGCTGGACTTGGTATGAGGTCCCAGGTTCAATTCCTATAATACTAATGCTTAGCTACTTGATATCCAGACCAATGTATATATTATTCAGTTATTATAAGCCACGAAAAGGTATGTATTTTTTTAATAAAATGTTACTTACGAAGTATTAATGTTTATAGATTGCATTAATTTTAAATGATAAAATGACTTCAAAGATTATTCACATGTTTAATTTGATGGCTTCAGAGTAAAGTTAATCTTATTGTGTTAAGTTTTTTTTCTCCTGTGTTAGTAACTTAATTAAGTGACGAAATGTCACTTAAATTAAATTATTATTAATTTAAAAAATATATTTTATTTAGCTGGATTTGGATACTACTAGAGAAGTCAATATAGATGTCTTATCAGATAAACACCGTGATCCATTTAGTAGCATTTCTAATATAGAAATGTTTCAACTTGACAATGAAAATAAAACATGTGAGAGCATAGTGTTGACTTCATCACCTATTGCATCAACAAGCAAAGATGACAGCCTGTGGGATCTACAGAATAGTTGTACAATTGAGTCTACAGTAAATCACAGGACAGAAGTCTTCCAATGCAAGGTGGGTAAGGTCGCTTGAGGTACAAATAGTAGTTTTTTTTATGGGACAAAGGGGGCAAACGGGCAAGTGGCTCACCTGATGGAAAGTGATCACCTCTACTCATGGACATCTGCAACACTGCAGGGCTTGCAGATGCGTTGCCGGCCTTTCAGGAAAGAGAGGGAGAAGGGATGGGGAGTGGGCCACCCCGACTCTCACTAACTGGACTCGACAGCATAGCTGCTACTTCACGCCGATCTCCTGTGAGAGAGTGGTAATATACGGGGCGTGCCGGCCTGTTCGGCTGCTACCCGAAGGTAACAAGCATGGCACTACCACTTTAACTATTATTAATTTAATTATTATTAATTTTTTACTAAAAATACAAACTCTGTTCCAGAAACTATTGGATATCCTTCAATCTAGTGTAGATGGTAGACTCTTACTAAGTTTGCATCAAGAAGATGGGTTGCTGAACAGTAGCTCACGCAGGAAGCTATGCAATATTATAATTAAATATTTACTTGGAGACGACCCAAAAATGGCAACAATTCCTAGTGCAATTTTATGTGACATGGCTTTCCAAATCAAGGAAATTTTTAAAAAAGAAAACATTAGCACATACTTCATACCCTACATTAATAATAAAAAATTAAATATTAAAAGATGTGCTAAAGGAAAATTATATGATTGTCTTCATAATAGAAAGCGTGAATATCGTTTAGCTCAGAAGAAGTTAAGTAGTAGCTTCACATCAACAGATGCTGCATCAAATGAAGGTGGTAAAAGGGTTGAAACATGTAGGTGGCACTTACCAAGTTATTGCAAATTTATTTGATATTCAGATTGTAAAAGATCTTGATGATTGATTGACTCGATTGATTGAGGTCAGATTTTAAAAGAATGAGAGTGGAAGACCAAATTCGTAACTGTGCCATGTAGCGAAAAATGATGGGAGTTTGATTTTTGCTAAAATCAAAACCATATTTTTTTTTTAATCACTACATAAAACATGTTTTGATAAAAGACTTTTGTCTTTTATCAAAACATGTTTTATGTAGTTAAATCATAATCATGTATATGTTAAATCATAGTTACGGATTTCGACTTCCACTCTCATTTTAAAAACTTATCCTGTCTTAGTATTTTATTGTGGATAATCCATCTCAAAGCTCTAAGCCCTAATAAGGAGCTACTTATATGGTTAAATAAAATATTCTTCTGTATTTTCAGTGGATGTGTCAGATGATGTAGCTTGGATAAAAAGTTCAACTGAACCATGGAAAATACTGGAATTAAAATGGAAAAATACTATAAATTTTAGGCAAGAGGAAGCCAAAAAGTTAACTATTTCCCAATACATGGCACTGTATCCTGGTTTAAAAAAGCCTACAGGGTATCACCTACTGTGTATCGATTTTGATGCACTATATCCTGATGCGAAAGATAATTTATACAAGTACTTTGTGCTGTCCAAAAAAGCAATTTTTGAATTAGCAAACAAGAAATACATTACAAATAAAGGCATGCAAGAAACAATAATGTCCATTACTAATGTTTTAGAAGAACAAAATCAAGGTACCTATCAATTTTTATTTTATTTTTTTAACGACAAAAACAAGTTTGTTAAGATTGAATTATTTGCCACAGTAGCAATTAATTACTAACATTATCTGTAACATATAATTACTACTGAACGTCTTCATTTTCTGATTCAATACAAATAATTATTTATTTCTTTTAGAAGGCAGTTCAGAAGAAGTAGAAAATATATCGGCATTCATGTTATTGCCACTGTTAGCCGGTCTACCGATACAAAAAAAATCTAAGAAAAATTGCTGGCGGCCATCGCGTCAGGAATGTCAAGATGGGTTCATTACACATGTATCGAGACAAATGGACTTACAAGAAACAATCAAGAAAAGAAATGAGAAGTATTTTAACTATGGTATTACTTTTCAACCTTCGATTTTTATTGTTGGCGAAAATTTACGAAAAATTGAGCAATATTTTATATTAGTGGAGAACATATTTTACACAGTTCATAGTATAGTGGAGGCAGTTGACATCTGTTTTAAAATGTATCAAGCTCTGCACTGTGAATATTCGTTTGAATGTGAAACAGTATGGCATTTCATTCAAAGGGGATTTTATAAAATAACGACCCCTTATGACAAACAATTTGTCTCAGTAAATTCTTTATTATCAGATTTGCAATTAATCGAGTAGTAGAATTATAAAAAATGCCCAAGTGTTTTATATGTCAGTTGTCTCATCAACTGTAAAAGATTTATGCCACCATTTTAAATATATTCATGCAAATTTTAAATTTGATCATTATCAATGTGTCGAGGTAGGTTGTAATAGAAAATATTATTTACTTAACTCATTTAAAAAGCATTTAAAAATGCATATCTGCTCAGAAAAAGATAGAAATACTATGATGCATAATTTAAGTGACAATTATGTTTCTCTTAATAGTTTGAATTCCTTAAATACCATTCAAAATGCAAGTTATCATGGCTTACCAACGGTTATAGAAACATCCTCTGCACAATCTGAGACAGATTCAACAGATTCTTTAGTAAAATTTACAGCTGCTTTATACGGTAATACTTTGATCCCCAGAAACGTAGTTCAATTCGTTATATCAAATGTGACCAATATGGTTTCAAATTCTGTAATTAAACCCTTACAAGAAATTTTATCCGAATTTCAGGTCCAATCTCAAGGACAAATGTCTATTGAAATCTCAGAACGTTTACGTAGCCATTTAAATGCATTTAGTAATTCTATGAATGATGTACGAACAGAACATACACGTTTCTTGCTTTTTAAAAATCTAGGTACATACATAGAGCCCACAGAATATATTATTGGTCAAAGAATTGAAGGCAGTCATGCTAATAATAATTTTAGATTAAATCCGATTCCAGCTACAGGACAAAGCATTTCTGTTCGACTAGTTTTGAAAAGATTTTTTGAGTTAAACAATAATATGTTTAAAGAGACTATTCAATGCTATAATGAATATTTAGCTTCATCTAACAGTGATATCATACAAAACATAGTGCAAGGCTCTGTATGGCAAAATAAACTTAACTCTTTTAATGGAAAAATTGTTTTACCTCTTGCCCTATACTTTGACGACTATGAATTGGATAATCCTTTAGGCAGCCATGCTGGTGTTCATAAATTAGGTGCCGTATATATATCGGTTCTTTGTCTCCCACCCAAATATTTGTCTAAATTACGAAATATTTTTCTGGCATTACTTTTTCATTCTTCTGACCGTCAAAAGTTTGGAAATAGACTGACTTTTGCACCAGTTATTTCGGAGCTAAATTTTTTAAGTCAGCACGGTATCGAGCTAAATTTTCCTAATGAGCTTCCTCTTAAGGTGTATTTTGAATTAGCTGTTATTTTAGGTGACAATTTAGGTATTCATAGCTTAATTGGGTTTAGTGAATCTTTTTCTGGAAACTTTCCTTGTCGTATTTGTAAAATACATAAAAAAAACCTTAAGTATGCTCATGAATGTGATCACGAGTTGTATCGAACGATGGAGCAGTATTTGACGGATTTAGATATTAGAGATGTTACAACAACTGGTATCAAAGAGGAATGCGTATGGCATGACGTCGACGGGTTTAGTGTCATCGATAATGTAGGAGTAGATATTATGCATGATTTATTAGAAGGCGTATGTAAATATGATTTATCTTTTTTATTGCATACATACATATTTGAATTGAAATTATTTACAATAGAAACTTTGAACAACAGGTTGATATCCTTTGATTATGGACCTGACCGCGATAATCAACCCCCATGCGTGCTACCAGATCATATCCGTAAACAGGCTATCAAAATGTCGGCTTCAGAAATGCTTTGTTTTGTAAGATATTTTGGATTGCTGTTAGGTGATTTGATTCCCTCGGACGATCCTCTTTGGGAACTTTATTTATGTCTAAGAAAAATATTTGATATTGTAACTTCAACACATTTGCAAAGAGGCATGTTTGATTTACTCCAATGTTTAGTATCTGAGCATCATAAATTATATATATTTCTTAGTAAAAAGTCATTAACACCAAAGTTTCACTTCTTAACACATTATCAATGTATGTTAAAAAAATTTGGTCCATTGGTATCAATCTGGTCTATGAGATTTGAAGCCAAACATCGTATATCAAAACTGTCGGCTAATGTATCTAGCAATAGACGTAACATTTGCAAATCTTTAGCTATTAGACACCAATTGAAGTTAAATGACTCATTTCTTAACGATAATAATGTGGGCAAAGAGTATGGCCACAAAAAGCTGGTGTCTCATAAAGTTAGACAAAAAATTATAAATTGTTTAAATTTAAACGATGTGTCTATTGAAAAGTGTAATTGGTTAATTATTAATGGGACAAAGTATAGGTCTAATGTAATGTTAACTTTAGACGTAGTTGATGGAATGCCTAAGTTTGGTTTAATTGAGAACATTTTTGTACACATTGATGACATAATTTTTGAAGTGAGTATTTTCGAAACATTATACTTTGATGAAAGATTACATTGTTTTGTTGTTATACGAAGAGAGACAAAAACAGAGTTTTATATGTATGATAATCTTTATAGCTATGTGCCAAATACTTTGACTAATAGCCACGACGGTAAAATATTGTATATCACTGTGAGATGTCCATTATGATTATAAGATTAAATTAACTATATTAGCTAAGTTTTTATACTATAAGTATGTTAAATAGCTGACAGCAGCCAACTAGCGCCACCAATTGATTTAATTTTATACGAAATCAAACCAATTCTTTCAAAAGCTAAAACAGTAATACACTCTTAAAATACTTCAAAAATCTTTTAGTTTTAAAAGGAGTTTTTGTCACAAGTAGTAATTTTTAATATTAGCTGATTTGAAAAAAAAACTAGTGAACTGAACTCAGAATTATAAGTAGTAAACGTTCTTTCAATAAATAATAGGTACAAGTATTTTAGTCTATGTAAATCTCCTCTCTTTTATCTATGTTATTAAACATTGGTCTGCTTTAGAACTTTTAAAGTTAAATCGATTGGTCGCGCTAGTTGGCTACAGTCAGCCTCATAAAGTGATTTTTACTAAGTTTAGAGAAATATGATTACGTTGTAATTGAGATAATGCAAAACCTCTGATTTTGATGTTATTATTTTCTTTTTGTTTATGTTATTATCGTCTAATAAATGATTTGAAAAACTAAAAATTTTATTTTTTTAATTCACAATAACTACAGCCTACTTTCACAATAGAATACAGTCCCCATTACAAGAACTACACTGCAATCATTGCATTTATGTACTGCAATCATAACAATGCATTTACTGTATAGATAACTTTTTAAATAGTACTTAAAACAAGAAAAATAAAGTGTACATTACTAAAGGCTTGTAGTAGCACGCACTAGTAAATAAGTAAAAATGTAGTAGTAAGCACTAGTAAATGACTTGTATACGCATCCCTAATATCTGGTATTTTTAACAATATATGTAGTAATACGTAATAATAAAATCGTAAGATAAACATTCCGAATCGTGTAGCTATTACAATACGCTTCTTCATATTTACATTTGAAATTTAACGAGAATGGTCTGGTAATATTAACAAAGAGTTTTGTCGTCACATATACAACGAAACAGTATTGTACGAGAAACCAGATTCTGGTTATCTGTACGAGAATGTTTTTTCAGTGTAATAAGCAATTACATAAATTGCTATCTAATTGCATTTATTTTATATATTTCTACATTTTTGTGTACCGCATGTATGCTTATATTTACAATTAACATGTATCTTGTTTTCTCAAATACTTAAGTGTATTGTATTCTTTTTTTGAGAAATAAATTCTTAAACCGTATATTATGTTTTTAATTATATCTGTTTCATATTTCAGGTTGGATCACCTGAGCCACCTGCAGCTTCAACAGTAGGCCTTCTGCCAGAAACTGTGTCACCCACACAAATCGAAGTTGTCCAAGTTGAGAGCAGTTAGTTTTTTATACTATTTTTTTTTTCAAATACAAAACAATGCTTTTAACATAGTAGAGCCCATGAATGAAGTTAGCAACATAAATATATGATTATAGATTTTAATAATTCATTAATCTGTTTTAGTAATTTATTCCCAAGTATTTTTTCCCCAAGTACCTACGTGTTTTTTTTCAGTTATTCAAGAGTGGAGCGGGCCTGCTGAAGGTCAATCCACAAGCTTCAAAGTTGTGGAAGCTAGTGCCACTTCCCCCACGCCACACCATGCACAAAGTCCTCAGCGGCACTCTGGATCGCGGCGCGCGATCCGTGAGCGCCGCCGCTTGCTCAATTCACCGACACCAGCGCCCCCGCATAGTGCTCGCCGTACTCCTCGGAGGCACTATAATGCTACTGAGCATTTTTTTATAGTGACGAGCACTGGAGGAATTTGGCGACAGAGTTTGTCACTGAGCACGTGAGGCTGCGAGACAAAGAGCTCCAGCTGCAATCTCAGTGGCAAACTCTGTTTGCCAAATTAATTGATTTAGTTCAAATTATAAGTGATAAAATAAAAAATTAAATTAAAAATTTAAAAAACCCTCTGTGGCTTGACTCGCTCCAGTTACACCAAACTTCAATCCGCTACGCTATTAAAGTTTGGACCACGCTGTGAAATCACGCCACCCAAGGAAGACAATAGCGCGTTCCCCCCGCTGCGCCCGTGCCGCGTCGCCGCTGCCGTCGCCTGATCGTCACTCATTCGGCCCACCACTCGCTAGGAATCTAGGCGCGCGCACGAATAATTCGTCTCAAGTTCTCTCTAGCTATCATTTTTGTGCTATAAATTTATCCATATAATTGTTTGTAAAAGTTATTAAAATTCATTTCGTATAGTATAGAATAACAGTCTTCATTTGGCCTCTCAACCTTTCTTTCTTGTCTCCTTCATGCTCTCATTCTTTTGTTAATATAGTAGTAGATTCATTTACTCTTAACCACACCTCGACACAAAATCCTAAGTTCCCTTTAAACCTAAACGCGACGTATTTTTTTTAGGATTATTAATACTACTTAGGTACTTTAAAGCATGTGCTACACGATTTTAAACGGCGGTTTGAAACAGAGGTTTAAAACAGTGTAGATAGTCGTTTTATGCCAAATTTCGTTTGACCTCTAAACAAACTTGGCAGCAAGGCTTGCGTTTGAAACCACTGGTAGAAGCGTTGGTTTAAAACTTGTTTGAAACCGTCTAGCCGTTTGTTTAAAACCTCGCGAACGACAGTCACGTTGCAGCGGCGAACGCAGGCAGACGCACGAGACGACGCGTCAATAACGTTCTCAAAATGGCACAAGAAAAAGAACGAGAAGTGGTTACAGAACTTCTCGAGCTGTATCGAGACTTGCCCTGCCTTTGGGACCTAACATGCGAGTCGTATAAAGACTCAACGCAGAAAAGAAATGCATGGGATATTTTAGCTCATAAATTAAATGAAATTGACCCTACAGCCAACGCGGCGTCTGCAAAAAAGAAGATAGACAATCTAAGAATTTCTTATTTACGGGAATCGAAGAAGGTAAGTAACTTAAAGTTAATTAAAATAGAACTACATAACAGTTTTGAATGAAAAATCTGTTGAATACTTTATAATGCAGGTACATAATATTACGTAGTTTAAGTACCTACCTACTTTTTTGTTCACCTGGTAGGTATTTACTTATTATGATTGTTCTTCAATAGCTGCTTACGTAAACCCAGAATTAACAATATAATTGTATGAAAATATTTACTGATTGTGATAATAATTTTTTATTAAATTAAATTCCGTACCTACCTTAACGTATGAATAAGCTAAAGCTATAGGTACCTATTCACTTTATTTTTTTCGATAACTTTTCAGGTCAAAGAATCAAAAAATAGAACTGGATCTTCCACAAGTGAAGTACATAAACCAAGCCTTTGGTACTACGAATTACTAACCTTTTTAGATAAAAAAATGACGTAAAAAGAAAGGGAGTAGATTCATGAGTCGACTCATGAGTGACGACGAAGACGTAAGTTGCATTTGTGTATTATGTTACCTCTATAATTCAGTAGGTAGGTACCTACCTATTCTATACAATAAATAAATATTTTTGGACGAATTACACAACGCCATCTACTTAGTCCCTAACTAAACTTATTAACTTGTAGATAACTGACAAATATACACAAATACCTTTTTTGTAAATAAATACATGTTATACATAGAAAACACCCAGACCAGAAAAGACAGACATTTGTGTGCAATGAACGTGGACACAAATGTTTGTCTTGTGTGGGAATCGAACCCACGACCCACGAACAGTACCTCTAGAATACCAAAACGTTTAGGTTATGTATGTGGTTAGTAATTATTTGATAACCTCAACTGTGCCTCAACTAATTAAGGGTAAAATAAGTACTAGAATAGATTACTTTCAAAACAGAGATTTATTTTAATAATAGGTAACTAAGGTTAATAATGTTTATTCGGTCCATCTGGCTTATGTAATGTAATTATATATCGTAGGGTCGTTTAATAGAATTTTAATAGAATTATTTATATCAACTAGGTATTAATTTATCATTCTATCTTGAAAAGTGACGCTACCGGCACCGTTGAAATACTGAGTGAGAGTGTTTCTGATGTTCTTCCCATCTGTCGAAGGCCTCTGAATGTTTCTTTGCAGAGATATTAGTTCATTTGTGGCTTGACGCCAAGTCCCATTAATAAAAGTACCTCTTTCTAAGTCTTCTCTATCAACACACGTAGGAGTCAAATAAGTTTTCGACTTTTTCCTTAAATAATTGTGTAAGGCACAACTTGCCAATACAACTGCATCTATATTTTCGAGACTTAAATTTAGCGGTTGTCTAAAAACTCGAAAACGAGACGCAAGGATGCCGAAAGCGTATTCAACGATTCTCCTAGCTCTGCATAATCTGTAGTTGAATATTGTTTGCTCCCTTGAAATGTTCCGTTCAGGAAAAGGTTTCATAACATGTTTTTCAAGTGCAAAAGCACTATCCCCCAAAAATACATATGGTACAGATAAATCTGTCCCTGGTAGCAAGTAGGATTCAGGTAAATGCAATTGGTTGTTAGTAAGCATTGCATAAAATGATGTCTCCTTGAATATGCCTCCATCAGACTGGCTCCCGTTTGAGCCTGTATGGACGTAAATAAATTCGTAATTTGCATTTACGGTGGCGAATAAAACTACGCTAAATGTGTCCTTATAGTTGAAGAAAAGAGATCCACTTTCAGGCGGTTTTTGTATTAAAATGTGTTTTCCGTCCATACAACCGAAACAATTATTGAAGTGCCATTGTGTTTCAAATAACTTTGCAGACATTTTCCATTCTTCCTCCGTTGACGGCAGCTGTAATGAAATAAAACATAATTATTATCATTTTAAATCTACTCACGTTATAACGTACATTTTTGTTTCAGGAACAACAAATAGGCGGGACTAAACGAAAAAAGCTAACAAGAGAACGCAACATCGAAATTAAAAAAGAAAAAATGATAGAGGCAGCAAATAATTTATTAACCAGCAAAACGGAAACTAATGCATTCGGAGTATATGTGGGCAAGAAAATGGAAGAAATACCCCTTGGTCAGCAGCGAGATCTAGCTGAGAAACTAATTTCAGAGATCATGTTTCTTGTAGATAAACAAACAATTTAACTTTTAAAACAAGAATAGAAATTCCACAAAGAACACATCAATCATACTTCGCACACTCACCTCCTTCGATTTCTTCTAACTGCTATCAGTATATTCAAACTGAATCAAATCCTTCTCCGTCGCCGTCGCCTGCTCGTAAATTCACCATCCCCAAGTTGTCCTATTCCCATTCAGTCACCCACTTTTCCTTCCTCTCTTACACAACATTGTTCTCCGTCACCTACTTCATCTCATTCTAACCAAAACTTTCCAAATTTCTCACAAATTACACATCCAAATTCTACGCTATCGTCACAAAACGCTGTCAACGTAAATGAGAATGCGGTGTTGTATGCAGAGGGTCCGGCGGGAGAAATATTGAAAGAATTGTTAGTTTTTAAAATACACAAATAAATTTCGTAAATTACTTACATTGATTGTTTTTTTCAAAACCTTGTAGATTGCCCAGCAAGTTTCCGGAATTATTTTTGATAACAGTTGATGAGATATTATAGAGCTATATCTCAAATCTTTATAGTCTCTTCCAGTGGCTAGAAATCTTAGCGTGGCGATAAGCCTTTCTTCAACAGATATAGCTGGTCTCATGTTTGTGTCTTTTTTAATTATATATGGCTTCACCTTGGACAATAATTCGTAAAAACTTTCTTTATCCATTCTTAGAAAGTTATGTATGTCATCAAAGTCAGGTAGGTTTAGTAAGTTAATATGACTAAGGGTTAATCTCTCCTTTAACCATCGCTTCATCCATATTCTTTTTTTTCTTTCTTTTTTTTTCTTCAATTGCATACAAAAGAGCAAGACACACCCCAACTCTTTGTTCTTTAGATAGGTAAGGCGCCATGACGTCGTTGTAGTGAATATACGGTGCGAGCGTAGACGTCTTATTCACCCAACGTTCTATTAAACACTGATGTTTAAAACATGTTTTAAACCGTGTAGCTGGTACAGCGCAAATCTGTTTTTTCTGTTTCAAACCGCCGTTTAAAACCGTGTAGCACATGCTTTAAAGAACTGATATCCAGAGTTTGCCGGAGCAGTTATTTGAACGTGCTTGCCATCAATGGCTCCTATACAATTTGGAAAATTCCAAGTATTCCAAAACTCCTTTGCGATTTTTTGCCACTGTTCTTTTGTAGGGACAGGCATTGTTTCACTCATCAGCCATTCTATTATTGCACTGCAAACCTCTTTCACTATCTTGTGTACAGTGCTTACTCCTAGTCTATTAACTAAATGCTATAGAAACGAAGGAGTCCCCAGTAGCCAAAAATCTGCAAAGAAAAACATTATGATATTATGATTATGATATTTGTTTTCCTTGTTTCAGGAAATTAATGTAAAAAAGCATGGGCACTGTTGCGAGATGCCTTCAGACTTTCTCATAAAAAGAAAAAAGATACGAAAAGTGGACAGGCTAGTGTTCGTGGAAAAAAATGGAGGTACGAAGAAGAAATGTATTTTTTGTTACCGTACACCAGTACTGTACTAATGAAGTATATAATAGAGAGTAAAAATAATACTCCATCGCCGGACGACATCGAACAAGTTATGGCTGGAGTTGTAACTACATTGCGATCTTTTCCGCCCATAGAGAGGGCTATTACAAAAGCAAAGATATTTAAAATAGTATCTGACATGGAAATAGACATACTGAGCAGGCCATCAACGAGTTCTACGGTATCCACGCCATCATCATGTGACACTTATGAAGACAATACTCCTATGCCAGAAACAATACAAGATTTTTACCAAGGTTTTCAGCCAGACCTTACTGACGAAAGGGTGTATCGGCACTTAGAATAGTATTCCACTTTGTTTACACAATAATAAATAATTCTGTAATGAATCTTACCTGAGACATACTGCTAGTTTTTCTTTTGGTGACAAGGCTTCCTTAAAAACTGTATCTTGTTTGGTTATCAGCAATTCCATTTTGTTTAGTAAAATGTCAAACTGGTACCGGCTCATACGAAAATATATGAAAATTTTTTTTATCGTCAACAAGTTCCTTAAAGAGTGTCCAGTATTCTCCTTCTAATTTTCTTTTCTTAAGCATAGGATGTACAGCCATGCGTTTTGCTCTTATTTTAGTTTTATCTTCTTCTTCTAACAATAATGCAAATATGGACAAATCTTCAATAGAGAAGTGTTTGAACATTTTCAATAACATGCTTTTTCTTCTAAAGCTATGCAGTAACTGCCAGTGAGAGCGGACGCCGATGACGGTGTCTGTCGATATCCGGGGTGTCTGTCACGGCACGTGTCTGCCACACTCAATGTCTGTAGATATAAATCGACCTTAATACGTCACTGGAAAGACTAAATAAAGTTTTTGACGTCTCAGAGACTTTTATACTTGTTACAGACCGTGCCTACCCACAATTTACAAAAAAAATCAAAATGGCACCAAAGTACCTTATAAAGTTATATATTTTAATTCTAAACTTTTAAATTTAAATTTAAAAATATATCATAAACTAGCATTGCCCACGGCTACGCCCGCGTTCAGATGACCAAAAACCAAATTCTTAGGTTTTACATATTAGTATACTCTTATGTTGCAGTTTTTGTATTTAATTTAAGCTTATAATATTATAATTATTATACAATTTTTTTAAATATTTTTAGTGTTGCTATTATTACAATATGTATATTGTGTGATAATAAAGAAATTTAAAATATAAATTTTTTAAGTATGTTATAATTTAATTAATTAAGTGTTGATTAGATCAAAGATAAGACTTGAATTTTGATGATTTTAAAGTTAAATATTACTTACTAGTAGAACCTGCAGCTTTCCTCGCACTAAAACTACAAAAAAAAACAAAAAGTAGCTTTCATAAAAACTTTCATTCCCTATTTTACCCTCTTAGGGGTTGAATTTTTGAAAATGCTGAAATACGTAACTTATTATTTTTTCCGTACTCAATTCATACAAAATTTCATGCAAATATGTCCAAGGAATAAAAGTTTCATACAAACTTTTATACCCTGTTTCACCCGCTTGGGGGTTGAATTTTGAAAAATCCTTCCTTAGTGGAGTCTACGACATATAAGGAATACGTATGCGAATTTTCATCTTTCTAGCCTTAAGAGTTTGGCCTGTGCGTTGATACATCAGACAATCACTTTTGCCTTTTATATACATAGTCTTGCCCTAAATATTGTTACAAAGAAAAAATCATTTTTTCTATTGCACGTAACATTTATTACTATTACAGTGTGTTAGTTAAATATATTAATATAAAACCATTAAAATATATATAAAGCTTATTCGAAATGGTCTCCATTGGTTGCAATACAGTCCTTTATACATTGAGGCCAGTTATCAATAGAAGCATGCACTCTTTCCATGGGAAAATTCTTCTTAGGGACTCCAAATTATCACGGGATTTAGAGCAAGCCATAGTCTCTAAAACTGACCATAAATCATAATCCAGCATATTAATATCGGGACTAGATGGCGGCCAGTCTTCAGCTCCAATGAAGTCCGGAACATGAGTTTCTAACCAAGATTGGATCGAGCTTTATGACCCGGCGCGAGTCTTGCTGAAAGAACTATTCTTGGTTATTGAACATGGTTAAGGGGTGTAGTTAATAGTGGCCCAGAAAGGAGTACGATTTTAAAAACACTCTTGCGTTTGAAGCTTTAGAGAGGGGACTGCGCGGGTGGTGGGGTTAAGTAGCTCGGTTCTCGGAAATTTAGTCGCGATGGATCACTTCACCGGAGCGCAACCTGCATTCTGCGTTAAACATTATTATAAAAATCACGATTCGTGCGCTATTGTTCGGCGTTTATTTCGACGTGAGTTTGGATTACATGACCTAAATCAGTGTCCGAAGGAAAGCGTGATTCGATCGTTGGTCAGAAAGTTAGAAGCTACTGGTTCGACTCTCAAACAGAAGCCTGCGGGACGCCCAAGGTCAACAAGAACGGAAGACACAATTGAACAAGTTAGAGCTGCAGTTCAACGTAATCCTGCTCTATCGACTCGAAAGCGTTCAGCCGAACATGTGGTGTCCAGAACATCTTTGCGTCGCATTTTGTTGAAAGATCTGAAATTGCACCCGTGTAAAATTCAACTTGTGCAGGAATTACAGCCAAATGATCCAATTTTACGGAGAGCTTTTATTGAAACGATGCTGGAACGCTTTCGTTTCAGTTCAACAATATCCTGTTCTCCGACGTATCCCATTTTCACATAAATGGGCATGTGAATAAACAGAATTGCCGTTACTGGGCTGCAGAGGACCCACGTGCAAAACATCAAAAGCCACTACATTCGCCGAAAGTAACCGTTTGGGCGGCCATGTCAGCGCACGGAATTATCGGACCCCACTTCTTCGAAAATCGACAAGACCAATCTGTCACTGTAAATTCTGACCGATACATAGCCATGTTAAGGGATTTTTCTTTCCACAACTGCAACAATTTGAAGCCTATAATCGTGCGACATGGTTTCAACAAGATGGCGCGACATGCCACGCAGCTAATGCCTCTTTGGCGGTCGTAAATGAGATGTTTGCTGAGAAACTGATATCGCGCCGAGGTGACATTGAATGGCCTCCTAGAAGTCCGGATCTTACACCACTGGACTTTTTTTTGTGGAGATACCTAAAAAGTAGAGTCTACTCCAATAACCCATCCACAATTGACCAGTTGAACACCAATTTCCGGAAAGAAATGGCAGATATTCCCCGTGCAATATATAATAATATCGAAGAATGTTTGCAGCGCGATGGTGCACATCTGGATGATGTTATTTTTAAGAAATGAATTTCCCAGATGTAAATTTTTGTAGAAATAAAAACTTGTATGTGAATTGTACTTAGTTTTTTTTTAATGATTTTTTCAAATTTGCAATTCTTTCTGGCCCATCCTGTACTTTAATTTGATTCATACATCTATGCAGTATTTGGGTTACTTTAAAGTCAATTTAGTAATTTGCTACTTTAATATAGTTTTATTATAAATTGTTTAGTATAGTTTGAATAATTAATTTAAGAGTTCAGTATATTAATAATTAAACTTTAAAAGGTTTAGTATTGTTTTGTGCTGTACTTGTTGTTGCCCAGTTTATTATAATATAATAACTTTATAATAAATATATAAATAGACTATACTTAAAATAAATATAAATAACTTAGATCATAATTTGTTTGAACATTTGCCTCAAAGATTTGTTTTATGTTCTTTTGTACTCGTATATAGGTATCTATTTGAGATTTGATATTTATGTTTAAAGTGGTAACAGTATATTGTCTCATTTGAAAGTTATACCTTTTTTGTTGTTGTTATTACAATATTATTTTGTTTTGTTTGCTTGTGTCCTTTGTGCTTTGAAGATGGCTGCCGCCGCATTCACTATTTTCCGTGACTCATATTCCGGGATTGTGGCTCACCTGAGATGGTTCACTTCCGCTGCCGCATTAGTGAATAGGGAGGATCGTACAGAGGCATTGTTGGATGGGCATGAGAAATGCCCTACACGACTTAAGGAGGTGGAGGAGCATTATCAGTGCTTCATCTCACATCTGGATGATGTACCTCTGGAGTCATTCCCGGAGCATCGACGGGAACAAGTCCATGAGGACTACGCCCAGATTATGAACCTGGCCGACGACATCGCCTAGCGCGCGCGGGAGATTCTAGCCTCGCGCGCCGGAGTACCGCCTCACAGCGCTCCCTTGAAAACTCTCGTGAGCCTTTTGACAAAACTACCCAAATTAGATCTTCCACGTTTTGATGGTCGGTTAGACACGTGGCTGGGATTTATTGGATTATTCGAGAGCCTTGTAGATTCGAGGGACGATTTGGGCCCGTCTCAAAAGTTGGCCTATCTGCTCTCCGTGCTTGATGGAGAGGCGAGGGGCTTAGTGCAGCACTTCCCAATACGTGACGGGTGCTATGAAGTCGCGCTATCATAATGAGCGCTGCCTGGCCGATGCCCATATCGACCAGATTGTGGACCTTCCCGTCGTGAGTTGAGGACCGAGCTGCTCAACCCTCTCCTAAAAGCCACTAACGCTCTCCACTGCTTGGGACTGCCGGTTGCCCAGTGGTCTTATCTACTGGTGCGTATTGTACTTAAACGATTGCCGGTGTCCTTGAATGCACGTTTTGAACAGGGGCACGCTAGGGATGAGGCTTCTTCTCTCCCTACCTTTGAACAGCTCCTGACGTTCCTGGAGGACGAGTGTCGCATGGGTGACGTTATGGTCGCCTATACACCGGTGGGGTGGCGTTGGTCTTGGGGGAGAGTGACGCTTTTGTCGCCAAGATCCCCAAGGCAAGTTCGGTGTACTATCCTTCACGAGGTTGCCAGCCCTGTTATTGGTCTAGTTCACTAGGAAATACCGCAACAGAAAACAAGTATGTTTATGTAAGTGTGCTTATGAAATATATATGTACGTATATGCATATCTTTAGTTTAGAACCCAATCCAAGGTGTTATTCGTACCGTGCCGAGGGATGCGTGGTTGGGGGGAGCTCAGTCGCTAACGGTGGCTATCCGACACCTGGACGAATCGGATAGTATTTTAAGTCCTCCCATCGACATGCGGGGCTCTGTCGGTGCGCATTTTTAATTCCCTAGCTGCTCGTGGGACCTAAATGAGTATGGACCTTAAAAATAAAAAAACAAATGACGTCACTACGTCACAGACCCTGGACGAATTGTGCCAGGACCTCATGCCGCTGAAAATGGGTGCGGATGAAACCGCCCAAATGTCAGCGCAACCAATGGAGGTGACTGCAGGAACCGAAATGGCGATAGGGGCTCCTACGAACCCTGATTCACCTAATGGTAGCCCTGCTGCCACCTCCATCGATGCTGCCCGACCCAAACGTAAAAGATTGAGTGGGGCAGCATTCATCCGTCTGACAGCCCTTAGGGGACAGGAAGTGGAGGCTGCAAAAGCCTACGAACTGTCCTCAAAAACCTTTGCGGAACTTAGGGCTATGGGGTATCGATTTGATGCTTCGAAACCCGAATCCGAGCACTCCATCAATAAAATGTACGCTTTGATTTAGAGAATAAGATTATAGCCAAGGCAAAAGGGGTAAATAAATGTATCACTAAAAAGATGACGATGAATAGTTATAAGTCTTCTCTATTTAAAAAAAGTACAATATTGTAGTATGCTTAGATTTAAATCGATTAAACACACAATATTTACGCAAAAGGTAAATAAGGTTTGTTTATCGTATAATGACACAAAAAGACATATTTTAGAAAATAATATTGAAACATTAGCTTGGGGCCATTATAAATTACGCTAAGGGTTGATATTTTTATTTCTATGTGTATACGTGTAATGATGGTAAAAAAATTATGATATTACTATAATGTTACGTAGAGTTTAAAACAGGGTGGACCAAAAGTCCGTTAACATTTGAATCGGTTGCCGCGTCTAGCAGCGGCGGCGGAGGGGGGTGAACGGGTTAGGCATTGCAAGAGCGGCCAATGGGAATTCAGTACCATGGCGTCGTTCAGCGGTAGTCAACGTGCGTTTTGTGTACGAGAGTATTATCGAAATAACAATTCTGCGACCTTAGCTCAACGAAAGTTTTGCTATCAATACGACACAAAAATCAAGCTCCATCAGGTGTGTTAATTAAAAAATGGGTGCTCAAGTTTGAGAACACGGGTTCAACAATGGATTTACCTCGCTCTGGCCGACCTAAAACGTCGAGAGACCCCGAAAACGTGGAGCGAGTAAAATCGTCTGTTCGTGACCAACCTGAACTTTCAACTCGTAAGCGGTCTGCTGTCCTTAACGTGCCAAGAACATCATTAAACCGCATTCTAAAGGGAGATTTACGGCTGCATCCCTATAAAATTCAAATGGTGCAGGAATTAAGGCCTGAGGACCATGCCACTAGGCTGCAGTTTGCAAACGAAATGTTAGAGCGGTTCACCAGCTTTACAAACATTTTTTTCTCAGACGAGGCACACTTCCACCTAAATGGGCATGCTAATAGACAAAATTGTCGTTATTGGAGTGATACTAATCCGAAATTAAAACATCACAAACCCCTGCATTCACCCAAAGTCACAGTATGGGCTGCTTTATCAGCAAGAGGCATTATTGGTCCTTACTTTTTTGAAGACTCAAGAGGACGTGCGGTTACGGTGAATTCCGAGCGCTATATCACCATGTTACAAAACTTTTTCGCTCCAGCGCTGCAGGATTTTGTTGGTTATAATCAACGCTCGTGGTTTCAGCAAGATGGAGCCACTTGTCATACATGTAATGACTCGTTAAGAGCAGCTCGAGACATTTTTGGCCCAAAAGTGATATCCAAAAGAGGGGACATTAACTGGCCACCTCGTAGTCCAGATCTATCCCCAATGGATTTTTTTCTTTGGGGATATCTTAAGGCTAAAGTTTACGACACCAACCCAGTAACTCTTGACGAATTAAAGGATCGTATTCGCACAGAAATCCAAAACATCTCAACAAACACATGTAAAGCTGTTATTGAAAATTTCCGCTCTAGATTACAACAATGCGAAAATAATGAAGGATTGCATATGGATGATGTGATTTTTAAAAAATAAATTCCCCTTTTGTTTACTGTCAAAAACAATAAAAAATTTTAATGTACTACAATTCGTTTGTTTTCTAACATCATTTCAAATATAAACGGACTTTTGGTCCACCCTGTATTTAATTATTGTTTAATTGTAAATAATGTAAGATAATAATGTTACTTAAGCAATATATATATATATTTTTTTTTACAACAACACTTTCATTTTTTTATTTAATCCCTTTGAACTCTAGACGTGTGTAAAGTTTCACTTTATTCATCCGTTTACTGCTATTGTAGCAGGACCAAGTGGATGTGGGAAGTCAAATATTGTAACAAATTTCATAAAATCAGTTAAAGAAATATGTAATCGTGATTTTAACCAGATCACATGGTGTTTTGACGAAATGCAACCTTTATATAATTTACCAAATGTTAACTATCATCAAGGAATTCCAAATCTCAATATATTTGATGGTGAAAACCCACATCTTGTTATTATTGATGATCTATCGTTTTTCGTCTGGATTTCCAGCGACAAAAGCTCATTCGAACTTTTGAACATTTTCCGAGATTTATTTCCCACAACAGTAGATTCACGACCAATGTGCATTGATCAGTTAGATTGTCTTTCATCAATTTCCAATTTATTAATTCAAATAAAAGAAAGTTTAACTCAACAGTCGAGATGTACCGACCGGCAAGAAGGATTGCAAATCGCCGTCGTCGTGTGCCTCGTCGTGCTTGTCGTCCACGCGGCAACTTCCTTAACAAACGTTTATTTAACATCCGCAATTCGGCAGTTTTCCGTCCGAGGAGAGCAGGATATAACAACCTTGCCCTTAATTTCGCAAGAAGATTCTTAGCATATCCGTCAAGTGGTGTGAAGACTTCCCCCGACAAGCCAGCCCCACAGAGTTCTTGGTGGCTAGATGCGCTACAGTGGACAGGAAGCTTAGCATTACAGCTAATTGGGATTTTCCTAGCTGGAGTAGAGGGAGAAACTGCAGCCCATTTTGCTATAACTGGAGCTGGGACTGCAATTCCTATTTCGCCTAGAGATCTTTTAGTAACTACAGCCATTGCAAGTCGAGCTGATAATGAAAGCGAAATTCGAGTTCCTTTTGAACAAGCAAAGATTATGTGGCTTAAGGCCACTGTCACTCCGGTCGTTGACGCTTCTGTTGTTGGTGGGTCGTATGCGTGTGCTCTTATTCCTATGGATAGTCATCAGTCTAAAGCTGATCTACCTACAGATTTTGATAGCATCATGAGACAGCCCGGTTCTGTAATTAGACCTATGCACAAACCGGTTTCCGTGTCTTGGAGTCCAACTATTCAGGAACATTCGTTAAAGTGGCATGTGATTGGTGATACTGATGAGGATGCTATGCATTGCGTAGCTTTCGTCATCGCTTTCTCTGATATGGCCCTAGCAAAAGCTGGTGCTGGAGGAACGTCCTCAAAGGAATATTACCCAGGATAATCCGGGTTTGAATTATATTGATGATCTAATGAGAGAGTCTGATGGAAGAATTGTGGATATATTTACAAAAGGTAGTCATCACAGGAATCTTAGTGTATTTTATTTAACACAAAATTTATTTCATCAGGGTAAAGGTCAAAGAGACATTTCTTTAAACTCGAGTTATATAATATATTTTAAAAACCCTCGGGATAAAACTCAAATAAGATATTTAGCACGACAGGTATCGCCAGATAATCCAAAATTTATTGAAGATGCCTACAGGGATGCAACTTAAGAAGCGCATGGATATTTACTGGTTGATTTAAAACAGAATACTAATGATTTTTGTCGTATTAAGACGAATACCTTTCCATTTAATGGTTATTGTACAGTTTACGTCCCCACAAAAGAGTTTAAATACATCAAGAATCAAGCAATTTGAATCATTTCTAAATGATGCATCATCGAGTCACAACGCATAAACATTTGCTAAACGCTTTGCATACGCTTAAACCAAAATATCAAAGAGCATTACTTGAAACATGTAATGAAGAAGAAATAAACTGTATTTGTAAGTGTATTCATAACGTTTTACAAGGAAAGGTACCTCTTAAAGATCAGGATAAACAAAAATTGAATAAACACAAAAATATACTCCGTAAACTGATGCATAAGTGTAAACATAAACTAAGAAAAAATATAATTATACAAAAAGGAGGGGCTTTTTTACCAATAATATTAGGTGCAATATTGAGTGGATTAGTAAGTGGACTAGCTAGTTAACATGGAAAATGCAAAGAAAATGATACTTATTGAACCTGGATTGATTGAAAAATTAAAACTGGAAAATAAAGTTAATAGTAATTTGTCTCGATTAGATATTGAAAAGCAAAATATTATGAATAGTAAGACGGAAGACCGAGTTACGGAACCCTAATCCCACGAATATGCGGACATATCTGTGGCGGACGTGAGGAGAAAATAATAAGGCTTTAATAATAAGCGTTTATTGAAGTGCGTATTGCACTTGCGAGAACAAGCGAGAGACTGTCCAATCGATACATATTCGATCTATAATCTAATGTAATATCTATACTTATATATTATGCTCGTTACAAATCATATTACCTCATGTTACAATAGGTACAATATTCCCCCCTTTTTAAAAAAAATAAGTAAAAAATAATATATCAAGTTATTAAGAATATATAAAAATGAATACATTTTAACGCAAAAAAAATGTAAAATGTATAAAATTAAATTCTAGACATAAAATATAGTTTGCAAAAAATAATAATATTATTAATACCTAAAAACTAACTAATTACTGAGAGAGACCAGATGTCTCTTGATCTACAAATAATGTGAATGTGTATAGCTTCACCAAGATGCAGATTTTAAATAAATTGATCTCGGAATCTTACTACTGGCTTGCTGATTCGGCCGGATCGCGTTACTTTATTATTTACATGTGTCTCCTTGTTTGGAATTTCGATACTAGTGCTATCCCGCGTATCAAACTCTTCATTATTATTTAATAAAAATGCTGGCTTTAATCTATCAATAGAAACAGTACATTCTTTGTCTGCCATTAATATTTTAAAATGTTTTTCTTTACGGTCTAATACTTTGTATGGTCCTGAATATGGTGGATTTAAGGACTTACATAATTTATCGCACCGTAAAAATACATGAGAGCATTTTTGCAATTCAGGGTGAACAAATATATTTTTCTGTGATTTCTCTCGTTTGGGTACTGAACAAATATTACTTATATGTTCTCTCAGTTGCTTTAAAAATGTCTCGCTATCGGAATTTAGTGGCGTTGTAGGCTCAAAAAAATCTCCGGGTAGCTTAATTGGACTGCCATAAACCATCTCCGCTGCACTGGTTTGCGTACAATCTTTTAGGCTTGCTCTTAAGCCTAGTAGTACAGTTGGTAACTCCTGAACCCAATTATTGTTTCCTCTAGTCATTAACGATGCCTTAAGAGATCGATGCCAACGTTCGACAGCACCGTTTGCCTGTGGATGGTACGCAGTTGTTCGAGCTTTCATAATACCAAGGCGCTTAGATAATTGATTGATAAGATTCGACTCAAACTGTCTTCCTTGGTCAGTCGTAATTCGTACCAACCCGTGGCTCGGTCTAACATCGTAATTAAATATCTGTATCCTTTTTAAAACATAAATTTTTAGATTTTAATAAAACTTGTAATTACCTCATGTTACAATAGGTACAATATCAAATAAATGTACGTTTCCCAGGCGACCACCGCAGAGTTCCTCGAATTAGTTTTGTAATGCCGCATTGTTTTAATTTAGTAAAATATGCTGACATATCAAATAAATGTACGTTTCCCAGGCGACCACCGCCGAGTTCCCCAAATTAGCTTTGTAATGCCGCATTGTTTTAATTTAGTAATTTTATTAATTGTAATACTTTTCCAATCACTCTTTATTCATACTTCGAGTAAAGATGTCGTTAGTTTTAAGTTATATAATTATTGTATTAATGTAAAATTAATAAATAATTATTAATTATTCGGTTTTTTTTCGACCTCCTGACTGCTGCAAACGTAATTGGCGCAGTCGGTAGGATTTTCGCGGGCCGGTTCGCGATCGGTGTAAATTAATTACTCGATAATTATCATCACGTCACGTGCCGCCCGGGTGACTACCAAGCACCGTTCGAGAATCCAGAATCTACGGACCTGTGGCAGCCGGGAGTGGAATCCAACAATCGATTCAACTGAAAAGAGACCAGATAATGCAGTTTATGTGAGTATATAAGAATTGTTCTCGTGTTGCTCCTTTCTAGACCTAAGCCTACTATATAAGCTACTAAAATTTTCCATCCTAAAGCATCTAGGATCCGAGAGCCTCAATCTAGGCAGGCCCGTCGGTTAGGTATAGATAGCATAAGAAATATTAATTCGGAAGAAATTATAAATTCAAATTTAGATTGTAGTCCTTCTAATTTAATTAATTTAGTTAATATGTCTCACGATCCGGATATCATGTTTAAGGCCCTCCGCCTTGTCCCGGAATTCGACGGGAACCCAAATGTTTTAACTAGATTTATCCAAATTTGTGACCATTTAGCGATCCAATATCTAAGCGACTTACCAGGTAGTGAATTTTCTAACATTTGCCTATTAAATGGAATTTTAAATAAAATAACAGGCACAGCAGCAAGCAAAATTAATTCAAACGGAATACCCGACAGTTGGCTAGGAATTAAAACACTTTTAATTAATAACTTTTCCGATCAAAGGGATGAAACTGCCCTATACAATGATCTCTCCTTAGCCACACAGGGTAATAGAAGCCCTCAAGAATTCTATGACCATTATCAAAATTTGTTTAGCACGTTAATGACGTACGTTACACTGCATGAGACACTATCCACCACTATCAAAGCAAAACGCAATCTGTATAAAAAAGTAACTATGCAGGCCTGTTTTCGTGGTCTTAAGGAACCATTAGGGTCCCGCATTCGTTGTATCGGACCACTAACAATAGAAAAAGCTCTTGAATATCTACGGAAAAGAGTGTATTTTAAATTTAGAATTAAGAGAATATTATAATATAATCCAACCAGCTTCTTATTAGGCTAATAAGCAAATAGTTTTTGTATTCTGATTTCCTATTATTTCTAAGGATAATTTTTTATTATATAGATTAGCAGTAGTACCTAATAAAAAATCGCAGGCTCTCATCCCATCCTCTCCTTTCATTGCAACTAACGAGAATTCATTCGTGTACATAGAGGCCGAATGCCCGAGACATAGCAGCTGGTATCTCTGTGAAATGGATCTCAATCATCAGATTCGTACAAATTCAGATTGTATCCACGAGCTAATTGTTAAACAGATTTTGAAGGAATCTTGTCACTTAATTACAGTCAATCTTCTACGAGAATCAATGGAGAAACTAGACGATATGCACTACCCTATATCGTTCCCCCAGCATCAAAAGATACAAATATCATGCGGTAAACAGGAATTCACTTCATTAAAAGGCAGCTACCTAATAACTATTCCCCTAGGATGCAAAATCATATCCGAAGGATTTACGTTAATTAATGACAACAACGAAGTAAGAGGACAGCCCTTAAAATTGATGAAGATACCCGATGAAATTGCGCACCTAGATACAACTATTAATATATCATCTATAAATATCCAAGGACTTCATAGACTCAAGGACAAAATTATGATACAATCACCGCTACAAATTGAACGCGAAAAGGATATTACAGTATATCATACAACCATACCAGTATACGCAATATTATTCAGTGCAGGTGCACTTATCATTTTATTACACTATAGAAAGTATAAGAAAACTACTGCAAAAAAGGAAGAAATTTTAGAAAATGGAGATAACCCAGAGAATCTTAAGGACACAAGTATCCCGGCAACTTTTTCACTCAATATTCTCAAATAGTTGCCTCTCTAGGGGTGGAGGAGTTACGGAACCCTAATCCAACGAATATGCTGACATATCAAATAAATGTACGTTTCCCAGGCGACCACCGCAGAGTTCCTCGAATTAGTTTTGTAATGCCGCATTGTTTTAATTTAGTAAAATATGCTGACATATCAAATAAATGTACGTTTCCCAGGCGACCACCGCCGAGTTCCCCGAATTAGCTTTGTAATGCCGCATTGTTTTAATTTAGTGATTTTATTAATTGTAATACTTTTCCAATCACTCTTTATTCATACTTCGAGTAAAGATGTCGTTAGTTTTAAGATATACAATTATTGTATTAATGTGAAATTAATAAATAATTATTAATTATTCGGTTTTTTTTCGACCTCCTGACTGCTGCAAACGTAAGAAGTGGATGTTATATTTACAAACACTACAAAGATACCTTCACTTTACCGAAGAGGATCGTCAACCACACAGACTACCAATTTATTCTAATACATCTAATGAAGATTCAAATGAGTCTAAAATTGTCTTTAAAAATAAAGACAGCGACCTAAGACGTATAGTTGATGCTGAAGCTTTGTTGGAGGAGAATGGATTCATTAAAAGTGAAGAAAATGATACAAATCCACTTTACACACCAACTCAAATACTCAGTTAAATACCAAAAACTTATAATAAAAAAGGTCAGTTATTATTAAACTTAGTGGGAACAAATAAAAGTAAAATACATTGGGATAATGAAGACACAGTCATAATTGATAATGAAAAAATTCCTGGAAGTAATATCGTTGATTTAATAAATGATTCACTAAGCCCCTTAAAAAGAAGTGATCCGATAGGGTGGGATAGATTTGCTAAAGCATTAAAAGATATTAAAGTACCACTTACTTATATTGGAAACCCAAAAAGATGTGACTTTATTAATCAGCTTCAAGCAAATGATCTGAAAATAACCTCTGAGATTGAAGATCAAGAGTTTTCTACACCGAGCAGTGAAGATAAAAGATCTTTAAATAAAATACGGAGAAAGCTCGAATGGGAAAAATGGACCCCGTACTAGAAGAAATTAATAGTATTTATTATGATCCATCCAACCCCGCTGGTTTTAGTAGTATTGATAAATTATCAAAAGCCATGAAGGGTAAAATGGATAAAAAGCAAGTAAAGGAATGGTTACAAGCACAATAATCATACATATTACATAAACCCATTCGGAAAAAAATCCCCCGGAATAGGTATATTATATCAAGCATTAATGAACTGTGGCAAGCTGATTTAAGTGATATGCGAACTTATTCTCAATATAATGATGGTTATAACTACTTACTTTGTGTTATTGATGTATTTAGTAAATATGCTTTTGCAAGATCAATGAAAAAGAAAAACTCAGAAACAACTAAAGAATGTTTTGAAAGTATATTTACTGAAAGTAATTCAACACCTACTCACATACAATCTGATAAAGGTACAGAATTTGTTTCAAAAGATGTACAAAAATACTTTAAGTCCAAAAAGATTAATTACTATACCACTAATAATCCTGATATTAAGGCCAGTACTGTTGAACGATTTCAAAGAACTCTAAAAATGAAAGTGTGGCGATATTTCACTCATAATAATACTTATAGATACATAGATGTTTTACAAGATTTAATTTAGTCTTATAATCACAGCATTCACTCTAGTATTAAGATGTGTCCATGTGATGTAAATTCTAGCAATATTATGACAGTTTGGACTAACCTTTATGATAGAGGATCAAACAAAGTTTCTTTAGAAAATCCAAAACCAAATTTCAATGTGGGTGATTATGTTCGAATAACTAAATATAAACATGTTTTCCAAAAAGGATATGAATCAAATTGGAGTGATGAAATATTTATTATATCTTCAATAATTGATAGATCTCCATGGGTAGTATATACAATAACAGATTTACAAAATGAACCAATAGTTGGTACTTTTTATGAAAAAGAATTACAGAAGGTCACTTACAACCCCACCTCACAATACAACACAATTTTATATAATAATGGATAATACGTTGCAAGCAAGTACAGATATAGACAATTTTCAAATTGCCCAGGCCAGTAGTAACATGATAATAACATTCCTCAGGCTTACATGAAGCCTGAGGAATGTTATTCTCATGTTACTACTTCTAATCATCTTACCATCCTTACTCAAAATATAAGAAGTATTTACAAAAATTTTGACACTTTTCAAGCAACCCTGATATCACTTAAGTTTGAATGCGATGTGCTTGTTATGACAGAATGTCATTTATCGAAAGATAAACCCATTCCTACTCTAGATAACAACTATAATTCATATTTCACCAAAAATACTCTAAATCGTTGTGATGGAGTAATTTTATATGTAAAAAAGAACCTGAATTGTAAGGTATTGGAGCCTTGTATAAAAAATGCCTCTTGTCTCGTGCTAACGCTCCCTGATATAGTTTTAATCGGTATATATCGTACACCTTCCATAAGAAATACAGATGATTTTATTTTTTCACTTCGAACTCTACTTCAGCGATTTAATAACTTTAAGAATATTATTTTAACGGGTGGCATTAATATTGGCATAAAGCTTGATAGTATAGACTCAAATTGCCCTAACTACTTAACCTCACTTGCATATTACGGACTTCTACCAACGCATAGGCTTCCTACTCGTGACAAAATGTGCTATGATCACATAATCCTTAAAACGGCCAAACCTGCAAAATCAATTGTACTTACTAACGCTCCCACTGATCATTCTACCGTTCTTTTAAATCTCGAATATAAGCGCATTACACGAGTAGCCTTAAAAACAAAAGTCACTATAGATTATGTTTTAGCTTTGCAAAACATAAATAACAACCTTTCAGATATATTGAGCATTGAAGATGCGACTAAAGCTACGGAAGTTTAGGTTAATAGAATTTCGGTAGCCATTAATAATAACAAAAATATAACTACGATACCCAATAGAAAACGTCACCTCCAGCCCTGGATTACGCCTAGGTATTACGCTGCCTTCGAAATCGTGATAAACTTCATTTAAAACTTAAAAAGAATCCTGATAATCAGATTTTAAAAATAACGTATACGCGGTATAGAAATTTTTGTCATAAACTTGTACGGAAACTAAAAATTAGTCATGAAAAGAATAAACTAGATAGCGCAGAAAATTCAAAAACCCTATGGAGAACCATCAAATCCATATGCTATATTAGTAAGGACAAATCTGAAAATGCACGTAAGCTTATCACCCTCTCGACATCCCCTGTACAGTCTGCTAACCTTGTTAACGAACACTTTTCTAACTTAGGCAAAAATTTGGCTGAAAAGCTTAAAGATTCTGCCCCCATTATAGTGGATAATAGCAGTTCACATAAAATATCACCTGTAAATTCTTTTGCTCTTCTCCATACCGATCCATCTGAAGTAAATATGATTATTAATAGTCTATCGAATGACTCTGCTTCTGGGTGGGATAACATTCCAACTTCATTTATTAAAATGGCCAAGCACGCCCTCATACCTATATTGTGTCATATCTACAATCTTTGCTTCACAAATGGTTGTTTTCCAAAAACATTTAAACGACCTATTGTAACACCTATAGACAAGAGTGAGAATGGGGACGATGTCGATAACTACAGGCCGATTTCTGTACTTACCGTACTAAGCAAAATTCTGGAAAAACTCATAAATAATCGCTTAAAACAGTATCTTATTATCAGTATCTTATAAAAAATCAAGTGCATGTTCTTCAACAATGTTCTCGTACAAATGATGGGGAAAAGAGAAAAATTTTACGACGTCGGTGTAGGCAGTGCTGGGTATCAAAAAGAGTCAGAAAAGATACTTCATATTTCTGTCCCAATTGTCCCGAAAAATACGGGTTTTGTTTGAATGATTGTTTCAAAGAGTTCCACAACTACTAATTGTTTATTTTTAATAATAAATTTTATTCTTACTTTTCATGGGTTTTATTTTGTTATAAAGTCATCCTAATTATCCACCAAAAAAATAATATTTACCTAACGTATAATAAAATCGTCAACTTTCTGCGTGACCTTTCATTTGGGCCAGGTGAGTTAGTTTAGGTCTACTTAGGTACATAAATAAATAAATTATGAACTTATTTTCGGAAGGTACACTATTACAATGGCAGATTAATAGTCAAGGAAACTTGTATTGCAAGGACTGGTGCCTAAACTAGGTGTAAACAGCCTGTATCACATGTCACCAGGCCCCACTACATGGTTCTGTCATACATAACTGTAGAATACTACAAACTTAACTATGTTAAAAAATGTAAATACAAAGTTAAAATAAAGTAGGTGGTAAAAAACATTTGTGGGAAGTAAAAATATTACTTTGGTTAGGTATTTATTGAGTGCACATTTATCACATTAGGCATGTATTTATTAAATTATATGGGTACAAACATAGATTATATCAATAAAGAATTCCACGACACGTGTATTGAACTAAAAGGCCCAGAACATGTCACATAATACCATCCAAACATCAACGCAAATGGTGTGTTGAATGGCACTTGCGATTAAATTAGCCTTACCAGTGCCACCAACGCATATGGTGCGTTTACCATTTTTAGATGGGTTTTTGTAATTTATGGGGTTTTTGTAATTAAAAAACCCACTTATTAACGCTTTTCCTATTATAATTCACAAAAATATTTAGTGGCACCCAGGTGTTGTTTCAAAAATGTATGTAGCAATGAATGGGTTAATGAAATAATTCAAGAACTTTTGAAGCAAAAAATAATTCGTGAGTGATTCCCCCTTTGCAAACCCAGTAATTCTAGTAAAGAAAAAAGATGGCAGTGATAGGTTATGTATAGATTACCGAGCACTAAATAAAATTTTGGAAAAAGATAGATTCCCACTCCCTCTCATCGAAGACCAGATAGATAGATTAGGTAAAGCTAGATATTTCATATCCATAGATATGAAAAATGGATTTTATCAAAATCCAGTTGCATCAGATTCCATAAAGTACACGGCTTTTGTGACACCAGATGGCCATTACGAATTTTTGAAGATGCCGTTTGGTATTTGTAATGGTCCATCTGTATTTCAAAGGGCTATCACAAAAGCTGTGCAACACCTAAAATTTCTTTTGGTATATATTGATGATATTCTCATTCCATTTACAACAATAGAAGAAGGTCTGCACTATTTAGAGGAAACTGTTCAGGCATTATGCAACGCGGGTTTTACAATTAATCTTAAAAAGTGTAAATTTTTCGTTGATAGTATAGAATATTTAGGTCGTACCATATCACAAGAAGGTGTAAGGCCCAGTGGGACAAAAGTAGCTGCCCTAGTCAACTCTGCTGTCCCGAATAATGTTAAGCAAGTACGGCAGTTTATGGGACTTGCGAGCTATTTTCGTAAATTTATTCCAAATTTTGCATCTCGGACTGCTTGTATAACTAATTTGACAAAAATAACAAAAAATGGGAGTGGGGAGTTGAACAGGATGCGGCTAGGGACCATATCATAAAACATTTGTCCACCAAACCACTGTTAACAGTATTTGATCCAAAATTAATTGGGCTATGGAGCCATACTTGTACAAAGAGTTAATAATACCAAAAGGGTTGTAGCGTACTTTAGTAAAAGAACGTCACCTGCAGAATCTAAGTATTGTTCATATGATTTAGAAACTTTAGCAATCTATAATGCATTAAAACATTTTAGAGTATATCTTTTGGGTCTTAAATTCAAAATTTTTACAGACTGTAATTCCATTAAAGCTACCATTAATAAAAAAGATCTTACTCCTCACGTTGCTCGTTGGTGGACGTTTCTTCAAGATTTTGATTTCGAAATTATCTATAAAAAAGGGAAGTACATAAGTCACGTAGACTACCTTAGTCGTAATCCTGTAGAATCCATCAAGTCCATTATCCCTACTGCATTAGTAACTAATTCTATTCCACACAAATCTGTTACGATATCAAGCAATCTGAAATTATATAATGATCACAATAACAATAAAATAACAAACCTTCATTTGATACTTTCTTAGATTTACGCGAATATTTGACATTTTAAATAAAACTATCTTTTCGGATTTTGTCGCGGATTTATTTGGATTTTTGTTTCCCGACGTTTCGAATGCTTTACAGCATTCATGGTCACGGGAGAGACTGAGGTGTTACATGTCTTGAATGTATAGTTGTTACAGACAGCCTACCCACAATTAACAAAATGAAAATTGCACCAATTACATTACAATATTTTTTAACTTTAAACATTTTTATAATTTTAATTATAATTGAATATGGAAAATTATTTATTTAATTTTGCTATTATTTTTATAATTATTACAATTTTAAAATATTAATTAGTAATCTATATTTAGTGTTGCCATTATTATATTTATAACCATAAAGAAAAATATAAAATGTAGTATTAATTATTAAAGCCATATAATTGTTCTATGTGTAATTTAAAAAGTTAAAATTAATTAAGGATAATAATTTTAATTTAGTTTGCTATTATTTAAAAACAACTTACTAAGCAACACTATTAATATATACTTTTACAAATGAAAAATGAAAAATATTAGTCTGATAAGCTGTCATTTTGATCTACACAGTATGAACTTACTACATCTGCCTGTCTGTTATGTTTATATTTATTATTTGATTTTATTATATTAATAACAGGATCCCATGACGATGGTAGTACCCAGCCATCTTCCCTATTGAAATTAGGATGTTTTTTAATTTCTATGGCTTCTCGAATCATTCTAGGGCGATATCGGTTTTAACCGATATCGCCCTAGAATGATACTGTGTAGATCAAAATGACAGCTTATCAGACTTATTTATATTTTTCTTTATGGTTATAAATATAATAATGGCAACACTAAATATAGATTACTAATTAATATTTTAAAATTGTAATAATTATAAAAATAATAGCAAAATTAAATAAATAATTTTCCATATTCAATTATAATTAAAATTATAAAAATGTTTAAAGTTAAAAAATATTGTAATGTAATTGGTGCAATTTTCATTTTGTTAATTGTGGGTAGGCTGTCTGTAACAACTATACATTCAAGACATGTAACACCTCAGTCTCTCCCGTGACCATGGATGCTGTAAAGCATTCGAAACGTCGGGAAACAAAAAATCCAAATAAATCCGCGACAAAATCCGAAAAGATAGTTTTATTTAAAAAACTTTCATTTGGTTGAAGACCAATCTTGGTTAGAAATTGCCCAGCAAAATGATCCGGAAACACAAAATTTAATAGGTCAGGTCATATCCGGTGAACTTGATGAAAATCGATATTTTTAAAGGATAATTTATAGTTTTATAAAACCCAGCCTAACGAACCAAAATTGTATGTGCCAAAGGGATCTAGGTTTTCCCTCTTAAAGCTTTTCCATGATCAGAACTGTCATGTAAGATTCTATAAGAAATTGAAAAAACTTAATAAACACTTTTGGTTTCCTCGAATGGCTGCCTTTGTCCGAAAATATTTAAAACATTATTCAGTATGTCTCGAACGAAAAGGTCACTCTGGTCCAAAACAAGGTTTCTTACATCCTATTGACAAAACTCCTTTACCCTTCCACATCGTTCATTTAGATTGTACAGGGCCATTTCAACGAACAGATGAAGGATATAAATACATTTTACTTATGGTGGACGGGTTCACTAAATTTTGTTTACTAAAACCCCTCAAAACCCTTACTGTCTTATTAATAAACGAAGACTAAACAAATATCAGTATTAATAAACATGGAGTAAGGATGGAGTAAATTAATCCGAGTCTATTCTCGGCGTAAATATTAAACCTCGCTGCTACCTAGTTTAAGGACCGATTAAGCAGTTTACTTACTCATTGAGCGGTGACTAGTGTATCTATGGCATACCAAAAAGTATGAGGTACTTCTTCACTTGACAAATTGACATTTTGTTGGTGTTGGTTTAGTGTTACTGCTGCGTGTGATTTGTTTTGTTCGAGGGTTCATAAGAAATTATTAAAATAAAATGGATAGAGACTATTTTACTGATGGCTAATGGAAGAAATAAATGAGGATACAAACTAGCTTGACAGTATTCCTATAAGGACGAGGTGTGTTAAATTGTACAAATATCGTACCAATCCACTGGAAAAACTTAAGGATGCCGAATTTAAATCGAAATATAGATTTTCCCGACCTACTGCCGTTTATATAATTGACATGTTAAAAAGTGATTTAGCTGGTGATGCGAGAGGTGGTCACATATAACCCCATTTGAAAGTTTTGAGTGCAATAAGAACTTGGGCACGTGGAGAGGTAAGTGAAATTCGTATCAATCAATGTACCTACCTATATGTTACACTTCACTATCGCTTATTGTTGAGTTTATTATTTTATTTCTAAAATTAAATTTTTGATTTCAATAGATTCAAGATGATGCAAGAGATCTAAGTGAAATGAGTCAGCCAACAATATCACTTGTATGCAAGCAAGTAGCTTTGGCACTAGTAGCACATAGAGACCAGTGGATTAAAATGCCACAAAGTGATATAGAGCAGAACAAAGTGATTGCAGAATTCTATTCAATATGTGGATTTAGACAAGTGATTAGAGCTACTGACTGTACACATATTCGAATCCCAAAAGTGAGTGGAAATATTGGACAATATTATATAAACAGGAAAGGATACAGTTCTATAAATGTATAAGTAAGTTTTGTGGTATCTAGCCAAACATAAGGCCTTTTTATGTAAAAACAGTCTTATTAAGCCATGTCTTCATATAATTTGTTCCAGGTTGTGTCAAATGCTAATTTAGAAATTATGGATATAGTGGCACATTGGAGAGGTAGCACCCATGACTCAAGAATATTCAATGAATGCCGCTTAAAAGAAAGATTTGAAAGGTCAGAATTTAAAGGCAGACTGCTAGGAGATTCAGGTTATGCCTGTACTCCTTATCTATTCACTCCTGTCTTGAATCCAAATTCACAAAAAGAAGAAATGTACAACTCTGCACACATAAGGACCCGTAACTCTGTAGAACGATGCTTTGGAGTATGGAAACAAAGGTTTCGGTGTTTACTGCGTGGGTTTACAACTAAAGTAGATAATACAAAACTTTATATTATATGTATTTATAAATGAAATTTTTTAGTTTTAAATAAATATTGTATTACAAGTGAATATTCTATTATAATTAAATCAATAATGATATCTTATTTTGTTGTTTAACCTTCCTATTATAATAATATATTAAAACCAAAACATAATATTTAGTAACATTTCATTGATCTTAGTGAGTGGTATACTCAGCTTCTGATCTAATCCAGTGTTCTATATAAATATTTCTTAATAGTTAATTTACTTGTAACTATTGTAAATAAATTTATCTTGTTAACCATTTAAATCATCTATAATTTCTCTCCGCTACACATACCTGAAACTGGTAGATTACATAAATTTGTGTGTAGATGGTACACTAGACACACTTACCTCTATTCTCAGCAACACAATATTGTCAGCATAGCTCAAATTATTTACGCATAATATGTCATGAATATAGCATCCGACATTCATGTTGCTGAGGTCCATTAGATTGTTAACATAAATGTTAAACAGCCGTGGTGGCAAATGAAGTAGAGATAAATAGATAGAAAAAATATTTAATATGACAAAATAAAAGTATGTAGATTTGAGTGACTTTACATATCACAGGCTTTTTTTAATTCTAAAATTTCTCTTTCTATTTTAGCACATTTTAATTTTTCTTGGTGTATTTCTAGTTTTATTTTGTGTTCCTCTTCTGCCATCTCCATGTGTTTCATGTGTTCATTTTTTGCCATCTCCATGCGTTTCATGTGTTCTTCTTTTGCCATCTCCATGCGGTTTATGTGTTCCTCTAGTGCCATCGGCATGCGTTTTTTGTGTTCTTCCTCCTTTAAATTTTTAGGGTGACTTATCATAGTAGTCACATAGTCATGTTCCTAAAAATGATAAGGACCATAATAAATAAGATATTAGTAATTAGTTGAGTAGGCATTTTAGTAGACCTAGACTAAAACAGATACACAAAACATAAATCATGCATTGTGTATCTCTATAACACAATATTATTAAACTAAACTAAAACACACATACCTTTTTAGACTTTGAAGCACTATCAGGTATTTTTTATAGTTCAGATTCATGTCTGTATACTATTGTTGTAAACTTACTCTGCATGGTACTCCATGCAATTTCTGTGGATCAACTTGTGCATCCAGTTCTTGTGCTTGTATTATTAAATCCTACAAAAAAAGTAATTAAATAATATTATTAAATTATCCCGCTTCTCATAATGTATAAAGTATGTATTGTATTATATACCTGCTGTTTTTCTGGGCTATTCTTGTCAGAAGATATTACTTCCATTGCTGGGTATTCAACTACATAATCGCACGCTTAATCATATACTGACCGATTAGTGTTTCGGTCAAAATTTATTTAAGTATACCAAGAAGTTTATTTTAACACCATCTTTCGGCCGATCTCGGAATTTTTATGATAGCTTGTTTCTAGGCGGAGTTATACCCATATCTGTCTCTTTCACACGCAAACGTTTCGGCAAATGTTTTTACGAGACAGAGACAAATATCAGTATGCGTCAAGCACTAAGATCGCGAACATCACGTGTTTTTATTTAAAAGTGTCAAATTAGTAATTAAGTCGCTTTAGTGTAAAAATCAAAGGTAAGTTTTATTGAAATTATTTATAAAAATGTGACCAATTGTTAAATATGCCTATTTAGTACAAAATAGGATCGAACTATTCATGAATTATTTAGTATTAGTTCTGTTTTATACAAAAACATGTTAACAATTCTTTGACTGATTGTGTATTAAGCCTATATTTTATAAAAAACTTCCGTTTTGCCGGTAGTGTTTTATCGGCTTTAGGAATTAGGTCAGTTTTTTACAAAAGTGTTCTTGAAATTTGAAGTCGTACTTTGTTATGATTCTTTATTTTATAAAACACAATTGTCTAGTATAAAATTGTTGAATGCATATTAGATATTGTGTCACTTATAGATAAAAATAATTTGTTTAAAAGAAATAAGAAAGTAACCTAACTTTTTTTCAGAATGTCTTCAAGGTCGAAAAAGATAATGGAATTGATTAATTTTACAACTGAACCTGCTCATGATACAAAAGCTCAAATTCAAGATCCCATTCTGAACCCAGACCCTAGTCAATCTCCTATAGATGAAGATAGTTCAGTTCAGAATGATGTAGTTGATGTCGCGGTAAGTACTCGTAATTATTATTTTATTCTTTTGACTGGTTTCTCCCTTTTTAATATGGTATTTTTATTTTAAACTAGAATTGCGCACGCGACTTCGTCGCGTCTTTAAGTTTTCCTGTCATTCTCTATTTTAGGTACCCCTTAGGGGGTGTAATTGTGAATACTAGATGAATCATGTCTTTTTAAACCTTGTATTTCGTCATCTACTTTTGACGCTGACTATATTATAACTACCTATGTATGTACTGCCTGTCTAGCTATCTATCTACATACATACACACTTGCATGATTAAGAAGAGAAAACAATAAATTGTTTTTCTACAGATGTTACGTGATATTACTAATAAACTTGAAAACCAGCGTTATTACAATGCTACGGACTTTTTTGTTAACTACAATGTTTCACCCGTACATTCTGGTGAAATAAGTGCAGATATCAGCGACAATGACGATCCAACCTATGATAGTCAAATAAAAAAAAAGAAAATAGAACCAGTACATCCTTCATCACGTCGATCAACATCTAGCTCCAGCAGATCCTCATCCTCCAGTTTAAGCAGCTCCGGCAGTTCCAGCAGTTCCTCATCTTCATCTTCTGATGATGATACTGTGGTACAACCTTCTACTTTCGATCACGTGGACGATAATACTATCAATAACACAGATACTACAGCTAATGGACAGTCAACAAACGGACAAGAAACAAGTAAAATTGAAAACTCTGAAATGAACGAACTCAACATAGAAGAAGAAATAGAGATTATTAAGAAGAAAGGTAGAAAGCGCACAAGTAATCCTCAAAAATGGAAACAAAACTTAAATAAAATTCTAAGAAATTCTGGACGATCTTATGAGACTACGAAAAAGAAAACTGTTGCGGCTCGTGAAGTGAAACCACCTTGTACAGACAAGTGCAGGCTTAAATGTTATGAAAAGTTTACATCTCTTCAAAGACAGGCTATTTTTGATACCTATTGGAATATTGGTGAACTCAATCTGCAGCGATCGTTTATTCAGTCTTGTATGTCCGATGTTACTCCTAGGTATAAATATACAAACGCCATGCGCCCGAGGCAAGCTAATAAAGCTTTTCATTTTATAGTAAATGGTAGACCAATCCGGGTTTGTAAACCATTTTTTGTTGGTACGCTGAATATATCCGATCGTGTTATTCGTACAGTAATCCAAAAGTGTCAAAACCATGGAGTTTTGCAAAATGATCGAAGAGGTAAACACGACAACCACACCACTACTGATGAAACACTGATTTCAGACATTAAAACTTTTATAGACTCAATACCAAGGGTTCCGTCACACTACACAAGGCAAACATCTACTCGCGAATACATAGACGGGGGCAAAACTATTACAGATCTCTTCAATGACTTCAAGGTAGCGCAAGAGAAGAACAGTAAGCCCTATGGTAAGTATTGCATGTTTTACCGTACATTTACTAAGGAATATAATATTTCATTTTTTTTTCCGCGAAAAGACTAATGCGATCTTTGTCTAGAGTACACAAATTGAAACGCAGAGCAAAAAAGTATGATTCATGATAAGTATATAGCTCATATAAAAGAAAAAAAGCTAAGTCGTAATGAAAAACATGATGACCGTCTCAAAATAGACGACAAAAATAAAGTCTTAGTGTTCGACTTGCAGGCGGTGTTACAATCGCCACGAGGCGATACATCAGCTTTTTACTATAAATCTAAATTAAATAGTTATAACTTTACCATCACACTCTTAAACAAAAAAGTTGAACCCCAGATTAAAGATTCCTATACTGATGTAGAGTGCTATTTCTGGAATGAAACTGATGGCAAACACGGTGCTAATGAGATAGGCTCCTGTTTATTGGATTGCTTTGAGAGACTATGTTGTGAAGCAGGGGTAAGTGCTAGTAATAGTGCTGGCCTGAACTTGATTCTGTATTCAGACAACTGCTGCGGTCAAAATAAGAATAAATACATAGTAGTGCTTTATCTCTATGCTGTAACCCATCTGAATATAGAATCAATCACGCACAAATTTTTAATTAAAGGTCACACTCAAAATGAGGGTGACAACATTCATAGCCTGATCGAAAAAGAAATTAAAAAGAACTTAAAATCAGGACCAATTTATTGCCCCCACCAATATGTATCCATCATCAAAAATGCCAAAAAGACTGGTCAAAAGTTCCGCGTACACGAACTTACATACGAATCATTTTTAGACCTAAAAAAACTGCAGGAAGATTGGGGATCCAATTTTAATGAAACTGAAGATAAAAATGTTTTATCATGGAATGATATCAAAGTTATAAAAGTAATAAAAAGTGAACCTTTTTCATTCTATGTGAAAACATCATACAACAAAGATGCAGAATTTGCAAAGATAAACATAAGAAACAAGAGAAAAAAATTGAATCCCCTATCAGAGCTGACAACAGTAAAAGCATACACAGGCAAACAAAAGCTCGGTGAAAATAAAAAGAAGGATTTAAAAGAGTTACTTGATAAAAATTTGATACCCAATTTTTATAAAGATTTTTATGATACGATTCTGTAATCAGGGTGAATACTTGCAAGGTGATAAAAATATTTTGTATGTTAAGTTTAGTCTTGTAATGACTGATTAAGTGCCTAATATTGAGAAAATTGATCTCTTAATTAATAAATAAATACAATTAGGTATTATCGTGTTGTTAAATAGATGATAAGTGTGACTGTTGATATTTCCTTGAGAATTTTTATTCAGATTTACGGTTTGTTTTTAGATTATAAATAAAAACTGGTTCCTAATATTGTAAATTTAATATTGATCTCTTCGTTAAGTTTAATTCGTTAATATTATAACCTAGGATAAGTTTTTACTGCTTTATTTTATTAAGTTTATAAATTACATTATTAGGAGTCAAAGACTCTTTCAGAGTTGATTTTAAAGTGCCTACCTATTATATACAAATTGTGTACTGTGATTAGGTATTTGAATATTGTACTAGGATTAAGTTCAATTCGATGTTTAAGACACAGGTCAGCATTTTATTTGAACTTTACTATGTTTTTGATTCTTTTTATTAATGAAAATAATAAATAAAACGAAATATTTTTTATACTTATATTTTATTTTATATACCTTATAGACTCATAAATCATAACAATAAGAACATACATTGAATAAAATACGGACTCATTTCTAAATATGTCACCAGTATTAAAATTTTACTTCATAGTATAAAGACCCATACCTTAATATTGAGTATTATTTAGTTATATATTAAATAAAACACGGACTCATTTCAAAATGTGTCACCACTATTAATTCAATGTAACTTTATCTTTTATATTAAACTGACGCATCTTGAGGAACAATTTTTTTAACCGATTAATTTATAGTAAAAAATCTAAATTTATTTAAAATTATATTCAAACATTAATACTCACTTTATCAACTATATCTACAATACATTATTTCATTATATAAAGCTATTTTCTTTGAGTATTATATTCCATTTTGTAAGGTAAGTCAGGTTTGCTAAATTGTTTTTCGCGATTTCCCGAAAAACGTCTTTTTTGAGTTATGTCAGTATATGATTAAGCGTGCGATATGTAGTTGGTTCTGAATCTTAAAAACAATGGGAACAATATTATGTAAGTAAGGCTAACATAGTACAGAAATCTGTAACTGCCCTTGTGGTTATTTTTTAAAGTATCATTATTACTGCTATCTACAGCTTGATAGACTCAACTGACCTGCAATGATATTATGGCACATGTCCCACTACCACTTGGCAATACTTCGTCTATCGATGAAATTGGCACCTATTAAAAACAGAATAAAAATTATCAATTATTTTGTCTTCTATGTACTATAGTCTAGAGCATCATACAGCATGCTTACTTTATGAAACATTATAAAGACCAAATAACAAGAGGTATACTCACAAGCCCATCTGAATCATATGGATTATGGTCCTCAGCAGCTCTGCAGGATTTAATAAGTCCTTTACTTCAAGGACAGAATCATCTGGAGTTGCTGGCCTTACCCCACCGCCCATTTTATTAGTTTCAATTTTATGTGAACTGTGTGTTTACGAGCATTCACGTTCATGGACTTCCACTGTACTTTTAGCTGGCCCAATTCGCGTTGCCGGCAATTCAATTCATTAAACCTATAAATTATGAGAAAATACTACATTAATAAAATCTTACTGTTAGATAGATGAACTACAAGTAAAAGATTTTCTATTACAATTAGTGAAGTATCCAATAATATAATACAGAGGGTCGGATACCTTTTTTAAAAGTCCATGCGCACCAAGTTATAATCAAAATAGCAGAAAATATCTTACTTTTTATGGACTTCCTCCCATGCTTTTGTTTTTATCTTATTGGTGTTTGTGTTTAAAGATTTGTTTTCTATTATTTTCGTGTAATCTCTTAAAACACTGCGAAGTAATCGCTGAAAAAATAAGTAAATACATAGGTAAGTATTAAAAATACCACGAAATTCAAATTCACACATTGATAAAAAATGACGAATGTAAATAACTTACCTTTTCCTCTTCATCCCAGTTAATTGAGCGAATGCGTTTTGGGTTCATGTTATTATTTTATAAGTTAAAATGTTATCAAATCAAAACAACATTCAAACAAACTGGTGTCTGGTTTGCGCGCTACACAGCAGATAAATTGTCAAACTCAAAACATTGCCTGTCACTGTCATTTGTGTCATCAATTTGCTTATGTTCATTCAATGGTTCGATCTTTTTACTTTTAAAATCAAATTGGTTGCCATAGCGGACGCGCTAATCCAGGCATAAGGAATGTATAGTTAGTCCGAGGTTACTCCATGTTTATTAATAACAATCTTGAAACGAAGCAATTACTTGGTTACTCCGGAATTAGCTAGTCCAAGTGCAACCTCGTAGTAAGCTATGAATAAGCCTTTTTTATTAATAAGACAGTTAATGCCCAAGAACTTATTCCAATAATTCGGGATACTATAACTATATTCGGCACTCCATCAACAGTTATAACTGATAGAGGTACTAATTTTAGTTCTAATCAAATTCGATCTTTATTTAGGGAGCTAGAAATAGACCATCATATGGTTGCCACCGGCACGCCAAGAGGTAATGGCCAGGTAGAACGATATATTACTACTGTGATCGATATGTTAAATACCACGTGTAATGGTTCGTCAGATTGGCCGAGCGAATTGTGGAAAGTCCAACAGTCTATCAATACCACAATTCAAAAATCTACGGGTTTTACTTATTATACAGGGTGGCCGGTCAATTGACGTCATAAAAAAAATTTAGGTCCGGTATTTTATGGGGTATACGAATCACCCCCATGTATGTTACGCGATTTTTTATAGTTTAGGAGTTATGATTTTTTTTAGATTTTTTGAGAAATTTCGACTTGACTATCTTAAAAAATTCAAAAAAAAAAGAAAAAGACTTTAGAGTTTTATTTTTTTTTCAACTGAATTCGCATGAGTTGTACTTTTATGCATAAAATAATTAGCTTCGTACCTTTGGTGAAAGTTATGAAAATGTTGGTCTAAAGTCAAATTTTTACGTTCCGTGCATTAGGACTTCAATTTTCAACTCTAAATTAAAAATCTAAACAGGTGACCTTATGATTTCTTAGTTATTCTTAAAAATGCGGCAGACTTTCAGCTTTCATAATAATAAAAGAAAAGCTGTACTTAATAGGGGAAATTTGGCTAAAATCGGTCTTCAAAGACAGCAAGGTGGAGAATTCTTAAAATGATTCAAGTACAACAGATGGATAAATTATTGTAATTTAAAAATTATTATTTTGTTTAATTTATACTTCAAGAAATATTTGAATATAATTATGTATGATAAGTAAATAATATTATATATAAATTATGTCTAAGTATGTGAGAATGTAATAACTGTGGGTGTATTTTTTTTTATTTAAAATGATTTATGGCATATATAAATGAATTATGTGATTGTTTTATGTATATGGAAGATGAAGATTAAATTTGGTTGGCCTGAACTGCTTAAGTCTTTTGCTTTGTTCTAGCCTGTCTCATGTGCAGCAGGTGTGAGGCTAGATAAAATGGTTGTCAAAGCAATTAACCGTTGTTATGTTGTCCTCTTAATGTGAGAAGTGAGACAATAACAATGATAAGATGTATTAGTTTGTAAGTTGCTTAATTTTTATGTAACAAATGTGTAGTTGTACTTCGAGAACGAAGTACATGTCAGTATGGCCGTGACAAAATAAATAGATACATATAGTTAATATTTACATTTAATTAATCAATAGAAAATCAATTTAAAGATCTTTCTTTTTTTTATAATAATTTTAACATGTCAATTCATTTAAAAAGTTATAATATTTATGAAGGAAGTGTATTGATTATTGTTGATTAAAACAGTTTTATTTGTCAATAAATTATTATTAATGGTATTAAGGTATTAATAATATAATAAATAGTATTATTTATTACAACGAATTTTAATTAACGTAAAACTAAATAAACTAAATCTTTGAAAGGATGTTTGTCATTAGTCTGACTTTTGATTCGATTTGGATGATAAAAAAGGGACTTATTGTGTGGTGGGGCTTATTGTTGTTACTATGCTACTTTGAATTGTAAAATTATAAATGTAATTGCTTTAGTTGCTATGATTTATATTTAAGTTATATTAAACTGATTTTAAAATACATAATTATTTTCATATTTCATATATAATTACCGCTTAATATGTTCAATAGTTTTCCATGTAAATATATATTTAATAATGAATTCTAAGTATTAAAGATATTACATTAAGGCGCGTTCCCGTGCGAAACGCAGCGTTAGCCGTTTTTAGGCTATTTTTGGGAGCCAACTTCTCTTTATCTAAAAGAAATAACAACTAATAAAAAATACATTAAATTTCTACATAATCTTGACTCCAAAATGGTAGTTTTTTTTTTTAAGCAGCATAATATTTAATTAAAGGGCCACAAAAAAACCACAGAAATGAGAAATAATTATTTATAACATGCATCTCCTCCTAAATTAACCATTATTTTGATTTGCTTCCTTAACTAATGGATAGGTAATTAAATAGAGAACATTTTGGTAGTTTTATTTTTTTCAAAACACAAAAAATTGATTTTATAAAGATTTTATTCTAAAATCTAAGCGTACTCGCTACGTAACTCTTGCGCAGAGTTAGTGTGCCACAAGGTCTCGAGGGTGAAACACGTGTCGTTCGTCATCGCGCCGCGTCGGCACTCGTGCACTTGTTCGCTGACATCACAATAATATTAGTTTATATTATTGTGTTTTTGTTATTGACATTTGTATTAGTGATAGTTTTTTTATGTTTGTTATTTATTTATTCTTATTTTCCGCGAAAGGACGCTTTGTGTGTGTATGAAGAACTATTGAGTTTTGCGAAAAGGACGCTATTGTTGTGTAAACAGTTATAATGCCTAAGTACAAGAAAGTCGTGCGACAAGGACGTGCAAAAGTAGCAATGATGATCGCAGCTCGGTAAGCAATCTAGTACTTATTTATATTCTAGCTTTGGTACAGGCCATGGTCCGGAGGGAGGAGTGGCAGGAGGTCGCTTCCTACTGCGAAGCAGTAATGCTAGCAAAGTAGTACTCCGACCGCATGAGGCAACGGCGCTCACACCGCAGCCGCCGCCGGGATTCCAATCCCGATTTCCGGCCCCCGTAGGCGCGGGCTTATGGACGGCGGGCAATGGGTAGCTCGCTGTCCAACCGTCCGGTAACTGTCCGAACCGAACCCAAGTCTTCGACGGCGCGTACTGGATGTTGCTGACGACGCTTCAAGGAGTTGTCAGCAAACTGTAGGGACCGAGCAGGGTGGAAGCCCACTCTGGGGCTTTGAGTAAATGTGAAAGTGTACACCAGGGCCGTGGTACGAAGGGTTTGAAGGAACGGAGTGGGGTTTTTAGTCAGTAAAAGTCCGACACTAACTCCCACTCCGCCCAAGGGCGGGAGATGCCATTGGATGATTTTTACCCACCGAAAAAATAATAATAATAAAAAGCCCATGTTCATACGAATTTAAAAATGTTATGACGGGATTTTATAGCCCAATTCATTTATCAATCTATTTTTTTTTTGTAGCCGGGCTAAAAGAACGGGACGAAACAGTCATGAAGAAACACCAACAACATCTAAAGATTCTCAACAAAGTTACGTTGACTGCACGTATGTACCTATCTAAAATAGAATAAACTTACTTAGTAGATACTGGTCTAAGATGTGAGTAGTTAGCGAAGTGATAACATCTGATCATAGTCATCAATTTTATATTTTATCAAAAAACGAATCTTCGCATAAATGTTCGTTATCATGCAAGTGCCATAGAGTTATGAAACTACAAACATGAACATTCACATTGATTCAGTACCTACACGATTCAATGCTTGTCATGTATTGATTTTTTTGTGTAAATATTTGAGATTTAATTAGTGTTGCAACAGAACTCTGCTTCCGCTTCTGCAACTGCAGAAGTTCCGCATGTTTTTTCACTTCCGTTTCTGCTTCTGGTTCCGCAAATTTTATAACAGAACTCTGAACGGAAGCGGGGAGAAAGCGAGCGGTGCAGCAGACGCGACGGCCGGCGGCACGGCGCGGGCGGTTGCGGGGGCCGCGCGTGGACGAATGACACGAGCGTCGAGCGTCCAGGCGCGCGTGCTGCCGATAATTACCGAATCCCTTCCGCGTATTTTGGGAGGGAGGGGCGCGCGGTAAACAAACGTGTCACAACGAGTTCGTTCGTTTATTTAATTATTGTTTTTAGTTCACTATGCGCATCTCCGCGCCCCGTGACTTTGAGTAGTGACATTTTCAGTTGTTTTTTCTTCTGTTATTGTTTGCTTGATACCTAGTTGTATTTAGTGCAATAAGAGTGCAATTATGAAACCAAAAACAAGTCCCATTTGGAACTATTTTGATGAAATCGACGACTCGAGTGCCAAATGCAAACTTAGTGAAAAAGTGTATTCGCGAAAAGGCCGCACAACTACAGCTTTAAAGAGTCACCTAAAATCAATTCATGCCGAACGGTTTGCAGAGTTTGAGAAGTTAAATGATGCTGTCAAACTTTCATCGGAAACGAAAAAAGAAATGGTCAGTGAAGTAATCGTAACCAATTTATGTTGTTGTAATTGTAGGTTACGTTAACTCCAACCGAAAACGCTAAAAGACAATTAACATTACAACAAAGTCTACAAGTAAAGGATTATTGGGATTCATCGCATCACAAATCTCAAGAAATGGATCGTACGATTGCTGAAATGATTGCCCTCCAAAACTTACCCTTTCATTTTGTCGAAGGTACAGGATTTCGTAGAGTAATGCAAGCTGCTCTTCCAAAGTACAAGATAAGAGGCCGTGATTTTTTTTCTTCCTATGTGTGCGACAATTTGTACAATAAGTTAGCAAAGAAAACCAAAGATTTACTTGAAGAATTTGACAAGTTATCTTTTACAAGCGACATATGGTCGGAACTTCATTCTGCTGTTTCATTGCTTAGTTTAACTGCTCATGGGATCTCAAAAGATTTTCGCAAAAAGACTATAATTTTGAAATGTGAAGTCATGGATGAACGTCATACGGGCACCATAATATCAACAAAGTTTCAAACGATTCTTGAAGAATGGGGCATTGATCGCCAAAAAGTTCACTGCATGGTTCGTGATCGTGGATCCAACATGGTTAGAGCAATGCAGTTGTCAGGCTTTGAGGATATCAGTTGCGCAATACACCAAATTCAGCTGTGCATACGAGCAGGTGTTGAATCTCAAGAGTGGCTCCTACAACTTATTGCTAAATTGAAAAAAATTGCCACCCATTTCAATCATTCCTTGGTCGCACAGGCAGAGCTTACAAAAATTCAAAAGGAACGCCTTAATCAGTCTCCTCTTTCTGTCATTCAGGATTGTCCTACAAGGTAAATATAAATACCTATTAAATTACTAATAAGCAAATGTTTTTATGAGTTATAGGAGTTTTTTGATTGTACTTATAAATAAATATATTTTTAAGATTAGGTAATTGAATTTGGATTTATATTTTGAAAAGAACTAATATTTTGACATTTAATTTTGTATAAATTTTTGCAAGCCATCATTGGGTGAAATATCTAACATTTTATTTTCTGTGACCATCTATTTATTGATCATATTTCTAGCAAGTAAAATTGAATTGATTTGATTTAATTTCAGATGGAACAGCACATTCTACATGATGGCAAGGTTTTCAAAACTCAAAGATTCGCTTGTCTTGTACCTAAGCGCAAATCCAATCGCGATGATATCCCCCGAAGACTGGATGAATATTCAAAAATTTGTGCAATTGATGCAGCCATTTGAAGAAATAACAAGAAATCTAAGTAGTTCTCAAATCAGTATTTCATCAGTCATACCATTAATTCAAGTTCTTAAGACCACATTACAACAAGAAGAGACGAAACCTAATACTTCAGAACAATTCATAAATTTTATAACAAAATTACGCGATGAATTGAATTCAAGTGTAAGATTTGGAAACCTGGTCGAAGACGACAAATACACTATTGCGACGTATTTGGATCCGCGATACAAATCGCATTTTTTCACCAGCGTCATTGCAGAGCAGGTTGAATCTAAATTACTTAATATGACGATTAACACTATTAGAACCAGACAATCCAATTCCATCCAAGATGATGACTGCGAACCTTCCCCCAAAAGAAGCCGAACTCAAATTGCAATTGAAGACATTGAAGTCCAGCCTTCTACTTCCAAATCATCAGCATCATTGCAAATATTGGAATCGATGTTAAGTGTAAATGAAGACCAGGAGGAGGACTCTTCTACAGCTGACGATGGTGACAATTTACTTTTAAAGATACAGTCACACCTTCGGGAGTACAAGAAAGAAAAAAGGCTACCTCTTCATGAGGATCCCCTTATGTGGTGGAATGGAAATGCGCACAAATATAATAATATTTTGCCAATAGTTCGCCAATACTTATCAGCTCCCCCCAGCAGTGTAGCCAGCGAGCAATTATTTAGCGGAGCTGGTTTAATATATGAAGAACATCGAAATAGGCTGAAAGGTGAAAAAGCGGCCAAGTTACTCTTTATTAAATATAACTTGCCGCTGTTTAATTTTGACTACTAACATAGAAATTTAATAAAAAAAGTTTTAAATGTACAATTGTGCTTTTTTTTCATAGTGTTAACGCTTCCGTTTCCGCTTCCGTTTCCGTTTCCGCTTCCGTTAAGATTTACTTTTGACATCTGTTTCCGTTTCTGCTTCCGTTATGCCAGTTCCGTTGCATCACTAGATTTAATGTATTTTAATTTAAAATAAATAATCTTTTGTAGGTCAAAAGACTACCAAACTGATGCACAACTACCTCTAATGGAGATTTCTAATATACGACCGATAGAAAAAAGCAATAATGAGTAAGTATTACTTAGTTAGCCCATTATGTGCCACTGCTGGGCGAAGGCCTCCCTGTATTAGATAATTATTATTATTTTCTGGGTCACGGAAGTTTACGGGGTAAATCTTGGTATTATAGTATCTATACGGGGTGGGTGAGACACCCATGCAAAAACGGTAAAAAAATCGGTTTTTCGTTCATTTTGATCGTGTAGATCTGTATTTTACTTTTGTGGAAGACAGCTGAAAAATGTGTATGTGTGGGGAGGGGGGCTCAAAATGATGTAATAAATACGTGGTAACCGTTCTCGCGAAAGTATCCCTTCCACCCCATTTATCAATACCTATAGTAACCTTAACTTAAAAAAAAATATCGATCATTTTTATGCAATATATTTTTCTTTTGTAGTATAAGAGACGACTCTATAGCAGACTTGACGGAGTCAGAAAATACTGAAGATATCAATAAAAATATTGAGGAGGTAAGTTTCTGATACGTTTCGCGTGGGTTTTGAACTTGAATGAAAGATGGAAAAGATTTGAAAATGAATAGTAACTTCAGATGAAAAAAATCAGACCGTGAAATATTCTAATTTGTTTTTTTGGATATATAATAAAAGATACTTTTTTTTTTAGTTTCCCATTTCGTACGAAAAGGAAGCAGAAAATTACGAAAAAATTATAAACAGAAGAATTATTGATGTCAGCCACTTCCTTTCCGAATTAAAACGCATTTCAAACCATGGACCACTTGGATGCAGCTTCACTGAACTTCACCTCATAGCTGAAACCCGAATTGGTTTACAGTCGAAGTTTACGTTTAGGTGTAAGCTTTGCAATCAAAAGTTTGTCATAAATGGAGACAATTGCAGTGACAACTACTTAAATATTAACACGTGCGCTGTCGCTGGTACTATTGCAATAGGTGGGGGGCATTCACAGTTGGATGAACTTATGTCGGCAATCAACCTGCCATTGTTATCTGAAAAGACGTATTCAGAGAACCATGAACTGATTAGTAGGAAATGGGAAGAGGTTTTAGTAGAATCTATGAATCAGGCTGCCGAAAAAGAAAAACAATTCGCAATTTCTAATGGTAAGGTGAACAAAGACGGAATTGCCGTAATAGATGTCATTGCTGATGGTTGCTGGTCCAAACGCAGCTATAAAAAGAATTATAATGCTCTTTCAGGCGCAGCTGCCATAATTGGCAAACATACAGGAGAGATATTGTTTTTAGGCATTAAAAATAAATACTGTTTTATCTGTGCCCGTGCAGAAAAACAAAATGTTGATCCATTAGAACACAAATGTTTCAAAAATTACAGTGGTCCATCCACAAACATGGAGAGTGAAATAATTGTGGAAGGATTTAAAGAATCTGTAAACATGTATAATTTAATTTACGGAAAACTCATATCCGATGGTGACGCTAGCACGTACTCCAAAATATTACAGGCTCGCCCGTATTCTGATCTGACTGTTGAAAAAATAGAATGTCGGAACCATATTTTAAGGAATTTTTGCAATAAATTACAGGCGCTCACCACAGAAACTAAATACAACATAAAACACCGAAAATTAATTACAAAAAGGGCTATACTACGAACAAGATCTACAATTTGCAAAATAATTAAAAAAACATAAAACCAACTCAGACGTTCAACTTTTGTTTGAAGATTTATTAAGGCGTGTCCAAACATAGCGCGGCAATCGTGAGCGGCATGCCGCGCGCGATTTCCGCGCTGTGTTTGGACGGCCGCCGCGCACGAATGCCGCGTGTTGCTGCCGCGCGCGAACGAGGTTGCCGCGCGCGTAGTGTTCGTTCGTCAGTGAAGGTGTGTGGACGTAAACGATGGATAACGAAACGGCAATTCGACTTATTGAAATATATGGTTCATTTAATGCATTATGGGACACCAGGCGCAAAGAATATCATAACAATAATTTAAGAGAAGACATGTGGGATGAAATCGCAAAAAATTTCGAGCAACCGAAAGCAGTTCTAAAAACCAAAATGAAAAGTCTTTTAAGCTCATACAGAAGGGAGAGAAACAGAGAAAAAACGAGTAACATTACTGGTTCGGGTAAGTTTAATCTTTTATTTAATGATATTGATGAAATGACAATAAGTACTCCTACAGCAAACAATAACAAAATGAAGTACTTGTAACAAAAGATTCTATTCTACTTACATATAGGTATCTAAGTTAAATGTATACTGTGGTATATGTAGTTCTTGGAATTTACGTAACCGAGTGAGCTTTATTTGTGGTTACGTCGTGTACATGTATAATTGTGTAAGTGTGCGTGCCTGTCGGAGCCTAGGTGAGAGCGGTCAGGCGCATGCATTGCGCTCGCTCACATAATGATAGTAATATGGTTCGTACGCAGTTCGCACGTTTGTAATGCTCAACTAAGTATAGTACGTTTTTTCATGCACGACCCAAAATATAAATAAATATGGCAAACCGATTGAGTTTGACATTTCTTAGAGCGCAAAATCATTGAATGAATGTTTTTAATAAATCAATGAATTAGTGCAATTACGTAGATTGAATAATTTTCGAAATACGTATAATCATCATCGAAATATTTTGGTTAAAATATGTGACCGTTGTAAAATATGTTTAACGGTCTGATCAGCTGGTAAACTAGACTGATGGTCGTGAGTTTATACACACATGTTTAGGAAAGTATTTCTCACAAGCAGATGGATATAACAGAATTGACACTTTTATTGTTACAGATAGAAACAAGGCCTACAAGTCTAAATGGTTTGCCTACGAATCTTTCCACTTTTTGCATGATAGGGGTAATCCTATTGACACAGTGGTAAGTACGCTAATTTCATACATACATTCATGTATAACCATACTAATATTATAAATGCGAAAGTGTGTTTGTTGGTTTGTCCTTCAATCACGCCGCAACAGAGTTACGGATCGACGTGATTTTTTGCATAGGTATAGCTGAGGACCTGGAGAGTGACATAGGCTACTTTTTATCCCGGAAAATCAAAGAGTTCCCGAGGGATTTTAAAAAATAAATTCACGCGGACGAAGTCGCGGGCGTCATCTAGTTTCTCATAACGTAATTATTTAATATCTATCTTGCCAAATAATCGACCCGTTTGCCATAAAATGTTCTGCCAAAAAATTACGAATATCGGTTGGAGTGCCACCTATACATTCGTTCGGTGTTAAAGTAACTGATTCATTCATTGAGTTATTAGAGGTTGTTATTGAAGAGCTGTTTCGAAGAAAATTATGCAAGTGAACAGCAGCTAGAACTACCTTTTTAGCTGATGTTGGGTTTAACATAATTGCATTTCTCAGTACTCTAAATTTAGACGCCAAAATACCAAAAGCATTTTCAACTACTCTACGTGCTCTCGATAGTCTGTAGTTAAAAATCCGTTCTTTAGACCCTTTTGAATGAATTCCTGCAAAAGGTGTCAACATATATTTAGTTAAAGCAAAAGCTTGATCTCCTAATATGACATAGGGTACTTTTGTTGTGTAGGGTATATTTAAAATTTCTGGTGCTGGTACATTAAGTTGATTATTTTCTAACTTTCGGTACAATTCACAATGTTTAAAAACGCCTCCATCTGATATTCGACCTTGACTTCCAACGTTAACGTACATAAAATTGTAATTTGAGTCTACTAATGCTAAAAGTACAATACTAAAATATTTTTTATAATTGTAATACTCGGTGCCGCTTCTAAAAGGAGCCTGAATAGTTATATGTTTTCCGTCCAAAGCACCGATGACATGTGGGAAATTCCATTTTTCCTCGAATTCTTTAGAGACTATCTTCCAATCTTGTTCCGATACTGGTAACTGAAAAATATAAAGTTCACATTAAAAAAATGCGAAATTTATCTTAACACGGGTGGGGGTGGGTAACCTCAAAGAATCGCGTGGAAATCTAACTACGACATTCTACGACAGATATAAATGAAAACAGTCGGACATCATACGAAAGCATTTTAGTCCTAGCTGAAACGGAGACACTTCTTAAATCCCAAAGACTATACCTATATTCTACAAACACAACTAAAAATCGTTGTTTTGATTACAGGATTGTGGCTCATCGTCGCAGTCACATAATACAGAACAAGGAGCTACAGAACAAGGCGCTACAGAACAAGGCGCTACAGAACAAAGCGCTACAGAACAAGGCACTTCAGAACAAGGCGCTACAGAACAAAGCGCTACAGAACAAGGCACTTCAGAACTAAATATGACTAACATGAATACTGCATCTACGATTCCAACTAAAAGGAAGCCAACAAAGAGAACACACGAAGATCCGGAGTATGATGCCGAGAATAAAATGTTAGAAGATGCATTGGAAGAAATGCGAAAACAAAGCGATAACAGCAACGATTTATACGTTGCTTTTGGCATGCACGTAGCGGCAGAGTTGAGAAAATACGATCCCATAACCTTAGCAAGAGTAAAACATTCCATAAATACTATAATATTTGACGCTGATATGGCATGTATAAACCAACTCAATCAGTCTACAATTCAAGAAAACGATGAAAGAAGACCAGGTTATTTTACTACACGTTATACCGATATCTCCAATACGGCATCCTCTAGTGACTCTAGTATGGGATCCGGACTTACACAATTGATTAACGATTTGAATACTGAGAATAGTTTATAATTAAATAGTGATTGTTTCATTTTTATTGTCTGCACATTAAACATGCACATATTTATGATTGATTAAAAACTTAATAAAAATAATGTAAGTAATAAAGTTGTTCTTTTTTACCTTTATCACATCCTTCAGAGCTTTCACTAGGGCATCGCACACCTCTGGGACTATTTTTGAGATTGTTTGCTTTGACACGTGAAATATATATTGTAGACTAGTATATGAGTCTCCTGTGGCCAAATATCGCAAAGTTATTGCGAGTCTCTCTTTCGTCGTTATTGCTACACGCCAGTGTGTATCAGTTTTTTTAATAAATGGTTCCACCAGTGTATGTATATGTTCAAATTCTTCCAAGGTCAATCTTAAAAACTGTGTTGTTCGATAGTGGATTTCATAATTAATCACTTTCAAATTCTTTACCCTCTGTTGGAAAAGTGGTCGTATCCAGCATTGCCTTGTTTTTTTCAGTCTCTTCCTTCTGCGTAATTTTCGAATAATAAGTAGAGCTACAACACACGCGGCCGCTTTCATTTTGGATCGAATGCAAACTGAGAGCACAGCGTGTCTAGGACATGCCGCGCAGTATTGCCGCGCACACATTTCTGGGATGTCTACACTAGTCGCGCATCAGAGCTGTGTCTCGCGATTGCCGCGTGTTGCTGCCGCGCACTCGCAGCGCTATGTTTGGACACGCCTTTAATCAGCCACCTTCATGGCTTTGGGGATCACACTAAGTGCCAGTCATACATGTGTGATACTATCGGCAAAATGGACCTGCCAAATGATTTTTTTTTAAGCACTTTATGGCAAAGAATATGCTTTATTAGTCAAAACATTGCAAGTCATGCTCGCAGTCTATTATACGACGTTGATAGCAACGTGGTAGAAAGATTTCATAGTGTGGTGGCTAAGTTGATCGGTGGCAAAAGAATAAATTTTTCACTAAAAAATTCTTATCAAACTAGATGTCAAGCCGCTGCCGTAGCTTTTAATGAAAAGAAAACCATTTCACGGCTATACAAATCAATTAATAAAGGCGACAGCCCACAAGGCATAATAAAACGGCTAGAAAGCAAAAAAATTAATAAAAATGCAAAAAACAAGGAAAATAGGAAACCAAAAAACCGAGGCCTTCATCTAGAAAAATCAAAACCGGACCACAATTATGGTCAAGACTGCACTAAGCCAGATATACCAATAGACGTTTTTAAGAAGCTTAAAGACAATTTTATAGCAAATTTAAAAAAAACTGATGAGGAAAGAAATGTAATCGAACGGACAACCGTTTTACAGAGTGAATGTGGCGAGTGGCTAGAGTTGCGTAGGTCATTATTAACTGCTTCTAACTTCGGAAAAGTTTGCACGCGGCGAAATGACACAAGTTGTCATAATTTTGTTCGGGACTTGTTATACAAAGCCAAAATTGACCATGTATCGTCAATAAAACATGGCAAGGACAATGAAAAAATTGCCATCAAGCAATTAGAAAAACAAGAACGTATTAAAATTGAACCTTGTGGTTTATTTATTGACGAAGAATTGCCATTTTTAGGAGCAACTCCGGATGGTTTATGTAGCAATGACACAATCGTTGAAGTTAAATGCCCAATAACGGCATTCAAATTAGGGTTAGAAGAAGCCATAAAAAAAGGAAAGTCACGTTTTGGAAGACCACAAAAAATGGGCTGGAAATTAATAAAAACCATCAATGGTACTATCAAGTACAGGGGCAACTACACGTTACTAAAAGATCAAAGTGTTTATTTGCAGTTTGGTCAAACGAGAACTCTCCACTAAAAACGGAATACATCGATAGAGATGATACATTCTGGAAGGAAAAGATGAAAGAAAAACTAACATCATTTTATGTAGATTGTTTGTTGCCAGAATTAGTGGACCCCCGCTATCCTCGAGGATTGACTATAAGAAATCCGTCAAACATAGAAGAGGCATTGAAAATCAAAAAAAGAAGTAAAGAAAATGTAGACCCTAAATTAAATTTAAAGATTGAGTTATCAGCCGATATAGATAGGAGAAGTGAAAGTGGATTAAATGACGAGATTGAATTATCAGTTGATACAGATAGCGGAAGTGAAAATGAATTAAATGATGAGATTGCAGGTGATGAACCTTCAGATGTAAATATGCCTACGTGTAGTCGATATTTAGATTTTTATGAAATGTAAACTCGAAACAGTATACAGAATGTATAGAAATTAATATCGATGATCGAATATGATGAGTATCGTTAAACAACGTGTAACAAAAAGCGTATAGTCATCGTAAAAAAATATCAGCTTTCTTATACATACTTTTTGAATGGGGCCGTTGATAATTTTTTTCGATTATGATGGTGTTCCCATCGATAAAGTTCTCAGTTAGATTGTCTCCAGCACACACTTTCATATGACTATACCCTTACTTACACGTTGTATAAACAAGCTAAAATGAACCATAACATAATTAGATGATTTTTTGTGAGGTCATTGACCACAGTTAATGATGTTTCAGACTAAAACCTAATTTTTTTTTGTATAAACTTCATAGACGTGATGGGTAACGATAAAAAAAATCTCAATTAATTAACAACAGCACTAGTGGTCAATATCACGTCTGCAGAGTTTCTCTAGAATATTTTATTTGACACTGCTAGCAATACCTGTTAAAAAACCTACTAAAAATAATAAATGATGATAAAATTGACTTGGTTATTTAATTTTTCTGCTTTTATCAATCACCCACGGTCTGAATTACAAATAAACCTTCAATCTAAAAAATAAACACCGCACAATCTTTATTATAGAATACCTTTAATACTTTTAAATGAATAAATGTTAGAAGTATTCATGAACGTAAGTATAGTCACTAGATTCATCATGATCAAAATTATTTTGGCGCACCAATAAACATTTCATAAAAAGATATTTTTATTGAATGCCATAATGCCATGTCTGTGAATTCTTAGGTCTGCGATTTTTACTTGTATTCGGAAGGTGATCGCTAGATGGTGCTAGTACTGCTTTACGAAGTATTATAGAGGTGAGGTGCGGCAAAGAGGGAACGAATGCTCAAGGTTATTTGGTCAGGGTAGCGCCTTAAATTACCCTTTTTATTTCCTTTACATAGTATTTATTTTTAACAATGAAATTTAAAAAGTAGAATTGCTTTATTATATTTAAACGTAAATTCTCACACGTGCAAAATCTATGCCGGTTTGTGAAGTTCGCACAAGTCGGCCGTCCTCCCCTCCCCGGTATTATTTTGCACGCACTCTACTCGTACCCGTACATGAAAAGTCAATTGATATTTTATAATTATTATTTTATATTAAATTAAATTACAAAACATAAACACATTATAAAAAAATGTTATTATTATTTTTAATTTAACTACACACTAATACCAGAAAAAGCCAGAAATTAAAAACTTTACTCTGAATGTGATGGGATTAGAATAGTTATACTTATTTCTATATCGTAGTAGTAATCATTGTATAATTTTAAATTATAGGAGCTGATGAAGGATGGAGGGTTTGCCTGGTGTCCTCTTGATGTAAGTTATTAAAGTATTATAATTGATATTACTAATTTATGTATTAACTAATCTTAAATTAAGTGCTATAATGTTAAATTATTATAATTTATAATAAGTAGGTATCAAATAAAATTTCAAACATTTTACAGATACCTACAGCAGAAGGGACTCAGCCTCCAGGTACCTCAGAGGCTGTACCAGCCAGCCCCAGTACAGCTTCACCTATGCCACATTCCTCAGCTCCTTATCCTTATATTATATCTCCAGAACCTCCAATGGATGTGGAATGGCTTGAAGAACAAGTTCCATCTCCGTTAGGAGATCCATTCTCTGAGCCTTCATCCTCAAACCCACTTCTCCCAGACACAGAGCCCCCTGCCCCAGCCACAGAGCCCCCTGCCCAAGCCACAGAGCACCCTGCCCCAGCCACACATATTATACAGTCAGTCAATCCACCTGAAGTTGCATCACCAAGAGAAGAAAATAAGTATGAATAAATAAATGGCGTAAACATTGGCTTTCACAACCTTCTGCTTGTATTACATTTTATATGAAATTATAATTATTTCAGGGCCTCCCGTGCACACGACACCGCATACCCAAAGGTACATCACGTAGTCAAAGTAAGTACTAATTTTTCGATGTTATTATCCACTTATGTAAGTTACATTAATGTTAAAAAATACTTTTCTGTACGTCGAGATGAGCGAGTACCACGCTGGGCCTACGACTTGGAGGAAAGGTGCATTGCTGTTGAGGAACGCATTGCATCCGCATTGGAGGCCATGGTGGAGTTAATGAAGGAAACAAAATGTTGCCACTGGTGGTGGTCCAAGCAGCAGACAAATTCTCACAACTTCGAAACAAAGAGTGTTGGGTATGATAGGTTTGTCTGATGTTGTTGGTCTAGTTTGAATTGAGGAGAGAGGATTTACTTTCCTTTTTTTGAGGATTGAGGATTTTTATTATGGTAATTGTAATAGTAGTAGTATTAGTGGGTTTAGGTAGAATTCTTTAATATTTTTCATATTTTCAGGAACCACCTTTAAAGAAGCTCGCTACCATCACCATCCAGAGACACCGTCCACACTGAACCTCTTTCCTCCCAAACTGCCACAGACGAGATTGTGTTGTATTCTATAGAAGGTATCTACTTTTCTACTTGTATTTATTATGTGCAAAAAATGTATGTGCACGTGAAGAATTATAATGTATAATTAACATCACACCTTGCCTTATATTTCCCAAAGGGTTAACAAAGCGTTAATAAAAATACCAATTCTGTTCATTGGTAAGGACATCACTTTAGAACCAATGACTATTAAAGCGATTTTATTTTTCTTTTTGTAATAGCACAGTTTAACTAGGTATATGTTACTTAGTTGTTGTTGTTATTCAGTTTATAACTATAAGTTTTGTTTCCTCAGCATCTCCTGCCCCATCAGCTGCACTGCCATCTCCCTCTGAGCTTTCACGTCTTCTTTCAACTCGAGTGTCAACACCACCGCTCGCTTCCGTGTCTACGTCGATGCCGTCAGAGACCTCTCGCAATACAACAAGACGAGGTGAACCACAACGACGATGGCGTCAGGCAACCCCTTCGCCCGTGGCGTCACCTACCACATCTACGCCGCGGTGGCAGAGGCTGCTTCGAGCACGCACACGGCGAGTACAGACACCATTCGAACGAGCCACGAGCGAGTTTGTTTCCGTTGAAAATCGCCGGCTGCAATTGGAGGAAGACCACGAAAAAAAAACAAACAGAGGGAGATGGAACGCCTTTGATTGGAATCGCGAAGGATTGAAATGGAAGAAAACTAAAGCCAAATGTTTAACCGTTTAACTGGGTTTCTAGATAATTTGACAGAAATTTTACCTCAGTTGAGACCATCATCACTGGCTTCGACAGATATTCTGTCTTCATGTACCTTGTGACGGTGGCCCGGTATATACTCACATCGATAAAAGGGGTCGTCACGATACGAAAAAGGTATCATACATAGCAGCACTCGGACTGAAGATATCCTAAGTCAAGAAAAAAATCGCGAACTACACTCGCGTGCAACTGAATCGTCTCAAGCCGTATATTGGTTATATAAGTTTGATTTTTTGGAAAATGGCTTATCCGATTTTTGTAAAAGTTTTTCATTCGAAAGACATATATTTTTTTCACAAATATAGCAATTTTCAAATAAACTTCTTTAAATAAGTACGGTCAAACATGAGCGCTACAGAAATTACTCGTTACGGTACCCACGAGTTGCGAGACTAAATCATGTATAAAAGCTCACGTGTTTTAATCGCGATCCAATGGACACTTCCTCAGAAGCAGTGGCCCAAGTTGTAGCTTTGTTGCAAGCGGGCCATAATCAACGGCAAGTCGCTCGTGAACTTAACATGAGCCAATCAGCTGTTTCACGAGTATACAGAAGGTTTCAAGAGACTGGTGGCTTCGTTCGGAGACCACAAACCAATAGACACCGGAGCACATCTGAGACGGACGACCGCTTCATTGTCTCAACTTCGTTGAGAAATCGTCATCTCGCCTCACGGGCGTTGATGTGCAACAGGAGCTCAGAAGGGTTTGAGGAGTGGCTGTCAGTCAGTGGACAAAATATAAGGAATATAAATTTTGTACCAATTAAAATACATGAAAAATTAGATTTAAGAAGTCTAGACTTAGCAAGTCATAAAATCGATGAAATTAATGATATTATTGATAAAATAGGAAATCAGTCAATTTATAATAAAGTTATTAATAATGCTTACTTTGCGTACATAATATTTTCAATTTTAAAAATGATTTTTATATATATGTATTATTTATAGACTAGCTAAATATTTATGGAAAAGACATTTCTTCTGTAATAGAAATGATAGAATATTAGCATTAGAAGATACCAAATCATGTTGTGCCCGAATCACTAACTGTATTACATTGAAAGTTAATAACTCTGATAACAGGGATATAGAGTTAGAAGAAATACCTTCTACGTCAAACACACCAGATATACCATTAGACGTAGCGCTAGAGTCGCTCATTTAAAAATAAATTAAATAAATGAATCATGTATATTGTGTTTTTACGAATTGTATTGTTATGAATTATGTATATTGTGTTTTTACGAATTGTATTGTTTATGAATTATGTAATGAGTACTGAGTATTTTGCAAGGCATATCTTTCTATGTTTAAGTTTTATTTAAGAAATTGTTGAGAAATGTTTAAAATAAACTTAGTTTATTTCCTTAAAGGGGGAGGATTGTAATATTTCATAATATTTCAAGTAGATTTTTATATTGTATTTGAAAGTACATGTTGTTTTCGGAAATTCATTATTATTCATAGAGATAACTAATTACCAGAATAGAGTTCAATGGTTTGTTTACACTAAGGCCGGTTACAGAGCTTCACCGACCGTCAGTGCGTACGTCAGTCGCGCTTGTCATATGTATGGAAATTCATAAACCGTACAGTGCTAGACCGACCATACGCACGCGTATTTTGCTACGCACTGCGTACGAGGACCGTCGGTCGAGCGCGTGCGCGTGCGTAGCGCCGGTCGACTGAAGCGCTATGGAAACAAATAAACGCGTTCAGTGCTGTACCGACCGGTGCACTGACTACGCGCATGCGTGTATCGTCGTCGTGAACATGAACATCGATACTGAACGCTTGATCACCGAAGTTCGTCTTCGTGAACCACTCTGGGATTTAGGCCACAAGTTATATAAAGACCGCGATGCCAGGCTAAAGGCTTGGAAGGAAATATGTGAAGCATTATGTCCGAATTTCGATGAAATGTCTCCGACTGAGCAAAAAAATTTCAGTGAGTAAATAACAAAATACCTTTTTAACCATGTTTATTTATTTTGATACGAGTGCATACAATTATTAATTCAAAATATACAATTATTTTGCCAAGGCACAGCACCTACTGGAGATGTAAAGTAATTAGCAAAGTTTTCTCTCAACATGTCCCCTGATCTAATATTATGATTGAGACTGTCATTGTTGTGAGTTATTAGTTCGAATCCTGTAATTGTTAATTTATCCTCTATTTTATAACCATCTCGTTCTCTAATGTAATTGTGTAAGACACAACAAGCTTTGATGATAGTTATTGTGTTTTCTAAGGAAGTGTTCATTGGTCTATGAATATTCTGAACTTGTTGCTCATTATGCCGAATGTAGACTCGATATATCTCCTTGCACGACTTAGTCTATAGTTTAATACTTTCTTTTTGTAAGTCATGTTACTACGTGCATAAGGTCGTAATACTTGTTTTAAAATACCGAATGCCGCATCACCAATAATAACTTATGGAAGTGGCTCGGTTATATTAGGCAATGGTTTAGGGCCCCCCCAACGTGCGTTCACCTTGTCGTAGTGGGGGGGCTCAGTAGTGCCCGGCAATCCAACCGGGCGCGAAGCTAAGAAACGCACAGTGAGGTTGCCCACTTCGGTGGGTGGTGGGAGGTGGCCCTCTTCGGGGGGCGGTGTACCTTGCGGGTTGCTCTTGGTACTTCTCTGATAGCAGAGTGGACCTTGGAGCCACCCCATGGTTGTGGTGGTCTGCTTTGGCAGACCTGCCGTCGGGGCGTCGTAGTTGAATGCGTAAGCGATCCTGCGACGCCCCATTAAGACGGGGAAAGGTTTTGTTGGGTTTTAGTGGGTAGTACTGGCTGTATTACGCCGGTGAGTCTCACACTTCGTGCGTAAATGCATTTCCCAACGTTAAAAAAAAAAAAAAGGGCAATGGTTTAGGGAGAGGAAAACACATCTCTTCGTTTTGTAATTTTAAAAACAAATTACTGTGTTTGAATATCGATGAATCGGAATCTGTTCCACATGAACCGATGTTAATGTATGTAAAACGATAGTCACAATCACATACAGCAAGTAAAACTACAGAAAAGAATTTCTTGTAATTGCAAAAAAATACTTCCACTATGTTCTGGGTTTATTATTCTTACATGTTTACCATCTATACATCCAACACAGTTTGAAAAGTTTGCTTTTTCGTTAAACTCATTTATGATATGAAGCCATCCCTCTGGCGATGTTGGCAATGAAAGGCATTCTTCATGTAGAATTACCCAAATTGTTTTGCACACCTCCTTAACGATAGAACTGATTGTTGATACCCAAAGACGATAACTGTAATGCAAGTCGGTGAACGTATGACCTGTTGCTATGTACCTGCAAGGAAAAAGTAAGTCTGATAATTTTTTGTTACAGATAAAAAATTATAACAGAGATGGAGAACAGCTCGGGATGCGTACACAAGATCGAAAACCGCAATTATTAATACGAAGTCTGGATCTGGTGGTGGAGATATAAATAAAAAGGATATCTACTATGGTCACATGCGATTCCTCGACAAGAAACACCCCGTCGAAGTTGAGGACTCTCTAACTGCAAATGGTTCCCAGGCAAATATTTCGGTGCCTAATTTCGAGCCACAGCCGTCAACTAGCTAAGAATACACTCCTGCATCCCAGTCGTCAACTAGCCAAGAAAACACTCCTGCATCCCAGCCAAGTCAAAACAACATTAAAAGAAAAACAAAATCTAAAAGGTCTATAAATAAAGAAGATTCTGATTTCGACAAGCAGATGCTGAAAATGTTTCAAGACAATAGTAAAATCCTTCAAAATGACGATATGGCATTCTTTACTTCCCTTTTGCCAATTACTATTACTTACTACTTACAAGAAAATTTCAATTTGTCACCAGAGGATATGTCTCTTACATTCAAAGAAACTTGGTATCTAAATGTAACGAACGCTGGAGAAACGCATCTCGGATAAAAGAACGCTTTGAAAGTGAGAACGTCAATTGGTTAGATGGTCAATTTCGTGTTCCACTAGTGTCGAGTCACGGTTAATGACCCTAATACGTCTGGAAGTAGTGGTGGCAGACCTTCGAAACCATACGAAGCATCTTCAGAAAAAACAAAGAAACGAAAAAACATGGAATTAATACAAGAGTACGGATTGGACTGTGTGCTCAATGCTTATGCTCAGGAGTTACGGTCTATGGGTGAGACGGAGGAGGCCACAATCATTAATATTATATGAACTGCATCAAAGAATGATAAGAAAAAAATTCTTAAATACATTACTGGTAACAGAAAAGAAGTGTTGGTCAAGTGGAAAGGTTATCCAGATAAATGTAATAGTTGGATTTTAGCATCTGCTTTAAACAAAATATGATTAAAGAAAGTTTTTATTTAACATTACTCAGTAACAGTTCAATGGACTACTACCCAGAAAATAAAACGACGCGATTTTCAACTAAATTACCAAAACCCATAATACTTGAAGGTATGTGGTACGTTGGTGTTGTTGAATTTCAGTATCCATGTACTATGTATACTGTTCAAGAACACGAAAATGTTGTTCCCGTAGGCAAAATAATGCAAATGCCGAGTGAATCATCAACTTCTATGGTTTATGGTATTTTTATGGTATTACAAAACTCATATCCCGGCAACTAATTATGACAATATTGAGCATATCATAAATGTATTAAACAAGATTAAAGAGAAAGTAAGATTTTGTTACAATGAACTATTCAAATTTGTTAATGTATCAGTCATGGATGAAAATATAAAGTCATTATCATTATCACCTCAACTTGGACTTCAGCTTGGATTTGAGCCAAATACCTAGTTGAAAAAGGTTGTGGTAAATATCCTGCTAATCTACATTTGGGGTTACCACCAAAATTATTTGTTAACTGTGATATTATTGAACCTCAAATTGTTGGAGATGTTATGACACTATTGTTAAGAATAATTCCACTGGATCCGTCAAAGTATATTTATGGAGCTAACAAAATGCACGTTTTCTCAGCACCTCACTACTTACCAGTGATGCGGAGAGAATTCGATACAATTGATATAAATATATTATCGAGCACTGGTCAAAAAATACCATTCCAGTTTGGAACAGTATGTATAAAACTACATTTTAGAAAAATTCATCAATCATTAACCAAAGTGATAAAATAAGTTGTCCATATGAGCATTATTGTTCTCATCAAGCTGGATCTGGGATCGGAGTGATTTATAAAGGAGCCCCTTGTCAACGTGGACATGGAATTGGTAGGTTTTGGGGGGATTATTTAGATCAGTTTTACCTTTACTATCAAGTGGAGCTCGAGTCGTTGGTAAAGAGGCATTAAAAGCAAGTATAGGTCTTCCATCTGATATGGATGCTTCACATCCTATGGAAGAGTCTGTTAAGTCTAGACTTAAAGAAGCAACCTCGAATTTGAAAAGAAAAGCAGACTCGTAAATTGATCATATCAACATGACTAAGTCTGGACATATAAAAAAGAGCAAACGTCATTCTACGCTCATTTCATATTCGACCGCTAAACTAAAAGCTGCTGCAAAGAAAACAAAATTGAAAAATAACAAGATTAAAGACATATTTTCTTAAAATAATAATAATAATGTCATTTTTAATGTCATTTTTACATAGCCATTCATGTGAGTGTATTAAATGTGAACTAGATTTATTTGCTTTACCAACTACACAAACAAGTATTGAGATTGGAATATTTATTCATTACAAACAATTCATCTCTTGATGATGGACCCATTGAATTCCAAGTACCAGGAGCAGGTGATGACTACATCGATCTATCGCATACATTGATCCATATAAAAGCAAAAATAGTAAATCAAGATTCATCAAATTTGAGTTCATCAGTGATGGTAGCTCCAATTAATAACTGGTTACATTCTCTGTTTAACCAACTTGATGTTTATTTGAATCAAAAACGCGTTTCTCCTCCGAATAATACATATGCCTATCGTGCGTATATTGAAAGTCTATTGAATTATGCTCCGGCGGCCAAAGACTCACTCCTGACTTGTAGTCTTTGGTATGAAGATACCTCAACGAAGATGGATTCATCTGATGAAAGTAACAAAGTATTTACGAAACTACAATTATTAACTGCTGAAAGCAAGGAAATAGAAATGATAGGTCATTTACATGGTGATTTATTCAATCAGGACAAATTCCTTATTAACGGTGTTGATATGTCTGTAAGGTTAGATAAAAACGGTTTGCTGCGCGTGGGAGGGAGACTACGGCATGCAAATATTGATAATCAAAAGAACAAATTATAAAGCAAGTTCAGCAAGAAGAATTTTATGAAGAAATTAAATGTTTGCAACAAGGCAAACCAATATACAATAATTTATTTATTTTTATTTTATTTTAATAAGAGCAAAATATCATGTCTGAACGCAATGTTAGATGAAAACGGTTTGCTGCGCGTGGGAGGGAGACTACGTTGTTATAGTGGAAACAGAAATACGTCATCTGTAAAAATTTCAACTGTTTAACTATCACGGTTCATGAGATACAGCCTGGTCACAGACGGATAGACAGACGGACGGACAGCGGAGTCTTAGTAATAGGGTCCCGTTTTACCCTTTGGGTACAGAACCCTAATAAATTACTTTAAAATACTCTGTTGTGAACGCAGAGCCCAAACCATACTCGAAACGTGCGGTTTCTTGATAACAAATCACAGCGCGAGGACCTTGGGCCCCCATCAGCTGCTGGCATACCTCGATAAGCTATCTTTCTCGCACCTATGGCTACGCATAAGACTTTTTTGTAGTACTCATTTGTAAACTATATTTACGCCTGGGAATGGTTTATAACCGGTAAATTCGTCTGGCGATTTGCAAGTATTATTGAAAATTACTCAATAAATACGTGATTAAAATTTCAGATTGTCAAAAGTATATTTTTTGGGAACTTTAATAAAGCATCTTTGGAGAAGTCTGGCAATACTTTATAACTGACAAAAACGTCTGGGGTTATTTTTTTTGAATTATGTGAAAACTAAATTAAAAGATTAAACAAAAATCAAGTTGCCAAAAGTATGTTCTTTTGGATATTTTTTTTGCAAATGTTATATACTGCGCAGTAACGAAATAAACGTTAAAGCTATACCAGACTCGCGGGACTGGACTCGCAAATTCACAAAATTATATATTTTCACAATTTCAACTTGCCAAAAGGACCATCCCAAAATTCGTCTCCAGCTCTCGGAATAGAACAACAGCATGCAACAATTACATAAAATACTTAGATCGCCTTTGTATAAAAATAAAAGGAGATTCCCATTGTGACGTAATATCAATCCAACTACGACTCGAGTACTCGGAATTGGAATACAATCACCACCTGTTCCTTAGTCAACATTATGAGACTGCATTGCTTAGACAACATTATAAGACAAGCGCCGACGCCGCGGCCTTATCAATGGTGTCGGATATATTGCCAACAGCCTATTCGGTGTACTCGACGATCATTTCGCCGAACAATATTAACAAGATATCCAATTAACAAGAGACAATGAGAATCATTTGGCTTTACTTCTAAAAAATCAAAATTCTATCTTAGAGGTTGAGTATAATATTTTGAAGAGGAATGAAGAACCTCTCAATAAACAACCCAAAATGCTCAATAAGCTTTCCATGAACCTTAGAAACTTAGAAAATTTTCTAAAGAGTAAATCCGCAAAAAATGCTTTAATTAATGAATTTAGTTTGGGTGCAATAGCAGTGAGTAACATGTTAAGGCAATTAGAAACAATGCATAGTACATTATTAGATACCGTAATAGACGTCTATCATGGCAGATTCAATTTTCATTTGATAAACCCAGACCAGCTAAGAAATACACTGAGTACAATATCAAGTCGTCTCACTAAGGACCTTTCATTACCTATTAACAACCTCCAAACAGATTTTACAAGAATTTATCATCTATTAAAGGTCAAAGCAAAGATGTGCAGAGAATATCTAATATTTGTATTAAAAGTTCCTCTAATTAATCGGAACTCATTCGAAATCATGAAAATTTTATCAATTCCTCGAGCTATTAGTAACTCGAATTGGTTGACTAAGGCCTGAACGCCCTAATTTAGGGTAGGGTGGAGCCCATCGGTGGGGACGTATATGAGCTATTGATGATGATGATCATTATAATATTTATAATCAATTTTGGTTCCAGATGTCAGGAAGACGTAGTAAGGTAAAATGGGATGAAAATACCCTAGCTCAAGCTTTTTGAATGGTTGCAGCGGGAAAACCAATTAGAAAAACCGCAACAAAACAGGTATTCCATTTTCTACTTTGCAAGAAAGGCTTAAAAAAAATAATAAGCAGATCACAAAATGCGGCAGACAAACCGTGTTCAGTAAAACCCAAGAAGATGATATGGCTAATCAAATAAAGCTTTCAGCGAAGATATTCTACGGGTGCACAGCAAGAGAAATAAAAAGAATGGCATATGGATACGCAGTAAAAAATAATGTGCCTAATAATTTTAATAATGCTACTCAAATTGCCGGCAAAGACTGGCTCAAAGGCTTCATGAAACGAAACAATTTATCTATCCGTAAAGCTGAAGAAACGAGTTTAAATAGAGCGATTGCATTTAATAAAGATGAAGTTGACATATTTTTTAAGCTCTTGGGGAACTTGATGTAAAATTTAATTTTCCTCCTAGAAATATATTTAATGTCGACGAGACAGGGATCACGTCTGTGCAAGATTCGGGCAAAGTTGTGGCAGAGAAAGACCAAAAGCGTGTCGGGTCGATAACCAGTGGTGAAAGAGGGCAAACAGTTACAGCTGTCTGTGCAATGAGTGCGACGGGAATATTTGTCCCACCCATGCTGATTTATCCCCGCCAGAGACATTCTGTAGCACTAGAAACAGATGGACCAAGAGGTGCACTCTACCGCTGTTCAAAAAATGGTTGGATAAATGAAGATTTGTTTGTGGACTGGTTGAAGCACTTTGCAAATCATGCGAAACCTTCGGAAAAAGATCCCATTCTTCTCATTCTTGACAATCATTCCAGCCATATATCACTAAAAGCTTATGAGTTCTGCAAATCAAACAACATCGTGATGCTGTCTCTTCCACCACACGGATCACACAGAATTCAACCGATGGATGTATCAATTATGGACCTTTTAAAACGGCTTATAAGGCTGAGTGTAACTATTTCATGAAGTCAAACTTAGGTCGCAAAATCACTCCTAACGATATTGCTTCTTTGTTCAGAAAGGCATTCCAAAAAGTCGCAACAATCCCCAAAGCGGAAGCAGGGTTTAAAGCAGCGGGAATATATCCTTATAACCCAGATGTATTTACCAAAGAAGACTTTCTAGCTGCAGAGTTTCTTAACAGCAATGATTTAACTCCACATTCTTCAGAACATCGTGATCGAGACAACAAAACTCCTGAATCTCAACTTATGACCAACCAACAAAATAAAATCTCTGTCTGCAACATTCCTGACAATTTAATTTTACATTCTTTCGAACATCGTGAAATAGACAACAAAACTCCTGAATCTCAACTTATAACCGGCCCACAAAATGAAATCTCCAGTCCTGAAACTGTCTGCAGCAGTCCCTCTCTTTTAAATGAGACCACTCATGATTGCCCAACTAACTCTTTTTGGATGGTAGAAAGTCTGTCCAACCTTGCATTGGAAAAAATTAATAGCGAGACTTTTTCATCAATGACTTTTACTACAGCGACGCCTACTGCCATAGCTGGCTTTTCTTTCATTGGCTTACCTATCACTGCAGTAAAGACAACTCTAGCTTGCTCTTCTGCCTGCACTGATACTTCCAGCTCTGCATTTTCAACAACTACAGGCACGTCTAATTTTCTGTCTATTGCTTCTTCTAAATGTTTGACAAATGTTAAAGATCTTCTGCCAGTACCCAAGAAAAGCATAGAGAAGAGGAAGAGTAACAGGAAACAACATGCCACCTACATAACAGGAAATAAAAAAACAGCCCACACAGTTAAAAAAAGAATTCTTCAGGAGAAAAATAACACAAGCAGCAGTTCGGAATCTGATGTAGAGATGATTGACTTATATAAATATACAGATATTGAAGAAAATAGTGATTTGGAAAACAAGTGTGTTCTATGCGATGATTACGGGAGAAATAATGAGCTCTGGTACAGATGTGTTATTTGTGGGTTGTGGGCACATGCTGAATGTACGGGTAGTGATACACCGGAAAACTACATGTGTGATATATGTATCAGAAAAGCTTGACCGGACTTAGGCTTCGCTGACCAGCATTAAACTACGCTGACTGGCATAAAACTACGCTGACCAGCATTGGAACCGTGATGACCGGCATTGTCCTCCATGGAGTTTAACACCGGTCAATCATATTTTTTTTCTTATGTTGATTATACCAAAACTACAATTACTATTGATCTCAATTCAAGCCATTCGTTAGAGGATAAGACTATGTTTCATTTTCTTTAAGTTTAATAAAGATAAGTTGATTATTTTATGAGTTGTTCTTTTTTGTCCTTAGGTGACCGGTAATACCCGCTCGAACCCTACGGAGACCTATTTATGACATAACAGAGACCTATGTCAAATCGATCAAAATACAGGAAAATGCAAGATTTCCATAAGTACATGCACGAATGAGTGGATAAAAATTAATAAAATAAACAAACACTTGTATTTTTGTTGTGATGTATGCTATATTCGTGTGTTGTGAAGATCACGCGGTAACAGGACGGATGGAGAAGTCCGGAATACTCGGTATTGAACAAGGGTGCCTATTAAAGACCGAAAATTTTACCATCTTATATCACATAATGAAGGCTTAAGTGAATTACACATAAAGACTTAGTTTTATGCGTCAGAAATAGAACCAATCAACCATGTCATAAATATTAGCTTCCCAATTTTTTTTTATAAAAATTATAATTTATCTCACGACAAGCAATTAAATGACCTCAAGAAACAAATAGATTCTTAAAAGTAATGAAAACATATCAAATCAAATTTCTTATCACGACATTCGTCATCACACTGTAATATATGTGATTTTGGGAATTCGTTATTCGTTAGAGTCATCTTCGTGATACTACGAGTTCGTAGCAAGCGGCATCTACATCCGGCGGTGGTGAGGGTCGAACTAGCGACTACTCAACCCACCACCAACGTCTAGCAACCCCAGCCGACCGGCAGCTCAGCTTCAGCCGATCAATTATGTATAGTGTCAGTGCGCGTAATAATGAGTGTAAGATCGAGTGCGTTACTGAAAATCAAAGTGAACACAAAATATATAGTGAAATTCCTAAACATAAAGTGGACAAGTGTCTTTCACCAATTCCTAGAATAACAAAGTTCATTTAGAGACTCTACATATCTATTCTAAGGACTTAATCGCTTCACCTTGTATCATTATCATAATCATTTATCATTTATTATTTTTCTCTCCCTTGGAAGCATGTACGGTGCAACCGTACATATTGTAATTCATCATTTCACATGACGTGTCATTTATTCCATTATATATTAATTATTATACTATAAGTTAGACTAGTTCGCATTCGGCAAGCAAGAAGCCCGGGCGTACTCACATCATATCATTTTAATAATTTTAATTATATCAGTTTATTTCTAATAAATCAATCATTTAAAACATTCTCAGTAGACTCTTATCAATTTACATACTCTATCAATTTACATCTATCAACAACCCCCACAAATGGAAATAGGTATTTTGTATTTTGTATTTCAAATACTAGTATTTTAAAAATGTACACAGCAAACAGATTGTTATTTATATATGTAAGCCTGTGAGAAGTTTGTACCTCTGTGTGTGTACCTCTAAAATAGAAGAGGCTTCTATCAATATCGATTAAATATTTATAAACAAATGAAATCATGTAACATGCCCAAGAAATATGTTTCATATTATTTCTTTTATAAAAATTGAAAGAAAATAAAGGAAATATTACCACTTAACTTAACAGTGCAGGAAAACATAAAGAGGAAACCTGCATGTCTGAGAAAATCTAGCAAGTTTTCATAAAACATATGAAGTCCACCAACCCGCACTTCGCCAGGGTGGCAGACTATGGCCTGATATTAAAAAGAGGCCCGTGCCCAACAGTGTTCTTCACTTCAGAAATTCTTCTCAGACAGATCTTTCATAGTAAAAACTTAGCAATTTTTTGTAGGATCGCACAAGTGCATAACACAACAAGAATATTTTGGAGAATGTATTAAAAACTTCTTAAGCTAGTTATCAACCATTCCATATTATACTGTTTGGCTAGAAGGGATCATGTCAAGCGATAAAGTTACCTACTGTGCAGCTCTTTTTTTATATACATTTCTATTTCTTAAGTATTTCTTGTGTAGTGTGCTTTAGTGTCTATCTGTCTATAGTTTCTTTTTGCTATGATGTTTAGAACACACACACACATAGATGTAACATATTTAAGTTTAGAAATTAAGGAATAAAATCACCTGTCTGTTTGTTGAAGAACATTGTTTTATTGCAACCCTCCTTCCCGCTTACAAAATTTGTAAGATCATACAACAATAATCATTATAAAATAATCAAGAGGATTCATCAAAAATGTTAGAAGGGTACAAATCACACTCATACTTTCATATAGCATTTATTTTTTTAAATAAAAAGCAACATTTTTCAATAGCTTGTAATAATTATAATAATAAAATAGTCTAAACAAAGCATTTATAACTCAAATAATACCCATAGACATGCATAATCAAAAAATCCATGGAAAGGGGCCTAACTTGGGCCTAATATAATATACTAGTAAGTAGTGACTCACCCTCGCTTCTCTCAAGTTCGTCCCCAGGTTGATTCCCCATACAAACTTTCATCCTCATTTTCACCCCCTTGAGGGATGATTTCACAGGTAAAAGCTATCATTTGTCCTTCCCAGGGTCTTAAACTATCTTTTTACTTCTAAATTGGTTCAGTATTTTCGGAGCCTATTCAATACAAACAAACAAAAATATAAAAAAAAAGATAAATACCAAGATGATTGTTTTGTTTAATGATTTTTCCCAAAAACCTATTTTTAATTAGGACCCACTTTATTGAAGTGCTTTTTAGAAATAGCAAAATAACATTCAATATAAAGCCATTAGGTACATGGATTTCCATTTTTTACTGGTTAATATTTTTACAACATTAACTATATATATAATAAATTCACGAAAAAATCCGAAAAGATAGTTTTATTTAAAATGTCAATCAAGTATTCGCGTAAATCTAAGCAAGTATTATATAATTTGAAATTTATCGCGTTCCATCACATCTGTATATCTGTATAAATATTATAAATGTGAAAGTTTGTGAGTATGGATGTTTCTAACTTTTTCATGCCAGAACAGCTGAACTGATCGTGATGAAATTTATCACAGAGATAGATTATAGTCTGAAATAACACGTGGGTTACTTTTTATCCCGGAAAAACATACGGTTCCGGAGGGATAGATTTGTTTTTGTTTGTCTAGAGGCGAAACCGAGCGAAGCAAGGGTGAGCCACTAGTTATATAATAATTACACTACGGGACTTAACGCGTGAATTCTTAAGTGGCTGTATACCTTGTTCCCGACGTTTCGACTGGGTTGCACTAGCCGTGGTCACGGGCAGACTGGCGATGTACGGCATTCCCTGTTAAAATGGATGGTTGTAAATGTGGTGGATAGACAAAGTCGTTGAACAAGTCAACGTCAACTATTTTATTATAATATTAATTAGAGATACTACTTTCTTAGATTTAAGCGAATATTTGACATTTTAAATAAAACTATTGCTGTAAAGCATTCGAAACGTCGGGAACCAAAATTCAAAATAAATTCGCGAAAAAATCCGAAAAGATAGTTTTATTTAAAATTTGAGATAAATTCATTATCCATACTATCAACCGCAACGCAAACTGTTAAACGAATAAAGGATCCTCCGGGAAGGAAAGATAAGAATCCATTTCTTATATTACCTACTAGGCACAAACAATACATAAAATACTTACATTATTAAGTACGTAATCAATTAATTTACTTTTTAAAGAGCACAAACTTTATCCATAGTTAATTTACACGCGAACCTATTTGATTTATATATGTAGCTACTAGCTAGTAGCTACTGCTAGCAATATACTCTATGGCTATGCCATTTGACATTTGACAATATAATGCACGCGCAGCCGCAGCCGGCTTCTGGAAAGTGGACGAAGAGAAGTGGAAGTTGGACATAGACAATGACAAGCAATTAAAGATGTGTCAACTCGAGTTACTAACTCGAGTTAACTCGAGTTGGGCTTAACTCGAATTAGCTCGAGTTAAATTCTCTCTGACTCGAATTGGATTTGCGTGGTAAATGAACGAATCAAGCGAGTACGCGATTGACCTTACGCAAACGCAGCGATTCGTTCGTTGCGTTCATGTTTTGTACAGTTCAGACTATACATTTATGTTGCTAAATCGCTCCTATTACAACCGAATAAGATGCCACAGTATTTAACTTAATCGCTGTCGTCTGTTCTCCCGTCACAGCGTTTCAACCGAATGACAACGTTATAATATCCATACTACACATACATACATAATAACTGCCTCGGTGGTGTAGTGGCTAGCATGTACGGCTGCACACTCGGAGGTCCTGGGTTCGAGTCCCGGGTCGGGCCAAGTTTAGTTATTGAGTCTTTCTGTATAGTAAGTCTCAGTAACAGCCCGGAGTTGGGAAGTTGGCGGTGTTTCACCCCCGTGCCTCGGAGAGCACGTAAAGCCGTCGTTCCTGCGCCTTAACTCTAACTGGTCATGTCGAGTAGTCGTTCCACTGGAATATGAGAGTGACAGGAATAGAGAGTTCCCTTGTGTCTGCGCGTACACTTGTGCACTATAATATCTCCTGCGCAGTTGGCTAGTCTTAATGAGATTGGCCGCCGTGGCCGGAATCGGCTAGGAGAAGATCAATATCCATACTAATATTATAAATGTGAAAGTATGTTTGTTTGTCCTTCTTTCACGTCGAAACGGAGTAACGGACTGGGATAATTTTGGGTGAAGATAGTTCATAGTTGGAGGGCTGAAGAGTGGTAAAGACTACTTTTTACCTCGAAAGATTATCTCATTTCCGCGGGGAAACACGTTATAATACAACCCAAAAAAAATATTTATGATCAGAATCACTTGAAACTTGGTATTAACGCTCTTCAATACAATAAATAAATATTTAAGATTTAGCATTCTTCGAATTTATCCCGTAAAGGGGTAAAATAGCGGATGAAATTTTGTATGAAACCTCCCTTTTTAGAGTGTTTTTTTGGAGTTTTAGCGCGAGCGATAAGTACATTATGTAGTATTTGACTTTTTTTAAATAAAAATTTTCTACTTTTACCGTATTATGTGTACAAATGAAAACAATATATTTTGTCTCAAATTGTACATAGCATCTTAAAATTAGAGTACAATTTTTTTATGAATTGTTTTTTTATACCATTTATTGGTAATATATAATTTATCGTTTTATCTTATTATGTAATAAAGTTGCATTATAAGTAGCTTTACATAGTATGCGATTTTAAATAAAGAAAGAATTGAGTGTATTTTCAAGTTTACTATAAAATTGACAAAAAACTAGATGTTATTTTTTCAATCACATTAAGCGTTTTGAAAGTTCGTATTACTAGTATTTCTATTCGATTTTTATTTACTAGGAGCAGATTATGTAAAGAAGTTAATTTCTATATTTCCTAATATGAAAAATTAAATTTATATTTACACAGATGAAACTTGTTTATTATTATTATTTTCTTAAAACATTTTTGTGAGGAACCACTATTTTTTTCACCAAATTGGGGAATTTGATTTGGATGGTCGGGGAAATGTTAAATTGGTATTGGCAATTCTGGTAAATGGATACGTAAATGAAAAAAATCGATATGTAGTGTATCGATATTTATTACTAGTATCGATATATATTGTATTGATATTTATTAGGACTATCTATATACTATGTATAGAATATAGTAGTGTTGTGATATATCGATATATTTGCCCTATACGTCATTAATTATGACGTATGAGCATTGTCAAAGTATTTAAAATTTGGGAAAATTAAATACATTTTTGGCAGTTTTATTGTTACTTTTATTATGAAAGGGGTACAAAAGTAACCAATAATTAAATTATTCACTACATTTAATTTCCTAGTTTTTAGTTCTAATTTTCTTTATATTGTGTGTAATATTGTAAGTGATTGTAAATAAACCTAATAAATAAATAAATAATAATAATAAAATGAAAAAGAATGTATTTTTTATGTATAAAAAATTATTTTAAGTATAGTTTTTTGCAATATTCATTTTATATGATTCCATCGCCCATTTGAAAATAAATGTATGAAGTTTTTTTTTTAAATATCTATTTTTATTTTAATTATTCTTTGAAATATTCATATTTCATATGTTTAAATAAATTTTAATTGACTATTTATAAATTATGTGAAATATGATTATTGTAACGTAAGTCTTAACGGGAAAAATCGTAACGCTAATCCTATTTTTTTTCTCTCATGGTACGCCTAAACTGAGCAGTTTCACTTCAAAAATACTGAATATGATACGAATTTTATACCCTAAAATAAATAACGAAAATCGATACATCAGGAATAAAAATATTGTCTATTTATATCGATTCCTTTCCGAAATCGATATTTTTACCCAAGCCGAGCCTAGCCAAGCCTGGGTATTGGCCCATTGGGTAATACATAACACAACCACAGAATACAGAACAGTTTTACTCAGGATGTTCATTTAACAAAATAAAATCGTTTTTTTTTTATATATGTTATTGTATCGATACTTTGCGATATATCGTATAAATATATCGATATTTACGATATATTGTAAGTCGTAAGTTATTTGTTTATATTTAACTAGTCTATAATATTAAATAGGGATCAGGTTAATATGAGTAAAAACAGTGATGAAACAAAACATTTTATTTATTTATTAAACCCAATACTTTTTCTCTAGACTTTGCTAAAACAAAATTTTACTAACTCTTTTGGCTTGCACTCTGTTTTTCTGCCGAGTTAAAATAGCCGTTTTTATATATCGTTATACACACTAACTGTATTTAAAATTCGTAAGCTGTATTAACCACTTGAACCCCGCTGGTTCCTATAGGCACCACTTCCGGCATTACCGTCAAACCCCGCTGTTGCCTATAGGCACCACCTCGCCCATTGCATTTATCACTTATTACAAGACGAAATCAGTGTATTTTATGCTAAATGAGTGATACACGCAAACTTTAGAAGTTTCATGAAGTATATACATTAAATTTTTATTAAATGCTGAAACGTTAAAAATAAACACGTCAAGAATTGTTGAAATTTCAAGTGAAGAGCGCGCGACTCGCTATGGTTTTTGTGTAATTTAAAATCTTTAAACTAGTGAACTTGTGCCGTAAACGTATGAATATTTATTGTTAGTATTCTTTGCCACTATTGAGATACTAATAAGTGTAAAATCACGTTATAAAATTAGTTCTTTGGTCCAACAAATTTTGATGTATAAATTTCGTAAAATAAGTCACCATTATATAACATGAATTTTGACTATTACTCTGTGATTTGGTGCCCGATAAAGGTAAATTACTAAAGGAAAACTAATATTATTACATATTTTCAGTTGTTTGTAGTATATTTCAATAGTTTTATATTATAAATAATGTTTATTTACAAATAATACCTATGAGCTGTCAAATTTGACATATTTGAACTCTCATCAAAGACCAGTTGGGTGATTCTTCGGAACCTAGTGTTTTTGGCTCATTGGTCTGGCTCAATATTTTTTTTACATTTTGATCTAACTATATATATTACCTTGCCCGAGTAACTAATTATAACAACATTTATGGAAGGCACTGATTTACTTCCAGTATTTATTGATTTAGAGTGTGCTGATGAATTTGTCAATCAGATGAAGGAGGACTGAATCAGATATATGAGATTTTCATCCATATTAATTTGACTTGTACATATAATTGTACATATAATTGATAATATCATGTTAATTTTAATCAAATTTATTATAAAAATTAACAAAATTTGTTATAAACGAAACAAAATACTTTGACACATTGCAAATAAAAAAATAACAATATAATATAATTAATATTTAATCCTATTATTTTTAACCAATTTCGTCATACTATCAACGCAAATAGAAGTTCTTATCCATACAAATATCTAAATTTTAAAAATAAAAATTGTAGTAACCTATCTAAAATATATCAATCTATATAATATATAAATCTATGTCAGCCTTAATTATTAAAGGAACTTCAATTACGAGATCGCCAAACACTTAGTCTTACTTAATAAAATCGTTTAGCATTAAAAAATATAAAGAAAATTTAGAAAACATCATCGTCATCCATTAAATATGGATTAATATTTTCTAAATCTATAGTAAAATCTTTATCGCCGTCTCTTGAAAATGTTATCGATGTTTGAAGAACCTGCCAATAGCATAATCTGTTCTACTCTATCAGTCCTTCCACTTCTTTCGAGATCTTTTCTTTCATTTAGTTTGTCTACTTTTCTTTTATTATTTTGGTTAGCACTTCGCGTATTAAGGTTATTGTTTGTTTTACATGTAGTTCTATTAGTGATAGTTTGTACAAGATTTCCTATCCCAGTTACGCCATCATTTCCATTTGATTCATTATTTACTGACCAAAATGATTTAGGTATTTCTCTTAATTGCCTTTTCGAGTCAGCCAAGGGTGTAACTGTTATTCTTTCCTGATATAGCTCTTCTAAGTGATAAAATCCAAGGTGTTTCTTATGATTGCAGCTGATTACTTCGTACAAACAAGCCTTATCCGTACAACTAAGTTTTCGAACAGCCATCATAGGAAAATTTAATTTCCAAACTATCTGGTGCATTTTCATGCATCCGGGAAAGGCTTTTATATTTTGTGGGAACAGCAAGTCTTTTTCAAATACATCATATTCCGAAATAATTTTTAATCTAATCTTTTTTAAATTTTGATTCATAACAGTTAAAAAATCATCCAGATCCTTTATGTCATGACCCTGAGACACAGCACGATCGGCAGTTCTCTTTATCACGGCACCCACGCCATCTGGAGCACCCTTTCCATGTCCAGATTCGCTGTAATTCCCCGTAATGGTATCGACAGAGTTAAGGTATATGTGTAAGCTAGAAATCATATGAAATATTTTTTTATTACGATATTGACTGGATGGTGAATCAGAAATGAAATGTAAAGTGTGAATGCCTGCCCTTATTTCACTTATATAGTCAAGGATTGGTATTATGTGAGCCCATACGGCTGATATATCATGGCGCAGGCATTCACTCACCGTACAAAATGATTGTATTTGAGGTATATTTTCAGCATCTAGAAAGTATATTACTGAAGTATGCAATGTTAATTGTTTACGGTTACCACCAAAATGATAGGACTGAATTTCTTGATAACTCTTGACTGCATAATTTTCGCTGTAATCAATGTGAATTATACATTCACCATCGCTTAGACTTTCTTTCAAGTTTCTGAAAGCATTATATTGAGAAACTATATTACCACAATGCATTAAATACTCTTTCAACATTGATTCAAATTTTTCAATACATTTTTTCGGTTCTTCGGTCTTCTTTACTTTTTCAGTAATTCTAATTTTCCTTCCCTTACATTTTGTTACATCTTGTTTCGTGTCCCACTGCCAATATGTCATTTCAATAGAATTATCAAACTCCTGATAGCAAACTACTTTATTTTTGCATGCTAAACAATTGCGATGCATGCAGTCCACGCTAAACATGTCGCAACATAACATTGAAAGAAGATTTTGGGAGGTCATAACGGGTATTATCTTCCTCTGATACAATCCTTTGATGATTAAATCCATATTAGTATGTAATTTGCATAAGCAAGTGTCACGTGATCGAGAATCAGGTAGCATAACCCAAAATGGTCTTAGCTTGCAGAATGTTGAATAGCTGATAGTAAAATTTGAAGATTTCAAAAATTTCTTATGCAAATTTAAAAGATTGTCGCTGAGGTACCGCTTTTGCTTTCGTATTTTTTTCCTTACAATAAACTCCTTCTTTCCTGAGCATAGACTGCTATTTTCGTCGGCCTCATAAAATATACGGACATCTTGTTTTAGAAGATTAGGCAAAGGTTCGAAATTACAATTTTGTTTTTTATTTGGTACAATGGATTTTATTTTAATGATTTGATTTTGAACTCGTTTTAAAGCCATTCTTTTAAGTTGTTTTCTATAACGTTCATTTTGTTGCGTTAGGCTTATTAACTTTTTCTTAAGAAAATTTATTACTTTATCTTTTTGGTAACGGATACGTCTTACGGCAGAAGTAACAGATGAGGAAGACATAGATTTAGTATTAGATGGTGTACTCGTTTTAAAATCATTGCACTGTGTAGATATGCTACGCAAAGTTATAGACGGTCCTGACATCATACACTCCGAGCTTTTATTTAAGAATGGGCTTGCTGGAAGGCTACGAGCCAAGTGTTCTAAAACAACAGGTTCGGTATCTGACAAAATGCTAGGACTTTGTGGTGGGGTATTTTCTTCTAGCAGCGCTATTGTTCTTTTTTCACGCTTCTTTTTTAAATAATATGAACGATACTTCTTCCACCATGTCTGTCTCTGTAACCTTTGCTGTCTAGGAGTCATTTCGTTTATAGGTAATTGTTTCTTTTCCTGTTTTCTACGTAAGTAACCTTGTCTATTTTTTTCTTGCTTTTCTTTCCATAAGTCTGGATTATTTTTTATCATTTCGTATCTTTTTCTCTCTGCAAGGCGCTTCTTCGTCAACCTTTCTTCTTTAGTTTGCTTCTTTGATTTTGCCATTTTGAAAATAGAGACCTAAAAGTGTATAATTTTATCGATTAGTTGACGCTATTAATCCTTTAGTAAACAAGTAAAATATTAACGAAATATATTTTTTATAGTTATAAAACGTTACACTCTTTTTAAGACACAAAGTTTGCTTCAGTTACAATAATATTTTTGGGTTAAACCTAATTAATCTGTCGTTTTCAAATTCATCTGGTATTAAAATGCCAGATAAAATCAGATAAATTAGCACCAGATGAATGAGAAATTTTAATATAATCGAATACTATGTTTTTACTTTAAATATAATAAGAATTAAATAATAATTATTAGTGTCACTTAACTTGATAATATATCATTATTAAATTAAAAAATCATTATACTTACGCAAATAATTATAATTGAGTGCAGATTAATTATCCTTGACACGTTACAAAGTCCAGATTTCAATTTTAAATCGTAATTTATCACTCAAAAATGAAGCAATATGAGTGCTTCCTTCGACGCATCGGCGCTAACTGAGACGGGCAATCTCTTATCGGTGTGACTTAACGGAATATTAAGATATTATACTATATAATATGCATAAACATGTCAGTACAGATAAATTATAATTTTAGCCGCGGACAAAATGTAAAGCCCCGTAACTTTCAGAATATAATAATATATCGGATCAAATTATAAAAACAATAACGATCAAATATTCAGAGATCAACTGAGTGTAAAAATTTTTGAATCCTTCGACGATTATTTGCTGAAAACAAACTTGGAACAAAGAAAAATGGCATTCGGACGCGCCAGATACATTAGATTTTGATGTTATCTGTAAGCTTTAACTAGGTTTAATTTAATTAATTACAATTAAAAATATAAGGCCTCGATAGAAGTTGTTTTTTTACATGTTACCTATGAATTTTTTTCTTATCGGAAAATATTTAAATATGTTCTCCAGTAAAAAACATAGCAAAACCGTGTTACGAAGAATCACGCAGTTAGACATTGACACATCGATATGTGCTATCGGTATTATCGATATTTTAATATATATATAAGTTGAAAAAGTAAGATTGTTTTTTTACTTTTTATACACAGTGGAGAATAAATATATGTAAGAGCCTAAATACAAAGTCAAACAATATACGGCCATATAATAGGAATACAAAGACGTTCGTCTATATCTATATAAATAAAAATGAATGGCAAAATGTTGCTAAATCAAAACTCTTTATCGGCTGTACTAATTAGCCTAACTATTTTTTTCAAATATTCGTCGGGGAAGGTTCTTATGAAAAGAAAAATTAGAAAAAAAAAATCACGGAAAAACGTAAATGAACGCAAACTTAAAATTAATGTAAACTGTAAATATTTGACACTCTCTCTTTCTACGATATACAATTTGACGTTGAATTTATTGGTTTGTTTGTCCTTCTTTCACGTCGAAATAAAATCCCAGATTGTCGTGGTTTTTGTGTCGAGGTAGTTAGAGGTCTGGAGAGTGAAATAGGCTACTTTTTACCATGGTAGATTATCTCGTTTGTACTTACGTAGTAACTACTAACTAATACTTAATCTGTGGTTTCGACGGGAAAACAAATTATATCTATTCCACGCCTGAGTGAAGCGAGGGTGAGTCGCTATTCTGAAATAAAATAAGCATTTCTTGACTGTTTCGTCGGACTAATAGGTGTGTAAAATGCTATTAAAGTAGTGTATATTATAGAGTTGTTCTGGGAAATACTTAGTAATAATAATTTAGGAACGTATGCCTACCATTTAAGAGATTTTAAATATTTGATAATATACATATAGTGTTTTTCACATTGTTCAAACTATATGAGCTATATTATTAAAATTCTCATTCCAAAATTATTATTTTAAAAATAAAAATATAGGGGTATATAAAACTGCATGAAACTAGTGAAAAATAACATCATATAAATGGTATAAATATTTAAATTGAGATATATATTTCACTTTTTATATACTTTTAACGTTAATTATTATTTGAATAAGATATGTGAGTAGTTTTTGAGATATGGTATATATTTAGCTATGGGCATTTGTTGCATACAAAAATTGTCTCTATTTGTCATAGAAATACAATAAAATACAAATTAAGTTATACCACTCATGAAGAAAGTATTGTAGATGAATAAACAATATAGCATTGTTTTTTTTCTGTATCCTGCGTAATGCAACAATCTGTCGGTAGACATTTGGCTGCTCCTTTGTTAGAAGTTGCTCTGAAATAGGTATTTGTAGCAGTTAGAAATTGTCCATTGACCTCTCTCGCTTATTCTATTGGGAATTGGTTTATTAGATTACAAGTACACAAGTCTGAGGAGGAACAGTGTTCCAACACTGTTGTCTTGCGTACACAATACTTCCAGATCCAGCCAAATCAACAGCCAGGGAGTTGACATGTTGGGTTAGTTTATACTGGTTGTTTTGACTAAGGGCAGCGATTTCTTGTTTAGCAGTTATGAACTTAAGATTTTGCAGAATGTATTTATTATGTATGCATTTAGGGAAGTTAGACATGGATCTGATGGATTTGGTTTGAAACCTTTCCAGGATGTCAATATTACTGTTACTTGCTGTTCCCCAAAGTTCAATACCGTATGTCCAAACCGATTTCAGTATGGTTTTGTATATTACCATTTTGCTTTTGTTGGTTAACTGAGACCTTTTACCAATTAGCCAGTATATGCTTATCAACTTTGAGACTAGGGTCTTTCGTTTCTTCCATATATGCTTTGGCCATGTCAGTCTTCTATCCAAGTGCATGCAAAGGTATTTTGCTGTGTCATCATGATACATTATTGTAAAATTGATATTTATATCAAAAGTGTGCTAGTATGTAAATAAAATTGAAATCTTTATTTTAAGAATATAGAGCTATTTATATGATACCAGTACCTTTTTTTTTTAACGTTGGGAAATGCATTTACGCACGAAGTGTGAGACTCACCGGCGAAGCCAGTACTACCCACTAAAACCCAACAAAGCCTTCCCCCGTCTTAATGGGGCGTCGCAGGATCGCTTACGCATTCAACTACGACGCCCCGACGGCAGGTCTGCCGAAGCAGACCACAACAACCACGGGGTTGCTCCAAGGTCCACTCTGCTGTCAGAGAAGTACCAGGAGCAACCCGCATGGTACACCGCCCTCCGAAGAGGGCCACCTCCCACCGCCCACCGAAGAGGTCCACCTCCCTGTGCGTTTCTTGGCTTCGCGCCCGGCTGTATGCCGGGCACTACTGAGCCCCCCCACCACGACAAGGTTAACGCTCGTTGGGGAGGTATGATACCAGTACCTAAACAACCCTTGTTATAATATTTGTCTGTTAAATTTTTGTTCTGTTGCAGGATAATCTTTAGAATGGCTCTTAACTGATTATATATAATGGCATGCATAATTTGATGTATTTTAAAAAGATGTATTTTATTTTTTCAGGACTGCAAACATGGAACTGAAGTACATCCACAGAATGCATTGTCACCGTTGAAAAATCAGTCCAGTTTTAAGCAAAAAGTTTAATTTAGAAGCAGTAGTGCATATAAAGACTTTCCTTACTGACCTTTCCAATATTTTACTACATCTAGACTGAAAAACTCCTTCATTTAAAAGTAAACAATGTTGTCACATGTAGCCATATAAAAGTGGTATTGCTAAAATAAAAAGGAGAATCGGTTTTATTGATTTTTTGGCTTTCATTCTATTTCTTTGTTGGTTGACTATATATAATAAATGATTGGATTTGGGATGGGCCTTTTCGTTTTTTGTCGAAAACCGATATGTAACCGTTATATAGTTTTCATATCGATATCGAAAACGGTTTTTATATATCGATATCATTATTATGGTTTGCTAACGTATTTGGTTACACAGTTATGTAACTAACGACAAACGAAAACACGTGCACATTTAACGAGTTATTTTAACCTAATACATTTTAAAGAATGTCTCAGTCTGCGATGTTTTAGTTAGTTATGGCGATGTCCCTTCATGCTTTACTAGGCTTAGGACTATCAGAAAAGCTTTGTAAGTAAAAAAATAAAGATACTTTTCTGGCGCATTTAAAAATCGCCATATATACAATGATTTTTGATTTATAAATATTTACAGATGTTTAATTTTAAATCTACTTCTTTTTGGATAAAGACAGATTTGCATTTAAGAATGCAAGCTGCTCCACTTTCTTCGATTTCAAACGGCATCTCCTTTCATTTATTATAAGCCCTGTCTTCGAAAAGAGTCGCTCACACGGAACTGAGGTGGCAACTATATTACACTTATTTCGATAGAGTTCCGAGAGGTGTGGATAAATTATCCTATGGTCTCTCCACCACTGCGCTGGATTATTCCAGTTTCTTTCGAAATCTTTACGGGGCAACATCTCATCGTCTAGGTACATCTGCAGTTCCCTGATGGCCCGCGCTTGAGCATTTCCTTGCGGTTTATTTTTTCGTAATAAATCGTCAAATTTATCCCAAGCACTTACACTAGTACTAACATTTTGAGCTATATTTACATTCGCTGTGGTTTCAGCACTCGACTAGGAAGATTTGTTTTTATTAATAAGTCCAATAATTAACGAGTGTACGTTTTTTTTTAGTTCGGAGACGGCAAGTTCATTTTTGAAACATAAAAGTTTAAAACGTGGGTCCAGTAATGTGCATAGCCCGAAGGTCTTACTGTGCTCTACGCTAGAAAATCTTTCAGTTAAACCACTTTTTAAAGATGTGATTATTTCCTCCACGTCTGGATACCACGAGCAATACTTTCCGGGATTTAAAAAGTCGTCACAAATATCTTTCAAACAGTTTGTGACGACTATTACCATGCTTCCAGTTAGATAATGAGAACCGCTCATAGTTGAAGTGACTTCCTCAAAGGGTTGCAAAACTTTGCACACTTCTCCCATTACTGCCCAATCCATTGTATTAACTTCTGGCCAATCTCGTTCTATTAGAGCCATACAATGCTTAACTGCTACTTTTAATAAAACGAACCGGCGCAACATATAAAATATTGAGTTCCAACGCGTTGGCACTTGTTGGATTAGCCGTTTGGGCTCACCACAGTCCGCCATGTTCTTTATTTGGTAACTGAGAAGCATATCTGTTGCACCTGTACTGCCATTGAAATGCGCCACAATTTTTTTTACATTTTCTATTAGTGCGTCTAATGGTCTAAGCGCACTCGCGACTATTAAGTTTAGGCTATGTGCATAACATCCATAATGTTTCCACTGTAACTCGGTTTCAATAGCCTTAACTATGCTACGAGCATTATCTGATATTGCAAAATTTACTTTGTTTCTAACGTTCCACTCGTCAGTCACTGTTTTTAATGCTCTTGCTAAATTGGCGCTCGTGTGGCTTTCATTTAAACCTTTGCACTCCAATAACACCTGCTTTGGGTTAAAGTTGGAGTCTAAGTAATGAGCAGTCACTCCAATGAAGCTCTCAGTTTGCGAAGACGTCCAAATATCGGTTGTAATACAGATCGACCTGGCATCTTGGGAAATTAACTCTTTCATTTTCACTAATTTAAGTGAAATGAAAGAGTTAATTTCCCAAGATGCCAGGTCGGTGTGATACAACGCTGGAATCATTGCCGAAGATATTGTTTTTCTATTCGGCAATGTGTATCCTGGTATGTTTTTAGCGAAATTTTTAAAACCCTCATCTTCCACTATTCGAAAAGGCTGGTAATCGGTTATGAATAAGCCAAGTAAATCTCTGTCCACTTTTTTCTTTTCTTCCGGAGTCATTTTTTTTCCACATAATTGTGTAGTGTCCGTTGTCGTTTGCGTGGCATCTCAATGATCTGTTGGTTCACATTTAGAACGGCGCTAGTAGACCCAGACGGATCCGCAGAGCTGGTAGATGCAGCCACAGAACTGGTGGACGCAGCCGCAGAGCTGGAGGTCGCAGCCGCAGAACTAGTTGACGCAGCCGCAGAAGTGGTGGAGGCGGCAGACGTACCTGGCACAAGAGATTGCGCCGTCGCTCTTGTTTCACTAATACACGTAGTATTCGATTTTTGCGCCAAGTAAACCGAACCATGGGATCTTTTTAAATGGGAATTTAAGTTACCGGTTGTAGATTTATATGATAAAGTTTGCGAACAATATTTACACACAGCCATAGAAACAGCATTATCTTTTTTATCAAAATGAGTCCATATCTCACTTGCCTTTCGCGACATTGGTATAAAAATAAGTATCTAGTGTCTATCTAAAGTTCTTATAAAATACTTTGAAACTAGAAACCTTAAAACTAATTAATTTCACTATTGACAGATTTGTCTTCAAAACGAGGCACTAAAATTATCATTAAATTATGTACAAGAATCTTTTTTACACTATAATCATAATTATGCACGACACATAAACGCAATGTTTCATTTCCGAAACGACTGTTGTTGTTGTTTACTAAATCCAAAAAACTATGCCAACAAATTACACGTCAAAATGCACCTTATTATTCTTCAAGAACTAAACATCATTATTACCTAAATATTTTTTCGTCAATTCAAATTAAGCCGTATTGCTATAAAACTAAATTACAATTTGCCGTGTGAATCTTTCGCGGAATAACCGACTAAATATCAAAACATTCTAAACGTAATCGTAACAATTGAAATTAACCTTTATTTCTACCTAACATAAGAGCGAAACGCCATAATTTGTAATTGCCTAAGCATTGCACAAATAAAACAAAAATGCTTCATCTCTTTTACATCGCTTTACAAGAAAGAGAAGAAGCGAATATGATACCGTTCGGCTTTCGTTACCATCGTAGTTCGTTTTGGCACGGTTTTCGTTTTGATAACTGTGTAACATTTCGTTCGGTTTCCGTATCGAGTTGTCGCGCGATTCGAGTTATTGTTTCGATATCATAGTTTTTGAAATATCAGTTATGTGAAAACGTGATATCGATACGATATGTTATCTAACGCATAACGGTTATTAGTTACGTTTTGATATATCGAACTCATGCCTAGATTGGATAGAACAGAAGTCCCGACAATTGTTAAGTATTTGAAGCCAATCTTTTTAGTTCAAGATCTTTAGTATTAACATGTTGAATGCGGGACACTATTTTCCTGATTTACAACCAGTGCTATACTGGAGAAATGTGACTGGCACTCTGACTTAATTCTAATGCGGTGCTGGACATAGAAGAGTGGTAAGATACATCGATTAAAATGACCAAATTTTCATAATAAACTGAGATAGGAACTTTTTGATATTTTTGGAAGTTTATGTAAGGATAAAACTATTATACTGTTGATTAGCCTCAGCATATGACATTTATTATTAATAAAGTTAGAATTTATATATACCAGTCAATTTTTCTGGTAATGCGCCACTAAAACTGGCAACTTAAGAATTATCAATTATCAACAAACAACAAGTAATGGTACGCATAATTAAAACAAAAAGATTAATAGAAAAATATACATTTTTATCAATCATATAAATTATATTCTTTGGAAATCTTTGATTACTTAAAATCACAAAATGTTAATTAACAAGTATTATATGCATTATTGTAAATTATTGTGATTTTCATCACTGTTTGAATGAGTGATTAAAACATAATATCGTTTTAACGCAATTTTTATTCATTTTGTCTATGATTTGCCCTTTCTTTAATTTAGTGCTAATAATAATCTTTTGGAGACGTTTTTTGTTTGTCCTAATCGTTCCACATATCATAGTCTTCTTTTTTAATAAATTCTTTGCCAGACACACTGAAATATAAAAATTATAAGATATCACTATACATCCTTCATTTTCCAAATCTTGTATTAATTTCATAACGATATCATGTCCATGTGGTTGGCATGTCTTTTTTTTCACATTTACCAGTATATTACTGAAGTTGTGTATCCTTCTGGTGTGCACATTTTGTACAATTTTATCCCGTACTTATGGGATTTATTTTTGATATATTGTTTAAATTTCAATCTCCCTGTCCATGGCAACATTCGTCAATGATTAAGTAATTTCCTGGTTTTAAAACCTCTCTAAAATTATTTAATATCAACGTCAATATTTTCAGGATTTTGCGAAGTTGGTCAGTATTACCATCAATGCGACTGTCGTTAAAATGCCAAAAATGCAACATTAAATAAAATCTATCTCTTGACATTAATGAGCAAATATATTCATTGCGATATGATGATTTTCGGGACCAATACATGCTAAGATTTGGAACTCGTAACTAATGCCATAGTCAATAAAACTCCTAAAAAGACACACATCACTTCATAGTTGGTTTCCATTTTTTAGCTCTAGACATATGCCTTAAGTTTTCATTTTGACAAAAAGTTCTGCATATGTATTAGTCTTATGAACCATTTTATTTATAACCTCGTCCGTAATGAATAATTTAAAAACCTCTATTGGTGTTCTTACATCAGTTGGTACATTTATCGTTTCTTTGCCTTCATATTCTTCAATATTGAGTTGAATGTCCGAAATATCTATCCATTCATCTGAACTTTGAGATACCTGGGTTTGGATTGGATTTTGCTGTTGTGGGATTTCTATTTTAGACTCCTAAACTCTTCAGAATCAGATGTTATTGTAGAACTAGAATCGGAAGATAAATCAGATGCATTATAATCTGGACCAGTGTCACTTAAAGTCATATGAGAACTCTATCGATACGTACTGGCCTAATCGTCACTGGTGGTAACGACTTGTTGCAATGAGTTTAAGTTAAGTCTATGGCAAAATTTTCAGTAGCGTTACCATTACCGCGGTGTCTTACATGAACTGAAGTCTCAAGAATTTGCGTCTCAAATAAGTAGATGTTAGCGTGTTAGTGAAATGACTATTTACGATTTATGGCATGCTAAGAGCAATAGCCATGACCTGGTAGGCGTCAGCCCTGCACGTCATCAGCCCCTTTATTTTTTGACCTGTTTAGTAAATTGAGTTTTAAAACTTGTTTCTGTAAATTTGAAAATTTAATAGGATAAAGTTTATTTATTGTACATCTTAAAAACAAGTATTCAGTGCTGATATAGCTTGTGAATGAGGAATTTTCTTGACATTTAAAGCTGAAGTATTGTCAACAAAAGACTCATCATTCCCAGACTCGTCAGTCTCTTGCGTAAATTGGGCTATGATCTCATCATCAGTTATGGGTTCTGTGCAATTCTCCTCCTCGCTGATTGTCAAGAAAGTGGAAATGGTTTCTTCTGTATCTCCACGGTTGCGTAGAAGACTCAGTGGGAGATCGTCTTCCACGTCGAAGCCATCGTTTTCTTCTCATCCATCTTCTGTTGCATTGAATTGTTCAGGCCATAGAGGCTTCCTAGATTTTTTGAGGAGAGACGACGATACGTAATCCCACCATTGCGCTAGTGAAAAAATCCGTCCTTAATTGTGATGTTTTTAATAACATCATGTAGTGTTCAACTTTCATCATCTTCTTGCTGCGCAAAAACTTGAATCAGCAGTTTCTTCTTGTAATTTATCTTGACATTTTGAATTACGTTTTGATCCATCGGCTGAATCAAGGATGTGCAGTTTGGTGGCATGTACAGTACGGAAAAATTGCCATCTTCTGTAGTCAAATCTTCAGCATTTGGATGTCCGGGCGCATTATCTAGGAGTAACAATGCTCTTTGTGGTAGACCTAATTTCTTCAAATGACGTTTAACTTCTGGAACGAAATGTCCTCTGAACCACTCCAGGAAAATATCTCTAGTTACCCAAGCACGCCTTAGTCCTTGATAATGCACCGGTAATTTTACGGATCCAAAAGATCTTGGCTTTTTGGCCTTACCCACGACTAGTAACTGTAATTTATGATTCCCTGTCGAGTTTGCACAAGGCATAAAAGTGATTCTTTCTTTAGATACCTTGGATCCAGGAGCACTAGTTTCAGCAGAAGAAGCTAGTCTTATCTGGCAGAACCTTCCAAAATAATCCTGATTCGTCTGCATTGTAGATTTGTTCAGGACAAACGTCTTTTTCTCCTATCTCTTTCAAAAACTTTTCTTGGAATGGCTGAACAGCCTCCGCATTACTAGAGACTTTCTCACCTGACACTTTCCGCTGCCGTATGCCATGACGCTTTTTAAAATTATCCAGCCACCCTCTACTTGCACTGAAATCAGACCCTGTTAGTTTTTTATGAAAGAATCTGGCTTTTTGCATTACGATTTCGCCTGATAAAGGACCGTGTCTTCGTCTTTGCTCTAAAAACCAAGTGAAAAGTGCTTCTTCGAGCACTGGATTTTCTAGCAATTTTAGCGTTTTTCTTAAACCTGGACCTTTCTCGGTTTGAGCTACAAAAGACCGTATTCTCTGTTCTTTTTTCTTTAAATCAGTAATTGTCGATTTTCCAACACCATACTTAATGGAAAGAGAAGCTCCAGACACTCCATTTTTCAAACTATTCAGTATGGCACACTTATCAGCTATGGTTAAAGTTTTATGTTTGCGTTTCGGTGTAGGAATCATTTTTATAACCTCTAAAACACGTGGCGCGCGAGTTTAGCACAAAGTAACGTAAACACGCGAGGTGTCTCATTCGCAACTGAAGACAAAAAATAAGATCAGCGGAGGTGCAGTCGGCAGTTCGGATTACAGCGACGTTCGGATTAGTCAGAGTACGGATTATCGAGGCTCTACTGTATCGGAGGATGCACACGAGGCTCAAAAGAACTTGAGCATGGGATGGATAGACTATCAGAAGGCGTTTGATAGTATATCGCATGAGTAGTTGCTTCGCGTGTTGGACATTTATAGGTGCCCGCCGGTTATTAAGAGTTTTCTTGAAAGAGCAATGCCCAAATGGAAAGTTACAATGACGGCTAAGGGCTCTACAGACTTTTACACTACTGAACTGATTTATGTTAGGCGGGGAATCTTTCAGGGAGATTCGTTATCTCCATTGTTATTCTGCTTGGCACTTAATCCGATTTCTACTATTCTATGAAATATGGGAAATATCAAAAGAAAAGATATCATCTGAGGGACAGCGTATGGATTAATCACTTAGTATACATGGACGACCTTAAAGTGTATGCAATCAATAGAACTAACTTAAAAGTCTTACTAGATAGTGTCGAAATTTTTACCACAGATATAGGCATGTCATTCGGGCTGGATAAATGTAACATACTTCATATAACTGCTGGATATAGAAACTACACTGATGGCAACGAACATATACTACTGAACGGAAACACCTTGAAGCAATTAAAATTAGACCAAACATACAAATATTTAGGGATTAACGAATCTGGGAAGATAAATCATAGCGATATTAAGGACCAATTAACAAAAGAATATTTTAGGAGAGTTATAAAGATATCAAATTCTTATTTAAACGCACGAAATTTGATAAAAGGGATTAATACATATGCTGTACCTGTTTTGATGTACTCATTTGGGGTTATAAATTATAAAAATAGCGATATAAAACGGATCGATGATAAGACGCGTAAGTTGCTAGCAATCAAGAAAGCTCATCAGCAAAAGGCGGATGTCGACAGAATCTATTTACCCATAGCAATGGGTGGTAGGGGATTAATTAATTTAGAAAATTTGTATAAAGCTCATATTTTAAATTATAAACAATATTTAGAACAGAAAAATGATTACCTAATAGAAGCAATAGCACAACACGATCGGAATAGAGGAAAATATTCAATTTACAAAGAAGCAGAAGAAATAGAAAAAGAACTGAGGTTAGCGCCGGGCAAAGATCACACCAAAATAGAAATTAAAAATAGCATAATAAAGAAGCAGAATGAAGCCTGGAGAAACAAGAACCTGCATGGGCAATTCCCTAAAAAGGTCCTCGACCTTGCCAATGTGGATAAAGAGCTTACCTTTAAATACCTGAAGATACAACCTATTTCGCCAACATTAGAATCGTCTCTATTTGCTATACAAGATCAGGCAGTGCTAACGCGCCAGCACGAACGCGACATATTGAAGAGAAATACAAATGGCAAATGCCGCTTGTGCGCAAATAAAGACGAAACCGTTCAACATCTTCTAGCAGGATGTGAAAAACTCGCCGGGACATATTTTGTAAAGAGAAACTTAGTGCAATATGTTTTCTGGTGCTTGGCTAAGAAGAACAAAATCGAAGTCAACAAGTTATGATGGAAGGAAGAACTCAAGCAACCGACTTTAAAAGAAAATAGTACAGCTAAATTAATATGGGAAATCCCTGTGCAAACTGACGTTACAATCACTCACAAACGACCAGACCTTATTTACATAGATAAACAAAACAACCATACTTACCTTATTGATATCTCAGTGCCACCTGACTATAACATTGGAGCTAAGGAAATAGAACAAAATAGCAAATATTACCCGCTTAAAGTCGAACTCTCCAGGTTATGGAACACCACCGTCACAACCATCCGGATTATAGTAGGAACCACTGGTACAGTGGCGAAGAGCCTTAAGCGGTATTGTGACAAATTAGATGCAAAACATTAACATCCACATACTACAAAAACAAGCAGCATTACACTCTTCCACCATAATTAGTAAAGTACTTGGAGATACCGTCTTCGTAACACAATCATCGCAAGCACATCAACAATACACAGCGCAATCAAACACACAATCAACGTTCGCATACCATTCATCCACATCTCAATCAACGACACAGCCATCATCCGATCAGCACCCATGTGCAAGTCATTCTTCCATTTCTGACTCATACTCAAGATTCGGCTAGTCCATCACAACCTTACTTTCAACATTAGCTTCATATTTTAAATGGGGGGATAGAACAGAATCAATTATACTAGGTATCCTTTTTCCTGAGGGTCTCGGGACGGGATATTTAGATAAACCGACAGAGTGAAAAAGTCGTTTTTTTTTAATTATAAATGGGAAAGAAACTCTGTCTGTCTGTTACGCTTTCACGCCTAAACCGCTGGACCGATTTTGATTGTTTTTTAAACTGGCTATGGAATAGCTACTATATCGAGGAGTAAAAAAGGATATATACCATGCGGGGAACAGTTAAAAGTAAAACACGTAGGTATTTATATTTATTTACTCAGAGTATTTATTATAGGCTTATGTTTAACTTACCACCAGATATAGTAACATATAACAGACAAAAATAGTAATTGATCACCAAAATTAAACCCGCATTTTAATGTAAACTTATAACCAAAGTTTAACCCAAAAGTAGTAAATGATCACCAAAATTAAAACAGCATTTTAATGTAAAATTATAACCAAAGTTTTTACATCTTGCTATCCTATTTAAGCAAACTGACTACAAAAAAATCATTGTTAACACAAAAATAGTTAATGAACACCAAATTATTAACCACATTTTAATTTAAAATGAGATGCAAAAAAATAACATCTCTTTATCCGATTAAAGTAAATTACCCTCGGCAAAAAAAATATTTTACCAAAAAAAAATATCTTGAGCGTTTCGTTTATTCAACCAAATGCTATACCTAAGATAAAAAATAAAACTTACAATTTCAATAATCCTTTATTTTAATTATTTAAACAATCATAAAAAAGTTAGTCCTACTAAAACTAATAATAAACAGTTTAAAGATATTAAAACTAAACTAATAATAAACATTTAATAAAACTTAAGAAGAATCAGTCTTCTGTAATAATTTACTGCACAATTAATGCTTTCTTTGCTTTGGCTGGTCGTCCTCTTTTGCGCTTCATGCCAATCGGAATAGCTCTGGCTTCTGAAGGTGGCTGGACGTGCTTAAGCCGAATCGCCAATCCAACGAGATGCTTGCAAATGTAGTCTTTGAGAAACTTTGGGCAATTGCATGTGCCGTGTAACCAATTTTCCTTTTCTCGGGGCATTATAACTTCCCACTCTCTAAAATGTTGCTCTTTGTATTCGTCAAAGGTTTCCCACGGCTTTTCATATTTTTTGCAATCTAAATCCGACCCAGCTGGAATTCTGTATGAGCAAACTAGCTCAGTGCAATACTTTAATGGCACCTGCTTCGACAGTTTCGCCCATTGGTAACTTTCTGTCCACGTCTTTAAAGATACTATCGGCAGTTGAGCGAACCGTCTCTCAGTGTTAGTCATGTATTCATTAGACCAGTCCTTGACTATATCAGAAGCAATTACTAAGAACTGCCTCAAAAGATGACGCTCACGAAGCGTGCCGCCATCTTTTATTGTTTTATTGAAAGATTCTAGAGCATTGTTTGTAGCAGGAGTCCCCGGAGATGCGCCCAAATACCAGAAGCGATTTAGTATGAACCATTCGTTTTTAAAGTATGTAACAAAATCATTTTCGGCTTTCCACTTGTCCAAAAATTTTTCGCTGGCTCGATCAAATATTTCCTGAGTTGAGGCACACTGTAAAGCATCAATATCTTGTAAGATCTCTTTTTGAGATTTCTTTTGCACACTTTGCTCCACTCTTGTCTGCATCTTCTTTTTCGCATGCGCCCAGCACATTCTTATGACTGTATCCGTTCCAAACGTGCACGCAAAGGCAGTTTGTATAGCCTTCGCTGCATCACAGACCAAAACTAACTACAAGTTAAAGTGTATGAGAAGATTGAAAAAACTGCTTGCTTTAATGCGGAAAATAAAAATATGAAGTCTTCCGTTCGTTCTGCTGTTGTCACAGCTAATCCAAATGGGTGAAAATGTTTATCTCTGTCTGTAGTTCCAATCACAAGTACTGGAAACCCTTGCCAAATGAGCTTATACGTAGCATCCGCGTGAAGAACAAAACATTGGCGTGATAGACCAATTAAATATTTCGTTGTTAACATAAACCGGAAGTTCTGATCTAAATCATCTTCAGAAATTTCATAGGCCAAAACAAAAAATTCGTGATCGTCATCAGGTATTTCAGAGTTTCCTTTTAACCATAATTTAAGCTGTCCCAAGCTTATCACCGATGGCCCGTATTTTTTCTTACGTATGATTTTAAGATAATTGTTTAACTGTAACTTAGTCGGCAGAACTAGTCCATTAATTTTAGCTAAGTTCTTCATAATAGATTTAGGTTTCAAACGCAGTTCGAATAGTTTTTCTATTTCCTTTTTTGTTGCATCATTTATTCCACTAGTCGATTGACAGTCACAATTTTCATGGTCGTGACATGTTTCAGTACGAAATAATAATATATCATCACATGATGCGTCAAATAAAAGATAAATCGCAGCAGAACACTGAATTTCAGCTCGAAGCTTTACTTTGTTACAACGAGAGTAACGTTTTACTCCTTCTTCAGTCGTATGAATTTTTTGTATTGACCAGGTCTTCTCATTTTTGATAAATTCCTCTGCGCTCCGCACAGTTATAAATTTTCTTTCAAAAACCCAAACTTTATTTTGCCTTCGACGTTTTTTCGTATGCTGTGTCATTTTATCTTCGTCTTCATCTAATTCCGATGAAGAACTCAACAGCGGGGCACAAGAACTCGGTCCCGCTAAGTTTTCATTCGCCATTGCAAAGAAGATCGATACCAACAGACAGAAAACAAAACACACGCAACGAACGCAAGTGCCCGAGCGTTACTAAATTCAAATTGGGGATCGTGTGACGTGTCCGGGCGAGTGCGGCGCTTGCGGTGCGGTGGGAGGGGATTGCAAGCCGGAGACATAACTTAATATGGCATCATAATACTTTATTTGGTAATAAGCTTACATTTTATGGCAATCATAGTAGTTTATTTAGGCAGAATTAGCGCAGTAATTTGTACGCTAAGATTTAGTGATCATTTACTATATTTGGTGTTCGAATACAATTTGAAGTGCAGTCGTGACTAAAATAGCTAGTACTATTGTAATTTTAGACTTTATTTTTCTGGTGTTAAGTATATATTTTTGGTAAAAGAACTAAGGGTATCAAAGCATTTTATGGTGGTCATTATATTTAACCCCTTTAATAATTTCATAAAGTTCACATTTAAGCATGTTTGGCAAATATGCAATAAGGGATTATTGGTAATCCACTGTTGCATTTCCGCTTTACTATTTGCCATTCTTGGCGACTTGTTAGTTTTGACGCTATGATATGGCGCGTTATCCATTACTACTAAACTTTACGGAGGGAGATTAGGTACAAGTTTTTCTTTCAACCACTTCATGAAATTTGTTTGGTTCATATCATTGTGGTCATCACCGAATTTTGTTTGTGACTTAAAAATCAACCTAGCGTTGGACACGAAACCATTTTACCCTCCAGCATGCATTGTTATCCAGAGAGCTCCCTTTGCATCGGAAGATAGAACTCCTTCTTCATCTTCACTTTTCCAGCATTTGGTCACACCGTACGAAGCATGGATGTAAGTTTCGTCCAGGTAAATGACAGTTCGAGGAGCAGCAGCACTACGATTCACTCGCATCTGTGTTAGATATTTAGCTCAACAAGCTATTATGTCTGGCCTCTCCATTAAAATTTTTCTCTTGCTTGAGCATTTTTGAAAGCGAAAACCAATTGATCGCATGATTCTCCACAGACTTGTGCGGCTTCCATTGAAATTGATATTGACCTTCAAATCATTCAATAGTTTTGTCAGGGTCAGAGCTTCTTTTCGAACAGCATAAAATTCATGAACTTTATGACGTATAACACATAGGTCAAAGTCATCCAATTTAACTCTTTTCGTGTGGGCGTGAGTTTCCCGGAGTTGAAATTTTCGTGGATGTACTTGCGGCAACTGCACCTTGACTTATTTTTGTCACCGTCTTTTCTGATATATCTAAAAATAAAATAAAATAACGTTCAGACCTAATGCATCATTTCCAATGTAAGGAAATTATTAAAATAATACTTAGTAGTAAACTAAGTATTACTTATTAAATAATTATTTTTACATATGAGTCAGGACCAAATTTTTGACGTAATTGCACAACGGAAATCACAACGGAAAGTGTCACACTAGAAAAAAAATGTAGCATAATAGAATTATTAGGGTGTGTGTAAATAGTCGTAAGATTTTAGGTAGGTAAGTGGAATAAATAAAAAAATCACATTATATTTCGAGAAATATTTAATAAAGTAGTACGAAACAAAATAAATGAAATAACAAAACCTAATAGTCCTAATAATATCATAAAACTTAAATTTATAACATAACAAAACAACAAAATCTTTACTAATAAACTAATCAGTCATTGGTTTCCATAATATTGCTTTAATTAATAATATTCACCGTACCTAGCAAACTAAAAAATATGATTTTTGTAGATATCGTAAAGGTTAAAAAATTGCTACTGCCAATGAGATAATAAATTATTTGAAAATAAATCAAATTTAGAAAATAAAATTATAGCTAATCAAAATAAACTTCGTCAAAATCTTCTAACAAATAGTAATCTTTGGAATATTGCCATAGTCTTACTTTTTTTACAAGCGAATCGCTTGTAATAATGTCGAGATCAACTTTTTTTGGCAAAAATAATTTTAGTTTTGGGGATTTTACAGTATTTAGAAAGGAGACCGTAAATAATGTTTTACCATCTTCATTATGAATTTTCTGAACATATCCTATATAGTACTTCCATGTTTTTCTATTAAATTCCATGTAGTATCTAACTAAAACAACGTCATTTATCAAAAAATAATTATTTTCCACATTAGCTTCTTGACTTATCGCGGAATTAACTCCAGAACTAGAACAGGACGGAATAGGATTTAAATATATACACTCGTGAGCAAAAAAATCGACTCAGGACGCACGCTTGCGGTTAAAAAGCTCTAGCAAAAAATCGGAAGCTTTTATTATATTTCTGATTTTAACATCTTAAAGTTCTTTGTTTTAGCTATAAAATGAGTGGTCTATGTTGTTATTAAAAATGTTTTCTGGTAAAGAAAAAATATTGAATGAGATGGAGTCTTAAGCAATAAAAAAAGTGATGGTTGACGGTAAAGAAAATACCACGTAAAATTCGTCAAAACAATAATTTAATTAAAATTATTTTTTTAATATTTAGTGTTGCCCCCCCCTGGCCCTAATAACAGCTTCCAATCGCTTTTTCATGGATCGAATAAGTTTCCTTACTCGATCTTGTTCGATGCTATTCCATTCGTCGATTAGCGCTGCTTTGAGGTCCGCCATCGTGTCTGGTGCAGGATTTCTAGCCCGAACTTTTCTTTTAAGATCAGCCCACAAATGCTAGATAGGATTTAAGTCCGGGCTACGCGCTGGCCAGTCCATAGCGGCAATTGCGACCTCCTGTAAATGCTGCCGGACGGAACTTGCAGTATGTGGACGGGCATTGTCGTGCATTAGGACGAAGTTTTCGCCAATGAAACCGGCGTAGGGAACGACGTGATCCTCTAAAATCTCTTCGATGTATCGGATCGCCGTCAATCCTCCCATTCGACCGCCAGTTTCAAAAAAACCAACTCGGTTTTTGCCTCGCTTGAAATGCCGGCCCACACCATCCAGGAACCTCCTCCAAAAGCAACATTTTCTTTGATACAGCACTGCGCGAATCTTTCCCCAGGTCTTCTGTAGACTCGTCCTCTTCTATCACTACCATGCAAGCACACTCTACTTTCGTCTGAGAAGAGAACAGTGCTCCATTGTTCGTCAGTCCAATCAACATGTTCTATAGCAAAACGTAGGCGGGCTGCTCGGTGTTCTGGGGTTAATTTGAGGCCAGTAGCTGGCCTTTTTGGCTCAAGCCTAGCTGCCTTAAGTCGTCTTCTGACTGTCCAGCCACTCACAGTTACTCCTCGCGTTTCAGTGTGTTGCACAACATAGCACTAGATTTAGGAGTGCCAGATCCTCAGGAACAAACAATAGGTAATCTATAATAAAATTTAAAAAAAAATACAATAGGTATATAAGAATTTAATTATTCAAAATGGGACATACACATATTTTGTTTTCCTTGTATTAAATTTATGATTGTCTGTAATTTACAAAACATAAATTATAAATAGGGTTCTTTTATTTTACAGTTAATAATTAAGATTTCCCTGAAAATGATGAGGTAGAGGATGATGTTATTATTATTATTTTTTATTTTTTTTATTTAGGATGATGTTACCCTGTTGACACTAGGGCGCTTATTGCGTGATCGCATTGCCAGTAGGGTGCATGCTGAAGCTGTTTGACAATAACCATGCAACATATTCAGTGACTCAATTGCCTTCCTAACCTTTCATTTAAATTCTACATTTTATAAATTATAATTCAAAAAAACTTGTAGGGGTCTATTTGAATAGAGTATACTTTGATTTGATTTAGATTAATATATTTTTATTATAAAGCTTGCAGTAGTGTTGCTTAATATTTAACTTTAAAATAATCAAAGTTCAATTTGTTTTTAACTTTTAATGATCTTAAAACTTATATTTTATCTTTGATCAAAATAGCACTTAATTAAATTAAACACTTAATTAAATTATAAATTTATATTTTGAATTTCTGTATTATCACACAATACTACTTCTACTGTAACAGGCAGTTTTTTAATCTGTCATGATGATTGTTTTTAATGTGTAAAATTATTGACAATCAGCGATTCAAATCTAACATAATAATTATAAAATTGTACAAGCATTTGAGAGAGAAATAAATGAAATTGTTAATTATCTAATACTGTTTACTTGATGTATATGTAACCTACGTACCGCAATTGCCAAATATTCTGCTGCTTCTGGTATGTCTTCAATAAGTGGGTGCAATTTATTTGTTAAGGCACAGCCGTTCCGAAAATCGATCATTAAATGCTTAGCAGATTTATTAAAAAATTCTTGGCGAAACAGTTTGAAGTCGCGTTTGAGACGACCATTGACCACTTCAACCACCCACCTACACATTGTTACACATCTCGACTTATTTGCTTGTTGTGTCTGTAGGACTCTTTTTGGAATAAATAGTTGCTACTGCTTTGTACGTACACATATGTAGCATCACATATTACAATAGCGGGTCTCATTTCTGAAGAAGGATTAGGATTCCCGAACATTCCTTCTGGAATTGTTTTATTCCTAGCTGCAACTTCTTCCTATGTGCAGTGCACCCGGAGTCCACAACAAATTCTTTCTTTTGTGTTGTCTGTTTTTCAAACTTTGTAAAAAATGCCTTTTCGGTTTTTTTCTTATATGTTTCTTCTTTCTCTTTCTTGTTTTTAGTTTTAAAAAAACAACTTTCCTCTTTATGGTTTGTTTTCTTACAAATGTAACATTGTTTATTCTTTAACTTAGTCTTTTTCTTCATGATTATTCCTTTTGCACATACTACAGGCTTTACAGTCTTTCTTCATGTGACCACTTTTATTGCATTTAAAGCATTTAATTATACTTGAAGCATTTTTCTTTGTAGCTTGAACTGCCAACTGTTTTTCTGTTTCACTGCTTTTTAATATTCTTTTTTCTTCAGATAATATTCTATTTGTTAAATTAGTAAGGGTTTTCTTGTCATCTGCCATTGATTCCCAAGCAGTAATGAAGTAGTTTAGGTTACTTGACAAACAGGATAATATTTTTGACATAACCATTTGTTCGTTAACGTTTTCACCTAACTGATTCAGTCTAAACTGTAGATTTTCTATGTCACTTATTAATTCACTAAGTGATCGACCTTCTTGTAATTTATATGTGAAGAACTCTTGTAATAATGATGCCTTGTTTCTTTGTTCAGAGCCTCCAAATATGTTACATAACTTGGTGTACATTTCTAGAGCATTTTTGCATTTTAAAATGTGCCCTTTCAATTTCCTGTCTATACTGTTTATTATTATTCGTTGCACCATGGCATCTTTTGTAATTAATGCATCAGATTTCTTATCTTCTTCTTTAGCATTTGACGAAATTGTTGTAGTCAGATTTGCCGCCTTTATGTAGATGTTAAACTCAAATTTCCATAATAAAAATGTCTCCCCATTCTTCAGTTTTTCAATCTGAGCATCTCCTTTGTCCATTTTCCTTTATTTTATTTTATTTTTCTTTTTCAGTTAGGTACTTTGTCTTATTCTTGGCTTGGGTCACGCCACCGGGTTTTATTAAATCGTTCTTTTAGGGCGTCTCTGGGCCCTGTTATATAATCCTGAACGTATTTATTAATGTTATGTAGTCTGTGGTTGCGACGCTTGAGCATAATGTAATTACATCTACACTTGTGAATGGTCATCTACAATCTACGTTAGTCATATAAAGTCACTGTTCTTAATCCATGCCCATCCTTGTTTATATAATCAATATAATAAAGTGCAGCCGTTCAAGAAACGCCTTTCATTACCCACACACGAGATAGGCCCAAACCTATTCCAGGGATATATTTATTTCTAAAAGAACGATATTTTATTGTATGAATCACGTTTATTTCACATCATTCTACACTGGTTTTTATTATATTAAACTAATTATAAAACAGAACAAATTATCTTTTACATCAACTTCTATATTATATTCATGGAGGACTTCGAGGAGACTGCTCTGAACACATCACCCGTGACCCCTCGTTTCTACAAGCGGTATATAGATTATTGTGTTGGGTGTGGTGCCGAGGTCGGTGTATATAGATGACACTTTCACAATATTACCATCTGATAAAGTAACTGTTTTCTTAGAACACCTTAATTCTATAAATCCTAAAATACAATTTACAATGGAATTAGAATCGGACAATACCTTAGCTTTCCTAGATGTATTAGTTAAACGCAACCCAGATAACACCTTGAGTCATACTGTGTATAGAAAGAAGACCCATACTGATAGGTACCTGAACGGTGAATCTCACCACCATCCTTCACAGTTAGCTACCGTGGGAAAATCTTTGTTTCAGAGAGCGCGCGAGATCTGTGACGAGCAACACCTGGCCGGAGAACTGCAACATGTCAAGCAAGTTCAGCGTGACAACAAGCTGCAAGTGCCGCGCCTGCGTCACAGTGGCCGAGTGAAACCAGCCACAGTCGAGCGCGTCCCTGCAGTCTTGCCATACATGAAAGGAATCACTGAAAAGATTGGCTACATTCTAAAGCGAGCTTCAATTAAAACTTACTTCAAGCCGCCAAAGAAAATTAGTCAGTTCTTACCACCTGTCAAGTGCCACATCCCTCTACAAGATGCAGGAGTTTACAAGCTTGATTGTGATTGTGGGCTCTCTTACATTGGACATACAAAGCGATCCATTAGAACCCGGGTCAAAAAACACATAGCTGATGTGAAGCACCGTCGCAATACAACATCTGCTGTCTGCAAACATAGCCAGGACCGCCCAAGCCATTATATTCGCTTCGATAAACCTCAAATCCTGGCGAAAGAAAACCGATATCGCCCTAGAATGATTCGAGAAGCCATAGAAATTAAAAAACATCCAAATTTCAATAGGGAAGATGGCTGGGTACTACCATCGTCATGGGATCCTGTTATTAATATAATAAAATCCAATAATAAATATAAACATAACAGACAGGTAGATGTAGTAAGTTCTTACTGTGTTGATCAAAATGACAGCTTATCAGATTAATATTTTTCATTTTTCATTTGTAAAAGTATATAGTAATAGTGTTACTTAGTGAGTTGTTTTAAATAATAGCAAACTAAATTAAAATTATTATCCTTAATTAATTTTAACTTTTTTAAATTACACATAGAACAATTATATGGCTTAAATAATTAATACTATATTTTATATTTTTCTTTATGGTTATAAATATAATAATGGCAACACTAAATATAGATTACTAATTAATATTTTTTAAAATTGTAATAATTATAAAAATAATAGCAAAAATTAAATAAATAATATTCCATATTCAATTATAATTAAAATTATAAAAATGTTTTAAGTTAAAAAATATTGTAATGTAATTGGTGCAATTTTCATTTTGTTAATTGTGGGTAGGCTGTCTGTAACAACTATACCTTCAAGACATGTAACACCTGTCTCTCCCGTAACCATGGATGCTGTAAAGCATTCGAAACGTCGGGAACCAAAAATCAAAATAAATCCGCGAAATGATCCGAAAAGATAGTTTTATTTAAAAAGTACATCAGAATTAAAAAAAGTTTTTTTAGACAGCGTACGAAATAGTCACAAACAATTAAAACAGTAAGTTCGAACTCAAAACTATACATAAAAAACGGGAAATTAGTTGAGTAATTAGCAAATGTCACGAGTAGTGTTGTTGCATGCGCAAAAATTACTAATGGCTAATGAACAGTCGCGCGGTACGATATATTATGAAAAATAAAACATGTTATAATAATCAAATGAACTTATGGCCTTTATGGTATTATATGTATGTATATAAAACAAAATATATTATTAATTTAATATAGTCTTGAATTTACAGTATATTTATTCCTACATTTCCTAGATAGAACTTTTCCTAGACTAGCGAGGGCGCCTGACTCTGTCATTACGAAGCCCACTGCTGCCCCAGCTGCTACACTCCAACCCGCGCCTTCACCCTTACCAGCGGCGCCTACCATGACCAGATCAGGACGCAGGGTCCGTTTTAAGCAGGTATTAGATTTGTAGTTTTTCTTACCTACAGTTTCTTTAATCCGTAGGGGGGTGGTGTGGCGACAAAATTATCTATTGGGCAACACCGATTGGTTGCCTATTTTAAAATTGTAAGATATACTCTGTAGTTTTTACTTTTGTGTATTCTTGCTGCAAAAACTGATATAGCGTATTTTAAAATTTTGTCGTCCATATTGTGTATTAATATTTGTCATCCATGGTATTAACTATTAAATCAATAGAATTCCAAAAACTGTATAATCTGTATAAATCTAAAGTCTTGTGTCATTGTCTTAATAAAACTACCGTTTAATCTTATAGATGAAATAATGACTGATACGGGTTGTGAAGAAAGTTTTCGTATGTCGCCATCATTAGATATTAGCTGAATATTATGATGTATCTGTTGCCCTGAACCAAGAACTTTACGGCCTCTGCATCAGCCTCAATCTAAATATTTACCTCTACCTCCATTTACTCTTCAGCCACAGAAATATTCGCTAACTTACAAATGCAAGAAATTGATTGACTTCTGAAGTTAAAGATAACATATAAGTTCATACATATTAAAAAAAGCTAACAAAATAGTCTTCTATTCAAAGCAAAAAAAGATTAAATGAAATATTTTCAATGATATACTTTCAACATGTTCCTTTATTTATTCAAGATCTACCATATTATAGGCGCATATTTTGTAAATTAAACATGAACATTTAAAAATCTAATTAATAAAATAGTCATTTATTCAGATCTTGTTACATTAAATCAATTAAATAATAAATAAGTTTACTTAGGTCTCAGACTAAGGAGTAATATAGACAGTGTCAGAGAACTAAAGGTTTCGCCAAACAGAACGCGTACTTAGCGCGCGTCAGAGCACTAGCCTGACGACGCGCTATATAAGTGTGTGTGTGTATATACTGTCAAACAGAGCGCCGGCGGCGTAGCAGTACGCGACGCGGTCCACAAAGGTATGTATGAAAGGAGGTACCTTTTCAACCTTTTGGCGAAATCGACGTTGTAAAGTGTTGATTGTATCAACTTCCGACAACTAAGTAGCGATTTTAACTGCAGCACTGTACAATCCATTACGCCACGATTTTCAGCCTGGTTTGTCTATTCCTGTTTTGACCGCACTCTGTTCCGGGTTGAAATCAGATTCCTCGTCGATCATATCTTCACCAGATTCTTCGCCGCTGTTGTCCGTAACTTTATCATCGTCATTGTGACCATCATCATTCATCATTTTTAGCCCTTTGATTAAAAAACGTTATCGTTTAAAAAACGTAGTCGATAAACCGATGGTAGGGGTTTATTATCTATCCCGGAAGCATTTGCAGAGCTCAACGACCAGAACCCATTCTAGGACGCATGGTAAGTCTTCTAGATGCGAGATTTGGCAGCTTTTCCGACGTACCGTTTATAAAATCGCCGTACCAAAGACACATCGTTATGTTTTAAACTAGGTCATTGTGTAATGATTGCTAATAGATGACATACTTTTACATCTAATCGCATAATCGTCGATGGCAGCTTCGTTGACAAATTTTCAACAGCATCGTAACACTTTTGAAGATAATCGTTTTTTCTTGGTTGATTGCAGTTGCGCACTGGCAAATATACGCGCAACCGCAATCAACCACGACTACCCGAAATCGGTTACAACCAGCTTCGGAATAGGAGCGTTTTGTTATACATGGGCTATGCACCCTTTATGGCTTACATAGCCTTTACTTGGCCACTCAGCACATTCTAGTCTTAGTTACTCAGTCGTCCGACAATACCAATATTCTCCTTTTATCCTCTATCCACGCCAGATGGCTTATTAAATGATTTTATATGGATTGATGATTGTTTATAGCGAAGAAGTGGCTCAAAAAACCCATTTGAAACGTTTTCACGCTACCGTCTTTCATCACGAGCACACACTGGTATAAGAAAATGTGCGGCTTCTGTGACTTATCGCGCTTTGCAATGCCACCCGTAGCATCAATTGCTAATGTTGCCGCAGGATCACTAATTCAATGAAAACTCAAATTAAAAGATCATTGAACTGTCATTCCGACCACGGGACACATATATTTGCAGTTGTTCCGGTAACCAGTATATACAATTGAATCTATACAACCCAACGGATGGTATGCAGCCAACCAACTCACCGTGTTCAACGCTGCTCTATAAATTCAATGCAGAGTTTTTGAACTCCAATCCATATTTAACAATCGTTCCTTGGCCTTCTGAATAACTTCCTTACTCGGTAAGATCGGTTGATTTTTACCTCCAAATTGTTTCGAATTCAATTTCATTTCGACACCATGTCACCGAGCCATCGATAAGGTAATCTGCCACTTTAATGCAATGAATACCTCTCAATTGCCTTCTTTTTTCCAGAATGCAAATCAGGCCTAATGCCATCCACGTGACATTGGAGAAAGACATCAACCCCTTTTTTTTTTTTTTTTTTTTTTTAACGTTGGGAAATGCATTTACGCACGACGTGTGGGACTCACCGGCGTAATACAGCCAGTACTACCCACTAAAACCCAACAAAACCTTCCCCCGTCTTAATGGGGCGTCGCAGGATCGCTTACGCATTCAACTACGACGCCCCGACGGCAGGTCTGCCAAAGCAGACCACCACAACCTTGGGGTTGCTCCAAGGTCCACTCTGCTGTCAGAGAAGTACCAGGAGCAACCCGCAAGGCACACCGCCCCCCGAAGAGGGCCACCTCCCACCGCCCACCGAAGTGGGCAACCTCCCTGTGCGTTTCTTAGTTTCGTACTACTACTACTGAGCCCCCCCACCACGACAAGGTGAACGCACGTTAGGGGGGGAGACATCAACCCCTTTTGTTGGCTCTTTTAACAGGATATAATGAATTTTTGCGTGGTATTTGCGTCAATAGTTTTAGGTAGGGTTTTCGTGTACCCGAATCTTTTTAATATCTATATTATTTTTTCATATGCCCGGGTATACCCGGGTACCCGGCTACTTGCATTTTTTTGCAGAAAAAGAGAAAATTTTCTTATAATCATGTTTTATTTTATTACGAAAGAAAGAGCCATATCATTATATTATACCATAGTAGTTGATGAGTGTTTGGTCAAAAATTCGTTCACAATGATGACCTTGTGCGAACGCGTATTATCGTGGTGCAAAATCCAAGAATTTTCTTTCCACAAATCTGGCCTTTACCGTCAAAATTGCTTTCTTAAATGCCGCATAACGCTCAAATAATATTCTTTATTTAACGTTTGACCTTCCGGCAAGAATTCCGAGTGCACAACACCGCGATAGTCAAAGAATACAGTCAACATGACTTTGACATTTGAACGACTTTGGCGTGGTTTTTTCGGTAATTTGGTTCAGTTGGAAGGCGCCACTCCGAAGCTTGTTGACTAGTTTGCATGTCAATTCGTAAACCCGCGTCTCGTCACCAGTAACAATGCGCCTCATGAATGTAGGGTCGAAATTGACTCGTTCTAGCATGTCCTCAGTGACTCTCATGCGATTAAGTTTTATTGGAGAAAATTCAGGTCTTTTGGGACTAGCCGAGCGGTAGCATGTTTCGTACCCAAATGAGTAGTTAAAATGGTATGAATCGACTCATGAGATACAGAAAGTTCGGCGGCTATCTCTCTCTAAGTTGAATGAGGATTTTCAGTTACTATTTCCTTCACTTTTGCGATGTTAACTTCAGTTGCAGACGTTGATGGCCCACCAGAGCGAGGCAAATCTTCCATCACATCTCGACCGCTTTTGAACGCTTTGTACCACTCATAAGCACGTGTTTTTGATAAAGCAGATTCACCGTAAGCCTTCTGTAACATTTTCAATGACTCCGAACACGAAATTCCATTGGCGATGCAAAATTTAAGACAAACACTTTGTTCGATGTTTTTGTCCATTATGAAATTCCCAATACACACTAGATATGATATAACTAAAAATAGCTGCTGTATAAAAATAGTAACTGTATTTAATATAAATAACAGATACAACTCAAACTCCGCGCCAAAATGGAAAACAGTTTTGTCAATCTAACAACAACAAAAAAGAAACAAAAATTTGAATTTGGAACCATAAACAAATCATCCATTCCCGATACTTTCTTGACTGAATGTATGTATATAAAATGAAATCAACTCTTAATTACGCCTTGTGACAAGTCCAAAATCTGTCCCCAGTCAGTCTTAAGCCTGGAAAAAGTATGAAGGGGAGTTCCATTCATACCTATAGTTAAACCGTTTCATTTTTATTTGAAAGAGTTATAAGGCCCTGCAACCTTTTCACTCAACGATTCGCTAATTCTGTTCATTAAAAGTCTTTCAAGTTTCGTTTTACATAAACTCAAATCAGTTGCAACGAAGACCGCTTGAAACGGTTGCGTTTCGTCCGTCAAAAATTCGACGACGATCCACATCTAGTAAGAACTACGCATATAACGTCAATGCCAGAGGTCAAAGTCAAAAAGGTCGAACCACGTGCCGAGCGGGAAGAGCTGGAGATGTCGTCATGTCAAAAAGGCTCAACATCGGCGGTAACATAAAACCAATGAGTTTAGAAGAAAATTTAGCATCGAATTGGAAAAAATGGCATCAAACTTTCATTATTTTTCTTAACGCAAGTGACATATACGAAGACGTTGGACGCACGAAAGGTTGCAGTCTTGTTACATTTTATAGGCGCGGAATGTCTCGAAATATTCAATACATTCAATTTAGACATTGAAAAAATTACATTTAGTCAATTGGTTACTAAATTTGAGGAATATTTTGTACCTAAAAGACACATAACCTATGGTTTTCTAGAGGTATACAATTGCTGCTATGGGAGGCTTTAAGTTCTAGGTGACATAATACTTTCCGATAAATTCCTTTAAATTGTTTTATTAATATTTTATTGCATTTGGGTTGTCGTTATGGCCCCTGTGCATTCGTATTATTCCGAATAGTAGTTCCAAATGGTCTTGGGTGCATGTATATGTTGGTATAAATACAAGCATACTATCAATCTCAACTAAGTTCGCGTAAAGTGATTTCAGACTCTCAATACACATAAGAATGCCAAGAAAACCTGTTTTGCACGCACATTCTTAACTTTTTATTAAAACGGTTATAACTTTATTTGTTTTTTTTGTTACGGTTTATAACTTTTTATTAAAACTTTAACTCGTCTTTCATCTTCCTTGATTTTTTTTACAATTTTTGTCTCCCTGTCTGTCTGTGACTGCATCACGAGAAAACCACTCCACGGATTTACATGAAATTTGGTATGATGATAGCTGGTTACCCGGGTTAATACATAGGGTACTTTTTACTGCTGTAAAATATCTTTTATTATAATTTGTATTCTATTACTGATAATATTACACTAGCTTTTCGCCTAAGTCTGCGAAATCAGACAAAATGTAATAAATGTTAAATGTAATGAGTATTAAGTGTAATGCATGAGAGTGACAATAGGCACTCGTACTTATGTAATACCTTCTTCAAAACACTGTAGCTCAAGTGGCTTAGGCTAATAACTTTTTATATAATATGGAGCACATACTTATAACAGAGTTTCAAGTGTTTGAAATGTTTAGTTTACGATAACTCAAACTATAAATAAAGCCCTTGAGATTTAAAGATAAGAAAAAGGCCTCTCAAATTTTGTCAATTATTGATAAATTCTTTGCATTTATTTTAAACACTAATTGACATTCTAAAATATAATTATATTGACAATTCATTAAGCACAACGCTAAGATATGCTTCCTTATTCAAATATTTCTAAAATAAACAAATAAAATGCCATATGTGTGTCGACCTATTTTAAAGATCGATGTCTACTTTGTATGTCAATGATACGAAAATTTCAAGCGTTTGTTTTTAAATTCTGGTAACAATAATAACATTAATAGGTTACGTATATACGAGTAATATATTATATATAACGTATATAATACATAAAGTTTATGATAAAGTTAATAAAATATATCGGCGTGAATGAAACCATTTTGCCGGGGAAAATGGCGGCGATGTTTGTTAAAAATAACAATTTCTATACAAAATCTATTCTATTGTCCTATACCTGCAATTAAAACTGTTCAGTACTTACCCAGTCATAATACAAATCCATGTTATGATCCCTTTCACTTCACAATAAACTACACTAAAACAATAAAAACTCGCGAACAATGTGCACGGGCCGAGCGTTTACACGGAACTGAGCGGGCGACTTTGCATAGCTTGTATTATGTTTCGCAGCTTCATTCTTCGCGATTTGGATTCACATATTGTAGATGTATTTCCAACTATCAGCCTAGCACGGAATTTTATAGTTTTTTTTTTTAAGTAGCAACACTTTATTTCAAATATCCCACTTCCTAATCCCCACCTATCCATACTTCCTCTTTGCAATATTTCGTGTTTATGTTTTTCCGTGCTGAAGCCTACGCACGTCAAAACTCGACTCAATCAAAATGGGGAAGAAAAAAAACGTGACAAAAGTGAAGAATCTATTCGAAAAAAGATAAGTAAATTGGAAAGTAAACTGCAGAATCGTCGAAGAATAATTTCATCAGACGAAGATATTCAGAGTAAGTACTTTTTTTTCTCAAAAAACTGACGGTAAATGTAAATAAAAATTTAGCTAAATTAATATATTGAAATTTTATTGCATAATTTTATTTTTTGTTCACTTTGACTTTACACTATTTAATTTTTTACCGTTAAAATTTGATATACTACAAATTCAAATGTATAAACACAAGTGATGCGTTTTTACCGTCACGCTTAATTTGATGCGTTTTTACCATCATATAAGGCAGCTGATGCGTTTTTACCATCATGCTTGCCACATTCGACGATCCTGAGATCGTTTTCAGTGATATGTGATAAATATTCACAGGTCCATGCGAAGACCAGTTTCTACAAGCAGACAAGATGACAGGTGTGCTCACACCATGTGATGCACCCTGTTCGCCCCATACAGTGGAGACACACAATTCTGAGCATCAAGATGGTTCTCAGCTTTTCCCTGCAGACCCAGCTACAGAAACAATAGAAACTGTTGACGATAAGCTAGATGAGGGTATTTTAGAAATACTTGGGAATGCACCTGAACCAGACACCACGCTAGGAAAACCTATCCATAAGGACATAGCTGCCAGATGGATTGAGGTATTAAAGAAAGGATTAAATAAGGAACAAAAAGATCTATTGGCCAAGGAATATTTAGTTCCTAGTAACTGCGAGTTACTCGTGCCACCTGTTTTAAATCCTGAAGTAAAAGTTGCTTTACTTGAACAATTTATAAAAAGAGACACTTCTTTAATGAACAGACAAAAACGATCCGCCAATGCTATTTCTGCGCTAGGTCAATCCATTGAAATTATTATTTCTACAAATTGTGAGCAAGGGTTATAACAAAAAGTTTTAAAACCTGTCAGTGATGTTTGTAATATTTTATGTGATATGCATAATGACGAAACAAAAACGAGGCGAAAGTTTGTCATTGCTTCTATCAATACTAGCTTAAAAGATACATTGGCGAACTCTGAAGCTGACAAGTTTCTTTTCGGAGATAACATGTCAGAAAAGCTTAAGACAGCAAAAACTGTACAACGCTCTGCTGAAGCACTAAAGGTGACACAAGCACCATTTTCTAGGGCTAACTTTTCTAATAATAAATCTTTTAACAGCAATAATAATTTAAACTACAAGCCCCTGCATCAAAAGACAACAGGCAGGCAACATGCAGGGAGGCCGTACGCAGTCCTGCCACCACGTCACCAGAACAGCAGTTCGCAACGGCAGACTCACTGGATGCAGTGGCCGCCTTCACCACCGCCGCCCTCTTCACACCAACCACCTCCGCCGATACGCAGGTCGGCTCGCAAATAAATGAAGTACCGTATGCAGGCCGATTAAAGTTATTTATATCTAATTGGTATAAGATCACTAGTGATCCCACAGTTTCATCTTGGATTGATGGATATAGAATTCCCTTTATTTCTTTACCAATGCAAGTAAATTGTCCTTTAATATATTCTGATTTTATAATTGAATCATATGATTATGAAAAATCAATTGCAAAATTATTAAAAATTGGAGCTATATATAAATGTAGTCATGAAAATTTTGAATTTTTCTCACGAATATTTCTAGTTCCTAAGCCTAATGGTGAAAAAAGGTTAATTTTAAACTTAAAAAGGTTAAATAAGTATATTAAAAAGATTATCGCACTGCATCAAAGTTGATAACTAAAAACTGTTATATGGCATCCTTAGATTTGAAAGACGCTTATTTTTTAATTCATATAAATAAATATCACAGGAAGTTTTTACGTTTTATGTATAACGGCTGTCTTTACAAATTCACCTGTTTACCATTCGGTTTATGCACTACACCATATGTATTCACAAAGCTTCTAAAACCTGTCATAGAATATATTCGTAGTAAATATAATATTTTGTCAGTAATTTATCTCGATGATCTTTTATGTTTTGGAGAAAGTTTTCAAGAGTGTCAGAATAATGTTCATAACATTAAAAAATTGTTAATATCATTAGGTTTCATCATTAACACTGTTAAATGTTCCTTAATCCCTAAACAACAATGTAAATTTTTAGGTTTTGTTTACGATTCAAAAAATATGTTTCTACAACTACCCGATGATAAAAAATATAAAGTAAAGAAATCTTATTGACATTTGTCAGATTAAAGAAATGTAAATTACGTGATTTTGCGAGATTTATAGGTTTGTTAATATCTGTTTGCCCTGCAGTAGAATATTCCTGGTTAGATACAAAGCAGTTTGAGTACCATAAATATATGTGTCTACTTAAAAATTCTTCTTATGATCAAATAATTAATGTACCTGATAGTTTAAAACCAGATATAAATTGGTGGTTAACTAATATAGATAATTCTTACTGTCTATTTAGATTTAACAATTATGACTTAGAGATTTTTTCTGATGCTTCTCTTACTGGATGGAGTGGTTATTGTGGTAGTAAAAAAGTTCATGGATTTTGGAAATTCGAGGAAATTTGTGTACACATTAATGAGTTAGAATTAAAAGCAGCTTTTTTCACATTAAAAGTGTTCACAAAAAATTTATTTGGCAAAGAAATTCTTTTACGTATTGATAATACAACCGCCATTTCGTGTATAAACAGAATGGGAAGTGTGCAATATCCTCATCTCTGTCAAATAAGCAAAGATATTTGGGAATGGTGTGAGACGCATAAATTGTATATTTTTGCATCATATATTAATACGAAGGATAATACAGAAGCAGATTCTTTGTCTCGTAAAAAGTTTCAGGACAAGGAATGGGAATTGGCAGACTATGCATTTCAAAAAATTGCGATAAATTTTGGTGATTTTGATATTGATTTATTTGCAAGTCGGTGTAATGCAAAATGTAAAAAATATATTACTTGGAAAAGAGCTGTTGATGCCTTTTCTGTGTCCTGGAAAAACATATTTTTTATGCCTTTCCTCCATTTATTTTAATATTGAAAGTTTTGCGAAAAATAATATCAGATAAAGCAGAAGGTGTATTAGTTGTTCCATACTGGCCTACACAACCGTGGTTCCCCTTATTTAATAAATTAATTTGTTCACCATGTATATATTTTGAGCCAAACGTTAATTTACTAACTTCTCCTTTCAGATCATCACACAGTCTTCATCAGACCTTGTGCTTAGTAGCCGCGAAGTTGTCAGGAAAACATATTTAAAAATGGGTCTGACATCTAGAACCGTAGATATTCTAATGAATTCACTTTCAGATAATACTTACAAACAGTATGACAGTTGCATAAAGTCTGTCTTGGTTAGGGTTTTGTAAGAATAAAAATCACGATTTTTCCTATATGTCTATTCCTGTTATATTAGATTATATGAGTGAATGTTTTCATAAAGGCGTTAAGTATGGAACAATAAATTCACACAAATCTGCCTTATCTTTATTATTTCCTAATATTCTTAAGGATGATTGTATTAAAAGATTTATGAAAGGGGTTTTCAGAACGAAACCTTCTCAACCTAAATATAGTATTACGTGGGACCCTAGTATTGTTCTTAATTATTTGTCTGCACAGTGGCCACATGAAGGTCTCGATCTTGAAATTCTCTCGAAAAAAGTTATAACTTTGTTGGCTCTGGTCACAGCACATCGCGTACAGACTCTAGCTTTGATAAAGATTCCTAATATTGAAGTACATGACTCACATATTATGATAAAAATTCCTGATCTTGTAAAAACATCTCGACCAAATTCATATCAACCTATTCTAAAATTGCCATTCTATAATGAAAAACAATGTATATGCCCAGCAAAGTGTTTGTTAGATTACATAAATAAAACTAGCTCCTTACGTGATTCTAAAAATATTTTCTTATTTATTAGTTATAAAAAACCATATAAAAAATTAACTTCACAGACCTTAAGCCACTGGATAAAGGATACACTTAATAAAAGTGGCATAAACACTTCTATTTTTACCGCACATAGTACGCGACATGCAGCTACGTCCATAGCCAACAAACTTGGTGTTAATATAGATGTAATTAGAAAGACTGCCGGTTGGAGTCAATCATCTGCAACTTTTGCCAGATTTTATAATAAAGAAATTATTGTTGATAATTTTGCTCATTCGGTACTTTCCTCTGAAAATGTTATTAAATGTACAGAAAGAATTAAATACACAAAATGATAAATAAAACTTATGTTCATACTTACGTGTCTTTTAATACTTACCTGTTTTCATATTACATTCATAGTTACATTTTATATTTGCTATATTTCTCTGAACATCCTACAATATGTGAATCCAAATCGCGTCGAATGAAGCTGCTCACATAATTGTGATCGAACTTCACTTGGTAAGTTTGTTTGATCTTCAATTATCTATGAAACTGTCAATATCAAACATGTGAAATTGATAGCACGCTGTGTCCATTCCGCGTGACATTTCTTATAATATCTGAACGCCAAAAATTATAGCGGCCAATACCAAAAACCCGCAAATTATTAATAAAATATTACTCGTGCCTTTAATATGACCAGTATGTTCCTGAAGCGACTTAGCTGCATTTTCATCGCCTGCCGCGTTTTTGGCGATTATCACCTCTTGCTTTTCCTTAGATTTTTCTTGACCCATATTGAAACCGTACGATTTTTATAATAGACGTCTGACGAAATATTAAAATAATCTTGCAATAAATAAAAAAATAAAAAATAAAAATATGTAGTTTTTATTTCTTAATCATCTTTACAATCCGAGGATACTTGTGTTAAGAATGGCCCGCTTCTTCCCACATGCATACTCTGTGATTAAGTGGGTGAAACTTTTTTTAAAACTATATAATACTTATATAGGATACTAGGATAGTTACAAGATTAAAGTGATTTAATGCAAAGAAAAATATACAAAATTACAATATTAACAACTGAAGGTTGTTATTGCCTGTAGAATTTCACTAGTTTTATTTTATAATGTTAGGAAATTACTATTTTAACGGTAAGTACATGTGAGTAAAACACCTAGATATAAACAAAGTCTTCGTAAGCTAGTTTTCAATAACAGTTTCATTCGATTTAACATCAAGATGAACTAATCGATAATAATACATACATACATACTCGTACATATGTGATTATATGTGATTATTATTACCTTTATTTCTAATATATATTTAGTATATTTTTTGCACTATATTGCCCGCTGACATCTTCTTCCACAATCAGGGGTTGACTGGAAGAGATCTCTTTTAGAGATAAGTCCACCTTTGTGAACTATATTTACTTGTGTTATTTTTTTCTGTATCATATTTTAAGTGCAATAAAGAATATTATATATAAGTAGCACTACTATCCACGGCAATCCTTAGAAACCCCAAAATACTTGTAGTTTTTACACAAAAATCAATCAAAATAATGTTTTCCCCTACAATTTTCAAAGATTTTTACTTTCAGTCCACTTTCACTCATCGTGGTGTAAAAAAAAGTATGAACGCTATTATGGCAAGATTTTTAAAAAATTGACGCAACTAACCAAGATTCTAAAATGGTATAATACACAACGAAAACTAGCCACAAAAAAAAATCCTACTATTTCTAAACAACACCTATATTTCATAAATTGTTGTTGTTGATATTAATCACTTTTATTATGTGCCAAAAATAAGTTGTTTGTTGTTGAAAAATGTTGAATGAATTAAAACAATAGGTACAAACAACTTTACATTTATTTTATTAAATTATTGCATTATTAAAATTACAGTAAATGTTCAAATTGTTTGCCACCGGCATTAACCCTACACTGCATTCAGTCCCTTAAGTGGGACGACCAATAAAATTTATATTTTTTCTGATTTGAACCAGTAGCGACATCTATGATGACGCAAAAATAGTGACAACAATCCATGGTGCCTATTTAGTGCATTTTTTTAACTAGATGACAGCACTACTCGCTCAGTCAGTCATTCAATTAAAATTTTTGTACTTTCGCTGCGCGCCGTGCGTATTCAATTTGAAAATATAATAAATAATAGTTGTTTACGGTATGCAACAGTGGATAAATTGTTTTTATGTCGAAATATCTGTGAACTAAACAAATGTAAGTATATTTTTTTGATTTGGCCGTGTTTTGATACTAAATTTTCACAATTACTGTATGTACCACATGTGTCACTTCATGCAGTTAGGGTCCGATTTTAGGTATGTTTACTAATGTTGTGATGTGTTTTATTTTTTAGATAATGGCGAAGAATACCTTATCCAAAGCTCAAATCGAAAATTATTTGATGATACCAATAGGCAGTGAAGATGAACAAGACTCCTCAGGTGCTGAAAGTGACGATGACATTGCCGTAATTCGATCTACCATCAACAAACTTTGTGAAACGGATACAGATGACGATGAGCAATTTGTTTCACCGAACAGGTATGAATTCACTGCACCATTATCAGGGTCTTGTGGTGGTGATATGCAGCAGCCTATATCATCTATTAGTGGTTCAATTCCTGCTATTCCAAGTACATCTGGAGCAACTACTTCACGAACACGTCAATAAACAGCCGAATCTTCCGCGTCTACTGCACCAAAAGGCACTGCTTCTACACCTGCTGCATTCGTCGCCAGAAGAAAGCGAAATATCATATGGAAAAAAGCTTTCGTTCCAACAAACCGTGAGTTTTGTGGGCAAACTGATCTAAAGTCACCGATTACTGAACTTGTAACTCCATTGCAATATTTCTTGTACTTTTTTGATGATGATATTCTAAGCCATATTGTAGAAGAAATGAATAAGTTTAGAGTACAAAAAAACCCATCAAAGCCTTTTTCTACAAGCGTTACAGAGCTGAAAAAGTTCATTGGTATCTGTCTGATAATGGGCATTGCCCCACTACCGCATACCCGAATGTACTGGGAATGTGAATTAGGTTTGCTATGATAAGAAATACCATGTCAGTAAATCTACACTTCAATGACAATACCACCCAGCCACCAATCAGCAGGTACTGCAGGACACGATCGTCTTCATAAAATCAGACCTCTAGTAGAGACCTTAAAAAAAGTCAAGCTATACCCAAACGGGAAGCATTGTCAGTGGATGAGCAGATGTGCTCTACTAAGGCCTCTAATTTGCTGCGCCAATATCTACCTAATAATCCTCATAAATGGAGATATAATCTGTTGGTGCTGTGTGATGAAAGAGGATTCGCATACGATTTCGAAATATACTCCGGGATGGAGAATAATCCAGATCTGAGGCTTCCTAATGAGCCTGATTTAGGCGCAAGTGCCAACATTGTTATCCGACTGGCAAGGTCTATTCCCAGAGATAAACATTACAAGTTATTCTTTGATAACTACTACACATGCCCTGAATTGATTACGCATCTTGCTAATGAAGCAATAAATTCTATGGGAACCGTGAACAAAGGACGACTAGGAAAATCTATACAAATACCATCATTGAAAGATCTAAAAAGCAGCAAGAAGGAAAGAGGGTATTCAGAGGAATGGGTAGGCAATGTGAACGGCACAGATATCGTCACAGTAATGTGGTATGACAACAAACCCGTGGTGTTGTCTTCATCTTTTGTAGGAAAAGAGCCTACTCAAAAAGTAAGGAGGTTTTGTAAAAAACAAAAGAAATATATAGATATTGATTGCCTTCAAATTGTACGAAACTACAATCAGCATATGGGTGGAGTCGACCTGCTCGACTCATTCCTGGGGAAGTACAAAATAAAGATGAGGACAAAAAAGTGGTATTTGAGACTGTTTTACCATTTCCTTGACATAATCACTATAAATAGTTGGTTGCTATACCGAAGAGCTGGGGAGATTCAACAAAGAGCTACGCCACTGAAATTGAAAGACTTCAAGCTAGAAGTGGCAAAGAGCCTTTGTATGTGTGGTTCATCGATGTCTAGGAAGAGAGGCCGGCCGCCTTCTGCAAGTAATGACCTGATAGAGACAAAAAGGAAGAGAGCCAATGTAGCGATGCTTCCTACTCGTGACGTCAGGTGTGATGGAGTCGAGTGTCACTTTCCTGTGTAGGGACATAAGCGCCAGCGACGCAAGTTTCCAGACTGCAAAGGAAAGTCGTTTGTTGTCTGTGAAAAATGCAGAGTCGAACTTTGTTCCAACAAAGACAAAAACTGCTTCCGTTTATTTCACCTCTAGATATATTAGCAAATTTAGGTGGGTCACTGCATAAAGTGCCTCATGTGGAACTAAATAAAAAATAAATTTTTCTCTATTACTATTATTATTTTTTTATTTCACCTGTACTTCCCGTGTTCTAGACCACTAATATGAACTGATGAATTTTTTTATTTAAAAAAAAAAATCATGCAGTGTAGGTACGACATCGCCTTAAAAAAGATCGTTTTATTCATCGTGCGTATGTTCTACCGTTGATATGATCCGCAGCGTGATTGATTTTTTGGCGAAGCTCGTCCAATGTTGCAATGGGTTTTGAGTAGACCCTGTCTTTGAGACAACCCCAATAGAAGAAATCCAGGGGGTTTAGATCGGGTGAACGGGGTGGCCATAAGATAGGACCAAGTCGCCCGATCCAACGCCCTGGATACTCTTGGTTTAAGTATTCTCGCACAGGACGGGCAAAGTGAGCTGGGCAACCATCATTTTGAAACCAAATGTTTTGTAAATTACTTGAGGACACGTCTTCTAATAATTCTGGCAAGTCATTTTGTAAAAAGTTCAAATAACTATTACCATCTACGTTTCCTTGTAATTCAAATGGCCCAATCACTTTTCCATTAAATATGCCCGTCCATAGGTTAACCTTAAATTGATATTGGGATTTGTCTTGTCTAATCAGGTGCGGATTTTCATTGTTCCAGCTATGATGGTTGAGAAGGTTTAAATAGCCATCTTTCTTGCAGGTTGTTTCATCCGACCATAGAACTTTATCTAAGAATTGGGGATCTTCCCTGTGCTTTTGTAGCATCACACTGCAAAATGCGACCCGTAGTGGATAATCCCGTGGTAATAACGTCTGCACACGCCTGCAGTGATATGGGTGAAGCCTGTGACATTTTAAAATTCAATGTGCAGAACTTTTTGGAATTCCCGTAACTGTTTTTATAGCACGTACCGAGGTAGTTGAATCATTTTGTATTTCATTGAGAACTTCTTCATCGCGCTCCAATCCGTCTTCCGGCGTTTCTCCTGTCAGATGGTAAACGACCCTCCGAAAACGTTTGATGTACATTAATAAATACTCGATAATCCGGGTATCTTTGAGTATTTGGGTACCTTTCTCGATACAATCTGCTAGCAGCGTTAGCATTGCATCGGCATTCTCCATAAATTAGATGCATATTAGCGTATTCCATCGGTGTATATGGTAGCGGCATGATAAACGCTAAACAGTCCAAAATACGCCTAAAATCCAATTCAATAAAACACACAATCACAGTCCAAAATAATGCCAGGTCAGTTCAGTTTGCAGATCACTTAATCTGGTCCAAAAAGCTAAGCCAAATGTCGTTAGTACGAGAGCTACGTCAATTGAATACGGAACGGTAAATGTAATGTAATGTAAGGTGGACTCGTTTTCCGCACTTAGACTCTCTTCTGGTCCGTTGTGCGTGCGAATCCTGGCTATATTAGCCAGCCTAGCTCCGCCCAGAAGCGCAGAAGTTTCCTGGGAACTTCACAGGCTTCGCGGAGCGACCTCACTGGTCCGAGGATTTCTTCACGTTGAGAACTTACCGCTACGCATTCCAGGATTACGTGGGCAGCTGTTTCTTCAGCGCCGAGGCACCCTCTGCACAGAGGGGTGTCCGTTGCGCCGATGTTATATAGGTGTTTGTTCAAGGGACAGTGGCCCGTTATCGTCCCTATCATTATTTTGAGATTTGTTCTATTGAGGTTTATTAAGCGTTTTGTAAGTCGTGGGTTTACTGCAGGCAGAGCTGATCTTGATTGTCTGCAGTCTGCAGTTTGTGACCATCTGTTGTTTTGTAATGTCGTGGATCTTTGGCGGATCCAGGAGCGAATCAGTGCAAAGGGTATGGGGAGAAGCGGGAGTGGGCCAGTCACTTCTAGTTTTGACCCCCTCTTTGCAAGTTCGTCAGCTGCATCGTTGCCAAGTGAACCACTGTGTGCCCTGATCCATTGAAGGGTGACCTGATTTGTTGTTGATATCAAGTCCAGGGCATTGTGACATTCACTTATTAGTTTGTTGTTGGTTTGTTTATTATTTAGCGCCTGCAGAACTGCTGCACTATCGGAGAGTATTTTTATATTATAGTTGTTTACTTCACGACTGTACACGGTTCTTGCGGCTTCCGTTATGGCTACACATTCGCATTGGAAAATCGAGCTGTGTATGCCTAATGGTATTTGTATTTTGATGTTGAGATCAAGGGAAAATACACCGGCTCCTGAGCCTTCACGTGTCTTTGAGCCATCAGTATAAATCCGTAGCTCATTGGCAGGTGAGTGGTCTTGTTCCTCTTCTCTCATAGTTATTTTATATCTTTTGTTAAATATATATTTATTGTGTGTTCTGTCACACGGGGCAGCAATAAGTGGTTCGTGTCCTATTGCCCTATCCAGTATGGATGTGTGTGGACTATGGTGGTTTTTACCCCATAGACCTAAATGCATCAGTCTTATAGCAGCCATAGTCGCTTCTTGCTGTATGAATAGGTCCAGGGGTGTTGTCTGAAGCGCAACCTCTATTGCTGCTGTGGGGGTTGTTTTCATGGATCCACTGGTAGCAGACAGTGCCAGCCTTTGAAAGCGTGCTAGTTTGGTGATTGTAGTCCGGAGTTCCGTTCTAGTCCACCAAACCAGAGCCCCATAGGTTAGCATTGGTCTTATTACGGCAGTGTATAACCACATCGTTATTTTCGGCGAAAGGCCCCATTTGTTGCCTAGCATCTTTTTACATTGATAAAAGGCAATAGTGGATTTGTTTAGTTTGTAGTCAAGGTGCTTATTCCAGAGCAGTTTGCTGTCTAGAATTACACCCAAATATTTGACTGCATCCTTAAGTTTTAGTTCTGTGTTGAAGAGTTTCGGGAGTCTGTGAGGTCCGGGTACTCTTCGGTTGGTAAACATGATTAATTCGGTTTTTAAGGGATTGACAGAGAGTTCGTGTTTACGACACCAGTTCTCTGTTATTTTGAAGGCTTTCCTCATTAGATCACATAAGGTGCTTTCAAAATTCCCTGATATTAGAATGGCTAATACGGAACGGTGCACAGTAAATAAAGGAGCAGAGCGTACTGACTTGTCGATAACAGGAACTTCTCTACCTGCCCTATTGTTATTCAATAACAAACATCTACATATCTATCTATCTCTCTCTCTAATATATTATCTCTCTCTCTATCTATTTCTCTCTAACTTCCTAATTTTATAGACTGCGGACGTGTCCCATTCAAATTCCAAGAATTTACAACGAAAAACCTATTTTGGGCACATTGTAAAAGTTACTATCACAACAACAAAGGTTTATGAAATATAGTTTTTGTTTAGAAATAGTACGATTTTTTTGTCTCTAGTTTTCCTAGTGTATTATACCATTTTAGAATCTTGGTTAGTTGCGTCATTTTTTTTAAAAAAACTTGCCATAGTAGCGTTCATACTTTTTTTTTACACCACGATAAGTGAAAGTGAACTGAAAGTAAAAATCTTTCAAAATTTTAGGGGAAAAAATTATTATGATCAATTTTTGTGTAAAAACTACAGGTATTTTGGGATTTCTAAGGATTGCCGTGGATAGTAGTGTTACTTAGGTCACCGAAACAAAAAAAACTGAGAAATATTTGAAAAATTGTGGTCGTGGTAGTTAAAAATATCTTTAGGGGTGTCAAATTTTTCGAAATATGTTTGTAAATACAAAAAAAATAAGATATTTTTTTTCTCTTTGTTACTCGAGTACTCATGAGCAGGTCCATCTTCTGATGCCCGCTTATCGTTGAATTTTGGGACACGTTGTATATATTTATATATATAAAAAAAAAAAAAATAATTATGGTGTAATCGAAATTTATTTTAAAATATATCCGAAAATAACATTAAAAATTTATGTAATATTTAAAAAATGTTTTAAAAGACAACAAAATTGAAAGTGCATAATAATTACAAGACTCCCGCAACACCATTCAGACAAAGAGAGACAATAGCATTCCCAAGGAGGGTTGACGTCAGGCAGGCGGCCGGTCGTAAAACTTTTGCCAAATGCTATCAGCAGTACAGAAGATGTACTGCGCCGACCCCAAGTGATTGGGAAATGGGCAGGGAGAAGAAGTTGTATATATATATGAATAATTTTAATTCATAAAGCCGCATTTTCAATTAGTGAAAAAACTTGGTCCAGTTACATATTTAATTGTTAAATACAAATATTATTTGGAAAAGACATATTAATCAGATTTTGGATAATCAAATAAACAGTAATTTAGATGATGATACTTTTGATACCGAGTTAGTGTTTAAAGATAAAGAATATCCAAGTGTATGTAATGAGACAAGTTCAAGTGTAATTATTAAGTCACCTAATACTGTGTGTAGTAATTCTGTTGTACGGAAAAGTGAGATGTTGCCTTCTGTTGAAAAAAAATGTGTCAAATGGGTCTCAGTTAAAGGAAATAGTTAGTTCTCCACAAAAGACAGAATCTTCACCACTTGTTTTAAAGAGATCTATTAGAAAGAAACCAGACGGACTTAATTTATAGATAGTACTGAAGAAAAAGAATGTAAAATTTAGTGTAGAATTCATAGTGGGAGAGTGTTGTGTATAATATACTTAAATGTTTAAGTAGTCTATAGTCTGTATTAGCATTATTGTTTATGGTTCATCTATGTGAGCACTTTTGGAAATAAAGCTTTGTTGGAAATACATTACAGAGAACATGTTAGGCAAACGGGCACTTACACTATTGAAATAAACACTGAAATGGATGAAGACATACCCCTAGTGTTGGGACAAAATAATTATTTGCTCCGAGGAAGAATACGATCCCGACATGTAACTGCCCGTACTTACTTTACATACTTATTAATTAGTAAAAATCAGGCAGTTGTCAACACACTAGATGCAATTGTCGGATACTGCTGCAACTGCCGTGTCAGTAGACGGACGGTGGGATGCTGTGCCCATATAATGACGGTAGTGTGGTACCTCAGCTGGGCCCGCTACAATGACGCCAATGCCCCAGCGTCACATTTAGATGATTTTTTCCATGAATATGAGGAGTAATAGTTGTTGATCGTGTCTAATGTTTTTAATAATATTTATAATCATGTACCTAAAAAAATAAATGTTTTATCTGACTAACAATTACAAATTCTTTGTGTTACCTTGTTTGTATGTAAGTGATTTATGAGCTATGAGATTTATGAGTGATTGAGTGAGCGGGTGAAGGATTCCAGGTCTCAACATACCGCGCACGTGTAGTATAATATCTATGCAATGCAATGTACTTCTCAGAAATGCGGCCTTAAATGCACACCTATATGTATAATAAATAAATTATAATAATCACGATTAAAAATTGCATAAAAATAATATCAGGCATTTTCTACCTTTTTTAAATATTTCAAAAATGTGGTTAAATATTGACAAAATTTTGTTAGTCGTGAAAAAAAATAATAAAAACTAGACTGGAGAGTAAATTTGGTTTGAGGCAAGTTGTTACGGATCCCCATACAAAATTGGGCATTCTCCTTTGTCTATAGTAGTTATATCTTTGCCATGATTCACTTCAAAATATGCTGTCCGTTTAATCACAGCTGCCACACCATCAGCGGCGCCTTTGCCGTGACCATGTGCAGTATAGTTCCAGGTTATTGCCGAAATTTGAGGGAAATCTTTGGAAAGTTGCGTTATTATAAAAAAACTGTTATTCTGTTTTAGCTCATAAACTAACCGGCCTATATTAACATACAATACATCATTTTTTTCAGTTTTTTTTTTCTTAATAAGTAGCTATAATAAAAAAATATATGATGTATACTTTTAAAGTTATTACGAAAGATGTATAATACTGATTTTATATTTAAGTGTATCATAAGTAACGGCACATAACGATTTTATTGTTTCGTGAAATTGTAATATCATGAAAACTATATACCTACATTACGATGTTTTTCTACAGTATTTTCATGAATGAATGGTAATTGTAATAAATTAATACAATTTTGTTCTTGTAAAAGCTACCAGTGTCTTTTTCGTATAGCTATATAACGACTTTGTTTTTGTATAAATGTGCTTAGAGAGTTCATCATAATATGCAGTAATGTTTATGAATTTTGGTTATAAATTATTGTAACACCACTAGTTACAGTAATACCACTAGGTACTGGGTACTTCGTGGGTGCCTTTCTACACTCAGTCAGTACCTACATATTGTAAAAACTTAAATAAAATAAACAATGAAGTAAGTATAATAAACATAATTTTTATTTAAGAAAATCACAATTGTTACAATAGGCATTAATCAGTCTAAGTTCTAAAAAATCAATCAGTCTGTTTCATTCCTATCACTGTCACAGTCATCCTCACCTAAAGCGGCTTCAGTATTATTTGTGCTTATCAGCGAATTGTAAAAACTGTGATAATGGAGAGGTATGGCGTTAATCCTACAAAGACTTGATAGGTCTTCGTGTAGAGCTTTAGAAACTGGAACTGGACCGTTATAAGCTGGCTCCAATGTCACGTCATCAGCGATAGACGAAGTTGCTGCGGTAGAGGCAGATTTTCGTTTTCAAGTGTTTTTAGTTGTAGTTGATCTCATTTCAATATAGTCGTCATCATAATCATATTTAAAGTAAACAGATTGTGGATGTGTATGGGCAACTTTTATTTCTTTGATCTTTGACCAATATATTTTGTTACCTTTTGCATTATTTAGCCAATTTTGTCCAGTAATCAATGATTTTATGTCATAAAAATTGTCTTGCCTCATTTCCTTGACTTTGTATTTTTCACCAGTTTGTTTAGCATTCATAACTATACCATATAATTGATCAGGTGTATAAATTTGTTTATTTTTCATTGCTCGTTCTACGCATGCATGCATAGAATCACCTTCATTTTGGCTGTGGCCAGATTCAAAGAAACGATGAACAATTTCCAGTTTGAACTTATTAGCAGCAAACAGATAAAGGGCAAACACAAATCTATTTTTATTCTGTCCTGCGCAACCATCAGAATAAAATGAAATTTTATTTATTTGTTTATGATATTGTTCTTCAATAAAATTATAAAGACAGCTACCTATCTCTATTGATCCTCTTTTAGTAATTTGCAAATGTTGGAACTGACATTTTGCGTGGTCGATTGTTATGTTTACCTCTACAGTCAGTTTTGTCAGAATCACTATTGTATTTTTCTATAGCAGTGTAAACCATTTGTTCGGATATTCGTAAAGTATTTAGGAAAATACTTTACATACTCGGACTTTATTATTCTCTAATGGCAAATAATAACTTATAGTTTGAGTTCGGTTTTTATTTCGAACAACTCGAAGTTTTTTGACAGAATCTGACATAATGTATTTAGTTATAAATTGCCATTGCAACTCATGGTCACCTAATTTATAAAATGTCTCCAAAATGGCATTCCTTTTATTATAGGAAAACGTTTCACCACATTTCAATTTGCATTTACAAGAAGGTCCTACCGATTTTGAAAGGAACTGTTTTTTAGAATGACATCCAACATAGGCTTTTCCAGAGTTTTTTAAAGTTTTAGATTTATTGGCTATCCGTTCTTTTTCATTTCGGCGTCGCTTACGGGCTAAGTCGTTTGTGATAGAGAGAGAGTTATCGTCGTCATCAGTAGGTTCAATAGAACTGCTTGGCAGTGACCCTGATGCTGAAATTGTAGTGAGTGATTCTGATTCAGATGTACCTAATACTTGTAATGTTACAGAATCTTCATTCTCCACTATACCTTGTTGCCTTGGGCTTTTATCGCTATTTATAATTATAACCATCTCGTTGGGGCTTAAATTAGATCTATTTTGAGGCGTTAAAGTCTTATTTATATCAATATTGACATTTTTTACATCGATTATGCTATGTACAGAACCTTTATTATTCTCAATAGGAACTAATGTTTCATCGAGGTTTTTATCATCTGAGTTTAAAATAGTATTATCTTCCTGTATTGTGCAATCAAATAGAGTCGGCGTATTCGATTTACTTTTATTGGCATGAATAATATACCCATCTGGCGAAGCAACAAAATCAACATTGTCTAATATTAAAGAAAGGTTTGATACTGATGTTGGTGTTCTTATAAGCTGGTGATTAATAATGTCAATATAATCTGCACCTGAACTGGATAGCATTTCATTTTCAGTAGAATTTTCACGAGTTAGGTTTACTGTTTGTAGTTCACATATATCTAAAGATGGTTTCTGTACATTGTCACCTTGTTCACCGTAAGATGTAGTCGGTACATCTGAAATATTAACAGATATTATTATTATACTTAAATTAATATAAAATAATATTACAAACTCACGTTTTACAGATTGAGCAGGTATCTACGTACCAATTAAAACTTTTGTTGCTATGCCGTCACATGGAAGAATATCAGGAATTTAACATCATTATTATCTTCAGACCCTGTAATGAAATAATTATTGAAAGTTAGTAGTAGCAGAAAGAAGAAGTAATAATATTCAGATAAATCACACACGGCCATCTAATCCCATACTAGGCATAGCTTTTAGGTAGGTACCTATTATGGCAACCAGACCCCCGGACACAGAACAAATAATCATGCTCATCACTCAAAGATTTGTCCTGGGTGGGAAACGAACCCACAACCTTACCTGAGGGTCACTAAACACTAGACTAATACCTACTAACTTAAGTTAGGGTTAAATTAACAGACCACACTAAGAGTTTAGACACGATCATAATAATAATAAGGTTAATAAAAATATTTATGGGAGGCTATCATATCTGAGCTCATACGAATATGAACAATATGTATGTTTATAATACACAGAACGCATAATACCTAAGGAGGTGGGTATTTAACTAAAAAAGAGAAATAAGCAGGTAAGTATACGAATTTCCTCCTTTTAAATTTATTTCAATAATATACCTATTTACGTAATAATTAAAAAAAAATACTTACCACTTTCCCTTCCCTCAACTATTTTAAGAATTCTTCTAGCTCGTAATCCTTTATGACGATATTCCATGGTTAAATTTATATATTACTAGCATTGCCCGCGGCTCCGCCCGCGTTCAGATGACCAAAAACTAAATTCTTAGGTGTTACATATTAGTATACTCTTACATTGCAGTTTTTGTATTTTTCCTCAGAAATAAGATATTTTCCCGCGGTAAAAAGTATCCTAGGATCGCGCGCTACATCGCCCGGTTTATATAGCTTGAGCAGGCGGTCGAGCGATGCGGGGCAGAGGGGATGGACTCGCCGTAGGCATCTCAATGCTCGCCAAGCATGAAAAATGTTTCGCTACTAATTACTTCTAACAACGATATCTCAAAAACTATTCATCTGATTGATTTAGTGTAAAGAGCAATTTTAATCTGCATTAAATGACTAAGCTAACTAAAATATTCATTTGGATAAGGATTAATACCGAACTAAAGAAAATAACTTTGAAAATAACGTAATGTTTTTAATTAAAAATGTTAACATAAAAGTGGTTATTGTAAGTCAACCGTAAGAGATAGAGATATGCTATCGCGGACTTTTTTGTAGCATTTTTATAGATTTTGAATTCTCTAGTACATTACTTAACTGTATCTTTGCTAGTTTACGCGGCGTTCGCGTGGAAAGTTCCCATTTGGCGAGATTTTTTGCGACCTCTTCAACATTTGTCGCCGTATTTCAGCTAATTTACATAAAAGCATAATAAATTATATACCTAAACCTTCCTCAAGAATTACTCTTTCTATTGTTGAAAACCGTATAAAAATCCGTTCAGTAGTTTTCGAGTTTATCGCGTTCAGACAGACAGGAGGACAGACAGGAGGACAGACAGGAGGACAGAAAGACGCGGCCGGGGGACTTATTTTTATAATAAGTATAGATAATTATCACAGAATCCTAATTATGTTTATTTGTTTGTAAACAATAGAATACCGTCACATCCCAACGACTTCAAATTACGCAATGATTGATTATTGTGCATGATCACGCCGCCCGCGCATAGTAACTTGTAAAGACTTGTCGAAATTCGAGCGAAAAAGACAATAATAACCAAATACTCTATTAATAGAAGGAGAAAAAAATAGTATCACATTACTACATGTTTTCAAATTCATAAATAATATTGTAATAGGTGTTTACGTGAAATAGTATTGATAATTATGTCAATAATAAAGCAGTAATATACGTTTACCGTTCAAGATTTACCAAACTAATTCAGGTAAAGCATGTTATTGAAAAGAATTATCAATTTATTTACGTGAATAAAATCGTATAATGCATTACAGATTTCTCGCGACATGCGTTCGTTCCATAATGAACGACTACGTGTTTTTACGGGAAGAATTTGTTACATGATTTCCGTAGAATAAAAATAAAAATTGTTATAACTTTATGAATTTTCTGTATAAAAATCTAATAAAAAATCAGTAGGTGTATATCGACACCATAGATGCCGAAAATGCAAAAACATTAAAAAAGTGGTAATAGCGCATAACCATTTTATTCCCCGGGGGCGTCGATATCTAATAGATACAATTAACCTTACGTAATTAACTGAAATGAGATCAAAATCATTATTTAAGTATTTGAGAATACTAACAAACAAGTCTTATAGGTATTTATGATTATGACAGATACCATCATGATTTGATGAATCTGTCGAAGGAATGAATGGCAAAAATTATCACAATAATGAGTTTAGAACTCTTTAGTTTAATCAACTTACGATAAATAATTATTTTAGGTAATAATTGTAAAAAAATATATGTATTAAAAGAAAACCAATATTGATTTTGAAAATAAGATCGTAGAAAACAAATATTGTTAATTGTGTCATCAGCTAAACGACTTCTAATAGAGCTGCAAATATAGCCTGCGGCCGAAAAGGCCCTTTCAGTTTCTACACTTGTCGGCTTTATTGTCAGCAAATAATCATGAATAGCAGACAAGTATTCTCCTCGGACTCCATCGCTTTCAAATGTCATTTCTTTTTTTAGTACTTTATAAAAATCTTTCTCTTTTTTAGTATGTACGCTATAACACGTGGCTTCTTGCTGGATTTGTAATTGTAATTCTTCCTGTAATGTCAAATCTTTCTTTAGTGATGGTGAATCTAAGTTCTCTTCTACTATTTCTTCTATGTTTTCTTCAGATGTATCTTCTTGAATAACTCTTTCTAATATTTTTGTCGTTTCTGATCGTATGACTTTTTTCTTTGGCATAGTAAATGTATCATCAGATCGGTTTACATTTTCAAGATATTTCTTTGGATTCTGTAAGTATATCAATATTCCTGTTACTACAGTGCGGCGTTCTTTAATCCTTGTATACAGTGATTCATATAATTCATTACTTAAGGGTCGCCGCACACGAGCCACACCCGACAGCCACAAACGCCGCCACTAGAAGCTAGAAACGGCCACTAAGTAATCTGTAGCGCGCGACAGCCACTTGTGGCCGATGGACGCAACTTGTGGTCGGTGGTTGCTTTTTTTAACCCATGCGCGCAGGAACACTATAATAATCTATATTATATTTATAATCCCTACTAATATTATAAATATGAAAGAAACTCTGACTGTTACGCTTTCATTACAAAGATATGCATGACGAGGATCCGTTATAGTAACTGTAACTCCTTGTTCATCATCTTTCGTTGTGTCTTCGTCATCTGTATCTGATATATTAGATGTTGTTGGTGTTGTTGCTAGGTGTTGTTCTGCTTTCTCTTCATTCTTTTTGTATAAAACATCGATCACAGCTAATTGTAACCCATGTGCAAAGCAAAGTTGTTGATAGCAATTCATAAGCTTACCTACTTTGACCATGACACTTGCGCCGTCAGTACTCATGCCAATAATATCAGTATCAGCACTAGCACCGGATCCGGTCTTCGGATCCGGTATATTGGTACCGGATCCGGTAACCAGTAAATGATGCCGGATCCGCCGTATTACCGGATCCGTTTTTCCGGATTGCAATCCCTAATTATGTTTAAATGCTGAAAGAGTATTTTGGTCCCAAGCTCCTAGAGTTTGATGGACACATTTCCTTGACATGGTTTCAGCAGGATGGGGCTACCCGTCACACATGAAAAGCCAATATGGAAGTAGGACAGCAGATGTTCCCTGGAAAAGGGATATCGAAGAGGGGAGATATTGAGTGGCCTCCGCGAAGTCCAGACTTGTCTGCACTCGACTTCTTTTTATGGGGATACCTCAAAAGCAGAGTTTTTAATAATAATCCAAAAACACTTGGGCAGTTAAAGGAAACTATTCGTCAAGAAATGGCGACCATTTCTTTGGCGACTTGCAGGCGAGTTTTTGAAAATCTAAGATGACATTTAGACGATATTATTTTCAAAAAATAAATTAAACATGTGCGTTTTGTATTTTAAAAGTTAAAAACTCTCGCAAGTATTACCTGTATTTTTTATTTATTCTTTAAAAGTGAACTTTATTATGGCCCATCCTGTATTATCTGCCCTTCTCTTTGAAGACCCAAAAGTAGTTGGAAAAGTTTCAGTTAATGTCAAATTAATCACACCGGGTAGACCATTGCAAATAACAGCAAAGCAGAAAAGGAGTGAAAATAAAAAACAAACAAAACAGCCAACTTATTATTACAGAAATGATGATGAAATATTGAATGCATTAATCTAAGATTAATTATTATCATACCCAACAAGCAATGATCACCCTTAACCCTTTAACTGGTAGAGGGAATGCCTAGATAATGAAATAAAACTTCACTACTTTGAATCATATATTTTTTTTACTTTTTTTAAACATTTTATTTTATTTTTTATTTATTTATTAGATAGAAAAAACAACATATAAACCACCATCAGTCTAGCCTTACCAATTTATGTATCCGTTTGATGGTAATTTTTGAAGCAAGGCACTGCACACAATGGCACTTGACACCTATCACATTGTATCCTGGATCGTTGATTATTGTGTGCACTACTACACAAGCGACACCTTCTATAGGTGGGTAATTCTACAGGCCAATGAGCTCCAAGCTCAGAAAAACGAATTTCTCGAGGCACTCCAAATAGTTTCTTTTGCCTTGATTCACTTTCTTCCGATTGTACAGACTTACTTTTTTTGGACGCGAACTTTGGCATGGTGGCAAAGGGTCTCTTTTGGAATGTTGCGTTTGCTACTAATTCTCGAGACAATGTCAGCCTAAATTCCTTTTGAAACAATACGGTGTGGTTACGTCTGTTAGAAGCATACAATATATACGCGTTTGTTATAGCAGCATCAATAAGGAAATAGAAGATGCGTTTCCACCACTTCGAGCTTTTTCTTCCGACTGCGTACGGGGTTCTCTTTTAGTCAAACCGGTCCACTCCTCCCATACGCTTTGTGTATTCTGTAATTGTCAGCGGACAAGGGAATGATTTTTTTAGATCCATCATTTTGAGTTCTTTCACAAGATGTTTTCTGCTTTGGATGAAATGCAGTGCTCAAAACGCTTACTAATTTGTTATCTTTCCAGATAATAAAGCCAACATTATTTTTTACCCTCCATTTCCATTCTCCTCTTTTCAGCTTTTTTGTTTTTTGGTTTGCATTTTTTACAGCCTTTGCTATCTTTTCATCAATTTCTTTATTACCAGTCGCTTTGGGCTTTTTTACAATTAGTGGCATATCTTGGCGGTCATATCTGACTGTAGCAGTTGCATATATACCATTATTGTATAATGTTTGTAGTAAAACTGGACTAGAAAAAAAGTTATCAAATGCTATATGAACCATATAGGTGTCATTTATGAGTGACTGGCATAATGTCATGACAACTTTACTGCCTAATCCTGTTTCGACGTTTTCGGTCTTTCCAACATACACTTGAAACTGATACAAGTATCCTGTGTGGCTGTCAGCTCTAGCCCAAACCTTGAAGCCCCGTTTTATGGGCTTCATGGGCATGTATTGCTTTAGAGTAGATCGCCCCTTGAACTTTATCATACACTCGTCAATTGACTGAGAATATGTGTTTTTGGCATTTGTCTGACATTTTACGTTGATGTAATCTAGCAGCGGCCTTATTTTATACAGTTTGTCGTAGTTATCATCGTTCCTGTTCGGCATATTGGCATTGTCATTGAGATGTAAATGTTTCATAAGTTTTTGAAACCGCTTCAATGTCATTGTCTCAGCAATTTCAACAACATGCAGTAATGGGTCACTGGACCAATAATCTTCTATACAGGGTAATTTGTGAATGCTCATTTGAATCATCATGCCCAGTAAAGCTTTGATCTCTGTTACTGACGTCTGTTCCCAATTTTGGTCATTGCATTGTGATGCATATAGGTTAGATTGGGTTACAATCATATCGATAGCTTCAGAGTCAAAAAACATTTCAAAAAATACGAGTGGCCTAGTCCTATTGGCTATGTTCCGAACTGGTTGTAATTGAATAGAATCAAAAAGAGAAACTACGGGATTCTGTGACCAGGCCACTTTTTTCCATTCGTCTTCATCTGCATCAGATCCGTCTGAATTCTCAATTTCTGATGGATCAAAATCTTCTTGAAGTTCAAGTTCTATATGTGAAGGACTGTGTCGTGAACTTCTTGGTGGGGGTGGCTGCATAACATTTTCATTTGAGGGCCCTGGTTGAGGTGATGATGTTGGTCGAGGGCTTAGTTCTGGGAAGATCGTAGTGTTGATTGGGTCATAGTTATTTGACGACAACATACCAGATAAATCTTCCATATCGGAATCCTCCGCTTCATCTTCAGATCTCGCTCCATCACTGAAACCAAATAATTCTTCTAACGCACTTTCTACTTCATCAGGTCTCAGATTCACCCCACGACGATCCATATTCCTATAAAATACACAAAAAAATATATAAATATGTAAAACAATAGGTAAGTACTTAACTGGTATTGGCAAACATGTTGCCGTCGTACCCTTACGGTATACAGACAGTGGCATATATATTGCCGACATGATTTTTGAAAATTACGTAAATAATATTTATTGTTCGGCAACTTTTGGAAAGGACGTGCCAGTGGTGTGGATTGTACTTCTGTACAAAGAAGAAAGTTAAGGAACATGTAAATTCATGACACAAGCAACCTAATCCGAGCAGTAATAGTGTAGAGATGCACAATGTTCGTCCTTCACGCATCCTCACGCGACGATCAATCGGCAGATCGAAAGAAATTCTCTGCGTTGTGCGCGAAAATGATGATACCGAGTGGCTTGATGAATGTTGATTTTCAACAAAGCACAGTGCCAACAACTGACCTGCAAGATGCTTATCCAGTTGTTAGTGTTGAAAAATGTCTTGCTAATCCGTGGTCCGAGGACAATATACATTAAATATATTCATGTACTAGTACAATACATGTTTTTCCTATGATTACACTCTTCGTTTATTATTATTGTTATGGCAACAAAAAAAACTTGCAACCTGGTGTAGACATTTTTATTATGGTCCTTAATTTCAGAATAAAATAAGATTATAGTTTATACCTGTATTTAAATATTAAGATAATATTCAGAAAATTTTAAGATTCGTTGTAGGTACTAAAAATACACGTGATGTTGAGAAGGGGGAGGGGGGGTGGTCTTAAACCTCACTACGTATCACCAATGGGGGAGGGGGGGTTAAAAAATGCTAAAAAAAGATCACGTGATTAATGGACACCCCCTTATTATTCTTCAAGAACTAAACATCATTATTACCTAAATGTATCGTCAATTCAAATTGAGCCGTATTGCTATAAAACTAAATTACAATTTGCCGTGTGAATCTTTCGCGGAATAACCGACTAAATATCAAAACATTCTAAACGTAATCGTAACAATTGAAATTAACCTTTATTTCTACCTAACATAAGAGCGAAATGCCGTAACTTGTAATTGCCTAAGCATTGCACAAATAAAACAAAAATGCTTCATCTCTTTTACATCGCTTTACAAGAAAGAGAAGAAGCGAATATGATACCGTTCGGCTTTCGTTACCATCGTTGTTCGTTTTGGCACGGTTTTCGTTTTGATAACTGTGTAACATATCCATATTCGGTTTCCGTATCGAGTTGTCGCTCGATTCGAGTTATTGTTTCGATATCATAGTTTTTGAAATATCAGTTATGTGAAAACGTGATATCGATACGATATGTTATCTAACTCATATTGGTTATTAGTTACGTTTTGATATATCGAACTCATGCCTGCTGTACTGTCGAAAATGTGAAAATGAGAAACATGATGGCATATAAATTGCCATTGTCATTCAAAGCGTTAATATATAAAGCTTAAGATGTTATTTTTTTATGTTTTCTATTTTGTTTGAGGATGTCTTATTGAAAACTAAATATCTAAAATAGAGGTGGGCAGGCCACATCATGAGTGAAATGAGTGAGAAATGGACAAAGGAGACGACAGAATAGATCTCTAGGTTCAACACCATAACAAAATGTGAAAGACAGCCCAAAACATGGTCAGATGATATCAGGATGGTAGCTGGATCGCTATTGCTCAAGTTGGCCAGAGACAGATATGAGTGGAAGAGGCTGGAGGAGGCCTATGTGTCAACAGTACATGCTGATGTGGTTACTGATGTGGTGTCTAAATTATTCAAAAATTTATATCAGCAATAACACCTTATTTTGTATTTGTATTATTATTCCGTATTTTGTATTAGTATTCTATTTGTACTATTTTGTTTGTTTTTAAATAAATAAACATAAAGTGTGTGTTAACATTTTAATAAATTCTAAAGGTTGATTTGTTGTAAGAATAACTGAATTTTTGTTTTGTTATTAAGATGTAATTGTTCTTTTTAAACTAATGTGGATATGTAAACTTTTTGTTTAAAAGTTGCTACAGAACTATCTCAAGTAACACTTTGTTCTTAAATAAATGAATTTACGATTATAATTGCAAAGTCTACTGACCTGACCCACCTATCCCTAATTTTGGAATAAATAAATACTTAATAAATAAAACAATTAAATGGTACTTAGTTTTATTATTATAATATATATTACAATATTTTGACAACCCAACAATTTTTATCAATTCTCCCCCTATGTTGTATTCATTCACCCTGTAATCTGGAGAAATCATACTTTTCTTAATTCCCCTCAGAAGAAAATTTCACAAAATAAAAGTTTACAGGTTTATAAATAGTACAAGACCATTTAAAAATATACTTAGGTCCTTTATCATAGGATATAATATTCGATTTGAAAGTAAAAATTGTTTCTCTTGAGCCCGTTTTATGGTATGGCATTTCTTTACTTCTTCAGCATTCGAAGCCATAAGACCCATAACACAACCCATGCAAGTTTATTTATATTGGGCCCAAATAATAAATATTCACTTCAATTATTAGTTAAGTTATGTTTTCTTTCGTTATTTACATTGTAATTAATACGTAATATAGACTCTACAAAACACACAGATAGTGATTGTCGGTTTCCTCATAACTTAAATGGTAACAAATAAACAAGAGACAAATGATTCAATTCAATTTTCTTGTTAAAGGCTTCAGAGCACGCAAGTTGAAACTCAACTTAAGATTTCATTTTAGATTACTTCATCAACGTCCAAAAGACAATGAGTACTGGCGATATCTCGTAGTATTACTTATTGCGACAAAAGTACACATACAGAAGAGATGTCTAATATAAACAATTTAAATATAACTAAGACTCCAGACCATCTTTTTCGTGTATAGGGAAATTCATATTTTACATCAGAATATTAATGGACTTATTAGTAAAATTGACCTTATTATAGAAACGTTAGACTCTCTTGATAAGTGTAGTTTGTCAATTGATATCTTATGTATTACAGAGCATAATATGGTAAAACATGACTTAAATATTCTTAATATCAATAATTTTATAATGGGAGCTTACTATACAAGAAATAATAGGAATGGAGGCTCTTGTATACTTGTACATAAGCATCATAAAATTAAAACTATACCTGTTACTCAGTTTTGTTGTACTAACATATTAGAAGGTTGTGCTATAGAACTCTTAGAACATAAAACTATAATAATATGTATTTACAGACCCCCTAGAATATCAAAAGACAATTTTAATATATTTCTCATTGCCGTGAATTCTTTACTACAAGAATTTTGTTACAGTACAAAGAAAGTTGTCCTTTGTGGTGATTTTAATATAAATATGCTTAATGATACTAAGGAGAAAAGAGCTTTCTTAGATATTCTGGTGTCATTTAATTTAAAACTTGCTATTAATGAGCCTACAAGACTAACTAGTGGGTCTTGTATTGATAATATCATACATAATATCAAAGGATGTAAGAGCAAAGTATTTGATTATGCACTATCTGACCATACTGCGCAATTGTTAATATGTCCAGTAAAGGTTAGCTACTACCTAAATTATTGGTATGAGGACGTCCGAGACTATTGTAATGAGAACTTGGAAAAGTTCAAAGATTGTCTTAGTTCTCTTAGCTTCAGCGAGGTATATAGCTCTAATTGTCCTAATCAAGCTTTTGATCATTTTTACGACATATTTGGGCTTTTCTATTCTCTTTGCTTTCCAATAATAAGAATCAAAAATTATTTGCACAATCGACCTAAATGGATCTCAAAAGGTATAAAAAGATATACTAAAAATAAACGAATTTTACTATGGCAATATAGAAACAAACGAACTGAACATAATAAAATTAAATTTAAAACTTACTCTAACCGCTTGAATAAAATAATAAAATTAACCAAAAAGTCTCAAAATATGTACTACATTGCCTCTGCTAAAAATAAATCGAAAGCCACATGGAACGTGGTAAATCGTAACTTTTTAACAAATAAAACTAAACAAGAGATAGATCACATAAAAGTTGGGGATAAGATTATTAACGATCCTACGGAAATGGCAAATCATTTTAATGACTTCTTTATTAGCCAGACTGCCAATATCATCTATAGTTCTAATAAAGTGGATACAAAATCAATTAATAATTCGTTCTAAATCTTTATTTCTAAATCCTGTAACTCCTTTTGATATAGATAAAACGATCAATTTACTTAAAAACACGCATAGTACGGGGTATGACGAAATATGTACAAAAGTCTTGAAACATGTATCTTCTATTGTCTCTCCCGTTTTGTGCTACGTTATTAATCTTTGCATATCTGAGGGTCAGGGATCGACGACGGGTGTCTTCCCAGATCAGTTAAAAACAGTTATAGTAAAACCACTCTTTAAAAAACTTAATAGATAATCCATGTGCAATTACAGACCTATAGCTCTTGTCCCTATTTTAAGCAAAGTTTTTGAGAAAATTATTTATAATTCATTGAATGATTTCTTCGAAAAGAAGAAATTATTTACAAATGATCAATTTGGTTTTCGCAAGAACAAGAGTATAAATATGGCTGTCTACAGCTTTCTTAATTATATCATGCCAAATTTAAATAATAAACTTCCTGTCTTTGCCTTATTTATGGATTTAACTAAGGCTTTCGATTTTGTTGATCATAATATCTTGCTCAACAAACTTTTTGCCTATGGTGTTAGAGGCAACGTCTTGGATCTGATAAAGTCTTACCTTTCTAATAGAAAACAAATAACACAAATTTCAAAAGTATGTAGCCGATATAAAAAAAACTGTTTATTCTTCTGACTCGAAAAAAATTCTCCAAGGTGTTCCCCAAGGCAGCATCTTGAGTCCTCTATTGTTTATTATTTATATAAACGACTTACCGAAAAATGTTGATGATCATAAAATGATCTTATTTGCTGATGATAGTACTATAATTTTTGCTAACAATAACACAGTCGACCTAAAGAATGATATTAATAAAACCCTTGGAATTATTATGGATTGGTTGCATTGTAATAAGCTCATGATTAATCTGGATAAAACTAATTTAATGTTTTTTAGACATAGGAAAAATATGCTGAATGCTTTGGATATAAATTTTGATGGTAAACAAATCAAACAAGTCGATGTAACAAAATTTTTAGGGCTCAATATTAATAGTAATTTGAATTGGAAAAAGCATATTGAGGAAATAAGCATAAAATTAGGACAATTTTCTTATGCGCTCCATATGTTGGCCTAAATAGTAAATGTTTCGACTTTATTAACTGTATATCATGCTTATGCCGCTTCATTGTTAAGATACTGCATTATTTTTGGGGGTAATTCGGCAGATAGTGATGTAGCTTTTAAAGCACAAAAAAAAATGTATCCGAGCAATATTTAAATTAAAAATGATTGAAAGTTGTAAACCATATTTTAAAAATTATAATATTATGACATTCCCAAGTATGTACATCTATGAGACTATTAATTATATTAAGAATAATTTATATTTATTTGAAAATTGTAGTAGTGTAAGACATAGGGCTATGCTTCGCCACCCGCGTTGTAAGACCAATATTTTCTCGAAGAGTGTGTTTTGTACCGGACCACTTTTATATAATCATTTGCCTAAAGATATTCTAGAAATTAATGAAATTAATGTATTTATACATAAATTGAAGAAATTTCTATTAGAAAAGACGTATTATTCAGTTAAAGACTATATGTTGGATAAGTTGTAATATATAATTTTAAACAGGTATATAGATATTGTAATTAACTAGCTAAAAAAGAATGATATAACATACATTACACAGGAAGTTAAACATAATACTGAATAATATGTTATTATGCAATACATATATGTTAACGTTTGTAATTTTAGGTATATTTTAATTATTGAAATATTGCATGCTGTAAGGCTGAATTTGGCTGAACATTAAATATGTTAATATCAAAATCTAAATGTATGTACTAACCCAAGTTCGCAATAAAGTGTTTGATTTGATTTGATATCTAGAAAGTCACTTTTGAGTTTTTATCCCCAAATTTTCAAAACTATACATTTAGTATTATACCTATAGAATACAACACTTTTTAATCACAAAGCATGACATTTATCAACAACAACATATCGTCGTTGAAGTTCTAACACCACGTAAGTCATTTTTTGGCGGTTTTGACATTTTGATGCCATTCGCTAGAGAATCGGAACACGCATCGTTTGAGCCAATCAGAAAAAAGTATTGGCCAATAGAAACTCGTGAAATGAAGAAAGTGTAACTACACGGGATCTACCAAATGGCCGTTATATTTGGAAACAGTACGTAAGTCACTTTGTGCCATAGTGTGTTATGTATAGTGATGTGCCGGATCGTTAAAAATGTAGATCCGCGGATACGGATCTGAATACGGATATTTGGTGTCAAGATCCGCAGATACGGATACGGATACGGATCTTAACTTTTTTACACAATCGGTGTCGTTGCGCGCGATCTTGAGTTGACAACTTGAGGTTGAGACACGTTTCGACTTGTATTGCGCGGCGGCTTGCATCTTTCTTTTGTTTTGTTTTAGTTTAATGTGACACTGGGCAGCATAGATAACGCTTGTGTTTGGTATTGGTGGTACATGATTTTAAAAAAATGTCTACAAAGAAGTTTAGTAGTGTAATTTGGAATTATTTTGTGATAATAAATGATGAATGTGCAAAGTGTAAAATTTGTGATGGAAAGTATTCTCGTAAGGGTAAAGGCACAACTTCCTTAAAAAATCATTTACAAAGAAAACATCCTCAAGAATATAAATTATTCTTTAAAGAAGACTCTGCTAAGAAGAGTATCGACGAAATATCACGGCCGGGAACATCTTCACAAACGGTAAAAAGAGAATTTAAACAAACTTTTTTTAAAGAATACATGGAAAAAGCTAAAATGTGGGATAATACAAACCACAAATCTATAAAAATAGACTATTTGATTGCTGAAATGTTTAGCTTTATCAGATCTACCTTTTCAACACGTAGAAGAATTAGGGTTCCGCCGATTGATGGACCATATTGTTCCAAATTATGTTTTAAAAGGTAGAAAGTATTTTACGGACCTTGTTTGTAGTGAGCTGTACGATAAAGTGTCATTAAAAATAAAAGACATGTTACAAGATTTTGAAAAAGTTTCCTTCACGTCAGATATCTGGTCTGACTCTTCATCAGGAGTTTCATTGTTATCCTTAACATGTCATGGTATTACTAAAGATTTTCAACGAAAACATATCGTTTTGAAAGCGGAAGTTCTTGAAGAACGTCACACGGGAGATTATATTTCGGAAATATTTCAAAGTATGTTAGAAGAATGGGGAATTTTGAAACAAAATGTGCACTGTATGGTAAGAGATGGGGGATCCAATATGAAGCGCGCCTGTTATTTATCTGAAGTACATAGTATCGACTGTACAGCACATCAGTTACATTTGGTGGTTAAAATGCAATACAAAAAGTTAATGAAATTTCCATATTACTTACAAAATGTAGGAAAATTGCTGGACATTTCAATCATTCCACGATGGCAAAGCAAGAATTAGAAAAAATACAAGTTCGACTCAATCAAAAAGTTCTAAAAGTTTTGCAAGACTCACCAACACGCTGGAATTCCAGCTATTATATGTTGGAAAGACTTGATTGCATCAAGGAGTCGTTGTCGCTTTATTCTTCTAATAATAAAATAGAACAATTTGATGCCGATGACTGGATTTTAATTCAAGAATTAATAAAAGTGCTGAAGCCTTTGGAAGACACTACAAAAAAATTAAGCTCACAAAACACGTGTATATCTGACGTTATTCCTCTAGTACGAGCATTGAATAAAATCTATGACGAGAAAAATATGCATATTAGTGACATTAGTGTATCCGCAGTTGTGACCTTTGTGTCTGCTTTGAAGAATGAATTAGAGTATCGTTTTTCTGAAATTGATAAAAATGTTTTGTATCAAGTAGCCACATTTTTAGACCCACACTACAAAGGGAAATTCTTCAGTGAGATTCTCATAAAAGAAATAAAAGAAAAATTGCTTAGAGTTTTAGAAACTGAAGTAAATCTTACAGCAACTACAATCAGTACTGAAAACAAACCAATTACTGTTAGAAAAGAACATTGCACGAGCCTAGAAGAGTCTATTGCTAATATGTTAGATAGTAATGATGACGATGAGCAATCTGAAAATCAAATATCAGATACGAAAGCTAATTTGCTCATCGAATATATGTCAGAAAAAAGATTACCAAGAGATCAAGACCAACTAAAGTATTGGCAAATTAACAGTAAAAAGTTTGGAAGTCTTAGTCACATTGCTCGTACATATTTATCATCACCTGCAACAAGTATTCCAAGTGAGCAAGTTTTCAGTGCAGCAGGAATTGTTTATGATCCTCATCGTAAACAGGCTTTTGGGGGACAAAGCTGCCAAGTTACTCTTTTTGAAATATAATATACCATTACTTAATTTTAATTATGACTTATAATTTTCTTAAGTTCCTTTAATTGTCATTGTGATTTTAATTTAACATTAACACTGTACCTATGTGTCACGTAGTACTAGTTTACTTGATTAAAAAATAATTTAATTTGAATTTAAAATATTACGAAGAGCTAAGTTTTGTTTTCTTAATAAAAACTGACCTTATAACTTTTTATAATATTGATCTCATTAAAAAGCTAGTTGATTTAGCACCTTGGAGTTATATACTATTAGATGATAACTAGCTACGGCAAAGTTTGCAACATAAAGGAGCCAAATATTTGATTTTAAAAAATAAAAAAATATCTGTACTAAATTTAATAGTTTTTTATTTCTACCTAATGACCTATTTAAGGCGAAGAGTAAGGCGCACTAGCGACGCCAATTGCTTAAAATTGCTAAGTAGCTACTAAACCGGATCTATTTTAAATAATTATGGATCGTCAGAATCTCGGCAATTGACGTCGCTAGTGCGCTTTACCCTTCGCTGTTAAGAATTTTATATATAAATTTAAAATTAATGAGGTAAATAGATCCGTAAAAGATCCGCCAAAAAGTAACGGATACGGACACGGATACGGATCTTTCTTCTGCTTCGGATATCCGTGGATACGGATACGGATACGGATATCCGGCACATCACTAGTTATGTACTGCACGGTTGCTCCTGACGATTAGAGGAAAAAAGGTAAGAAAATATTACTGTGTTATTAAAATCTGTGCATTTTTTATTTTTAAGATATTTTTAGTATTTATATTTGATGTTTTTATATTGTTATAAGCTTAATTTAGTTAGTTAATGCTATTGAAAGTTTGGGTACTGACTTACGTTGTGTTGCTCTAAGGTTCGAAGTTACGTGGTGTTTTAATGTAACGGTTTTATGGTTTACCTAACGATCATATTTTAATTTTTAAGTTAAATAGTAAATTATTGACCAACATAAAAATTTTTGATAGTAATGTAGATGTTTTTTAGGCAGTGAAAGTATATTTATTCATTTAACAGGTATTATAATTGTTTTTGTTTCATTTTCAGAAAAAAGAATCAAAATGAGCAGTGACGAAGATGAAACTATACTTGAACTCTGCAAAGAATTAAAGATAAAAATACCCCCAAAAAAACCAAAATCACTTACCCACAATTCTATACACCCAATTTCAAACCTTGAAAATCTAGACCTTAATAATTTACCTAATATATTAATATTAGATAATAATGAAAATACAATAGCTTCTGATTTAGTTGCACAGACTTCACAGCAAATTTTAGCACACGATAATTTAAATATAACTACTGAAAATGTAATTACTACATTAGAAGAAGTTGATCAGTCTGCATTGATAATAACAGAAGAAGTAATAGAAACATCTATGATACAAGAACCAGAAGAAATGCTTGAAAAGCAAACACGAGTAGTATCTTTAGAAGAAATGAGCTCCGAGAACGTACCTGATCTAACAACTGTAACGGATGGATTAATTGATAATGAACAGAATTTAATTCAAGATGTTGATAATGTAGAAGTTAATGAAAACGAAAAATCAACTAACAACGAATATTTTGGAGATCTTAATTCTAAGCGTAAAAGAAAATCTAAAGGTCAAGTAAAGTCGGATAACAAAAGGGAGTGGACCAAAAATAAATGCAAAAAACTAAGATTAGAGGGAGAGTCGTACATGGGATATCGGCGAGATAGCAAGCAAGAGAAGTTTCAAGTATTACATGATGTTATGCGGCCTGCGCGTGAAATAGGACCTCGTTGCTTTTCTGAGTTTTGTAAGAAATCCAAACTTCGTGGATGTAACAACATAGCAGAGACAGAGAGACAAGAAATTTTTATTATTTTTTGGAAACAAATGGACTGGTCTCAGAGGCAGCAGTATGTTGTTTCTAATGTTGAATGTGGAAATAGAAAACAAATAAAGAAGATAGATTCTGCTTCAAGACGAAATTTGAGCAAGCAATATTTTTTAAACACTGAGTCTCAAGGCCGTGTTCAAGTATGTATGAAAACGTTTTTAAGCACTCTAGGTATTACAGAAAATTCTGTGCGTTATTGGATTGAACATTCTGAAAAAGGCATGACAAGAAAACATGGAGGGACACGTCCACTTCAGGAGAAAAGATCAAAAGACTGCATGATCTCTCTAAATAAGTTTTTTGATGATTTACCCAAAATGCCATCCCACTATTGTCGGGCGTCAAGTACAAAACTTTATTTAGAACCAGTTGTACAGAGCAAATTGAAACTTTATAAGTTATACTGTGAGAAATGTAACGAACAGCAGGAAAAACCCGCCTCTCGATGGTTGTTCGATCAAACCTTCAATAAAAAGAATTTAAGCCTATTTTCTCCTAAGAAAGACCAATGTGATTTGTGTTGTTCTCATAATGTAGGGAATATCAGTGAAGCCAACTATCGTGAACATATATTAAAAAAGGATAGAGCTCGACAGGAAAAAGCTCAAGATAATTTAAGAGCAACGAATAAAGAAGTGCATGTCTTTACACACGATCTACAATCCGTACAGCTGTGTCCTAAACTTGAAGCCAGTGCAATATATTATAAGACAAAATTATGTGTACACAACTTCACCATCTACAATCTTGAAAACAAAGACGTTCACTGTTATTGGTTCGATGAGTGTACTGCAGGCCTGGTGGCTTCTGTGTATACTACCTGCATAATAGACTGTTTGAAAAAAACACTGTCTAAGAAGCTGCTACCTATAATTCTGTATTCCGATGGTTGCACAGCACAAAATCGTAATGCTGTTTTATCCAATGCATTGCTTGAATTAGCTATGGACTATAACATTCAGATCGAACAAAAAATCCTAGAAAAGGGTCATACTCAGATGGAGGTAGATTCTTGTCATAGTGCAATAGAATGTCAAATTAAACACAGAGACATCTACCTGCCTTCGCAGTACGCTTCAATTTCGAAGGAAGCTCGTACTTCGCAACCCTACAATGTACATTTTCTAAATTATGACTTTTTCATTGACTTTTCAAGATGTCTCATGTATGATTCGATTCGACCAGGCAGAGTAGCTAATGACCCAGTAGTTACAGATATCAGAGCACTACTTTATGAACCTGAAGGGCTTATAAAATATAAACTAAGATATGATGACGACTATGTATTGTTACCCAAAAGACCTAAACCAAGAAGCAATCTGCCAAAACCAAAGTTGTACCAAAGTAGGATACCAATTTCTCAGATTAAATATAATCACTTACAAGAGTTAAAACGTGTCATACCCAGTGATTGCCACAGCTATTACGATAGTTTGCCACATAAGTAAGACTGCTATTATTAGGTTAATGAGAAGTTTTTGAGTTATGTTTTTTTTAAATATTTGTAATGTCTTTGAGACTGTTTATTTTTAAGAAGTTTTCGATTTTTATTTTGTTTATTATAATACTTTAAAGGTTTAATAAGACTGTTACATTATAATGATTATATCAGTATTATTATGTAAGAATTTATTTGATTAAGTCAATTAATAGAGATGTCCTCAAGTACAAAGTAAATTTATGAATAATAATAATAAAAGTGCAATTACACTTAAAAGCCTTGTTCAGGGTATATTTTCAAACACTTAAATAATAGGTATATTGTTTAATAATTAAAGAAAATATATTAATTTACATAACATTTTTGTTTTTTAATTCCTAGAAAATGACGTATGTCATGTCAATTTGTGAAATTAAAGTGACAACACAACGTATGTCATTACCTATGGGTTAATAACTGACTTTTTATAAAAAATACTTTTTCGATATTAAATATAACTATAATTAAGTATACACAAACAATAAATTTGTATATTTATAGTATTTATACAAAAATATGCAGTTTTTTCACTCTCCTGAAAAGTTGCTATTTTTGACTTACGTGGTATTAGAACTTCAACGACGATATATATTCATTTAGGGTTATTTTCTTTTATAGTGGCTTTTGGTTCACGTAAAACATTCTGGCAGTGTCACGTATTGAGAGATGTGAGAACCTTCGAGCAAGAACAAGGAAGACACGATTCACGAATGACTATGGTTGTTTATCTCTTTGTCTTCCATGGTTTACCTGTTTTATGTTTACCTCTTTATTTGTAATCCATGGTTTACAGTTTACCTACCTAATAGTTATTGGATAACCACAACAAATGACAACAATACAAAAACCATATGACAAATGATATCAATAGTCAAGGGCTATAATGAGTTCACAAACTATATTATAGAATTAGAATTTAGAAATGCTATGCATGATGTCTGATGAGACTAAGATGGCGATAAAAATAAAATTAAAAATTAAAAAACTATAGTACAAGACAGTAGACACAATTACACGGATCATGACTCATGGATGACATTTGACATCTATGGTGAAAACCAAATAAAAAATATCAGAATTATTACCAGTGCTGCCGCTATAACAATCTAGTTTGTGACTACTTAATACAAAATAGTTGCCAGTATTGTAAAAAACATCATTTTCAAAAGTGACTAAGTATGTATTATATAGTATTTCTGGCCTACTTTAATAGTCTTTTACTATTGATTATATTATTTTTTACTGTACAGGGATAGGGATAAGTAGATTATATTGAATCTGTATCTAGTATGGGTTATAATGTATTAAAACTGATTACAATAAAGTTTGTAGCTAATAAAACATCATAATTATTGTAAAATTTTGAGCAAAAACATAAAAATCAATTTGAAAGTCTACAATGTCATTTGGTAATTCTGGAATCCCTTCGTCAATGAATGATTATGTGGACAGTGGATGGCATTTTGATTTGTTTTCAATCGACTTCCAAAATGGAGAATGTTCTTAATTCGTCGGAATTTTTTTTTATGTATGTTCACCGATTACTCAAAGATGCCTGAACCGATTTGAAAAATTCTTTTTTTATTTCAAAGTGTATTATACTTTCTAGGTGGACCCATTTAAATTTTATCGAATTATTAAAAAAACATCTTATAATAAATAAATTTATTTTTAAATAAATATCTTATTAGAATATGTTATTAAAAAAGTTTCTTCTTATAAATTATCTGCTTATTACGTCTACACTAAAAATTGAAAAATAAAACTTAAAAAAGCTTAAAAAGTAAGCACAAAAAAGTAAAAAATAACTAAACTGAAATTTTCATTTAGAATAGTAAATAATAATATACCTTATCAAATATTTTCGAAGTCGGTGCCAGCCAATACAAATCAAAGGAGGAGATAGGAGGAGGCAGGTTAGTTATAATAATTATCCATATATAATGTATAACCTTGATTCTCAAGACCATCTACTAGTCTGAGACCAAAGCTGGTATTAATACCGGATAGGGGCGTTTCCTCTCGCAATGGGGCAGGATGGTCGTGATCTGCATAGACCTCAAACCACCACAAGTATCCTGTTTGTGATTCACAAATTTCAAACGTCTTGATACCAACTGTGGCTGCTTTGTTGTGAATAAATTAGTTGATGTCGAGCCACCCTTTCCACTCTGACAAATTTTCGTCTAGAGCAATGTTTTGCTGCATTTTATATAAAGATGAAAATCTATTATTTAAATGATTGAAAATAGGCTGAATTTTAAACAATTTAGGCTGACTTAGGGTCCGTAGTAGTTATGCGCAAGCGATCCTGCGGCGTCCCACTAAGGCGGGGGGAAGGGATGTCGGGTTTTAGTGGGTAGTACCGGCTCTTCTAGCCGGTGAGCCCCACATCACCACCTGGGGGATCAGGTGGTATGCGTAAATGCATTTCCCGACGATAAAAAAAAAGCCTGACTTAGGGTCATATTGTCCTCATTTGTGCTTGCATTGTCATGGAAATGCAAGCATTTCGACAAAATTATAAACCTATCAATGCTCATAGCACAGGAAAATCCGAGTGTGCCGAAAATATCCCCATTTTTGCACCAGTCAAAACCGAGTCTGATTTTATAGTTACTCCTGTTGCTAAAGTAACAGCAAAAAAGACGTAAAGCTCGTTAGTGTTTGTGTCACGCCATGAAGTAATACGGCTATTCGGTAATATAACAAATCTTCCTATCATTACCTTTATAGCAATATTACATATATATAGCGACTCACCCTCTCTTCGCTCGGGTTCGTCCGTAGGTTAATACGCCATACAAAATTTCATCCCCATTTTCACACCCTTAAGGGATAATTTCCGAGATAAAAAGTATCCTACGTCCTTCCCAGGGTCTCAAACTATCTTCTTACCTAATTTCAGCGAAATCAGTTCTGTAGATCCAGAGATTTCCCTCTACAACGTCACAAACTGACAATTCACATACTTTACCTCTTTATAATATTAGTAATAGATGGATAGATGTCAGCGCACGTATAAAAAACAAAACAGTGAAGTCTTTGCATACCTACCTAAATCTTAGCTGTCAAGTCTCAAGTGTCACTTTTGAAGTTTCGAATTTTGACTTATGGTTCTAAGTAAATAAACACTAAACAGCCTATCTCAAAGAGTATAGTTATATACTGGGAATATATATCTTTTAATAAAAAAACTGTAGTAAAAATAATAATTCTAGTATTATACTGAAAAATAATATTCTAAATTAGACATGGATGAAAATGCTGAAATAATATTGAAGACGATATGCTGTACGTGCTTAAGTGTGAACAGAAAGTTGAACCAGCTTTGTAGAATCGATAACGGTGTTAATAATTTGTTTTTTCTTTTATCACATGATTCAGAAGCTTACGATGTAAGTTTTTTTCCCTTTATTATTTATAAAAAGTTTTACATATATTTTTAAATAAATTTATAACAAGCGACTTCGTTTGTCGTTCGGCGTCGACTATAAAATAGTAACAAAACATAAAAAGAAATATATAGTACTCAATAATGTGAACAAAGGTTTCAAATTTCATACTTTAAAAAAGAAAGGATTTTTTTTTCTAGACTCCTGCAATATATTTTTATTTTACTTTTTTCTGAGTAGTCGAGGTGCCCAACACTAGTTCACAACACCAACAACAACACCTGCGGGGTTATCCATTACTTACCGGACATCCTGTATACAAGAATTGCTCAATTAATATTATAAGGTAACATACAAGTATTACAATGATTTTCTAACTGAATTTATAAATTTTAAGGTAATGTTCTATCAAAATCCAACACATCTTTTTGTATGTTGGGAATGTAAATCGAAGATGCATAGATTGTGTGCATTTAGAGAACAGACTTGTAAAGCTCAGAAACAATTATCTGATTTAATCGATGGAAAAATTGATGTAAGTATAGGTACCTATTTTATGTTTTTTTAATAATAATAATATTCTCCTGATTCATTTCGACCATGGTGGCCAATCCCACTGAGACTAGCCAACTGCAAGAGATATTATAGTGCACAAGTGTACGCGAAGACACAAGTGCACTCTCTATTCCTTTTACCCTCAAAGTCCGATGGGACGATACTTCGACACGACCGGTGAGAGTTAAGGCGCAGGACTGGCTTTACGTACTCTCTAAGGCGCGGTGATGCCCTAATTTCTTAAACTTCGAAACTTCCTAACTCTAGGCTACTACTAAGAATATCTTAACAGAAAAACTCAGTAATTAAAACTTGGCCCAACTCAGGTCATGAACCTCAGAACCTCCGGATCTGTATAATCGCCTCCAGGCTACTTCTAATTGATAGAAATATTGTAAATTATAATTTAACTTTATAAAAAAAGGTAATGAAATAATATTAGTCCCATTGAGTTTCTTTTGCCAGTTCTTCTCAGGTCTGAGGTTTCTTCTTTCCAAACTGGTAGTAGACTCATGACGTTCAGTAAAAAATTGTAATAATTTAATGCGGAATAAAATAATTTGATTTAATTGTATCTCTCTGGTCTCTGGTCTGGATCTGATCAGTTTTTTTTAATAATTATGTACTAAATTATTTTGTACTACATTATTGTGAATATTTTGCTATATTCATCTTGGGTTGAACTGTAATAAATCAAAAGTGCCTGTATAAGTCCAATTAAATCATCTTATTTCATACATATCTCATTCATCTATAATTTTCTATATCACGTTGAAGAAATTTTTCGATCTTGTATTTGTTATTTTCAAGCAAATATAAGTGTAAGTAAAATATGGCACAGCAAAAATAAAATTTATCCCACCGGAACCGTACATTTTTTCGGGATAAAAAATAGCCTATGTGTTATTCTGATGTATGAGCTATAATTGTAAAGTTTCATTAAAATCCATTCAGTAGACATCCATACATCCTCACAAACTTTCATATTTATATTAGTAGAACTATTTCATTCATATGTTTTTAATATATTTCATTTCTTTACTTTCAGAGTGTATATAAAATAAAAACTCTATCACAATTAACATATAAGTACCAAAATATATATGATCAAGAACTAACAGCTAATGATGAAACTTTAACAGATTTTATAGACTGTGGACCAAATTTAGATGACGTAAAGTCTGAAAGCGATTCAGATACTCCATCATGTGACTTACAAAATGAAAGTACGGAATTCATGCAAACGAAAGAGTCACAAAATTTATAATATTGAGACTCTTTGTTTCTTTTTGATTTATATATTATATATTATATTTGGTCGCCTGTTCGAGTCTCACTGGGGGCATTCACTTGTGTAATAAGCACGTTTGTACTCTAGTCATGGGTGTTTATATTTATCCTATGTATGTATTCAAATTTTAAAGTTATATATGTGTAGTGTATCAACTATCTGGTATCCATAACTCAAGCCTCGTAGCTTACCATGGAACTAGATGGTACTGTGTGGTAATTGTCCCAACATATATATTTATTTATATTTATAATATAGAAAATAACTCCTGACACTGAAATTCCAGAAATAGATGAACAAACTAATTCTGTTGTCGATGAAATAAAAAAAAGTGGTCAATTAGTGGATGATGAAAACATAGAAGCAGATAAATTAAACAATCTTGACAGTCCATACTTAAAATTAAAAGAAAAAAAGATAACATTTAAAAACAGCACAGATACAAAATATTTAGCTGTTCAACTGTCAAAAGAGGAGATAAATGAAATGTTAGAGAGGGAAAGAGAAGATAAAAGTGAAAGGACTCTGCAAAGAAAGCAAGAGAAGGACTACAATGGTTTGATATTCAAATGTAAATTTTGTGCATTAGCATTTAAAGATCATAATGAAATGGAAATTCATTGTTTACAACATACAGAGGTATGATTTATTTCTATACATAAATATATAAAAAAATAATTTACTACCATATATTATGTTTTAAATCGAAACTACTTTAAATTAAAAGAAATGTTTTGACAATAGTGACTTCTCTTCGTTCTAGTTTGTAAAAAGATGCCTAAAAGTAGCTTGTGTGTTACTCCAGCTCATAGCATATCTGTATACTAAATTTCATCCAAATCGGTACAGCCGTTTTAGTGTGAAGGAATAACAAACAAACACACACATATAAACTTTTGTAATATTTCTTTATTATTTTATATTAGCGACTTACGTTTCGTTTTAATTTTTTTTAGCAAAACCTTAATTATTTTGCTAAAGTACGAGTAAAAGTAGCCTCAGTTACTCTTTATACATCAGCTATCTGCCAGTGAAACTCCCATCAAAATCAGTCCAGTCGCTTCGGAGATTAGCCGGAACTGACAGACAGACAAAAATTTTAAAAATTGTATTTTTCTTATAAAATCGTATTAATTTCATATGCATTTAGTAAAAAGCTGTTATTTTGACATTATACATACACAATAAACACAACAACATCAAACAAACAAACAATGATCCGGGGGCAGACAGCGGTAGTAACTTCCTACCGGCTGTCTGACACCAAACGACATTTTTTATTCAATTTTAGGTTGAAGACCAACGAAAAACGAAAGAAATAAAAAGTTCAAGAAAAAAAAAAGATATAACTACAGATAAAACATATTTATGCACGGAATGTAATAAGTGTTTTGTGTGAGTTATTGCTTATAAGTTGTTATTGTTGTTATTGTTGACGACACGTTTAACTCAGTTTGTAGTGACCCTACTTGCTGTGTCAGCGGTCGCGGGTTCGAGTCCCGCTGGGGGCATTCATTTGTGTGATGAGCACAAAAGTTTGTTCTCCAGTCATGGATAGGTAATTATATATGTGTAGTGTATCAACTATCTGGAATCCATAACACCAGCCTTGTAGCTTACCACGGAACTAGATGGTGCTGTGTATTAATGTGCCAACATATGTATTATTTATTTATTATTATTAATAACTATTGATAAATATTTCATAAGACTAATTAAAGATGGCTACATTTATTTTCTTTTCATACTGGCAATCCATAATATCGCTCAAATATTATTTACTTAAATTACAGAAATAGAACCCAAAGGCTAAGACATATGATGAAATTCCACCACGCAGGATATCCCTGCGCTGTTTGTGGTAAAACTTTCACTTCTAAAAATCATATGGTTCGTCATGAAACGTAAGTAATTATTATAGGCGCCATCATATTCTGTCTTATTTGTCTTGGTATTAATGTATACTAATATCATAAAGAGAAAAAAAATGTTTGTGTGTTTGCTTGTAATGGATAAACTAAAAGTCCGCTGAACCGATTTAGATGGAGCCGTGAAGGACGTAGGATAGTTTTTATCCCGGAATTTATCCCTTAAAGGGGTGAAAAGAGGGATGGAATTTGTATAGGGAATCAATCATTTCTTAAGTAAAGGATATAAAACTCATACCTATGTATCATGGACGAATTAGAGACTGGACCTGACATAAAATACAAATGTATGAAAACTAGTTCAACCAAGTGACGCATAACGCACACAAAGATTTTATTACATTATTATAAACACTGATACACAATACAATATTTCTAGTGCTTGAACGTAATCGATAAAATACATATATCGATGCACCAATTAATGACATTTTAGACATTGGTTAGCATAGTCATCATATTTTACATCTTTTAATTTATACTTCTTCTTTTAATTTTAATTAATTAAAATAAATGAATTAAAGAGGCAATAATTATGTGTCAAATAATAATTATTTTTTAATTTGATTTATATAAATACGATGGCATTGATGGCAACATTCTGTTGGCCTATAATAATATTAATGAACAAATGAATATCGGGTATATATTCCATTAATATATAATAAATATTATTTTGTGAAGATTAAAAAAATATTAAGCTAATTTAATTAAATAAAGTGATTTTGTTGATTCTGTTATTGAACTATTTTAATTGGCAATTGATTGTCTCGGGTAGTTATAAAAATGTGACACTGTCCTAATATTGCTCAGTTCTTAATAAACATTTGTGAAATTAGGAAAAAGAAAAAGAGATTGCAAATTAAAGTGAGTGTTGGATCGTGAAAGTAAAATAATTAGTGCAAGTGGTAAAGTGTTTTATTACAAATCGCCAACCCAGAAGTTTAGTGCTAAAACATTATTGTTTGATTTTGTGTAATTTATGTGTTGAAATAAAATGATCTTTATTATTATTACAATGGAATAATATTCCAAAGTATATAAATGTGGAATAAAATAAAAAATTAAGTACACATACTAATTATAATTTTTGCATTTATATTTTTATTTGATTTAGAAAATATTTTTATAAATTTATTGTCATCAGATTGTAGGATACTGTGGTAAAAGTATTTTATGTTATTGTACTGTACAAATAACACAATTCATTTAGTAATTTTGTCAAATATCGATATATTTTTCGACATTGTCAAGCACTAGTCGATGTCAAATGGACTCACTCGACAGTTTAGTCATTTGTTCTGAATGGTATAATCCAGGGATTTTATGATGGTTGTCAGATGTCAACAATACATAGAAATATCGACTATATTTAACATAGTTGGATAATATGACATTTTATTTTACATTTAATTAAATTGTGTGATAAATAACAAAAAAATTAAGAAAATAATGTATTTATAAGTGAAAAGAAATACTGCTGCTTCCGCCGTTATAGTTTTTACATCATTTAACAGAACATTTAGTCATTTTTGGGAGATGTTTTGTTGACAAGTAAGTGCTTGAGACTGACGCAAAAAACAAACGACCAAGCCTAAAATCTCCTGGTTACTGAGCAGACCGATAAAGGTACGTCCGCTTATATGTCTAGTCCAGTGGTTAATTCGTTCATGCTATGTATATATAGTCTATCTATTCCATACTAACCATTAAAATGTACCTAGTTATATATAATGCCTGAATCGATTTTGATTACGGTCAACTACACTGAGACTAGCCAACTGTGAGATATGATAATGCAGGTGTGTGGGAGAGAGACACACTAGCACTCTCTGCCCCTCTCACTCTCAAACTCCATACGACTTGCCATCTCCAGGGTGTCACTAAGAATTACTTCACAAAAGAACCCAATAACTAAACTTAGCCCGATCTGGGACTCGAACCCAGGACCTTCGTATTAGTTTAAAAAAATAATAACAATTTATAAAAAAATATATCATTATATACAAAAAATGTTATTTTAGTTACAAGAAATAAAAGCTCATATTATATTAGTTTTTTTTTAACTCTTATATCTGAATATACATACACATTTCATAATTTGGATATTTTGCGGATTTATATATTTATGTTTCACAACATCTGTCTTTTCTTTAAAATTAATGCATACTTTTGTGGGTCGACACCATCTGTAAATTGTAATATCTATATACATACTAATAAATGTTGAGAAGTTAAAAATCTTAGCCTCTCCTATAACCATATTTGCGAATCCGAAACGTGAACGAAAAATAATAATAAATACGCGAAAAATATCGAAAAAATAATTTTTGAAGTTATACTTCTTTTGGTACGTTTGGAAAAGATGTGAGAATAAAATTTTTACGATGCGCGCGCACACCGACAACCTAAGAGCGACATGATAAAATTAGCTGCATTCCTTTTACAAACAGATCGTTGTGACATACGGGATGAAATCTTTAGCTATTTTTGTTCTGTTACGACACAGAAGTATACCTTCTTACGTGCGTACATAAGTACACACACACGTTTTTTTAATATATTTCTATTATAACTCTTTCTTTTTTAATATTTCAGAATCCATTTCGGTCCGTTCCGTCGAGAAAAATGTCCGATCTGTGGTAGGATGATCAGATGTGACCTAACCAAAGCCCATGCTCGTATACATCAAGAGAGAAAGAAAATTAAATGTATACAATGCAATAAATATTTCGTTTCGGAGAGATCATATCAGAACCATCTAAAATATACATCGAATCACGCTCTACATTATCGGGAATATGTACTGAAGTGAGTTATTACTTATTTGTACAATTTAACAACGATTTAAATAAAACGACGACACGTTTGGCACAGTTTGTAGTGATCCTACTGGCTGTGCCAGCGGTCGCGGGTTCGAGTCCCGCTGGGGGCATTCATTTGTAATGAGCACGAATGTTTGTGCCAGTCATGGGTGATTATATTTATAATATGTATATATTTAAAGTTGTTAAGTAAAAAAATGTGTAGTGTATCAACTATCTGGTATCCATAACACAGGCCACGTAGCTTACCATGGAACTAGATGGTGCTGTGTGTTAATGTACCAACATATTCTCAGATACAAATGCTCGACATGCCAAAAAGGTTATAGAACTAAAACAGAACTACGGGATCATATAAATTATAATCATATGGGAAAAACTCAACACAAATGTCCCATATGTGATAAGGTAAGGATTTTTTTTTAAATTGTCATCTAAATCTACACTACTATTATAACTATATATTATAACTGCCTCGGTGGTGTAGTGGCTAGCATGTACGGCTGCACACCCGGTGGTCCTGGGTTCGAGTCCCGGGTCGGGCCAAGTTTAGTTATTGATTCTTTCTGTATAGTAAGTCTCAGTAACAGCCCGGAGTTGGGAAGCTGGCGGTGTTTCACCCCCGTGTCTCGGAGAGCACGTAAAGCCGTCGGTCCTGCGCCGACACTCTCACCGCGAGTGTCGAGTGGTCGTCCCACCGGAGTGTGAGAGTGATAGGAATAGAGAGTGCACTTGTGTCTGCGCGTACACTTGTGCACTATAATATCTCCTGCGCAGTTGGCTAATCTCATTGAGATTGGCCGCCGTGGCCGGAATCGGCTAGGAGAACATCATCACTATTATAAAGAGGAAAGATTTGTATTTTTGTATGTTTGTAACGAATAAACTCAAAAACCACTGGACCGATTTAGATGTAATTTAGTATGGAGATAGTTTGAGACTCTGAGAAGGACGTAGGATACTTATTATCCCGAAAATCATCCCTTAAGGGGGTGAGAAGAGAGATGAAAATTTGTATGCAAAATTAATCATTTCTCAAATAAGGGATACAAAACTCATCATACCAATGTATATATATAGTCTATCTATTCCATACTAACTAAGAAAACGTACCTAGGGGGTGAACCCAGCATAGCCAGGGTGAGTCACATGTCTATACTAATATTATAAAGAGGTAAAGTTTGTGAGTTAGTGAATTTGTGACGTTGTAGGGGGTAATCTCTGGAACTACTGAACCGATTTAGATGAAATTTAATAAGAAGATAGTTTGAGACCCTGGGAAGGACATAGGATACATTTTATTCCTGAAATCATCTCTTAAGGGGGTGTATGGAGATGAAAATTTGTATGGGGAATCAACCTAGGGACGAACCCGAACAAAGCGAGGTTAGAGAGAGTGTAAAATATTGTTATGAAATGAAGTGGAGGACCTACATAGTAATGCTATGTTTTATGTTTATTTTATGTGTTTTTATTATATTTGAAGGCAATAGCTACTCGTCGGGGCGTCGGTCGTCATGTTAAAAGAGTTCATCAAGATATTAAAGAGAATGCAAGAGATGTAATATGTCAAACTTGTGGGAAAGCATTCCGGGTAAGATTATTTCTTTTTTATTTATTGTGACCTGTAATTATGTATTGTATTCAGCTCACTGACAATATTATTATGATGTAAAACTGTAAAACGGGGTATTTATCATGCTTAGTACTTACTTTTGAGTGTTCCCGATATTTTGGCACTGCTACATGTTCACCCATGGTATACCCATAAAAACCCGTGAGTTTAAAGAAAAATACCATGTTCTCATTTTGAAAGGTCATGATATATTCTTTTACCTGTACATGAAGAAAAGGTCTTAAATCGTTAAGAGTATATCCTATACATATATGCTCATAGCGTATCCGCTTATTAAATTTCATCTAAATCCGTCCAGCCGCTAACAAACAAACACACTTTCGCGTTTATATTACTAGTCCAACTCTATCAACATAAAACTATGTTTTCGGATTTTTTCGCGGATTCATTTTGATTTTTGTTTGTCGACATTTCGAATGTTTTACAGCAATCGTGGTCACGGGAGAATTATGAATTCTGTAAAGCATTCGAAACATCGCGAAAAAATCAAAATAAATCCGCGAAAAAATACGAAAAAATAGTTTTATTTAAAACTTGCGATTCACCCTCGTTTCGCTCGGGTTTTTATCTGGTTGATATTTTAAGTTGACATAACTTTTTATTTATGAACCGATTTAAATAAACAAACACTAAATGTTAAGTAAAGCTAACCGTAAACTAAGAAACCGCTCCCAAATCGGTTAAGCAATTTCTGAGATTAGCACGCACAGACAAACAGACAAAAATTGTTGTGGGTTCTATTGTGTTAATAAAGACCTCCAATTATAGTTTTTCTTAGATATCTTCCACTAGCATTGCCCGTGATTCCGCCCGCGTTCAGATGACCAATTACCAAAAACGAAATTCTTAGGTTTTACATATTAGTATATACTCTTAAATTGTAGTTTCTGTATTTTTTCTCAGAAATGAGATATTTTTCTGCGGTAAAAAGTATCCTATATGTTGACCTGGATAACCAGCTATTAGCCAGGTTTTTCTGTGATGCGGTAACAGACAGACAGACAAAAATTCTAAAAACTATAGATTCGGACTCTGTATCGATAATAATGTTTATTTCAATAAGATTTTCCAAAAAATATTTAATGTGCAAATTAGGCTCAGTTACAATTTTATTATAATATAAATGTATAGATGTCGAGTATTCGCGTGTATCTAGAAAGTATCATTCAACATATATACATAACAACTTTTTCAGCACACAAAATCTCTTGAGGAACATGAAAGAATACACACAGGCGAGAGACCACTGTCCTGTACGATATGTGGACGAACATTCAGACAGAGGGCATCGCTATATACGCACAATCGAAGAGTTCACAAGATGCCCCTCAAACAACGTGTGATAGAATACACTGATAGTGATAGTGGACGTGATAATAAATTATAATGATAGTGATCAGTGATGTGTTTTTTTGCGTATCCTCATCATAGATTATAAAGATTGGATTGCCATGCGGTTTTTTGCTTTAAATTTAGTGAAAACGTGAGTTTTTTTTCTAAATATGGAGAAAATAAAATAAATAATAAAAAAATGGTAGTAATACAGATTTTTTTTCAGTAAAAATTATTAGTGCATTGTATGTTTATTACAAAAGGTTGTGGCATTATTTTTTTTATGAATGATGTTCACATCGCAACGTTCCAAAATAATTAAACCGGATTTAACCTTACCGCCGCCCCCTGGGGCTATGCCCTGGCATAGTAAAAATTGCCCCGCCGTATTATCGAAATTTTGGATAAAATAGGTAAAGTTTCGAGAGTTTCAATATATATATTTTTTTATTTTTTTAGGTACCTATTATTTTTTATTTTTTAGGAAATAAAAAAAAAACATTTTAAAAAATAAGTCTTTTCCTACTCTCCGAATTTGCCGCCCCTAAAAATTATGCCTCCCTGGGCACCAGCCGCGAGTGCCCTAAGTGTAAATCCAGCGCTGCGAATGTCTGTACATAGAAAAATAAATGCTAAAAAACGAGTCAGGGGGATGTAAGAAGAGAAATAAAACAAATCTATTTTTTTTCATTTTTTGTTGTTTCTCTGTTTGTTTGTCTGTTTGAACGGGCTAATCTCCGAGCCCGTTCGACGGATTTAAATAAAATTTTGCAATGTGGTACCCTATATCCCCAGTCAACATTTTAGATACTTTTCAAACGTTACAGTTAGATAAAAATTTGAATCTAAAAGATAAATTTAAATATCATAACGATATCAAGTCCTTTTAAATAAAATGGAAAAGATACATTTCATAATATTATATTATATTAATAATAAATTAAAGTTTTAGGGAAAAATAAATATTTTATATGGTAATACCTATGGCCCATAAAATGACATATGTCACATAGCAAAGTCACCAGCATAGAGTATATTGCTACATATATAAAGTCACCAGTGGGCAGTGACCAGTGGCATATTTACGGGGCTGTTGTGTATGTGTCATTTTAGTAATCAAAATAACGAGAATCCGAACCTATTTAATAAAAAAAAATGAAGATACACTGTTTATTTACTGTTTTTAAGTTCTAAGATATTTTCACGAATAATTAATATGGAAATATTTAACGAAAGGAAAGGCGATGTACAGTTATGTTAGCCTCGATTTATTCATAGCTTAATGTTTTAATAAAACCGTAGAATTTATGAAGTTTTAATTATTAAGAATACGTTTATGAATTGTGTATTATATTTTTACGAGAAAAATCGATAAAATATATAAAACTTTTATTGTGCGTAAGTAATTTCGTATCTAATTTAGAAAATTTAGCCATAAAACAAATCGACGATCGTAATTTAAACTTACAGAGATAATATTTATACATTTAATTTGAACATGTATAATTTTCACATTATAATGTAATATTATTATTATGATTATAATTGCTTTTGAATTGTTATATAAAATATAAATCGTCTACAGGTGTATTATTGTTTTTATTTTTTGTACTTTTTTGCATATTAATTACAGAATTTGATCTACAAACTTTAATTCCTCAATTTACCCACGTAAGGAATTAAATTTCGAAAAATACTTAAACTCTTATTTACTTGTATTGGAGAGCATTGATACTAATTCTGATCATAAATAATTCTTTGCTGATATAAACTTTATTACTCCCTTTTAGTTTTTACCCCTTTATTAGCCAATAAATTATTTTATTTTATCAAGCCTACTGAAGATTTCTGAAGCTTTTATTTTTTGACAGGATAGAATGTCTAATGGAAGAGTTCTTTCAAATGGTTACCCGGTAAACCAACAAGGTGTAGAAATGAATATTTCCGAAGAGGTATGTGAAATTTAAGAAGTTAAACTTAAATTTTTTAACTATTATTTAATTTAATCTAAAAGCAACAAAAATTAACAATTTTTAATGGCATTCATACATGGCAAATAAATATTTTAATTAAAATTAATATCTTGTAACTTTACGTGGTGTCTGTTTGAACTGCCTTGTATTACAATGTTACTAAGTCCTATTTGATAACTATTCTCAAATAAAGGCTATAGGAAATATTACATATCTTCACTAATGTTATAAAAAGGCAGAGTTTGTTTGTTTGCTTGAATGCGCTGATTTCAGTAACTACTAATCTAATTTGGAAAATTCTTTTTGCATTAGATAGTCCATATATTGATGAAGGCATCATACTACTACCCAAGGGAGCGGAGCAGTAATATAATATATAGCCTTATCTATTCCATACTAACAGTTAAAATGTACCTAGGGATGAACCCGAGCGAACCGAGCGTGAGCCGCTAGTATTATTATAAATTCAGCAATCTTGTTTTCTTAAGATATTTTGTATGTTTCAACATACTAAGTATTAAAAAAATCAAGCAAAATTATATGATTAAAGCAAACTTACTTTTAGAATGTGCTATCTGTATAAAGAAATCAGAATGTAACAAGAAAAATTGAAAGTTATTATAATAAAATTAATATTCTGTATTTTTTTTCTTTCAGATGGTCAAGCCAGAATCGTCAATAACAGAAATACTCTCATATTTTAACTCAATTTTGTTAGAAGGATGGTGTTATTACGTTACCAAGGCAGAGCTGATATTCAAACACATAAATATGTTAACTAGAAAAGAGGATATATGTTTTTCTCTCGATAATAATTTTTCAGTAAAGGTAAATAAATGTATAAAAACTTTAACTTCTGACTCGCTTCAAAAATAAGATATGGTCAGTTAGTGTATATTTATTATAAATTACCAGCTACTTACCCTCTTTTCTCTCGGCTGCGACAATTTCATGGGTTTTCATTTTTTTTACGTGAAACCCTAATTTTTTTCTAAAAAAAGTAGCTTAATTTACTCCTTATACATCCGCTATCTGCCAGTGAAAGTCCTGTCAAATTCTTTCTAGCCATTTCGGAGATTTGGTAACGCGTCTTGCTTAGGAAATTGAGTGAAGCGGGTTCAAATTCCATGTCTCGCACCTCTAATATTCTCATGTGCGAATAATTCCCAACATAATTACACTTGCCTTATGGGGAATGACAACATCGTGAGGAAACTTGCATGTATGAGAGAACCTAGCAAAGATCTGCAGACATGCTCAGTCCGCCCGCACTTGGCCAGCGTGGTGGACTATGGCCTGATCCCTCGCATTGAAGGGAGGCCCACACCCAGCACTGGGACGTTAAAAAGGGCTGAATACAATAAATAATAGATTTTTATTCAACAGGTATCTTTCTCTCAGAGGCCAGAAATGTCTGTAAATGATACTCTCACTTCTGTATATGATATTAAAAATTATATGGAAACCTTACAAGCAACTATTTTATGCGAAGGAACAGGTATATATTATCGGTAAGTTCCATTTTCTTTACTGTTTTTATTATTGATTAGTGACTTACATTTGCTTCTCTCGGGTGCGTCCCTAGGTACGTTTTAATATTTTGAGTGGAACTCTGATTCTTTTTCTAAAATAAAAGTAGCCTAAGTTACTCCTTATAACATCAGCTATCTGCCAGTGAAAGTCTTATCAAAATTGGTTCAGCCGTTTAGGAAATTAGCCGAAACAAACTTTAGGAACAAGTATTGGTCGTTTGAACAAATAAGCATTATATATGAGATGTGTGAGATGATATACTTACATACATACATATTTAGTACTAGTAACTCACCTTCGCTTCGCTCGGGTTCGTCCCCTATATTAACTTTCATCCCTTAAGGGATGATTTCCGGGATAAAAACTCCTGTGTACTTTCCAGGGTCTCAAACTATCTTCTTAACGAATTATATCTAAATCGGTCCAGTAGTTTCGGAGCCTATTCGATACAAACAAAAAAAAAACAAATTTTTCCTCTTTATAATATTAAGAATAGACATATGTATGTATTTAAAGTTATATATGTGTAGTGTATCAACTATCTGGTATCCATAACACAGGCCTCGTAGCTTACCATGGAGCTAGATGGTGCTGTGTGTTAATGTCCCGACATAGTATTTATATGCAACAAATACAGCAAATGTCCAACACAAAAACTCTCAGCACACAAATCCGACTCACACTTGACAGTTTCTTGCTCTTTCCATAGATCATACGCACCAAAATGCACAGGACAGGTGTCTAGTAAACGTTCACGTCAAATTCCACGTTGTATGTGGTGTAGAACTCTTCGTAAGAGACTTCTAGTAAGAAAATTTACTGACGCTACTAAAATTACAATACAAAATGCAAGAGAGGCTGTCGAAAAATATAAGAAACAATATAAGAGACTTGTTCTCAAGGTAATATAGGTTTGCATATTTTTACCCTTTTTCCCAATTATACCCATTTTTTTCCATTCAAACCCTTTATAGTAAAAGATTATTGAACTGACTCGGTGATGTAGTGCAGTACAGCTGCAGATTTGTAGGTCCTGGGTTAGAGTTCTGGGTTGGACCAAGTTCAGTCATTGAAGTTTCTGTCAAGTATTTTTCAGTAACAGCCCGAAGTTGGGAGTTGTATGGAATGTGAGAGTGAGAGGAACAGAGAGTGCTAGTGTGTCTCTCTTTCTCACGTCTGCACTGTCATATCTCGCAGTTGCTGGTCTTTCACTGTCACTTATTTGCACATAAATTTTGAGAATTAAATTTATTATTCATAATTGTTTTATTTTTCAATATTTTTATTATTGTAATAATGATTACTTATAAAAATGAATATTTATTATCAAAGATGCAATATAAATGATTAATATGTAATTGTGGTATGTGCATCGCAGCGCCAAAGAAGTATTACTTCAACCACTATTTTTTTTGTTTAAAAACATTTATTTATTTTGTTTAATTAATTTTTAGAAGCGAATTTTAGATCAAGAGTTAATAACAGCAAAAGAGAATGCGCAAAGATCAGAAGAACTCATGAGAAATGTTATATCTGAACTACCTGACACTAAAAAACTGTCCATTTTGGAATATTTGAACGGATCAAAACTAGAAAATCATGGCATAAGCCATAACTACTTAGTAGAACACTTTAGGGAACAAGATCTATCAAAATTAGCGAACCTTCATCAAAATGAGTATGGACATATTTATAAAGAAGAAGTTGTAGATAATTTCATCGATTGTGGATCAGAAATTGTAATAAAGAATGAAATTAATATGGATGTGTCTTCAGATGTAATAGAAAATAATATGTCGCCAATAGAAAAATCATTAAATAAACCAATTTTAGAAATACAACCATTGACGTTGAAAAGTGTTGCCATATCTGTGTTGAAAAATAGGAAATTAGATAGTGACACAGATAAAAAATATTATTCAATAATTCAACTGTCAGACGAAGAAATGTATGAGAGAATTGAAAAATTAAAAAATGAGGAGAACTTTTTGAAAGCTTCATACAAATGTGAATCTTGTGTGCTAGTTTTTAAAGATGAAAAGGAATTGGGAACGCATAATACTGATTTACATTTGCAGGTAAGTTTTTAGATGTTTTTACTCGATTGTTTTTAAAGGAGGGTTTTTAGATTTTATCTATTTTTTTTTTTTTGGGCTAAATAGTCTGAATAATGACAAATTCTAAAACTTTCATTTAAAAAATATAAATTAAAAAAAAATGTCGCGATTATTTTGATTTTGATTCATTTTGATTTGAGTAACTGAGGTCTCTTGCGTCTTAAAGGTCATAAGTTATTACAAACAGCACCTACCCACAAAATTATACAATGATTTCAAAAATACAAAAATCACCAAAAAAAATTTTTTGAAGTGAAACTTATAATTGTTGCTATTTGAAACTCGATGAAACGAAAGTGGGACATTAAACGAGACAAACACATAAATATATAGAATTAAGCCGGCGAGAGAATGATATAGAATACATTGCCATGTTGCCATGGTTACCGTAGTTATTGTCTGACAAATATATAATATTATATTCTCTCCGTATATGATATTCCATAAATATATGTTTGTAATATGCCTTATTTCATTATTTGATATAGAATAAATTACACTGGAAATGAAAAATAATAAAATTATTTACCGAATAATATGTAATGTATACACACACACACACACGTTTTTTTTTTATATCCAGAAACCGCGTCACATGCAATGCACAATATGCAATAAGTTCATATTGTACTGGCGTCTGAACACCCACGAGGCCGCCCACAGGCAGGTGTACGGGTGCGCGACGTGCGGCGCGGTGTCGTGCGCCTCCGGCATGCTGGAGCACCTGCGCGGGCACGCCGTGCCGTTCAATGATTTGATTAATGTTAGTTTCGTTCTTTTTTTGGAATTTGTTTATTTCTCCGTTATTTATTAATTCATTTATATATTTATCCGTTCATCGATTTATCTTTTTATTCATGTATCTATTTATCCGATTATTTATTTATTTCTTTATATACGTATTTATCTGTTTATTCATTTTCATTTACCTGTTTATTTATTTATATATTTTTCCGTATTCATTTATCTACTTATTCATTGATCTATTATTCCGATTATCGATTTATCTAATTATCCGTTTATTTATTTATCAATTTATCCGTTTCTTCATTAATCTATTATCCGTATATTCATTTATTTATTTATTTTATTTATTTTTTATTTATTTTATTTTCCATTCAGACACAGGTCCATAGTTTAATATGTATTACCTAACAACATTTAAAATTTAATATTTAACAATAACTTTGAACTTAATACTAATAGGAACCTTTATTTAATGTATTTAAATGACGATCTATGTGTCGTCATCCAATGCCACATTATGCTATTGTCAAATCTTTTAGCCACAGTGGCTACAAGTCTATTGGGGCTATCGCGCACTCGCCGCATCAGGGACGCTATTCGTGATCTTACTAACGCGTAAAAGTCCGGCACACCAGCACTCGCGAACATCCCCGAAGCACTGCAAAAACGCGGTAGCCCCAGCATTACCCGGAAGGCGTTATTATATTGGATACGCAGAGCGCTGTACGACCTCTGCGTATAACTGACCCATAGGGCGCACGTGTACATGGATTGGCAATAGGCTCTAAACAATGTAACTTTAACTTCTCTTGTACATCGTGCGAACCTGCGGGCCAGCATGTTACACCTAACTGCTAGCGCTCTGCGTTTCCTCTCCATATCTTCATCATCAGTGAGCCCATCGGTTACCCAGTGTCCGAGATACTTAAACCGTGTAACTCTAGTGAGCGGCAATCCTCCTAAGAAGACAGGTGGAACAGTGTCATAAGTCTTATTTTCTGCTTTGAAAACTAGGAGTTCGCTTTTGGTTGAGTTATACCTGAGACCATGGGCCACCGCATAGTTCTCGCAGATACTGAGTAGCCTTCTCAAAGCACTGATAGAAGGACTCAGCAACACCATGTCATCCGCTGATGTTATTAAAGCATTGACCGTCAATAGAACATCCAATTTTGGTATTGCTCAGTTCACATATCAGCTGGTTTATATATATGTTAAAGAGCTTGGGTGAGCTGAGTCCCCCCTGTCTTACCCCGCACTCCATCCTGTATGCATCTGACGTCATACCCGCCCATCTTACATAATTACACTGGTTGCTATACCAATATTTTAGTATATTTAAAAATTCAACTGGGAGATCAGTACTGTCAGTGATTTTCTTCCAAAGACAATCATATGAGACTAGATCAAAGGCCTTGGAGAGGTCCAGAAAACACGCATACACTGGAGTTTTTCTTTTCGCATAATATTGGACAGTATGCTTGAGACAGAGGATCGCTGATTCTGTTGATAAATGTTGCCTAAACCCAAATTGAGCATCGTGTAAATTTATATGTTTTTCCAACTGTTTATCAATCAGGCTATCCAATACCTTTGCAATAATGGTCGCCAAGGAAATAGGTCTGTAGTTATTCTTATCACTCATATCTCCAGTCTTGTTCTTAACAATAGGTATTACAATAGTTTTAATTAATTCGTCTGGTAGATACGAGTGACTCATACATAGGTTAAACAACATAGCCAAAACTCGCGTTATATGCTTACCAGCGTATCTAAGGTGTTCTATACTCAAACCATCATGCCCAGGCGATTTTCCCTTTTTTAAACCTTTTATCACAGACTCTATTTCCTTGGTTGTGAATGAAATCACTGCGCTTCCAGACCACACCAAATCCTCCGATCCATGGGTCGACGGACCCAACGGAGAGACGACTCTAAAATGTGTTTTAAATAAATCGGCAATTTCCTTAGGATCACTGACACCATTAACACTTACAGGCAGACTCGACCTGGGATTCAAACTGTTAGTAGATTTCCAAAACGCACTAAAATTTTTAGCCTGGTGGTGACTTGCAATATATTTATCTTATTATTATATTTATATATTTATCTTATTATTATACGAATCGTGAACGTATTTGAGTAGCTTTAGTTATTTTACAAATGTTTAACTATTTGTTTATTTATTCCTTTATTATATTTAAAAAAATATTAACTGTTGCTTTAAGAAAAGAAAAGGATATATTTTTAATATGTAAGAATGTATTTAGTCATGAATTTGTCCAGTTTTAATGTTTTTTTTTAATTTACATAATATTTGTTTAATTATTTGCTAATTCATTCGTTTATTATTCAGTTAGTTATTTATATGTTACTAAATTAAAATGTATATAAAATTCTTTTTTTCTTATATTTGACTATAGATTATAAAATTATTTTTTAATTTGCAGCTCAGAAAAACAGTAATGCTTCTCAATCCATCTTTAAAATCTAAAAAGAAAAAAATGGATGGTAAAAAAGAGTATGGATATAAGTGTTCGGAATGCAACAAGTGTTTTGAGTGAGTATCTATAGTTAATATTATGAAGAGGCAATTTGTTTGTTTGAACGCGCTAATCTCAGGAACTGCTAATCCGATTTGAAAAAATCTTTTTGCATTCGATAGCCCGTTTATTGAGGAAGGCTATAGGCTATATATCATCATACTACTACCCAAGGGAGCGGAGCAGTCATCATAAATGTCAACAAATGGCAGACTTCTATACATTATTGTAAAACTGACGTTTATATATAATTATCTATATCTATACAAACTAATATTATAAATGCGAAAGTAACTCTGTATGTCTGTCTGTTACCGTTTCACGTTTAATCCGCTGAACCGATTTAGATGAAATTTGGTATGGAGATAGTTTGAGACTTTGGGATGGACGTGGGTAGTTTTTATCCCGTAATTTATCCCTTAAAGAGGTGAAAAGAGGGATGGAATTAGTATAGGGAATCAATCATTTCTCAAGTAAGGTATATAAAACTTATCATACCTTTGTATTATATATATATATAGTCTATCTATTCCATACTAACCGTTAAAACGTACTTATAGGCCAGGGTCGATAATTTTTGAAACCAAAATAATTTACGAGCGATCTGAAGTCGGGAAGTGGAAAAGGGTGAGTTTTTGAGGGTAAAAAACGGCTTATGTCGATTCCTGCAAAACCACTAGTCCTATGGAAAAAAGTTAAATGGCAAAGTTGTAGGTAATAAAAAGATCTACAACTTTTGTATTTAGACTTTTGTCAGATAACCTCAAAATTTATGTGAAAAATCAAATAACCAAGTTTTTGGTTTTATATTTTTTTATCTTTTACAAAAAAAAATCTTTTCTCTCAATTTAGTGAAAACTTACGTCCCGAACATACTGTAATTTTTTTGATTTAAGTTATTTATTTTTTCACCTTATTTTGACTTAATACTTCGAAAAAAGACCCTAAATTTCAATCGAAAAATCTCGCTTCAAACTATCTGCTTTTTAAAAAATGTCGATGGACTTTTTGTTCGTTAAAGTCTCTACTTTCTGATGGTGTAAAAAAATATATACATTACTATGGTAAATTTTCTCAGAAAATGAAAAACCTCCCACTTCCCGAGCTCAGATCGCCCGTAAATTATTTTTCCTTTCATTTTTGTTACATTCTCTTCCTTTTCCAATGGGTTTCATCCTACTATTATTTTTTTCACTTTTTACCATTTTCAAAGGCCTGTTCCATCAGTGAGTCGTTAGTCTTCATATAGATAAAAATGAATGTTCGTATGTTTGTCCTCTACGCGTTCCAAAACTATTGATCTGATTGTGATGATAACTGTTGTTTTTGCTATATGTAATCTGTTTTTTATTATTATTTTCGCAGAAAACAATATCTAAGATATAAACACGTGTTGAAGTGTCACAGAGAAGGATTCAAATGTGAAACGTGTGGGAAGACGTTTACTTATAAAAACACTTTAAATAAACATATACTGTGAGTATATTTGTAATATGTATGTATTTAAAGTTTTATATGTGTAGTGTAGTATATCAACTATCTGGTATCTATAACGCAGGCCTCGTAGCTTACTATGGAACTAGATGGTGCTGTGTGTTAATGTCCCGACATATTTATTATATACTAGCAGAACCCGCGGCTTCGCTCGCACTAAATCTACAAAAAATCTCTGAAAAGGTAGTTTCACACAAACTTTCATCCCCTATTTAAACTCCTTACAGGATGAATTTCTAAATGCTAAAGCATGTATTTATTTAATTTTATTGAAGAGCATTAATACCAAGTTTCAAGTCATTCGAGCATAAATATTTTTTGGGTTGTATTATAACGTGTTTTTCCGTGGGAGTGAAATGATCTCCCGCCGTAAAAAGCAGACTATATGACTTTCCAGCCCTCCAACTACATCCATTAAAAAAATAGCGTCAAACCCACTCCGTTTCGACGTGAAAGAAGGACAAACAAACGCACTTTCACATATATATATATATATATATATATATATATATATATATTTAATATTATAAGTTTTTCATTGCAGAGTCCACGAACTCCTACTACCAAGAGAAGAATGTCCAATTTGCAACAAATTGGTCAGGTCAGATCGTCTTAATGCCCATGCAAAGATACACTCGGACAGACAGCAGTTTTACTGCAACACCTGCGACAAGACGTTCGTATCGTTGGATTCGTTTGAAAAGCATTTGAAGAATTCTAAAACGCACGCCCTTCATGATGTTTTGAAGTAAGTCTTGTTGGTTGTAAGGTCGTGGGGGGAATCCCCGATGTGTTTTCACCTGTCTTTGTCACTCTTTAAAACTTTCATAGATTTACGCGAATCTTTGACATATTAAATGGAACTAATAATTATTATTGTTATTAGAGAATAATTGTTCTTTTTTTGAGTCATGCCAGTTTTCCATGATGTTTGAATTAGGCCACTTTTTCACTAACAGCTCGTATGTTTTAATTATTTCAGATACAAATGCACTCTCTGCTCTAAAGGATTTCGCACGTTGACTGCCTTAAAGGATCACATAAATTATTATCATATGGGCAAGACGGACTACAAGTGTCCTATTTGTAATAAGGTATGTACATACATACACACACACGCACATATATACATATATATATATATATATATATATATATATATATATATTTGACCGACTTCAAAAATTGATTATGTGCTGAACTCTTGTATATTTTTTATATCTTTTAATTGATATCATAGAACAGATGTTCTATCCCATACAATGACATTAATACCTATTTCAAGTGAAACTTTTTTGCACGAATGAGTCACGAAAATCCATCACGGTTGCCATAGTAATGGTTTGCGTTAGGTTGCCATAGCAACCGTCGTTATTGTTTGAGAAATCTATACATATAATAAAATTGTAACTAAGCCGAATCTGTACATTAAATATTTTTTAGAAAATCTTATTGAAATAAACATTATTACCGATACAGAGACCGAATCTATAGTTTTTAGATTTTTTTGTCTGTCTGTCTGTTTGTCTGTTACCGCATCACAGAAAAACCATTGGAGGGATTTTGAAGAAATTTGGCATGGTGATAGCTGGTTATCCGTCTCATATAGGATACTTTTTACCGCGGGAAAATGTCTCATTTCTGAGAAAAAATACACAAACTGCAATGTAGAGTGGAGTATACTAATATGTAATTTTTTTTGTTTTTGGTCATCTGAACGCGGACGGTGCCGCGGGCAATGCTAGTAATATATAAAAAATTAACTGCCTCGGTGGTGTAGTGGCTAGCATGTACGGCTGCACACCCGGAGGTCCTGGGTTCGAGTCCCGGGTCGGGCCAAGTTTAGTTATTGAGTCTTCCTGTATAGTAAGTCTCAGTAACAGCCCGGAGTTGGGAAGTTGGCGGTGTTTCACCCCCGTGCCTCGGAGAGCACGTAAAGCCGTCGGTCCTGCGCCTTAACTCTCACCGGTCGTGTCGAGTGGTCGTCCCACCGGAGTGTGAGAGTGACAGGAATAGAGAGTGCACGTTGTGTCTGCGCGTACACTTGAGCACTATAATATCTCCTGCGCAGTTGGCTAATCTCATTGAGATTGGCCGCCGTGGCCGGAATCGGCTAGGAGAACATCATCATATAAAAATAATATTATTTCCGTTGTTATCTTCAAAGATTACTATTTTTACTAATTTGTTTTCAAATATGCAAAATATTTAGTATGTAAACAAACAAAAAATCCTTCGGCTTTATAATATAGATATAATCTGTTGAAGGCTCTATCGACGCGTCGCGGCGTTACTCGACATGTAAGAAGAACTCATCAAGGTCTAAAAGAGAAGATTGGGGATAAGATACTGTGTCAAATTTGTGGGAAGACGTTCAGAGTGAGTATAGTTAGTGTGGAGGTTGGATATTTGTGAAGTTGAAGAAAATATATTTAAAAACAAACTTTTATTTAAATGCTCTAAAGAGAATATAAGAAAATTAAAAATATAAATATGTTGGGATACGATAGATTCTAAACATCCCAAAAGAAGTACAACTTCAAAAAAAATACAGACCTATGTGGTTTTTTTCATAAAATAAGTAAATCTGTCTTTTATCACTACATAGTATAAAACGAAGTCGCTTCTCGCTGTCTGTCTGTCCATATGTATGTTTAGATCTTTAAAACTATGCAACGGATTTTGATGCGGTTTTTTTAATAGATAGTGATTCAAGAGGAAGGTTAATATGTATAATACATGCATAAAATACATGCTTATATAGAAAAGCCGAGAAATTCGAAGATTTGTATTCCATACTAACCGTTAAGACTTACCTAGGGACGAACCCGAGTGAAGTGGGAATGAGTCGCTAGTATATCATATAATTCATATAATGTAAAAGTATATGGGTTTGATTTAATTTAAAGTTTATTTTCGGCGACACGTTTGGCTCAGTTTTTAGTGACCCTCTTTGCTGTGCCAGCGGTCGCGGGTTCGAGTCCCGCTGGGGGCATTCATTTGTGTTATGAGCACAAATGTTTGTACTCCAGTCATGTAGTGTATCAACTATCTGGTATCCATAACACAAGCCTTGTAGCTTACCATGGAACTAGATGGTGCTGTGTGTTAATGTCCCGACATATTTATTTAATTTAATTTATTTATATCCAGGATAAGAAATGCCTGGTCGAACACGAGTTGATCCACACAGGAGAGAAACCGCTCTCGTGCGACATCTGTTCTAGAACTTTCCGTCAGAGTGCATGTCTCTATACACACCGTCGTCGCGTACACAATATGCCCGCCCGCAGGATTGTACATACTGGTGATGATGTACATCCGAGCGATGGCCAAAACGGACAGTCTCACTGAGTTTAGCTGACTAGAAGAGATGTTATAGTGTAGTGTGCGAGGGAGATAGAGATACTAGCGCTCTCTGTCCCTCTCGCTCTAACACTCCAAGAGTGAGTGACCCCGCAGAATTGTACATACCGGCGATGATGTACATCCCAGCGATGGTCATGATGTACAGTATTTATTTATTTATTTGGTTCATTTACAATCATATTTACAAATTAACACAGCATGCACTTATAGTGCAGTGCATGAGAGAGAGAGAGAGAGAGAGACACTAGCGCTCTCTGTCCCTCTCGCTCTCACACTCAACCAATTAGTTACTGATTATAACAATATATTACACTGAGACTATTACACTGTAGATGTGAGGGAGAGAGAGATATATATACAAGTCCATTCTTTGTCTCTGTCACTCGTACTCTGGTGGGTCAATTCAAAATGGTGAGAGATCGGGCAAGATCGATACGAGAGTGAAATTCCATCAACTAAGAGAAGGGACTCAATAACTAAACTTGGCCCGACGCGGGATTCGAACTTAGGACCCATGGATGTGTAGACGTACATGCTAGCCACTAGACCATCAGCAGTTGATATTAATAATTCATATCATACAGATTATGTTTTTTGTAAATTAATTTTTGGTGTTTATTGTTTAATTTTACATTAAAAAAGCGCGTGTGTGTGCAATTCACACACTTCCTATGTAATGTATTCTATCTCACTCTCTCGCCTGCTTAATCCTATATATTTATGTTTGTCTGTTTCTACTGTTGCATTTTTATTTCATCGAGTTTCGAATCACAACGATTCTAAAGAAGTTTCTCGTGTAAATCTTTTGTAAATTATAATATAATTAATGTAAATTATAATATAATTAATGTAAATTATAATAATTATACGTATTATATTTTGTTATGAAGACGACATATTGTACACAGATAATAAATGTCTTTTGCAAATCGTTTTTTTTTTGTTTTATTTTATTCCTATATTCTAAACCAACGGCTTACCGCTTATATAAGACGCGTGCACGAAAAATACTACACTACTATAGCACATATAGTTATTCCAACTGCTTCTAAAACTGAATTTTATCCAAATTGGTCGAGCCGTTTTAACCAATGCATTACTAATGGCACTTTAGGAGTGTCATAAATTTCTTTCCTGTGTGTGACACCCGAGCGGTGTCATAGTTCAATCCGTTGAAACTATATAAAAATGACATTTTTTCAAGGTTTCCGTTAAATAAAACTATATCAACGTTGTTATTGCGTTTAATTATAATAAACGTAAAAATGCTTTTAAAACTAGCTTTTTTAATATTAGCAACATAGCCTTGGTTCGCTCGGGTTTATCCCTAGGTCTCTTCTGCTATACACTTCATTTCATTATTTTAAACCGTTTGAATAAAAAAAATATAAACCGACCACAAAAAAAAACACTAAAAAGTAAAAAAAAATAACTGATTAGTAGTTTTCATCGATACAAAAAATAAAATTGTAACTAAGCCGAATCTGTACATTAGATATTTTTTGGAATTTGTTTTTTTTTTCAATTTAAATGGGGCCAATCTAGAAGAATACACTTTCAAACAAAACAAAAATTGTCCAAATCGGTTAATAAATGACGTAAGATGATGATTGTTACGTTTAGATTTTAAGTTTTTTATTTTATGTATTTTTTCAGACCTCAAAATATATTGTCAACGGACTTCAATTTTTTTTAAGTATTTCTATATATATTTTTTTTTCATTTCTTCAGAGGGAATGAATTTATCAAGATAAATATGTCTATTGATAATTATAGCAATCATTATCAGATAAATATTCGATAATTATCAAACAGACAAACTTAGCAATTCTTGTTAGTTTGTTTTAAACACACTAACTGTATCCACTCGTGCGATTTGGGTTCGTCTCTAGGTACGTTTTAACGGTTAGTATAGAATAGATAGACTATACATAGCCTTCCTCAATGAACAGGCTATCTAATGCAATAAGAATTTTTCAAATCGGATTAGTAGTTCCTGAGATTAGCACGTTCAAACAAACAAACTCTGTTCTTTATATTAGTATTTAGATATAGATTAGTATAAATAAGCAAGTGCTACTTTTGTGTTGAAATACATATTTTAACTCTTTCTGAGGAAGAAAACTATATACAAATATATACATATAAATTATATAGAAAAAAACAGCTTATTATAGAAAATCATTTTAATTGTAAAACAACACAAATATAATTCGTTTTCAAACTAAAAAATAACATTCGTTTTAACAAGAACTCAATTACAAACATTCACATATTTTCTATGAAGAATTAACATTTTGTACTGTAAAGTTATTGATCAAAATCAAAAGTTCTCTTAAAACTTTCACCGATTGTGTTTAAGTAATTGTTCTAGTTGAAATAAATATACTAAAATGTAAATTGAACCTTAACTGCAATGCTTAGAGTTGTTTTCAGAAAAAAATACTAAATTAAAAGCGCTCTCAAATGTTTAAATAAGCGCTCATTCGGTGAGGACATTTTTTGTCGCTGTTTGTGTATCTAGTACTTTTTTGATTGATTTTTCAAGATATAAAAAAATACATATTTTTTTACAATTTTAAACAAACTTGTATATGTAAATTTTGACGACAGCCAGCGGTCGCGGGTTCGAGTTCCGCTGGGAGCATTCATTTGTGTGATGAGCACGAATGTTTGTACTCCAGTCATGGATCACACATCATTGTCAACTTTACATTTTTTTATTCAATTCAATTCTTTTATTTCGTGGCTTTACGAGTGCCAGTTGGACACAATTTACTTCGCCAATGCCATGTAGAAACACTTCTTGTCAACATCACACATTTGCTACGTCAATGTCACACTTTCACTATGTCAACGTCACTCTTCCAATACGTCAACGTCACGTTTCAACTACTTCACCGTCACTTCTCCACTACGTCAACGTCACACTTCCACTACGTCAACATCATTCCTCAATGATCTCCACTACGACAGCGTCTTCTTTGGGTCTTTCACTTCTATGTACATGATACTTATGGCTGCTTAGCGAGGTGTATTTCCTGAACTCGCTGCCGCACACGTCACATGTCACGTGACCCCCCGAATGAAATAGCTCGTGATCTCTTAAAATATGCCTATTCTGTAAATACAAGAAGTTTTAGAAGTTAGTTTAGTAGGTTGATGCCCAATACAAATTATCATCCCCATTTTCACCCCCTTAAGGGATGATTTCCGGGATAAAAACTATCCTATGTCCTTCCCAGGATCTCAAAATATCTTCTTATCAAATTTCATCTAAATTGGTAGTTTCATCTAAATAGTTTTTGAGTTTATTCCTTACAAACATACAAAAATACAAATTTTCCTCTTTATAATAGTAGTGTAGATTAGTTAATTTATTTGTTTGTTTATTTATTTATTTACAACGTTACAAAATTAATTAGGAATGCAGATTGTACACAATGAAGCTGTATATATTGTACACAATAAGGCCAAAACTAGTTTACATTGTTAATACACTCTCGACGACACCTTTGGCTCAATTTGTAGTGACTCTACTTGCTGTGCCAGCAGTCGCGGGTTCGAGTCCCGCTGGGGGCATTCATTTGTGTGACGAGCACGAATGTTTGTGCCAGTCATGGGTGTTTATGTTTATAATATGTATGTATTTAAAATTATATATAGTGTATCAACTTTCCGTTATCCATAACACAAGCCTCGTAGCTTACCATGGAACTGATAGTGCTGTGTGTTAATGTCCCAACATTTTTTTTAATTTAAACTTTTCGTCTATGTTTTTTTGTGTCGATTTTAGTTTTTTTTAATGTCATTTTTTACTATTTGTATCTAGTGTCACTTACTTTACAAACTATCCCACAAGCAGGACAAAGGTATTCTCTGTTAACACCGCGATGTACGCGATCCATATGATTACACAAATGCGCTGTAGATGCAAACATCTGGCAAAAAAAAACACAAATTTACTTAATTCTTCCACATACACAATAGAATCTTACATTTTAAATAAAACTATCTTTTCGGATGTTTTCGCGGATTTATTTTGATTCCCGATGGTCTCAGACGTTTTGAATGCTTTTCTGTAAAATCATGTGAGAGACTGCTCTCTCTCAGAAAAAATCCAAAAAGATATTTTTATTTAAAATGAAAGTATTAGAATTTTATATTAAGAAATATATGCAAATAAATAAAATTCAAGTGTCTGTTTGTAATGTCAAAATAACAGCTTTTTACTGAACGCTGTTTGTTCCGGCTAATCTCTCTGGACCGATTTTAATGGGACTTTCACTGGCAGATAGCTGATGTTACATATAAGGAGTAACTTAGGCTATATTGATTTTCGAAAAATAATTAGGATTTCGTGCAACAAAAATAATTTTTAATTCAATGTCACGGTGTTTGTGGTCACACTCCTCCGAAACTGCTCGACCGATTTTAATGTTTTTTTTTTTTTGGATATTTGGTAGGTATGAGTATAGGTCGTAAAGTATTTCTCACCCTCCTACCCCCGTTTTTTAAGTAACATTACGTATAATAATATATTTTTTATTTATATCCATACTAATATTATAAATATGAAAGTGTTCTCGTTTGTTTGTCTATTTGTCCTTCTTTCACGTCGAAGCAGAGTGACGAATTGGCGTTATTTTGTGTAAAGATAGTTGGAGGGCTGGGGAGCAACATAGACTACTTTTTACGGATTCCGACGAGAAAATACGACAAAACGTATCTAGGGACGAACCCGAGTCGACTAGTTTCATATATAAATTCGAATTGGAATAAAGGACAGGTCTTGGCCGCACGTTCGCTCTGTCTCTTTCTAAATAGTCAATTTCATGACAATATTGCTGTAAGTAGTAGTACATACTCTATTTGTATGAAAAAAACCCAAATAATATTAAATATATTACCTTACGACATAAGCTGCACTCGAACCCGATACCTCTGTGCGTGTAGTCGATGTGGTCCCGTCGGGCCGATTTTTTTATGAAGCGTTTGTCGCATAAATTACATTGATATCTGAAATAATAGAATTGTATACATGTCGATATACATACATAAACAGTAATTCGGTAGGAATATTTTTGTAGGATTTTATCTATCAATGGTATTTTAGACTTTTCAATAAGTAGTGTTGGGAAAAATATTATAAAGTTTAAAGTGTCTCCTGTAAAATTTGCTCATATTTGTAGTTAATATTTTAATTAAGCTGCTTTGCCAATGAAGGTATCGATGTTAGAGAAATTCACGTTGTTTTTTGGATGGTAGGAAATTCAATAAAGAATCCTACTAATATTATATATTTATACAAAAATATATGTATATACTAAAAATATATATATCTATACATATAATAAAATTCTGAGTCGAATCTGTACATTAAACATTTATTGGAAAATCTTGTTGAAATAGTCATTATTATCGATACAGAGGTCGAATCTATAGTTTTTTGAATTTGTCTGTCTGTCTGGGAACGCATCACCAGAAAGGACAGATGATGGACAGATTTTGATGAAATTTGGTATGATGATACATGGTTATCCGGGTCAACATATAGGATACTTTTAACTGCGAGAAAATATCTCTTCTCTGAGAAATCTATACTATCTTAAAAAAAAAAAACAAATATAAATAATTATATTTTTTTATGTTTCTGTTACTTACTTATAAACCTTATCGCCACTATGTAATGTAGTGTATCTCAGGTGATTTAAATATGCTTTCCGGCTGGGATAAACTCTATCACATTCGGCGCAGCTCATCGGTATCCTTCTATGTACACGCATATGTACGGTCATGTTCGTGACTTCTTTCTCGCAAATCGGACATGACTTGAAAACAGGCGGTAATTTATGTTTCCTGAAACATTTAGAAATAATTATTTAATAATTTATTAGATTTATGCGTATATATGACATTTTAACGATGTTTGGTTGTTTGTAGTGACCCTACTTGCTGTGCCACCGGTCGCGGGTTCGAGTCCCGCTGGGGGCATTCATTTGTATGATGAGCACGAACGTTTATACTCCAGTCATGGGTGTTTATATTTATATGTATGTATTTAAAGTTATATATGTGTAGTGTATCAACTCTATATAGTGTCCATGATGAGACGTCATTAGTCATTACATAACTAAACGATCAAAATAGTACTAGATACACAATCCCATGCAAAAGTTCTCTTAAAACTGTAACCGATTGTGTTTAGGTAATTGTTCTAGTTGAAATAAATATATACAACAATGTAAATTGAACCTTAAAAACAATACTTAAAGTTGTTTTCACATAAAAATAATAAATTAAAAGCGCGCTCAAACGTTCGAATTTTTTAACCCCCGACGCAAAAAGAGGGGTGTTATAAGTTTGACGTCGATGTCTGTCTGTAACATCGTAGCTCTCAAACGGATGGACCAATTTCGATGCGGTTTTTTTCATTTGAAAGCCAGTTTCCTTGCGGTGATTCTTAGCTATGTTTGGTTAATATCGGTCCAGCAGTGTAAGAGCTCTTTTCCAAAATGATGTAAGGCATTTTTACGTAAGATTACTCGATTGAGTGCCTCACCCGTGCCAGTGTAATCGTTAAATTACAATTAATTTGCGTAGGGTTTTTTTTTATTTTTAATTTATAATTGTCGCTGGCTGTGTATCGAGTACTTTTTTGATCGATGACTTAATACTTACAGTTCATGTTCTTTAAGTTTCGTCAGCCTTCGAAACATTTTCTTGCAATAAAAACATTTACGTTTCGGTGTGGTTACTTTGCGACGATATTCGTGGTGGTTAAGGCGATTGTGTTTATTTCTGAGTTCCAAAGTCCTGGAAAGATACAAATCTATACATATAATAAAATTCTTATGCGAATCTGTACATAAAATATTTTTTTGGAAAATCTTATTGAAATAGTATCTTATTGAATTATTATCGATAAGAGGCCGAATCTAAAAAACTATAGTTTTTAGAATTTTTGTCTGTCTGTCTAAGACCGCATCAAGAGACAACTACAGAACAGATTTTGATGAAATTTGGTATGTTACTAGCTGGTCATCCGGGTCAACATATAGGATACTTTTTACTGCGGGAAAATATCTCATATCGGAGAAATCTATACTAAACGCTAAAACGTAACTAGGGACGAACCTATGAGTCGCTAGTTATACCTATATATATAAATTACCGTTTCAAGTTTATAACATTGTGACTTCCCTGATTAAATTGTGTATTGAGCACTGAATACTTTATTATTTGAGCCCTGATAACGCCCACAAGATGAGTAACCACCAAAGATGATGTTCGTAGTATATGGATAACACGACATCAGAAGTGGTATGATACCCGAAGAACAGGGCAAAGATAAATGACAGCGGCCATTTGAAAATTTTTTCAGACTTTGAAGCGAAATACGATGTTAAATGTTAAAAAAGACGCACAAAATGGCGATGCATATGCGGGTTGTTTTACAGAAGATTTACTTTTACTTTCATAATGATGAATTATCATGATATATGATATGCAAGATGCTCAAAAGATTAAAATAATCATAGATGTCTCAATTTAATTTTTATGGAATGACATGACGTCGACAAAGATTTGTTGCTAGCTGGATTTGATTTTCTTGATATTATCGCAGAAATATTTTTGAACACATTATGTATGGAAAAATTAAATGGAAAATTTGTTTATTTCAGGATGATATATGAAGTTAATTTATTTAATCGATAAATTACGAGAATTATTTTTGAAATGTTTTTGTTCGATGCTTATAAGGACCTTCTTCTAGTTCTGAAATAAAATATAAATCATGTCAGAATTTTAGAGTGTCAAAAATGTTTTGTATTGTAATTGTTTGCTTTATATTTGCTTTATTTCAGGATTTTTAAAGTGAAAATATTGAGTTGATATTTTTGATAAAATAAAATTTAACTAAAAGGCTTAGTATTTCCCGTCGGAACATTAAAAGATGATATTTGCAAAATATATTGGGAAAATAACATGATCTCTGATTATACTATAATTTTTTATACCACCTCGTATAAAAGTGATATTTTTATCTAACAAAATTTTTTTGCAGTTCATCAAGTGAAATATGAGAAATAGTTGACTGTATTAATGGTTATACACCGTAAAACTAATGTTTGTGTACACTCCGAAGACATTCTCATACGCACGCTGAGATAGAAATCTTTGATTATAATACCGATTTCATATGTCCTTATTTGGTCCAAAGATTAAACATAATTAGATCGGGCCGATGGTAATATCAACTGTGGCACAATAATAAATAATATGAATTTTCAGGTGCTTTGTTTCAAGTGTTCAAAATATGTATTCAGCGTAGAGAGGGCGATTTCTTCAGCCAGATAAATAAATCACACTAAGCCAGACCACATGAGACGTATACAATGGCCTAAAAGAAGACGGTATCCAGAGATGCTTGGGCTATGCCAAAAATGGATATCTGAAGATGTTTTATTTAATCTAATATGAATGTTATATGGTGAGACGTTTCCATTATGTTTAGATATGTGAGGCAAGTGATCTCAGAATGTACCGTTATATACGGTTCTAATTATTGTAGTTATTTCCAATAATATCTAGCAGCTTAACAGTAATGAACCTACATAGCACAAGCTAGGGTGACTGAATTGACGAGGTTATGTAACATTGACAAGCCTGTGTGGCAAATGTAGTTTTAGTGGCGAGAGTCGCCGGAGTAGTAGCCTGTGAGGCACCGACTGGCCTGTGTGGCATCGACTGGCCTGTGTGGCACCGACTTGATTGACATACGAGAAACTTCTGTAAATTGTACTCAATGATAACTTCGTGTGTATAGTTTTTTAGGTTTTAGTCATTTTAAAGAATAAGAACAAATTTGTTAATACTGAAGTATTAACAAATTTGTCTTAAAGAAAACTAGTTAGGGAGAATGAATGATGTGAATCGCTGTATATTGTTAACATATAAAGCAAAAATTTGCCCAATACTCACTGTGTTAGGCACATTGGAATTTGTCTGTGTCTGTCTATGCCTGTCTGAGCGTACACTTTTGCACTAAATATCTACTGCACCGATGGCTAGTTTTAGTAAGTTTGGCCACCATGGTCAGTTATTTGGTCAGGAATAGCCGAGCTAATGTTACTTTTTCTATAGATCGATTTTCAATATCACACGAGGGCGCGTGAACAGCAGGACGGCCGTGGTAGAAGAAATAGCGGTGGTGAGTGCCCCACAAGATCACCCGAGGGCGTGTGAACAGCAGGACGGCCGAGACGGAGGAGGATTTAGTTACCTTTTTCTGTTATGAAACCTTATTATTGTTTAAAGTCACTATGTTCTTTAATTTACTTTTTATTGCTTCTAAATAGATTTTGAATTTAGAGCAGAGATTTAGTCTCGAGCGGGGTCGAGACGCCATCACGACATTCTTTGGAGATACGTGGCTTAGTAACGTTGGTTATCATATCATGGTGAATCAGTTATGTTTGATATTGTAGTTGGAAGTCGATGATCGGTGACTGTGAACCCGCTAGCTCTAAATCATTAGAATTACCGTTTCAAGTTTATAACATTGTGACTTCCCTGATTAAATTGTGTATTGAGCACTGAATACTTTATTATTTGAGCCCTGATAACGCCCACAAGATGAGTAACCACCAAAGATGATGTTCGTAGTATATGGATAACACGACATATATATATATATATATATATATATATATATATATATATATATATATATGAATGTTCGTATGTTTGTCCTCAATGCGATCCTAAACCACAGACCCGATTGTGATGAAACTGGTGGGTTATTCTCTATACGCCAGCGAAAGTTTTTGGAGCATAAAAAATATTTTTTCTTTGGACGTTTGTCTTTTATGCCTTCCTAAGCCATTCAAAGTCAGGGACGCAACCAAGTAACCAGGGGGTAAGTAGTTAGTATAGTATAAAACAAAGTCGCTATCTACGTCTGTCTGTTCGTCCGTTCACTTCTTCTAAACCACTCAACGGATTTTGTTACGGTTTTCAGTAATAGAAAGAGCGATAAACGAGAAAGGTTTCTGTATATAACTATATAATTCGTAAATATTTTCTATGTCATAGATGAACCTTTTAACAGCTATTAGCAGTTGCAAAATCAAAGTCATACGAGCATTACACATTTTCATTAATTTAACTATCTAAGGCTATATAAAGGCTTTAACAAAGAATATTAAAAAATCTATATATCAAACTAGCGACTCACCCTCGCTTCACTTCGGGTTCGTCACTAGATAAAAACAAATCTATCCCACGGGAACCGTACATTTTTCCGGGATGATATATAACCTATAACCTTCCTCAATAAACGGGCTATCTAATGCAAAAAGAATTTTTCAAATCGAATTAGTAGCTGAGATTAGCGCGTTCAAACAAACAAATAAACTTCAAACAAACTGCCTCTTTATAATGTTAATAAAATAAATAAATACGTTGGGACATTAACACACAGCACCGTCTAGTTCCATGGTAAGCTACGAGGCTTGTGTTATGGATATCAGATAGTTGATACACTACACATGTAACTTTAAATACATACATATTATAAATATAAACACTCACGACTAGAGTACAAACATTCGTGCTCATCACACAAATGAATGCCCCCAGCGGGACTCGAACCCGCGACCAGAACTGAGCCAAACGTGTCGTCAAATTAAATATAGATATGTAGTGAAGAATTTTCATATAAATGAAATAATTACTTATTATATTACACAAATAGATATCAATAGCGATAATAGAAATAGATTGACTCACGCAAACAGCTCCTCGCATATCAAACATATGTATCCCAAGTTTGAGTGTTCATTCGCGCTCATATCTACATTGAGAGGGCGTGTTCCTGGGTTTGTGAGTTGAAGTCTTCCTTTTAGCTGAAATAACAAAGTTACCAACAATATGAAAGACTCTTTCTAATGGATAATATTATTTATTTTATTTATTTACCACGTTCATTCCCCATACAAACTTTCATCCCCATTTTCACCCCCTTAAAGGATGATTTCCGGGACAAAAATCATCCTATTTCCTTTCCTTCCTCTTTATCGGTACAGTAGTTTCAGAGCCTATTAGATACAAGCAAACAAATTATTCGTCTTTATAATATTAATATAGATAAACGTACCTAGCTAGTCTTCTATACAGATAAACAAAATTGAAGTGTCCGAGTGTAATGTCAAAATAACAGCTTTTTTTTCATTTAAAAACAACACTTTTTTTTTAATTTTTTGTCTGTCTGTTTTTTCAGACTAATCTCCAAAATGGCTGATTTGATTTTAACAGGACTATCACTGGCAGATAGCTGATGTTGTAGGGAGTAACTTAGGCTACTTATATTTTTAAAAAGAATCAGGGTTACACGCAAAAAATTAAAACCTATGAAATTGTGAACAAAATCGTACCTAGGACGCACCCGAGCGCAACGAGGTGCCGAATACAAAATATTTTCCGTACTTTCAAGAACAACCTTATTTCTGATCTTAGACTAAACGTGTATGTTCTATGTATGTATGTATGTATGTAAGTATGTAATATACGTATGTATGTATGTTTGTATATGTGCATATTTATATAATATTTGATGTTTGTAGTTTGTACCTACACCGCACCTCATTATATTTTCTCACGCTCGAGGGTTTCTGGTAGAGGTCTCCTAAACAGATAAGTCATCCTTGGACCTTAGTACACATGGTATCTGTTCTTCTGTTTTATTTCATATGTTTTTTTCGGTACTTAAAAAAATAAATGAAATAAATAAACTAATGAAAAAAACAAACAAAACATACCCAATTCTCTTCATTTCTCGAGTAGACTTTACAAGCGTGAGCTATATTCAGATGTTTTAAAACAACCCAAATATTAAACGCCACGTAGTCACAATAATGGCAAAAATATTTCAAAAAATGATTATATCTGTGCTCTTTGTAGTATCTATTCTTAATATATATTTTACATATATTACAAAACGTATGCGGGATAGTTGAAGATGGCTGTAAAAGAAAATAAAATGCTCAAATTTAACTTGAATAAAGGGATTGCCCTGGCGGTAGTTTTTGGAAGTAACGACATCTGTTTGTATTAGTACTAACTAACCTAAGTTAAACGAGTGAAGCGGGTTCAAATCCCGAGTCTTGAACCTGATATTCTCTATGATAACCACTTATCTCACGGTGAAGGAGAACTTCGTGAGGAAACCTGCATGTCTGAGAGAACGTAGCGAGTTGTCTGCAGACATGCTCAGTCCGCCCGCACTCGGCCGGCGTGGGGGACTGTGGCCTGATCACCCGAGTATCGAAGGGAGGCCCACGCCCAGCAGTGGGACGTTAAAACAGGGCTGAATAGACTAAAAAAATGATTTTAATGGCTGAAGTTAGTTCTACCACACGCCCATATATTTTTAATCCGAATTAGGTTTCTTATTTAAGATACAAAATTATCAAAAAAAAAAACATATATTTTCTTTGTAATTTACCTTTACATGAACAAGTATTGTATGCGCTTGCCTTTCTTGATGATTATTAAAAATTTCAATACAAAACTCGCATTTATGCATCGCTTCCGTGAATTTTGGCAATAACTTTCGTTGACTTAAACTATCCTGCATTTCCGTTACCTTCATTTTGATCACTGTATAATGGGCTTCATATTTGCTTATTATCTTATTCATTGGATGATCCGGATCTGATATGAAGTCTTCTTCAGATCTCTCTTCCGTTACTTTAGTATCCGCTTCCGTTATTTCTGTTTTAATCTCTGTTATCTCTTCCGTTATATCAGTTTTTTCCTTTGTTCCTTCAGTTGTCTGTTCCGTTATGTTAGTTTCTTGGTGTGTTTCTTCATAATTAGACTTATCAGCGTGTATTTTAAGAAATTCTGATAAATTATATATGGCGTAACGTACGTTTTGAACATTTCCAATATCATTTATTTCTGCAGTTTCTATATCATCTTTGTCAGATATAGAATTCACGATGTCTTGGTATTCCTTCTTACATTCAATTTCTACATTTGGTTCATCAGAACCGTTTTCTATATTAATTTGGCCAGTGTCTGTATTATTTGAGTCTAATTTAAGGAATAAAGATCCATTATTATCTGTTTTGGCTCTGTCATGATTAGACTCTGGCGTTTTGGCATATCCGTGATCATATATAATATATTTAGTGGTATCCTTAATAAATATTTTTTCTAAAATTGAATCATATTATAAAGTCAATGGAGAAATCAATACCTTAATAATAAAGTCGGTAAAGTCATTTTAATAAATTTTCTAGGGTGTTATTGAAACTTAATGATTATATTAAATATACTAACACGAAAAAACTGAAAATTCTATATTTGAAAAACAAAACATATGTATTCTAATATTATAAAGAGGAAAGATTTTTTTGTTTGTTTGTTTGTACTGAATAAGCTCCGAAACTACGAAACCGATTTAGATGAAATTTTGTAAGAAGATAACTTGAGACCTTGGGACGGATATAGAATACTTTTTATCCCGGTAATCATCTCTTAAAGAGGTGAAAATGGGGACGAAAGTTTGTATGGGGAAGTAAGTTTCTAAATAATCTGAAAATGAGATTTTTTATATTTTCCGAACTCGCATTGTTATTGAAATAATTAAGTTCTTAGTTCCCTCCGAAAAGTTCACGGAAATGAAGTTAGCAGACTTACGAATTAAGGTATTATATAAACAATGAAAACGATTTTTAGTTTGTCACGCCATCACGTAAAAACTACTGAACGTATCGATATGAGACTTTGTCCAATCAATTAGAGATCGTCTGTAGCTTGTTTTACGCTATTTCTTTTTTGAATTTCCTACCATTTTTTTTATAAAATTAAAAATAAATAAAATGAAGACGTTACACTTTTTTCCCATTTTTTTTAAGCTAAATATTTAATTTATAAGCGAAAAACGTATATATACATTAAGGTTTGTGAAGGCCAAAACAAACATTTACGTACGCCCAGCAAAGAGGGGGCTAGTATATATATTTAGTAAGTTTAAATCATTTTTCAAATACGAAATTATAACCACTCGATAGATAGGCTAAATAAATAAATTAAAAAACCAAGAAATATTAATATTCTTAGTATATATAAAAAACTATATGCATGTATATTTGTTTGTATTACATACAGACTCGGCAATAATCATCATAATAAAAAAATACCTCTTAATTAATTACTTTTCTATAATATTTAAAAGAACAAATACTTTTTTTTAATTAGACATTCATAAGACATCACAATATTAAAAGACAGATTAAATTAGATAAAAATAAAATTTATTACTCTTATATTTGACTTTTTCAATCCAAATTCAAAAATTTCGATTTTTTATTTAACAGAAAATCACTCACCTCGTTTTCCACACAATAATCTGAAAAGAGAAAATTTTTATTAGAAAGAGACAGAACTACAATTGTGCAAAAAGAATATTGAAAATATATGTATGTATATGTCATCGTAAAATTGTAAACATCGCTAGATTATAATGTATCTAGCGAGATAGATTACAATTTAGCGGCACTTACAATTTAACGGTGATATACATATATGTATACTCGTATGATACTTTCTTAGATTTACACAAATATTTGACATTTTAAATAAAACTATCTTTCGCGGATTATTTCGCGGATTTATTTTGATTTTTGGAATATTAATTATATATATATATATATATATAATTTATTTATTATATATTTAGTGATATATATATATATATATGTTCGTTATATATGTATATATATATATATATAATATATCACTAAATTTTCATAAAAGACTCCATTTTCCGAGCAATAAATAAATTTAAATTGTTGATTAAATAAAATAACCTATGGACTCCAATACAACTGGAGCGACTTCGATGAAATTTTTAGGTAATTTGGCGAGCAAACGCGCGAACATGATCTCCATAAAAAACGCACCTTTGATCTACATAAAAAAAAAAACTAAAAATGTTGGAACCAAACACTTACTTGTCACCAGAACCAGTAAAGCTTTTCCTGTGCACGTCATCTTGCGCTTGCAACTTATCGTTTGGCTCTAATTTTATTTTTTCTTTAAGTATTTTGTTTTCAGTTGCATTACTGAAATAACATAAACATCCTTTAGAACAAGAGCTGTGTAAAAATCTTTAATATAGGTCGCCTTTGATCCAATATTTTCTGCTTTTCTTTGAAATAATTTTTTTTCTGCTTTTTTTTTATTGAAAGATTTTGAAGACAATATATTTTTTTATTTTTTTTTATAATTAAGACGATATATTAAATATTTAAATTGAAAATATAGTATTGTGTAACAATAGTTTGCAGATGGCGAATATTGAATTTCTATTTGGCTCATCCCTCAACTGCCTTCTGAACCGGTGGTAGCTTCCTCACAAACTTGACGACACTTGACAGTTTGTAGTGACCCTACTCGCTGTGCCAGCGGTCGCGGGTTCGAGTCCCGCTGCGGGCAGTCATTTGTGTGATGAGCGCGAATGTTTGTACTCCAGTAATAGGTGTTTATATTTATAATATGTATATATATTTATGTGTAGTGTATCAACTATCTGGTAACCATAACACAGGCCTCGTAGCTTACCATGGAAAAATATGATGGTACATTAACACAGCGCGATGGCGCTGTTATATTTATTACATAAACAATAACATTAATAATAAATTTAAAAAATATAAATATTAACAATCAATTTGAAAAAAGTATGTTTTTGAATAAATTCCATTTTTTACTAGAAAAACGCAACAAGTGATAAAACTCACTTTTCACCAAAAAAGCGTACTTTCGAATTCTTCCCGTACTTTGGTTCAATCGTTTCCAATATCTTGGTGCAAGGTTCACATCTCATATTAATTTCAGTTTTCGAGCTAAAATAACATATACATAATTTTATTACAAAAACGTTTTATAGTTTAGTATAGATTTCTCAGAAATGAGATATTTCAAATTTCATCAAAATCTGTCCAGTGGTTTTCTCGTGATGCGATCACAGACAGACAGATAAACAAAAAATCGAAAAACTATAGATTTGGCCTCTATATCGATAATAATGACTATTCCAATAAGATTTTCCAAAAAAATATTTAATGTACAGATTTGGCATGGTTAGAATTTTATTATATGTATAGCTAACAGAAGATCTCATTGTAACGATCCATACAGCAACACTTTCTTAGATTTACGCGAATATTTGAAATCTATACATATAAATAAAATTGAATCTGTGTGTAATGTCAAAATAGCAGTTTTTCACTAAATGCATATGAAATTATTATAATAAGAAAAAAATCCATTTTTAAAATGTTTGTCTGTCTGTTTGTTCCGGCTAATCTAATAAACGGCTGGACTGATTTTGACGCGACTTTCACTGGCAGATAGCTGATGTTATAAGGAGTAACTTAGGCTACTTTTATTTTAGAAAAAGAATCAGGATTTCTCTCCAAAAATTAAAAGTCGCTATAAATTAAACTTTTAAAGAAAATACCACTTACACATAACATTGATTGCATCGGGAGCAAACGTAACAAAATGTCCGAGCGCTGGGTGAATATAAAACCAAAGGTTTCACTCTCAACTCTTTCATAGAATGCAATTTTTGCTGAAAGAAAATTTAATAAATATTAACACATACAACACAATATTTGACGACATGTTTGGCTTTCAATTCTTTTGTGCCAGTCATGGATATTTATTAAACAGACCGACAGACAGATATAACGAAAAAATCTTACCTTAATTATTTCTTCATACGTATCCTTCACATTATGTGTTTCATACAAATGTTCCAAAATTTCAAGTGAGGAATAAAAATCTTCATAGCAATTGTGACATTTATATTTCACAAAATGGCTGTCACTGTGTTCCTTGTGCCATTCATATTTGACATAAGCCTCGCATATATAACACATTACATGCACTGGTTTCTATAAAAACAAAAAAAAAGGAGTGGTAGCCCAGCGGTAGTGATCTTGCTCGGAAGACCGAGTGAAGTGAGTTCGCTCGCCCCTTTCGGGTTTGTTTCTAGTTACGTTTTAACGTTTAGTATAAATTTCTGATCGATGAGATATTTTCCCGCGGTAAAAAGTATCCTATATGTTGACCCGGATAACGAGCCATCATCATACTAAATTTCATCAAAATCTGTCCAGTGGTTTTCTCGTGATACGATCACAGACAAAAATTCTAAAAACTATTGATTCAGCCCCTGTATCGATAATAATGACTATTTCAATAAGATTTTCTTAAAAATTTTAATGTACAGATTCGACTCGGTTAGAATTTTGTTATATGTAAAGAATATGTATAGAAAAAAACTTACTTTATGATAATCAGTCACATGCTTATTCAATTCCTCTTCATCTTTAAATATTTTAATACAAGTTGTACATTTATATGTAGCGGCAATGAAATTTGGATCTAATTTTCTTTCATGCATGTCCTCGCTCAACTCCGAAGCACTCATTTGTATAGTTAAATAATGCTTATTATTATCTACAATATAACCACTATTTCTTTTTTTTCCATTTTGTTTTGTATGTGGCAATGAATTTAATTCATCACATGTAAGATCTTCTTTAGATTTTAAAGTATCTGGTACATTTGTACTGTCGATTTCATAATTATAGAAATTTTGATAGTGTTCCGACAATTTGGATAGATTTTGGCATTTCTGAAAATTAAATTGTTGGATTGTATGTATAATTAGAAATGGAGAGAAAAAGAATTCATTTCTATTATTATCTATATTAATATTAAAAAGAGGCGGTTTGCTTGTTTGTTCGAACGCACTAATCTCAGAAACTAACACTTTTTTCAAATCGAATACTTATTCGAAAAATAAAAATAAAATCTTTTTGCATTAGATAGTTCATTTATTGAGGAAGGCTATAGGCTACATATATCATATAATATATAGTCTATCTATTTCATACTAACCGTTAAATGCACCTAGAGACGAACCAGAGCGAAACAAGGGTGAATCACTAGCATTATAATATTTTCTAAAGGATTATTTATATTTTTCTTATATCCGTCAGTCTTGATTGAGGAAAAAATAGTTTAATATTCTTATTTCATCAAATTTATATATTTGTCATAGAAACCCTATTTTAAAATTAACAATACTAATAATTAGAGATGAAAAGGGTATCCGTAACTATCCGGTATCCGGTATACCAGATAGTAAAGCAAAATGCAGCCAGATATTTAAAAACTACAATTTTTTTCTTTAATAAAATGCAAAAAAAAATATATCCATGAGATATATAATACAAAACTGTCATGAAAAGGCAGTAAGGTGCTGAAAGGTACACTCTGGCACACTTTAACAAATGTGAATACTTCTAGTATCGACCACCAACTATATACACACCATACCATAGGCTCGCAGTGATTGAGAAAGTAAGCAACTGTCTTTTGCTAATAACAACATAAGCACTTCTGGCAACATATAACGTCACTACGAGCTGAATATCCGGCCGCCGGATATCCGGCCATCCGGCCGCTCACCGGACCGGTTTCTGGTGTCTGGCTAAACAAATATCCGTTTCATCACTATCATTATTGATAAATATTTTGAATTATATTAATGTACTTATTTATTTCTTATTATTTATTTTTACAAAGAATCAAATGCAGTAACTGTACAGATATAGAAAAAGATCTTTGTTCATATTTCATGATAAATACAGATAAAAAAACTTACATTGCCATTCATTTCCTTTAATTGTTTCTGAGCCATGCACACTTGGTCCCTAAATTTGCAAAACCTGTTCATCAATGCCTTGCATTCCCAGCAAATGTAAACTTCATGTATGTAATTACTTAGTTCCTGAAAAAAAAAACTATTATATGTAGAGTACTTGTACGAAAAAATTATATACCGAGTCTGCCAAAAAAATATATCAAAGTCATGAATAGTAGCATGATTTGTTGTTTATTCTACTATTCTCGATTTTGCATAGCAGATAGATTTCTTTAATGAATAAGGGACATTTTATATAGGTATGTAATGTAATATACAATTTTTGAGAAGAAAATATGAATATTAAAAACAATATGGTATATTTTGTTGTTTTAAGCATTAGTTCTTTTCCACTTGAAAAGTGACAGGTTTAGCTTAGTTTGTAGTGACCCTTTAAATAAAACTATTTTTTCCAATTTTTACACGGATTTATTATGATTTTTGGTTCCCGATGTTTCCAATGCTTTACAGCAATTATGGTAACAGGAGAGACTAAGGTTTTACATGTCTCATAGTTGTTACAGAGAGGGCCTACCTTATAACGCCATTGAGATATGTAAAACCCACATCACTTGATTTCCCAAGGCATGTGCATTACCACTGGGCTACCACTGACATATTGACTGGGCTACTACTGATAAATTGAATAATTATTAATAAAATCTAAGACATACCTCATATGCCTCTTCATTGCAAGATACTAAATATAATAAATTGTTGATGCCGTCATTAATTTCAGCCAATTTTGTTAAGTTTCTATCTTCACTTAAACAAGCATAACATATATTTTTCAACCTTGAAATACATTCATTAATATTATCAAAGCAACTTTCTTCTATAACTTCAGAGTCTTGTTCTTCAAAATGTCTTGTCTCGAGATCTTTTTGTAATATATTTGAATTTTTTTCCTCTAACTGACTGGTTTCAGGTATTTCAACTAATGTATTATTAAATAAATATAAATAAGGATTATATTTAGTAAAACATTGTTTATCCAAGTTAATTAATTGAGGCATTCCTTGTGTTATGTTATAATTCTGTGCCATTAAGCTACTTGACTGAGTTTCTTGTACAGATAATGACTCTTGGTGGCAGTTAGGCAAATTAACTAAATCTGTATCAATTCCCACAGATTCGTTCTCATTTGAATTTTTAGGGCTCGATGGAACATATATGAAGGAAGATGGATTCCGTGAAAATTCCGCAACATTGATAATTGGTTCAATAACAAGCTTCTTATCTTGATGCCTAATTTCTATATTTGAAGAGTGTTTTACTTTATTTGTTAATTGCTGTTCTACAGGTTTGTTGAACTGAGATTTCGGTTCTCCACTTAACCCATCTGAAGTTAGTGATAAATGTAATGAAGGAACTGCGTCTAGTGTTAACTTATTATTCTCAATTATATGTTGAGGTAGAAAATGTTTCCTACAAATTCTAGCATATTTTATTTTGTTTGGGCTATAACTTAATAAAAATGGACATGCACTTGCCCATTGCTGCCATCTAACTGGATTTTTAAAAGGCACACTAAATCCTTTATTTGTATTCGAAATGTAACCACAAAAAGGAACAGAACAATACCCCATTTTAAAATATGGGTTATAATAATCCATAAAAAAACTCATTTTATTATCAAAACACCACAATCTAAAAAATATTATTTAAAATCTATTGACATTTGACATATTTTGTACACAGACCAGGAACAAATTTGTACCTACGAAATCAAAACAACAGACTAAATAAAGATTATATGTAAATAAAATGTGTAATATTTTACTTAAATAGTATACATATATATAATGATACTTTAAATATAGTACATCAAATTCATAGATAGAGAATATGGTACTGTCTACGATCAAATCTTTCAATTTTAACAATAAATTAAATGGGAAAGGTTTCTCGAAAGGAGGGCGCTACGCATATGGCCTATTTATATTCAGTCTGAAGTCATGCAAATTGATGTAATAACTCTTATACACGTTTCTGCTTCCATTGTGCTCGTACATATAACGTTATATATGTAGCAATATACTCTATGATATAACGTTCTAAGTTAGAATGTCGTCACTCGCAACGTTTTTTTTGGAGAAACCCGGAATTCGAGTCCACGACTTGCAAATTTACAGCTATATATGATTACCACTAAACGTTGATAAACAAAAGTATTTTAATATAATCATAGTAATTAATCATGATAATATACAGTACTATAACTTCTACAACAAAAATTTTCGACTTCAATATCTATGTTCTGCATCTGTGACCAATTTTATTAATTATTATTAATATAAATATATACAAATATCACAATTATGAATTTTATATCTCGTGCACATTAAATACGGGATAGTACATGGTGTCGCTTCTGTTCAATTTTGCTTAAGTACAAACTCAGATCAAAAAAATGACGTTTCATTTAAAATATTTACTTAACTCAATATGAAAAAAAAATTAAACACTTATTTAAAACACATATTTTAAATAGGTTCCCAAATATTAAAAAAATATTTTCTTTTTAAATAAATGAATATGCTAACAGTACGAACTCAATGTACTGCCATAATGTGGCTAATTCTTTATCTGCATGCAGGGGTCATAATCACAAATAATTCTTAGAACAATCAAATCTATTATTTTATTTTTTAAATAAAACATTTTTTAGATTTTCCCGCGTTTGTCTAAATAGCAATTATTTATTAAAATTAAAAAATAAATAAATTGTGAGGTACTTGACTTTTTCATATATTTTAGCTTTGGTCTCTCCAGAGAAATGGTGTTTAATTCAGCTTACAATAAAAAAAATCTTTTATTTATTTTTATTTCAGTAAAATAATTTCTAATTAGGGTTTCCATTATACGGTAGTTTGATACCGTTTCTTTCCGAATTATATAATAATTTTGTGGGTAGATACTGTCTGTAACAACTATATCATAACTTCAAAAATCTTGTTTCTGTGACTAAATAAAACCTGAATACCATGAAGGGTAGATAAAAAAGCATGTTAAATTTGTTTCAATGTTTTTAATCTACTATTTAATATATTTTAGTGAACAAATTTGGTGTTATTTAATTGTTCTAAAATCTAAAGGATAGTAAAGTTAAAAAATTAAAACACTTTGAATTCGAATTTAAACTCACTTTCATTATCTCTCTGACTCTCTCTCTCTATCTCTCTTACACACCCACTCACACACACAAAATATATAGTAAAAATAAATCTTGTTAAAAGAATCGGTTGCCAAAGAAAAACAAAAAACACAATTTCATCCAAACATCACCCACTCATAAATCCCAGAACTACTCCTCTGCCCCACCGCTATCCATTTCGATGTGTTTCAACAGTTTTGGCTTACGCACTACTCTGTGTACGGCTCGTTTATGTCCATACAGAGTGCTACAAGTCCTGAACTTCTTATCGCACAGTTCACACGTGAATGTTTTTATACCGGTGTGTAGAGACTCGTGTTCTCTTAGCGCTGTGCTGTCCTGTAATAGAAATAATAAATATGTATAAAATTTGGTGACACTTATGTCTGGCCTCACTGAGACTAGCCAACTGCAGGAGATGTTATAGTGTAGCGTGTGAGGGAGAGAGATACACAAAGTGCACTCTCTGTCCCTGTCACTCTCATACTCCAGCAAGTAGTCGACCACTCGGTCGGTAAGAATGGCGGCACAGAACCGACGCGGACACGTACTCTGCCTCGGCAACGGCGAGCAACACCACCAATTTCCCAACATCGGGCTGTTACTGAGACTTTCTTGACAGAACGACATAATAACTAAACTTGCCCCAACCCGGGACTCTAACCCAGTACCTCCGGATGTGCAGCCGTACATGCTAGCCATTACACCACCGAGGCAGTTAGGACAGTACTACCTATATAACCAGTCAGAACCAAACCAGATAACACTATCATATACTATATTACCTTTGTATTAAAATTCACAGGGAAATACCGTCAAACGTAAGGGTTCCAAAAAATTTAATTTTTAAGGCCAAATGGTTTTAAAGTTAAAGCACTGTATTGCCATTTCGTGGCAAGTTATAGTTATACCCGACAACATTAAACCCCTCTGCCGACTGTCACACAACAGTGTGTATGCCAGTCGGGAGCGTCTCTCTAGAACAAAACCTTAGAAACCCACGCCCAGCTGTGGGACATTAGGAAAAAGGCTACTCCTATAATGTATTCATGTATCGAGATACATAATTAAAATTAAATATAAACAACCCCTCACCCGACACACGTGTCCACAAACGGGACACAAATACGTTCTTCTGTGGACGACCTTCTTCTCCCCCAAATGCGCGAACCTAAGATGGCGCTTCAGAAGTCGCTCCGACGACATCACCTGCGATATTAAAGGAGCGAGAAAAATTACACTACTGATGTAAATGGAAACGTTTGTGTGTATGTTTGTCACTACTTTAAGCTGAAATGTCTGGACCGATTTGATAGATAGACTTTAATTAAACTGGAGAAACACATAGGCTACTGTTAATACTAAAAAGTTCTCAAAAGATGGCGCTGCACGTTATTATTAATACAAAAGACTCGTTAAAACAAAGGTGTTAAAGATTTATACCCGACAACCCTAAGTCCATCTCCCGACTGCCATATACAAGTTTGTACGCCAGTCGGGTGCGCCTTACACGTGTAAATTAATTGAACTTACCTTATCACAGATAGAACACTTATGTATGGTGATGCCTCTGTGCGTGTAGTTCACATGATCACGTCTGTCCATATTCGTCGTAAACCCTTTCAGGCAAATTGGACATCGTATTCTAGAACAAAAATTATAAATGTGTGGGATCGAGTTGAGGATACCAACAATGATACTATGTATCACCTCAATACATTTATTAATTCTATACAAGGTGGATTTTTGAGACGGGTCAGTAAGGGCGGGTACCTTAACAGCTATAGTTACAGGAAAACGTTCCTAGGAGACCATTCATAACTTTTTGAGATATTCTTAACTGCATTCACATATTTTTGTGGGTGCACAATATAGAGTGTTTATTAATTGAAATTTTATTTTTTATATGAGACGACCTACCTAAATGCATCGCCGCCATGTCATCTATCGAATTAGTTGAATTTAGTTAGTATGAATTGGAATTAGTTAATTTTAGTTAAGTATTCATTGAAATTAGTTAATATGAGTCGAAATTAGTTAACATGAGTTATAATTATTTAGTTATATATGAGACAAGCAGTGGTAACCCAGTAGTAACGCGTTCGCTTGGGAAACCGAGTGAAACGGGTTCAAATCTTGGGTCTCGCATCTCTGATATTTTCTAGTATGATTACCACTTGCCTTACGGTAAAGGAAAACATCGTGAGGAAACTTACATGTCTGAGAGAGAACTTAGCAAGTTTTCGTAGGTCATGTGAAGTCCGCCAACCCGCACTTGGTCAGCGTGGTGGACTACGGCCTGATACCCCGATACCCCTTGTATTGAAGTGAGGCCCGTGCCCAGTAGTGGGACGTTAAAAAAAAAAGCTGAATAAAATACATATGAGACAATCTACCTTAAAGCGTCACCATGTTGCCCGCTGAACCTCAGATGCCTCTGATAGCCGAAGTCGCTCACGAAGGTCTTGCCGCAGGGCGCGCACACCGCGGCCTCCCTCTGGGAGTGGACCTTCATGTGGTACTTCATGGTGTCGCGGCGTATGGACTTGCCGCATATTGGACAGATCTGTTTGGGCATTGTACCCTTGTGGATGCTGTGGAAGAATGGGAAATTAACATCTTTTAGGATTTTTTCAAGGTTTTATTTACTTTAGTTCAAAATGTAGGAATCAAAAATGGAAATAAATCTGCGAAAACATCTAAAGGTTTTTTATTTAAAACCGGCGTCTTACATGCGCTCAAAAAATTAAAATTTTAAAAATAGACCTATATAATTGCGATATTTTTTTTCATTTAATATTATAATTACAAAGTAATGTTTAGTTTGCTATACCATTTAACATTTTTTTTAAATACTCACTGTTCATGATTCTTCAAATTGTACGATCCAGCAAAAATTTTACCACAAATGGAACATTTGTTTCTGTCATTGTGTGACCGCTGCATGTGCAGGGTTCTCTTGTTTCTTGTTCTAGAAAAGAAAAGTCATTAATTGAGAAATTAAGAAAAATGTAAGGAATTAATAACGAAATATATGAGAATTAAAAAAAATGAGCTTCGTTTTTATTATTTAAAAAAAAGACAAATTATAGATAGTCAGTCTATTATCTATACAAATAATTCGCACTCAACCACGACGCCCTGACGGCAGGCCTGCCGGAGCAGACCATACTTCCATGGGGTAACTCCTACGGTCCACTATGCTGGCAGAAGAGTACCTTCGCGCCTGGCTGGGTTGCCGGACATAATGAGCTCCCCCCCCCCCCAACACAACAAGGTGAGCTCAGATTAGGGAGGGCCTTCGATCAACAATACTACTAGATAACGTGTCACATACAAAATCAAAGCTAAATTCTGTCCGCGCGAATATGTACTTATACAGCTACATTTGTATACTAACGAACCAAGACAGTCTTATAATGGTTTTATTTTCAATCTAATCAACACCATAGTACCTTGTAATAAAGTCACAAATCTTCAAATTATCATCATACACTTACGATCATTTTGTAAGTTTTATAATATGTATTGTAAAATCAACCTTATATTAAAAAACATACATCACTTTTTCCCGTTGTTGCTTTGTGAGTTAAATCGTTATGTTTTGTTTCTGTTTTAAACTTAAATAAAATAAAAAAAAATATACGCTCACTTTGCAAGTGAGCTTATATTTACCGAGACGGATTTCTTACGCCGACCCGATATCTACGTACTAGTATTAATGATCGAAGGGGAGGGGAGATAGATTAGATATAGCTACAGTTAGTAATCAGAAATGTCACAAGATGGCGCAGTCTCTTTATAACTACAACGAACACAGGACTCACGGGAACACCTCGTCGCACTTGGAGCACTTGTACCCGAGCGTGGAGCGCGCGTCGGGCGCCACGTCCGCCTCCCACGGCCGCAGCCCGGGGCTCTTCAGGTACAACCGCTTCCTCAGCTGGAACACGAGGGGCGACACGCTTTCTTACATTTACGAGAATATTTGGTATCTATATGCATATGCATATAGCAAAAAGCTGTTATTTTGACATTACACACAGACACTTCAATTTTATTTATCTGTATAGTTACTACTTTTTTAATTTCCCTCACCTTTTTCATTTGACCGCGCATATTCCAAACAGCATGACCAATTTTCAAGTGCCTCAAAATAACCAACAGGTTGTACGCGACAAAGTCACAGAGATGACAATGAAACTTGAGGTAGTGATCTCTCCTGTGCTCCGGGAACCATCTCTTCCTGACGTACGTCGTGCATATGTCGCATTTTATATGGTTTGGTTTCTGGAACAATCGAAGATTTATGAATATTTTGTACACAAGTAGTGCCACCTATCGGTTAAGTTTGGTTACTAACTGTAGCCAAACTACAGGTCCTCATCCGAATCCGTCCGGCCGGCGTGTGAAGGAGATGACAAACATACATACACACTTTGGCATTAACAACTCCAGGTAAATTTCTAAGAAATTAATTAAAATTCTAAGAAATCTATTGTTAACTGACACGCCGGCGTGTCCGCGGTCGTAGAGGGATTGTTAATAGCGTGATTAATATCTGTTTTGTACAAGATTTTGTCCCTATCAGATCATGTTAAGGTAATTTTTGAAGTAAACTTGTTTAAGCGTGACTGAGGGGTAAGTCAATACATTTGGAAAATGAGTGTCGCGGAAGTGACAGTTAAATTTACTATTAATAATTTAAAAAACTATTTATAATAATATTATAATCATTATTTATAAAAATATATATTTATTATTAATAATAAAAATTAAATTATATTTTAACTAGCAGTGCCCGCGGCTCCGCCCGCGTTCAGATGACAAAAAACCAAATTGTTAGGTTTTACATATTAGTATACTCTTACAATGCAGTTTTTTTATTTTTTCTCAGAAATGAGAAATTTTCCCACGGTAAAAAGTATCCTATATATTGACCCAGATAACCAGCTATCATCATACCAAATTTCATCAAAATCTGTCCAGTGGTTATTCGTGATGCTGTAACAGACAGATAGACAGACAGACAGACAAAAATTCTAAAAACTATAGATTCGGACTCTGTATCGATAATAATAATATTTATTTCAATTAGATTTTCCAAAAAATAATGTACAGATTCGACTTACTTACAATTTTATTATATGTATAGATGTAATTGCGGTATCTGCCACAGCACCAAAGAAGGTTTAAATAAACGTCGTAAATAAAAAACGTCAGGAACCAAAAATCTAAATCCGCGAAATAATCCGCTAAAGATAGTTTTATTTAAAATGTTAAATATTCGCGTAAATCAAAGAAAGTATTAAAAAAAGGTTTACTTTAATTGCGCGTAAACGTTATATACGCACTCAATTTTTTTCATTATTTCTTTTTGATGTGAAACATCATTTAGCGCGCCTTGGCAGGAAAACCCACTCGTATGTTGTGATAGCAAACGGCATGACGCTCTACTACTTCTACGCCGCGGCTCTCGACTGCCTTGTGTGCGCGCGCGCATATGCACTTTGTTGCTTCTGTGTGCGTTGCCTAATGTTTCTATTCGACTATAGTATAGGCTGTGTGGACTTCTCACCCGACTTCAGAAAAATTGATCTTTTTTAGGGTTGTATGAAAAATTTTTATAAGTAGTGGATAGTAGTCGAGCTAACTTCGTTTGTAGTAGTGCCAAAAAAAATATACAGAGAACAAAAAATATGTCATCCCCGAAATTTGAAAAACATATTTTTGTCGTCTGCTTCAAATATAAAAACGTTTATAGTGGTTTTAGTGCATTTTTTTTCGTTTGTAGTAAAAAAAAAAACTAGTATTTTTCCAAAACTATATTTACTACTTAAATTCAATATGAAAGCCTATATGATTACTATTAAAGCTAAATAAGACTAAAAAACATTCATAGAGGTCAGTAGCGGAAGAATCTTCAAGTGTGTCTGTCAATTGTGTAGTGGAACAGATGTTATTATGAAGATCAGCGTTTGTAGTTATTTGTAGTCGCGTTAATTTTGTTTACAGTAACTTTTTTTTAGTTTGTAGTTGTTTCTAGTGAAGTTAGTAACATATCATAAGTTTACTGCTTGTATTTTGATTTTAATTATATCATATTAACTGCCTTTAAAAACCATCCTGTCATGCATATTTTCTATACAAAATAGGTTCGATGTTGGACATCTGCCAGGCGTACCGCAACGGCGTTTTTATTTTTTTTAATTTATTTTGGAAAAAAATGGCATTAACAAAACATGAATAATACTTAACCAATCCAATATTTCCAATGTTACCATAATACATAATATTGATATATTAAGTTCAAACAGAATAAGAGAAGAGAGAGAAGGAAGACAAAACATCTGTATTTTAATATTATAAATGTGAAAGTTGGTGAGTATGTATGGATGTTTGTTACTCTTTCACTCCAGAACTGCTGAACAGATCTGGATAGATTGGCAAAGAGATAAAAATATAGGCTGGAATAACACATAGGCTACTTTTTATCCCGGAAAGTAGGGTTCCCGTGGGATAGGTTTGTTTTTGTTGTCCTATAGATAAACCGGAGCTGCTAGTGTGTAACAATATAACTTACCTTTGCATGAGCCTCACTTATGTGCACATGTCGTTCCATTTCATCTTTATACACTTCAACACACCACTCACATTTGAACTCCGCTTCAAGAAAACTTTCAACACATTTCCTTTGCTCCAAACTCTCTAACATCTCCATTTTAGTCATTTTAATTGTTGTGAAATTGACATTATTATCAATAATTATTTCATTGATTAAATCGTCCGGATCTGGGATTTCTTCTATTGTGTCAATTTTATCTTTTTCTATTTCTTCATCTAATTTGTCCACCTCAGATTCTATATTGGAGAGAATGAATTCTGTATCACAGTCACTTTCTATATATTCTAATTGTTCATTATCTGTGGCATTTTCTATAGCTTCTATGTAATCTGCTGTATCTTCGTTGGTTATGCAATCATTGTAATCTGATTGAAAATATGTTGACAATTGTGATAAACACTGAAAAAAAAATACATAAGCGATATTTTTGGCTAATGTGTAACAAGACTAGATAATGCTTTTATTTTGACATAAAAAAAAATTAACTCAATTTTCTTGATAATAGCTTCAAAGCGTGCCAGTTGAGCAAAGATTAGATCAACGATGTGACATAGAATGGAGAAGACAAAAAAACAAAGAAAAAAAAAATTAAAATATAAAGCCAGTTACAGTAGATGATTAATAAAAATATATTGGCTTTAACTTTTCATAACCATGTCGCATTGTTCATTCTAAAAGAAACTGTATTTAATTTGGTGGTGACCATTAAATTCTTAGATTTTACATAATATTGTAATTCTTCTATCCAGTTAATAGTTTCGGAGAAATATCTAGGACTAACTTATATATATGTATATGAAAATTAACAAGATAGCTGCTGTTTTTTAAACCCTGCCGCTGTGATAAACTGCAGGATTTGTTTAGAAGTATACTCCTTAATTTCATTTAGACCTAGAAACTGTTTGCCAAGATGAAAACTGCACTGCAAGAGGTCCACACTCCCAACTTCCACTTTTTTTACTATGTCCTATATTTTTGTATATTTTCTTTTATCTTTTTGGGTGTACAACACCGAGTTATTATGTTATGTCATAAACACTTACTTGGATTTCATTAATAGTACCATAGAGTTTCTTTTGAGCTAAGCAAGCCTGGTCTCTAAATTTACTTAGACGATGCATCAAAGCCTTACATTCCCAACAAATATGCAAATCGTCAGTTCCTTTGCCACATAGTACCTGAAATGTAGAAAAGAATACTACAAATAAGTGATTTCTTACTAAATATATTATTTTAGTAGTCTATAGATAACTTAAATAGGTTTTTGCTAATTTCTCTTATGTTGCCAACTCAATAGTGTACAATTAATATTAGTATTATATGTAGAAAACAATAAAAATAAATAATTGATGACTTTTTTGGATGTTTGTAATGACCCTACTTGCTGTGCTAGCGGTCGCGGGATCGAGTCATGGGTGTTTAACACCTTCAGGTAAATTTCTAAGACATTAATTAAATTTCTTAGAAATCTATTGTTAACTGTAACGCTGGCGTATCCACGGTCGTGGAGGGATTAATGTTTATATATTTATAACATATGTATTTAAAGTTAAATGTGTGGGGTATCAAATATCTGGTATCCAAAACACAAGTCTCGCAGCTCACCATGTAATTAGATGGTGATGTGTTAATGTCCCAATAAAATAAAATAATACAAATTAAAATTCGATCTACTAAATAATTAAAATATATATATAATTAAAATATATATATATTTAAAAAATACAATTATTAACCTCATAAGCTTCAGAGTCACAGGAAACCAAGCAAAACAAGTTGTTTACACCATCTTCAACATTACATAACGGTGTTAGTTTTCTATCAACACTTAAACAGGCACAGCAAATATCTGTCAACACAATTCCTAATGATGTCATTTTATTACAATAATAATTATTTAATTGTAAATACTTTTATATTCACAATTATTTTTGCTAAGCATAATTAATAATATTTATGAAATATCTGTTTTTGGTTATGTTAAATTAATATTCTTTGTTTATATATCATATGCTCAACAGAACTGGAAGAATATACTTAATTCAAATTCATTTACTGTAGTTTTATTTAAGAAAGCAAAATTATAGTATATAGAAATCTTAACACTAACAGATCGCAGATCTGACACTTATGTGATATGACACCATAGACTATAGAGTATATTGCTACATATAAGTAATTGGTGAACTATATTCTACTATGAAAAGGTTTCAACTAGTCAGTTTCTAAACTATGGTTATTTAAAAATATAAATACTTGATGATGTTATTTGTAGTGACTGTAACTGGTCTTGAATTTGTTGCAATGGCTCCCTATTCAGTGTGCATGGTCCTGCAAAAAGTACACAATTTCAAAAAGCAATGATTTATAAACATAATTAGAATTAGAAGGGCTCTAAAGTAGAGACCATGACTCGGCAAAAATAGTGTAGGACATCCTCCAGCTCGGTGGAGCGACAGATTCCAGTAGTTTCAGATTTCTCTCACAAAAAAATATTTTATATCCTTTCCAGAGTTTCTAGTGGGGTTTATATGATATACAAAAAAATCTCTTAATAACATTAGTATAGAAGTATAGACATACCGCCTGGCATATTTAATGTTGGTACAGCATTCTTGCTAATTCTGTCGTAGCGACATTTGTATTTTAGTTCAAAATGTGTGTGACACACACGGCGATACTTAAATATGCTCTTATTATCCATGCCCACAAGATCTCCGCCAATTGCATTGAACCACATGTTGAAACGCTGTATGTCCTTTTCTGGGTTTGGGAATCCATGAAGCACTTGACGAACATGTAAAATAAATAAAGTTAAAGTGCTTAAAATTGGGATCTTTTTACTACTATTTTTCTAACTTAATATTAAAGATATTTGAGCAGACACATGAAAGTAATGAATTAAGACTATAGGATTTTGTCGCTGATTTATCTTGATTTTTGGTTCCTGACGTTTCGAATGCTATACAGCAATCAAGATATGGTTTGGTGTTTTTAATTGATTTTAATATCTTAATATATAATTATTATGGACTGGATTATGAAAATATGAATAGGAATAAACTAAATAAGGCAAAAATAGAGTACATACCATAACAATCATAATCAGGACTTGTACCAATTAATACAAGAATAAAAAAACAGCTAAATTCAATAGTTTTAGGTGTTTATTAAAATAAATTTAAAATAAGCTGTAGGTGCAGTAAGTTGGCAGCTATTACCATTTAAGGTAATTACTTTTATGAAGTTTTAAACTTTGGGTTTTATAGGGTATTAAAAAAGTAGTTCATATATCTGACATAGATACCTTTAGTTTCCTTACATCCAGGAATGCAGCATTCTTTGTCTGATGGCATAATTGGGCCTTGAACCAGGGGCGGATCCGGAGTCAAATTTTGGGCGGGGTCTTAAGCTAAAATATACATATAATAAAACAGTAACTTAGCAAAATCTGTACATGAAATTATTTTTTAAAAACAATGACTAAAGTGTAATGTATACTGTACAAAATATAGAACCCAAAAACAAAATTTATGTCTGCTTGTGTGTTTCACTCAAACAGTAGGTACTGAAACCATTTTAACCAAATTTTGTGTAGTGATAACTTATTACTCGGGTTAACATTAAGGATGCTTTGTACTACAGGAAAATCTTTATACTTCTTCTTATCCACGGGAAAACACAATAACGGGTTCTATAGAGTAGTCTTTATAAATTAACATGGCTAACGCTGGCTAAACCTTAAAAGATACATCAAAAGAATGTACTAGAAAATTGTAGATTTAAAGGCCTAAAAAAACCTGCAATAGCATAAGTTTTTCTTCTAAGGTACACTCGCAATAACTATTTATAAATTATAAATTTATAATCCAATCAAAACGTACCTACTACCTAGAAGGTCGCACCTAGCGAAGCGAGGGTAAGCCTCTGCCCTCTAGCGCTACTGAGAAAAATAGTTTTATGCTCTTAGTTTAGAGTTTAGACCGATGGGAAATGGGAAACCGTTTATTTTTAAGAGAAAAATGGAGGAAAAGGAATGCAAAATGCAAACCGTTAAAAATATTTTTTTTTTCAATTTCCGGTTTAGGTTTACTATGACATCCTATCGAAAAATGTTCTGTACAAAAGTTGTAGGTCTAGTAAAAATATATGACTTTTATAGTCGACATTTTTACAATAACCTCAAATTTTCGATATATTTGCAAAAAACCTGTTTTTTTTCTTGGTTTTTAATTTTTTAATTTTTGCAATAATTATAATTGAAATGTTTAGCAGTTTCCGCGAAATTAAATGTAAAAAAATAAAGTACATACACCTTTTCAATGATTATTAAAAAAAAATCGTTTTCAGAGTAAAAATTATCGATTCTCCAGTTTGTTCAATTTTAAAGGGTGTTTTATAGGACGACCATACAATGTTTTTGTTTCTTTAAAAAGTAAAGTGCAAGACGAAAAAAAAGTATATCTGAGTCCACTTCAACCCCGCTGGTGCCTATAGGCACCACTTCCGAGTTCCAGCGTTACCGTCAAACCCTTACCCCACTGGTGCCTATGCCCTATAGGCACCACCTCGCCCGCTGCACTTTTATCACTTATTACACGATGAAATTAATTTATTTTATGCTAAATAAGTTTATAATCTCGTTATAAAGTTAGTTTTTTGGTCCAACGAATTTAGATGTATAAAATTCGTAAAATAAGTCTCCATTTTATCACATGAATTTTGACTATTAGTCATTGATTGGGTGCCTGATGACGGTAAATCACTAAACAACAAACTAATATTATTTCATATTTTCAGTTTTTTTTTAGCATATTTCTATAGTTTTATAATATAAAATATGTTTGTTTATAAATAATACCTATAAGCTGTCAAATTTGACATATTTAAATCTCTCTCTCATCAAAGACCAGTTGACATGTCGATATGTGCTACCGATAATATCGATGTTTTAACATGTTGAAAAAGCAAGAATGTTTTTTGATTGCTTTCTGTTAGACACAGTGGAGAATAAAAAATGCAAAATAAAATACTCTGTGTAAAATATATTACGTGAGACTTCAAAAACATAGTTGAGAAATGTAAGTGTATAATATGTATTAAACTTGTGTCTACCATTTAAGACTTCAGAGACTCAGGAAGAGACTATGTTTATGCTATATGTATTATGTATACTGCCTCGGTGGTGTAGTGGTTAGCATGTACGGCTGCACACCCGGAGGTCCTGGGTTCGAGTCCCGGGTCGGGCCAAGTTTAGTTATTGAATCTTCCTGTATAGTAAGTCTCAGTAACAGCCCCGAGTTGGGAAGTTGGCGGTGTTTCACCCCCGTGCCTCGGAGAGCACGTAAAGCCGTCGGTCCTGCGCCTTAACTCTCACCGGTCGTGTCGAGTGGTCGTCCCACCGGAGTATGAGAGTGATAGGAATAGAGAGTGCACTTGTGTCTGCACGTACACTTGAGCACTATAATATCTCCTGCGCAGTTGGCTAATCTCATTGAGATTGGCCGATACATATTTTTTAAATTTTATGCTATATGTAGACGTACATATTATACAAATGAACTATTTTTTGTAAATGTACATAGTTACTTCGAATATTGGCGAGGAGTTACACAGACATCTAGAGTAAATTAAAGTCTTCTTTGTCTATTTAAGGGATTCCCTAGATTAGACTAAAAGGGGATTCAAAAGTTGGAAATTCTGTAAACAGCAAATTTCTTAAAAACAATCTTAATTTGTATTTTGTTCCTCTAAATATTGTACTTATTGTGTTTTGCACATTGTTTAACAATTGAAGAAACTAAAACTATAAGAGCTTATATTATTGAAATTTCTTTCCCAAATTATTACTTTAAAAATAAAAAGATTAGGTTTGCACTCCGTACATGGAACTAGTGAAAAATTAAATTTAAAAACCATATAAGCGGTGTAAATATTTAAATTGAGATAGATATTTCTCTTTTTATATAGTTTCAACGATAATTAGTATTTGAAGAAGAAATGTTATATAAGAAGCTACGGCCATTTGTTACATACTAAAAATTTACTCTATTTGTTAATAGAAATACAATAAAGTATAAATTAAGTTATACCATGAAGAGTATTTTAAATAAATAAATAATATATTATGTTACTTTTTTCGTAATTTATTGGGTAATATATTCAAAGACAATCAAATAAATCAATATATTGAAATTATTATTTTTTATGCTACGAGAGCTAGCTAACTAGCGTGCCTGAATTTGTACTGTCGCATTTATTCGATTTTTTATAACAATTTTATTTAAGTCATAATTTTTAAAAAATTGCATTTTATTTAATGATTTCGAATTTAACTTGTCCAAAAAATATAGTATTTTGTTGCACCTATTTTAATTTTTTAAATACTTCCTTTTTTACTGTTATAAACAAATAGTACCTGGGCCACTGCGCTTCGCTCGGAGTTTTTGGTCAAATGTACAATTTAACAAAAACAAAAATCTTGAATAAATACAAAAAAGCAACAATATGTAATGAATGTAAATAGGCTATACGTATGGCGCCCTCCTTTCTGGAAATCTTCCCGATTTATTTCTTATTGTACAACCATATATCTTTATTCAGTTTGTGGTTCTATTTACATTCATTGTTCGGTACAAAACAAAATACAAATGTCCAATCACTTATGTCATAAACGGACAGTACAATTTACGAAACTTAACTATTTAAGTATTTACGTATAAAAAGAGTGTTGTAGACTGTAGTCCAAAATTTTCTTTTCAATATAACCTAAAATAACAATAAGAAAACATTGAAAGTGATTTAATTTTTGTTTACTTCAAATACGATTAATTATTTTTTAGTGTGAACTGTTATAAAACTTTCTGGATTAATATAACAATAATGGTCAAAATGTGTGCTATAAAAAGTTGTCCAAGTGGGCGGGGGCGTAAATTGAAAAATAGAAAAAATGATTCGCAGTCTCTGTCTTATTTTAAACCAACAGTATGTAAAATATTTATTTATAACATTTTTTAATCAATCAACAAATTTACATTTATTTCTTTATATAAAACTAGCATTGCCCGCGGCTCCGCCCGCGTTCAGATGACCAAAAACTAAATTCTTAGGTGTTACATATTAGTATACTCTTACATTGCAGTTTTTGTATTTTTCCTCAGAAATAAGATATTTTCCCGCGGTAAAAAGTATCCTAGGCATAGAGTATATTGCTACATATATAAATCCTGATCCTAGGATCGCGCGCTACATCGCCCGGTTTATATAGCTTGAGCAGGCGGTCGAGCGATGCGGGGCAGAGGGGATGGACTCGCCGTAGGCATCTCAATGCTCGCCAAGCATTAAAAATGTTTCGCTACTAATTACTTCTAACAACGATATCTCAAAAACTATTCATCTGATTGATTTAGTGTAAAGAGCAATTTTAATCTGCATTAAATGACTAAGCTAACTAAAATATTCATTTGGATAAGGATTAATACCGAACTAAAGAAAATAACTTTGAAAATAACGTAATGTTTTTAATTAAAAATGTTAACATAAAAGTGGTTATTGTAAGTCAACCGTAAGAGATAGAGATATGCTATCGCGGACTTTTTTGTAGCATTTTTATAGATTTTGAATTCTCTAGTACATTACTTAACTGTATCTTTGCTAGTTTACGCGGCGTTCGCGTGGAAAGTTCCCATTTGGCGAGATTTTTTGCGACCTCTTCAACATTTGTCGCCGTATTTCAGCTAATTTACATAAAAGCATAATAAATTATATACCTAAACCTTCCTCAAGAATTACTCTTTCTATTGTTGAAAACCGTATAAAAATCCGTTCAGTAGTTTTCGAGTTTATCGCGTACAGACAGACAGGAGGACAGACAGGAGGACAGAAAGACGCGGCCGGGGGACTTATTTTTATAATAAGTATAGATAAAATATAAATTCACAGACACCGGCGAAATTACATAAATGGAAAACCTCTTTGGGCATTGAATTGAAACCTACTGATTTCATTTGTCATCTTCATTTTAAAGAGGAACATATAAAAATGTACGAAAAGTTTTACATAAAAGGAGAGCTCAAAATTTTTCGTACAGGGAAAAAAATACTCAAAGATGAGGCTGTACCAACGATCGAGCATCAGTTTATTCCCATACCAGGATATGAGCTCCTGGCATGTGATGTATACAAATCGGAAAAGCCAAACTTACATTGCAATGACTCTGAAGACGAACAGCAGTGTCAAGAACAAGAAAACAATATCGAGCAACAGAAAATAGTAGTGGAAGTTTCTAAAAGTTCAATAGATGTTAATGTAAAAACTGAACAAGATTTGAAAGAACCACTGTTAAGTCAACATGCACTCAATGATTTTAAAAGTCACCAGGATACCAAAGAAAGTACACAACTAGTGAGTTTTAGGGATAATATTCATAAACTTTCAATGCTGCCACCATTTTGGCTGTATATAGACAAACCAAATGGACTTGAATTTATGCGGATGGATCCAACAACTGGACAGATCAAGAACCATTTACGTTTAAATGAAGATACATCTATTACTGTAAGTATTCATTAATGTCCTGTAGGCAGTGGTAGCCACGTATCTTATGACGTATGTCACTTGTCTTACGGTGACAGAAACCTGCATGTCTGAGAGAACCTAACAAGCTTTCGGAAGACATGTGAAGTCCACCAACCCACACTTGGTCAGCGTGATGGACTGTGGTCTGATCCCTCTTGTATTGAGGGTAGGCCCGTGCCCAGCAGTGGGATGTTTAAAAGGGCTGAATACATACATTATTAATATCCATGTAAATATATCTGTTTTTTTTAACAATAATTACTATACAATTACAGGTTATTTTTCGTAACAATGAAGAATTGCCTCTAAACGATAAAATTAATTCATTTAGTAATGTCTCCAATTACTTGAAATCTGTAGAAAAATGGCCCTTATGCGTTGGCACTCAAATCGACAATAACAGGTAAATTTATTAATTTTTAGATAAATAGAGGCATGAGCTACTAAGAAAAGATTTAATACTAAAGATTTGTAATTTAAACATCAATTTCTTTAGTTAATGTATATAGTATATACTATACTAGCATCTCACCCTGGCTTTACTCGGGTTCATGCCCAGGTACGTTTTAACGGTTAGTATGGAATAGATAGACTATATATAGCCTATAGTCTTCCTCAATAAACAGGCTTTCTAATGCAATAAGAATTTTTAAAATCGGATTAGTAGTTCTTGAGATTAGCACGTTCAAACAAACAAACTCTGCCTCTTTTTAATATTATGTTATTATTGTTATTATGTATGTATATATTTATCTTATGTATGTATATATGTAAACATAGTTTATCATGCTTGTATATATTTAGTATTTTTTGCACCGTCCCATATACAGTTCCACTGAACCTTTCACCAAAGGCTGGCTGTAAGAGATTGCTCATAGCAATAAGACCACTTTTGGATGCTTTTTGTTTTTTTTTTCATCTTCTGTACTCTTCTTTTGTGTCTGCAATAAAGTATCTATCTATCAATTATCAGGTTTTCGAAAATTTGTAAAGGTGTGATTGTTGGTGATGATACTTATAAAAGAAATCAACTTTACCCAAGATGTAAATCTTGTCGAATTTTACGAAAACGCTTACAGAGCAGTAATTCGAGTTCTAACAGTTTGAGGAGAACGACAGCTAGAAAACAGCGTGCATCGAATCTCGTTAAAGAATGCAAACGTCTTAAAAGAATGGTAAGTTTTGTATATTACTAGCGACTCATCTTCGCTTCCGGTTCGTCCCTAGACAAAAACAAATCTATCTATTCCACGGGAATGGTTTATTTTTCCGGGGTTAAAATTTAAAAATATCCTGTGTGCTATTCCAGAGTATAATCCATCTCTGTGCGAATTTTTATCCAGATCCGTTAAGCCGCTATTATTCAAACTTTCGCATTTATAATATTTATGAGATGGCCAATTAAGTATTTGACGAATGTCTTTTTTATTGTCAAAATTGAAGCACCTCCTATATATTTGATATCTTTTCAGAAACATACGCGTTTGTCGTCAGACTACAATGAATGTATAACCAATGAAGATACCGCAGATAACATAGAAGCTATAGAAAATGCCTCAGATAATGAACAATTAGAATATATAGAAAGTGACTGTGATACAGAATTTATACTACCCGATATAGAATCTGAGGTGGACAAGTTAGATGAAGAAATAGAAGAAGATGAAATTGAGACAACAAAAGAAATCCAGGATCCAGACGATTTAGTCAATGAAATAATTATTGATGATAATGAAAATTACACAAAAATTAAAATGACTAAAATGGAGATGTTAGAGAGTTTAGAGCAAAGGAAATGTGTTGAAAGTTTTCTTGAAGCGGAGTTCAAATGTGAGTGGTGTGTTGAAGTGTATAAAGATGAAGTGGAACAACGTGTGCACATAAGTGAGGCTCATGTAAAAGTAAGTTATATTATTAACTAGGGACTCCCCTCGCTCTGCTCGGGTGCTACGTTTTAACATATAGTATAGATTTGTCAGAGATATTTTCCCGCAGTAAAAAAGATCCCATATGTTGACCTGGATAACCAGCTATTATCATACTAAATTTCATCAAAATCTGTCTAGTGCTTTTCTCGTGATGCGGTCAAGACAAACATACACACAAAAAAAATATTTTAAAAACTATAGATCTGGCCTCTCTCGATCTCTCGCGTTCAAAGATTCTGTTACATAGATAGATATGTTGGAATATTAACACACATCACCATCTAGTTCCATGGTAAGTTATAGGGCCTGTGTTATGGATACCAGATAGTTGAGACACTGCACATATATAACTTTAAATACATACATATTATAAATATATAAACAACCATGACTGGAGTACAGACATTCGTGCTCATCACACAAATGAATGCCCGCAGCGGCACTCAAACCCGTGATTGCTGGCGCAGCAAGTAGAGTCGCTACAAACCGAGCCAAACATGTTGTTAAATCATAAATAGATAGATAGACACAGGTAAAGCTAATAAAAGCGTGTTAAAAATAGAATGTGTTATCTTTTCTCGTCACTAGATGGCGTAGTTTATATTACATAAAAAATTGTCTTAACATGATCGAATACATATAAAATTTTGTACAAAGCATAAATAAAAAAAACCATGACAATCACAAAGAGATATAAATAACGCTATTATTATTAATGCGAAAGTCTGTGTGTGTATGTTTCTCACTCCTACACGTCGAGAAGGCTGGACTGATTTGAATGAAGTCCTGTAGTATCACACAGGCTACAGTTAGTAATCAAACTTGCCAATAGGTGGCACTACTTGTGTACAAAATATTCATAAATCTTTGATTGTTTCAGAAACCAAACCACATAAAATGCGACATATGCACGACGTACGTCAGGGAGAGATGGTTCCCGGAGCACAGGAGAGATCACTACCTCAAGTTTCATTGTCATCTCTGTGACTTTGTCGCGTACAACCTGTTGGTTATTTTGAGGCACTTGAAAATTGGTCATGCTGTTCGTAATTTGCCCGGTGAAATGAAAAAGGTGAGGGAAATTAAAAAAAGTATTAACTTTACAAATAAATAAAATTGAAGAGTCAATGTGTAATGTCAAAATAACACCTTTATGCTAAATGCATATGAAATTATTTACGCTACTTATACGAAAAAACACTATTTTTTAACTGTCTGTTTGCTGTTTCTTCCGACTAATCTCCAAAACGGCTGGACTAATGTTAACGGTACTTTCAGCCGTTTTGGAGAGAGACTGAGAGACAACAATTAAAAGAAATGTGTTTTTCTTATAAGCATATATAATTTCATACGCATTAAGTAAAAGGCTGTTGTTTCGACATTACACACAGACACTTCAATTGTATTCACCTACATATAGATTCCAGATATTCTCGTAAATGTAAGACAGCGTGTCGCCCCTCGTGTTCCAGCTGAGGAAGCGGTCGTATTTAAAGAGCCCCGGGCTGCGGCCGTGGGAGGCGGACGTGGCGCCCGACGCGCGCTCCACGCTCGGGTACAAGTGCGCCCACTGCGACGAGGTGTTCCCGTGAGTCTTGTGCTTATTATAATTATATAGAGACGGCGCCGTCTTGTGGCGTTTCTTATTACTAACTGTGGCCTATGTATATGTGTGTATTACTCCACGCCGTAGCCTATGTGTGGACCGAGTTTTCTCGGAATCTGTCCAGCATTTTCAGTGCATAAGTAAAATAACGTAATGTGTAGGTACAATATTTAAAGTTGCAATAACACGTTTTGTAATGACCCTAGGTATGTTTTTTTTTGCGCGGAATCCTAATTCTTTTTCTAAAATAAAAGTAGCCTAAGTTACTCTTTATAACATCAGCTATCACCAGTGAATGTCCCGTTAAAATTGGTGCAGCCGTTTAGGAGATTAGCCAGAACAAACAGACAGACCGACAAAAATTAAAAAAAATGTGTTTTTTTTAATAAGTATTGTGTATACTTTCATATGCATTTAGTAAAAAGTTTTTTTTTTATTGTTTATACTAGCGGCTCACCCTCGCTTCGCTCGGGTTCGTCGCTAGGTACGTTTTAAATAGATATAAAAAGAAAAAATCTTTCTTTCTCACATTTTAATTATATGTTTTAATACTTACCTATTCCGGACTAAGAGAAATCCAAAAATTAAAATATCATAAAAATTGGAACGCGGTCGAACGGGATAAAAAGTATCCTATGTCCTTCTCCTGGCTCTAAACTACCTCCCTGCCAATTTTCAGCTAAATCGGTTCAGCCGTTCTTGAGTTATAAGCGAAGTAACTAACACGACTTTCTTTTATATATATAGATTTTTTTCGTAATTTTTCATATAATAACTCTTTTCTTTTCTAGAACTAGAAACAAGAGATCCCTGCACATGCAGCGGTCACACAAAGACGGACACAAATCCTCTGTTTGCGGTAAAACTTTTGCTGGATCGTACAGTTCGAAGAATCATGAACAGTGAGTATTAAAAAAATAATGTTAAATGGTATACCAATCTAAAAAGGTGAGTTGCTAATTTTAAATATATATTTTTTTGTTGATTTATTTCAATTTTTGGTTGCCTGCCCCACGTTTCGAAAGTTTCACAGCAATCATGGAACCAAAAAAAATAAAATCTCGATTAATACCTAAAAGATAGTTAATTTCCCATTCCTCCGCAGCATCCACAAGGGCACAATGCCCAAACAGATCTGTCCAATATGCGGCAAGTCCATACGCCGCGACACCATGAAGTGCCACATGAAGGTCCACTCCCAGAGGGAGGCCGCGGTGTGCGCGCCCTGCGGCAAGACCTTCGTGAGCGACTTCGGCTATCAGAGGCATCTGAGGTTCAGCAAGCGGCATGGTGGCGACGATTTTAGGTAGGTTGTCTCGTATGTAACTAAATAATTTTAGCTAATGTTAACTAATTTTGACTAATATTAACTAATTTCAATGAATACTAACTAATTTTAACTAATTTCAATGAATACTGACTAATTTTAACTAAAACTAACTAATTTCAATTCACACTAACTAAATCCAACTAATTCGGTAGATGACATAGCGGTGATGCTTTTAAGTAGGTTGTCTCATATATAACTAAGTAATTATAGTTTCGTCTAATACTAAACAATTTTAATAAGAACTTATTTTATCGTAGTGAATATATATAGCTTAAGCTAAATTAAGTATTATTTGAAATTCTGTTTAAGATATGTAAAACTCTGTTTAACACAAGCTAAAGCGCAGCTTACTAAGATTCATTGTGCCCCAGGGAATGTTTTAATGTACCCCAGACCTGGGGCACATTGAAACAGAAGCAATATCTCAGGAATTAAAAATATATTTGGTTTAGGGTTGATTTTTGATCTCGTTTCTATGACTGATTTTTATATATTTATGTCAAGCATACATAATTTTCTTATTATATATTTCTTGAAGTATGTGTATGTATGTGTGTAATGTACGTATGTATGTTTATTTGTATATGTGTATATTTATATAATAATTGATGTTTGTAGTTTGTACCTACACCGCACCTCATTATTGGTTTATATTTTCTCACACACGAGGTTTCTGGTAGAAATCTCTTAAAGAGATGTTTTCTACTTTATATGTATTTTTTTGTGGTACATGAACAAATAAATAAAAAATTTGAAAGTTTGAAAATTTTGTTGAGTTTATGAGTACAGGTCTTTTTTTAAATGAAAATATATGTTTCACTGTGCCCCACTCTACCCTACTGTTCTTTTTTGTTCTAGAATACGATGTCCGATTTGCCTGAAAGGGTTTCGGGCGAATATGGACAGACGTGATCATGTGAACTACGCGCACAGAGGCATCACCATACATAAGTGTTCTATCTGTGATAAGGTAAGTCTAATTAATTTACACGTGTAAGTCGCTCCCGACTGGCATGAAAACTTGTATATGGCAGTCGGGAGATGGGCTTAGGTTTGTCGGGTATAAATGTTACTTAACACGAGATGGCCTGAAAATGGATGACTTGGAGACCGTTCGATATCATAGTTTTTTTTTAAATTGTAATAATTGTGTTTCTGTTGTAATTACAGGCGATCACCTACCGCATGCATTTTATGCTAATCTATACATATAATAAAATTCTGAGACGAATCTGTACATTAAATATTTTTTGGAAAATCTTATTGAAATAGTCATTATTATTGATACAGAGGCCGAATCTATACTTTTTAGAATTCTTGTCTGTCTATCTGTTTGGAAACGGCTCACGAGAGAACCGCTGGACAGATTTTGATGAAATTTGGTATGATGACAGCTGGTTATCCGAGTCAACATATAGGATAATTTTTACTGTGAGAAATCTATACTAAACGTTTAAACGTATTTAGGGAAGAACCCGAGCGGAGTGAGGGTGTCGTTAGTATACAAATATGTACTTTAAATTGCTGATATTATAATTTTAAATTTGTGTGGGCGTCTTTACCTGCCTTTTGTTTTTATTATATTATACAATTTTAGTACTAACATTAGCCTATGTGTTACTCCAGCTTATAATCTATCTTCGCATTAAATTTCATCCTAATAAGTCCAGACGTTTCAGTTTAAAGTAGTGACATACATACATACATACATACAAACATTCCCATTTACATCAGTAGTGTAGTTGTTCTGGTCCTTTTAATATCGCAGGTGATGTCGTCGGAGCGACTTCTGAAGCGCCATCTTAGGTACGCGCATTTGGGGGAGAAGAAGGACGTCTACAAAAGGACGTATTTGTGTCCCGTTTGTGGACACGTGTGTCGGGTGAGGGGTTGTTTTTATTTAATATTAATTATGTATCTCGATACATGAATACATTATAGTAGTAGCCTTTTTCCTAATGTCCCACAGCTGGGCGTGGGTTTCTAAGGTTTTGTTCTAGAGAGACGCTCCCGACTGGCATACACACTGTTGTACATATGACAATCGGGAGAGGGGTTTAAGGTTGTCGGGTATAACTGTAACTTGCCACGAAATGGCACTACAGTGCTTTAACTTTGAAACCGTTTAAAAAAATTTTTTTTGGAATCTTTACATTTGACAATATGAATTTTTATTCAATGGTACTTGGATATGATAGAGTTGTCTGTGGTCACGCAGTTAGGACTGTAATTGACTGCCTCGGTGGTGTAGGCGCTAGCATGTACGGCTTCACATCCGGAGGTACTGGGTTTGTGCCCCCGGACAAGTTTAGTTATTGAGTCTAGTTAAGAAAGTCTCATTAACAGCCCGGAGATGGGAAGTTGGTGGTGTTGCACCACCCCCGTGCTGAGCGAGCGCGTGTCGCGTCGCTCTTACACCTGATCTCTCACTGTCATGTCGAATTGTATACCCACTTGTGTATGAGAGTGACAGGGACAGAGAGTGCACTTTGTGTATCTCTCCCTCACACGCTACACTATAACATCTCCTGCAGTTGGCTAGTCTCAGTGAGGCCAGACATAAGTGTCACCAAATTTTATACATATTTATTATTTCTATTACAGGACAGCACTGCGCTAAGAGAACACGAGTCTCTACACACCGGTATAAAAACATTCACGTGTGAACTGTGCGATAAGAAGTTCAGGACTTGTAGCACTCTGCATAGACACAAGCGAGCCATACACAGGGTGGTGCCTAAACAAAAACTGTTGAAACACATTGAAATGGATAGCGGTGGGACGGAGGAGTAGTTGTGGGATTTTGTGTTTCATATTTGAATGATTTTTGAAGTAAAAACTTGTATAGGCAGGTTTGTTTGGATGGGAAGTAACTTCATGTGAGTCGTCATCGACATGGTCACGTGACGTGTTGACGCTAACACTCAGAGTGCCCATAGATGTCAGAACTAGATAGATGTGTACAGTTAATTTACACATTTTAATTTAACATCAAACAATTTGAATATCAAAAAGTAACAACTGTTTGTGTATAGTTTTAAGTTTTCACTTCTGTCGGCAGTCGTCATGACTGCTTTTTATAAAAAAAAATTGTTAATGGCGACCAGATTTATTACTGTCGAGTAAGAGTGTCAGAGAGTGAGTGAGTTTTAGTTTCAATTTAAAGTCCTTCAAAGTTTTTTCGACTTTGTAATTTCACTATCCCTTATAACCCTAAATATCGCCAGATTTGTTCACTAAGATATAATAAATAATAAATTAAAAACAATAATTAATTATTTATTTTCAAACCTCCAAACTTCATACCATATATTAAATCTTTGTGTACCTATCACTCTTAAGTTTTCAAATAAAAGTGTGTTACATTTTAACAGCAAGAGGGGAAAAATGAGGATGTAGTCTGGCATTGTAAAAAATGCCGCCTCGTTATCGAAATTTTGCATAAAATTGATAAAGTTTCGATAAAGTTTAATTTCTTTTAATTATATTTTTTTTGAAAAATGCAAAAAAAAATTGTATTCAGCCCTTTTTAACGTCCCACTGCTGGGTGTGGGCCTCCATTCAATACGAGGGGGATCAGGCATAGTCCACCACGCTGGCCAAGTGCGGGCGTACTAAGCATGTCTTTCGAAAACTTGCTAGGTTCTCTCAGACATGCAGGTTTCCTCACGATGCTCTCCTTCATCGTAAGGCAAGTGGTAATCATGTTAAAAATGATTAGCACACGAAAATATCAGAGGTGCGAGACCCGGGATTTGAACCCGCTTCACTCGGTTTCCCAAGCGAGCGCGTTACCACTGGGCTACCACTGCCTACCAAAAAAATTTACGCGTTTTTAATTTTTCTAAAAATTATCGGATTCACAGACACGAGACCTCCGAGTATATCTACAATATTATGTCGATGACAGAAGAATAAAATAATAACAAAAAAACATCGTAAATTTATAGTGACTTAAGTGTTTTAATACTTATTTTTTTTTATGTGTGTGTAAAAGGGGAACGTGATTAAAGATTTTTTTTCAATAATTTTGTATATTGTTAATAATTATTTATATATGTATATGTTGTGTTGTCAAATGTGACTGAAAAATTTGTTTTTAAAATTATAAATAAGTTTATGTATTGACAAAAAGTGTATTTTTATTACACTCTACAGCATATCAATGTTATTGAAACGTCAGAGTATTCGTTTATATGACAAGGTAATTTAACATTTATTACATTGTGGTAATAATAAAACAAAACACGCATTCAATTTATTACTATATACGTAACTAGAGACGTGACCTCGCTTCGTTACGTTAAGTTAAAACGATTTCTCAGAGATATTTTTCCGCAGTAAAGTGTCATATATGTTAACCTGGATAACCAGCTATCATCATACCAAATTTCATTATAATCTGTGCAATGGTTTTCTTCTGATGCGTTCCTTAACAGACAGACAAGAATTCTAAAAACTATAGATTCGACCTCTGTATCGATAATAATGACTATTTCAATAAGATTTCCCAAAAAAAATTTAATGTACAGATTCAACTCAGAATTTTATTATATGTATAGACTAAAGAATTTAATAAAAAATTGTTAGATTAAGATAACTACACAGCGGTAATAATAAAACTAAACATTAAAGCATTAAATTTATTGTTATTATCTTTATTCTTCATGACGATTATGTCTCCAAGTCCCATGTCTAGACATACACGAGTGCCCTATCTAGCCCCTTCGATAGACTATGAATTATTAAACTAATAATCTATACATATAATAAAATTGTAACTAAGTCGAATCTGTACATTAAATATTTTTTGAAAAATCCAATTGATATAGACATTATTATCGATACAGAGTCCGAATCTATAGTTCTTAGAATTTTAGTCTTCTCTGTCTGTGTTACCGCATCACGAGAAAACCACTGGACGGATTTTGATGAAATTTGATATGATGATAGCTGGTCATCCGGGTTATCTTTTTACACCGGGAAAATATCTCATTTCTGAGAAAAAGTACAAAAACTGCATTGTAAGAGTATTCTAATATGTAAAACCTAAGAATTTGGTTTTTGGTCATCTGAACGCGGGCGAAGCCGCGGGCAATGCTAGTATTGAAATGAAACAAGCATTAAGTCTATTATTTATTATCAATCCATAATAATATGTATCAATCGTGAGCCGCCCTCTGCCTCTGGCGGTGCTTGTGGCGCACGTGGCGCGACAGGCACGAGTGCCAGGCGAAGCGCGCGCCGCAGTGCGCGCAGGCGTGCGCCGCGCCGCCGTGCTGCCCCAGCATGTGGCTGCGGAGCTTCGCGTGGTTCTGGTTCACACTTACACGTTAGACACTTGGGCGTATGAGGTCGAAAGTTGCGTTGACACGCTGAAACTCTGCTTTGATGAAAAGTTTTTAATATAATATAATAAATATAAATATGTCAGGACATTAACACACAGCACCATCTAGTTCCATGGTAAGCTACGAGGCGTGTGTTATGGATACCGGATAGTTGATACATTATACATATATAACTTTTAAATACATACATATTATAAATATAAACACCCATCACTGGAGTACAAACATTCATGCTCATCACATAAATGAATGCCCCCAGCGGGACTCGAACCCGCGACCGCTGGCGCAGCAAGTAGGGTCACTACAAACTGAGCCAAACGTGTCGTCATTATGATCAATGTATTCATCAAAACTACTCTGTCAAAGCAGGCATTTTGACGTCGTTCAATCAAAGTTATCATCAAATCAAATGGGTCCGCTAGTTAATAAATAAATTTCAATAAGATTTTCCAAAAAATATTTAATGTATAGATTCGGCTTAGTTACAATTTTATTATATGTATAGATATAATTGATATCATATTTACTTACTTCGTAATGTAAATCTACTTACTACATGTAATTCAAGAACAAAGACTTTTAAACGGAGTCAAAGCCGGTTTATTCCATTTTTTTTTATTTCCGATAGCAATATATTACTCGTCAATAAATTAATAATATTTGTATTGATGTTTATTTATGTAAAAAAAATGAGAACTTGGAGCCGGAGCGTTTGTCAGAGTGAACTTTATGTCAAAGCAGACTTTGATTGTGTCAACGCGACTTTAACCCACTGACAGTTACTTTGGACAAAATGGCTATTAAATATTTTCATATATAATTCAAAACTTACATATAGTTTTTCATTTAACACTAACTTGAGTTTCAAAGGTTTCTTTGTGTTTATAGCTTATTTGTTTCAACTAAATTTGTTATAGACACTTAATATGTAACTATTTTTTCAAAAAGTAAATGTGGGTTAGGCCGTTTTTAAATAGTTTCAAAATTAAAAAAATATATAATTTAAATTTAATTTAAAAATCTAAAATTCCATACAAAAATAAAGAAAGTAAAACAAAACTTACAGGAAAAGGTTTCCCACAGTGATCGCACAGATGCTGCACAGTGTCCTTTCTGTGCACTTGCTTGTGCAAATACACAGAATTTGAAGTCTTGAATACCTGCACAGATATACATATATAAAATTTATACCCATACTTAATATTATAAATGTGAAAGTGGGTTTGTTTGTTTGTCCTTCTTTCACGTCGAAAAATAGTGACGGATTGGAGTGATTTTTTGTGTAGAGATAGTTGAAGGGCTGGAGAGTGACATAGACTACTTTTTACCGCGGGAGATTATCTTATTCCCACGGGAAAACATGTTATAATACAATCCAAAAAAATATGATCCTAGTAGTTTTAAGTTTGTTTATTTTGTGTCTCTTACACACAATAGTTTCTTCTTCTCTATCTTACAAAAATGTGTTTCTAACACATTTTCTCTGTCTCTCTCACACAAATATAGAAAATTAATCAATTCATATAAATTATCCCACTTACACTATCTCTTTGCTTCCCAATCTCAATCTCGCTTTCTTTCATAGATCTACTTTTTAGCACTACACAAGTTTTGCATGTGCTTCCAGTTGACATCTTTTCGCAGGCAGAAATTTTCTCAAACACATTGATACAAATCCTCTCTCTCTCTCTCTCATACACAGTGATAAACATTGTTTATGTATCTCTCTCACACAAATACACATAAAAATTAAAATTCATCAAAGCATATTATATAAATGCCTAATTTGTCGTGTACACATTGTCTCTCCCTTTCCCACTCTCTATCTTTCTCTCTAACGCAAACCCACTATTACCTACAGCTGTAGACGAAGTTCTACAAATGCCAAAAATATCATATATACAAATGCACATCATCTCTGTGTCACACACATATATACACATTCTTTCTCCGTCTCGCTCACACACCTACCTTATGACACTCGTCGCAGCTATACACGAAGTTCTTCAAATGCTCCCAGTTGATGTGATCTCGGAGACGGGACTTTGTTGGGAACCTTTTGCCGCAGTCGCTGCACATGAATCTGGAATATTGTATTCAGATCTTTTTAACGTCCCACTGCTGGGCGTGGGCCTCCCTTCAATACTCGGAACCAGGTCATAGTCCACCACGCTGGGCAAGTGCGGGCGGACTTCACATGTCTGCAGACAACTTGCTAGGTTCTCTCAGATATACAGGCTCCCTCACGATGTTCTCCTTCACCGTGAGACAAGTAGTCAACATTTTAGCAATGATTCGCACATAAACATATCAGAGGTGCGAGACCCGGGGTTTGAACCCGCTTCACTCATTTACCCAAGAATGCGCGTTACTACTGGGCTACCACTGCCTTAAATATTATTTTTTTATATTTTTATCTGCTTGTTTCTTTGTTTTACGTCTACTTAGGCAAGATAATAATAAGAAAGATATCGAAAAAAACGTGTGTATGTACGCACGTAAAAAGTTATACTTCTTTGGTGCAACAGAACAAAAATAGCTAAAGATTTCGTTCCGTATGTCACAACTCTGTGAAAGGAATGCAACTAGCTTCATCATGTCGCTTTTTGGCTGTCGGTGTGCGCGCGCATCATAAAAATTTTACTCTCATATTTTTCCAAACGTCTCGGAAACATGACAATTTTAGTTATTATAATGCCGATACTTATATTATCTATACAGATACATAAAACTGAAGTGTCTGTGTAATGTCAAAATAACAGCGCTTTACTAAATGCGTATGAAATTATATATGGTACTTGTAAGAAAAACACAATTTTCGAAAATTTTGTCGGTCTGTCTGTTTGTTTCGGCTAATCTCCGAAACAGATAGTAATAATTTCAAATAACGACCATTCACTTACTTGAAATCATTCTCGGATACATGTTTCTTGCTTATTTTCATGTGCTGTTGATACGTAGCTATCGATGAGAACGTTTTGTTACACGGTTTACAAACTAAGTCGCCTTTTGCCCTGGAAAAAAATTTGTTCGTCACTCAATAACAAGAACGATAGATAGATAGAGTTTGATTGGCATAGTGATGGTTCCGTGGCATGAATAAATTTATGATTGTAAAAAAAAAAAATATAATTTCAAAAAAAAAATTATTGCAAAACAAATCCTTAATTTAGTGAAGTTTTCAGATTTTTCTCTTTACTTGTGCTATATAATACACTAGCGACTCACGCTCGCTCCGCTCGTGTTCGTCACTACTTACATTTTAACGGTTACTATAGATCTCTCAGAGTTTTCCCGCAGTAAAAAGTATCCTATATGTTGACCCGGATAAACAAACAGATACAATCATACCAAATGCCAACAAAATCTGCCCAATAATTTTGTTGTGATGCGTTCCCAGACAGACAGAGAGACAAAAATTCTAAAAACTATAGATTTGGCCTCTGTATCGATAATAATGACTAATTTCAATAAGATTTTCCAATAAATATATAATCGCTCAAATTTTCAAACGAGCGGTCATTCGGTGAGGACATTTATTTGTCGCTGATTGTGTATCTAGTACTATTTTCATTGATGTATGGGACCCTAAAAAAATTAACAAAATATATTCCCATCGGTTTAAAAAAAAAAACAACTCACTTAGCAGCGTGACTGTGCAAATGCCTCAACAAATTTCCTCTCCAAAGGAACCTTTTATCGCACTGAGTGCACGCGAACTGATGACGGGACTTGTTGACTGTCGACAGTATCTCTTGGTGTGCTTTACGTTTGTCAGTCGTTGTCAGATCTGGAATGGTTTCTGTCAGTTTTCTGATGGGATAAAAAGTATAATAATATAAGTTATAAATAATTTCATTTTTAATATTACTTTATTCATTAAAATAAGCTGTTTTTCTTTCATTTTAGACTTCTACCCTTTGATGAGATTAAGTGAGATTTGCTGGGACCCCTCTTGCCCTCACGTGAAATTTATGCTACAGTTGTTGAAGTACTACATTTATTTTTACTTTTTTGTTATCCGTATAATATACATGCGATTTGATATATATGAGATTTGATGAGATTTTACTAGAATCCCCTCTCCCTCCTCAATTTTGGGTTCTTGTAATTAATGAACGGCCCCTTAAGGCTTTTGAAATAATTTTTATTTTTTTAATGCGACAGCCCTTAAGGTATAATGTGTTGTTTTTAAATAACCATTATTCACCTAGTGGTCAAAATTCGATCGCAATCATCATCTTAATCTATCTCCTAAAAAAACTAACAATTTTATATATATATATTTTTTAAACTCAATAGCTACTGAGCAAAAAAAATACAAAGAAAATCGGTTGACAAACAGACGAGAAAAAGGTACTAAACGGTTTAGTCTTTGCTTATTTATCATAATATTAATATCATCGTTTTGTATAGTAATATAAAGATAGTGATAGTAATAATTTAATGATAGTGATAGTGATGAAATAGTGATAGTGATCATGCTTACCTTAATTTAAGCTGTATTTGATGTTTCGAACTTGTCCTCACATGTTTTTGTAGGTTTGAAGTAGTTGTAAATGATATCCTATAAAAAATAGTATTAATATAATATCTTCAATATAAACTTTGCCATCCCTGTTTCTTCTAAAACAGAGCCGGATTTAGGTCACAGGTGCGTTACGGACTGAAGATATAATCTATCTATATCAATACCCTTATTTACACAGATAAACACACACGTGTGCTATGAATAAATATGTTGGGACATTAACACACAACAACATCTAGTTCCATGGTAAGCTACGAGGCTTGTGTTATGGATACCGGATAGTTGATACACTACACATATATAACATTAAATACATACATATATCATAAATATAAACACCCATGACTGGAATACAAGCATTCGTGCTCATCACACAAATGAATGTCCCCAGCGGGACTCGAACGCGCGACCGCTGGCACAGCAAGTCAGCATTACAAAGTGAACCAAACGTATCGTCGAATCGTGAATGTCTTTGTTCTTAACACTTAATCAATATTACTAAAAATAATTACACTGCCATTCGATAGATGGCGTTGTACTTATATCTACGATACTGAATTTCACACAAACACACATACACACACCCAGCGCTGGATTTACACTAGGGGCACATAAATTCGCAGGGCGGAAAAAAAACTTTCTTCGCGTTAACGAAAATGCTTTTTTTTTTATTTTCCAAAAAATGAAAAATAAAAAAAGACCAACTAGTAGGTACATTTTTCGAAAATTTGATATCGTTTATAAAATATTTTTTTGCATTTTTCAAAAAAAAACTTTACTCATTTTATGCAAAATTTCGATAATAGGGCGGCATTTTCTTTTTTACACTCAGGGGCGGTAAGGTTGAATCCAACGCTGCACACACACACACAACAAACTAAATACCTCCTCCGTTTTCAAAGTCGGTAAAACGCAATCTCACCTGCAAGGGGCACAATACGGCTTTCTCTTCTCACCGGCCTCGATCCTGTGCGTTTCCAAATGTTTTCTTAGAGACGTCCTCCATTTAAATGTCTTCCCACAAAACTCACATGGGAATATTTGCTCTTGGGTACTGAAAGTAACAAAATCCATACTAATATTATAAATGTGAAAGTGTGTTAGTTTATCTGTTTGTCGTTCTTTCACGTCGAAACGGAGAGACGGATTGGCGTGTTTTTTTGTGTGGAGATAGCTGGAGGGCTGGAGAGTGATATAGGCTGCTATTTACCGCGAGAGATTATCTTATTCCCACGGGAAAACACGTTATAAGACCTACAACAACTCATCATACCTATGTATATATAATACTAGCATTGCCCGCGGCTCCGCCCGCGTTCAGATGACCAAAAACCAAATTCTTAGATTTTACATATTAGTATACTCTTACAATGCAGTTTTTGTATTTTCTCTCAGAAATAAGGTATTTTCCCGCGGTAAAAAGTATCCTATATGTTGACCCGGATAACCAGCTACCATCATACCAAATTTCATCAAAATCCCTCTAGTGGTTTTTCCGTGATGCGGTAACAGACAGACAGACAAAAATTCTAAAAACTATAGCTTCTTCCTCTGTATCGATCATAATGTCTATTGCAATAAGATTTTCCACAAAATATTTAATGTACAGATTCGGCTTAGTTACAATTTTATTATATGTATAGATATACTCTATCTATTCCATAATAACCGTTAAAACATACCTATAAATGCAAAATGCTTAACAGATTTGACTGATATCTAAAGTACTACTGATGGCTAAAGTCATAGATAAAAAATATTGGGATACAATAATTAAAATAATACATACCTTATAGTTTGATCATTTTTATTCTCATTTTGTTCATCATTTTCATTTTTTTTCTCAAAATCATAATCTACATTAGTCCTGTGGGTCATAAAAAAAGCTGGAATTATAATATACTCAATATTTTTTTTATAATGCTAGTGGCTCACTCTCGCTTTGCTTGGAATCGCCTGTAGAAAAAAACAAATCTATCCCGCGGGAAACGTGCATTTTTCCGGGATAAAAAGTAGCCTATGTGCTATTCTGATGTATGAGCTATAATATTGTAAAGTTTCATTAAAATCCATTCAGTAGTTTTTCGTGAAAGAGTAACAAACATCCATACATCTATACATCTTCACAAACTTTCGCATTTATAATATTAGTAGGATAATTATTATAATTTTTTTAATCCATACATTTTATCTATACTAATATTATAAAGAGAAAAGATTTTTTTGTTTGTATCAAATGAGCTCCGAAACTACTAAACCGATTTAGACGAAATCTGGTATGAACGATCAGAAGGACATAGGATAGATTTATCCTGGAAATCTTCCCTTAAGGGGGTGAAAATGGGGATGAAAATTTGTACAGGTTAGCAAACTAGGGGGAAACGAAGCATAGTTACCAACTCGAAGAACCGAGGGAAGCGAAGGTGAGTCGCTTGTTTATAGTAAGGAAAATACAAATAGAAACTTAATGAAACAGGAAACACAGTAACAGCTTTAAGAGAACTCTTGCATGGGATTGTGTATCTAGTACTTTTTAAAAGTGTTTTCTAATACACATTACTCACCCAAAGCAATGAACAATATTATAATGCTTCAAAACAGCTCTCTTATTAACAAATCTCTCTGAACACACATTACACTGATATCTGTGTGTATGTTTGTGTGTATGATAGTTGTAGGAAACCTCTGTCGAGAACGAACATTCGCATATTGAGCATTTATATTTTGATGAATGCTGAAAATTAAAAAAAAATAGACTAGATATAGAATAAGTTTTAATTGTTTTGAGTGGAACCCTAATTCTTTTTCTAAAATAAAAGTAGTCTAAGTTACTCTTTATAACATCATATATCTGCCAGTGAAAGTGCCGTCTAAATTAGTCCAGCCATTTTGGTGATTACCATATGTTGGGATATTAACACACAGCACCATCTAGTAGTGGTAGTAATTTAAATACATATTTATTATAAAATATATAAACACTCATGACTCGAGTACAAACATTCGTGTTCATCACACAAATGAATTCCCCCAGCGGGACTCAAACCCGCGACCACTGGCACAGCATGTAGGTTAACTACAATCTGAGCCAAACTTGTCTTATATTTAGATTGATGGCTTACCATTTCATGTTTAATTCTAATATGGTCACTTAAATCATCAGCGTTTGGAAACGACATAATACATTTCTCACATCTAAACATTGCATTTATATAATCTTCTTTCATAGAGAATATTCTTCGTTCTTCTTCTATTTCCGCTTGATTTAATTCAATTTCTATATATTCAGAGTCACTTTTTTGTGTTTTTACACCATTTTTCCTTTTTTTCTTTTTAATTTTTATCAATGGTTCATCATCGGAAAATTCTCTTTCATCTTCTATTGGATTATATTCTTCTATTTCAGTCTGTATTATGTCTATTATAGTATCTTCATTATCTGTAGGAGTTTCCGGTGTACATAAGTTATAAAGTTGTTTTGTTTGCAGTCTTGGAAGAGGATAGGTATATTTAAAATTCTAGAAAAAAAGTACTCTTTAATATATATACATATGTAATATGTTCTATTAAGTATAGCAGCTACTACTTTCAAAATATTTTTGAAGTGAAACTTCATTGCACACATGAGAGTAAAATTTCAAGCAATGACGCTTACATCATACATCCTATCTTATGTAAATCCTTCAAATATTACTCCTAAGCCCTTTGAATACCCACGTAACTCACTTTTTTCCTCATTCTCTTATATCTATCCTTTATTATTAATTTATTAATCTTACATATTTGAAATATAAATAGCCAATGAAGCTTCCTTCTACCATGTTTCCATAGAAACTTGATTTCTTTTGTATAATTATTTATGATAATGTATGTAATTAAGTTTGAATAAATTTTTAAGCATCGTAACAATAAATAAAAGTAAAAAGTAAATATTGGAGTAGAGTATAAAAAGATTACACCTTAAAACATGAAAAAAAGCATTTTTTTAACAAAATTACTCTTTGTATTAGAAAATGTACATACCTAAGTATAATAAAACTAACCTCTAAAGCATAATCGTAGAAACATTTATAGGAAGTTCGCACTTGCAGTTTAAATTTTGTGAATTTTTTAAGTAATGCCGCACATTCATAGCACAAAAACAACAACGTGTTTGTATGTAACATCTGTAATTATACATTAATATAACATTAAAACAACACTGAAATACATTCTTAAGTTTCCCGTCTTAAAAACATGACAAAAGAATTGAAAATACATTTTATAGCGTGATATTTACCGGTATCTCACTTATTATTTGTGAAAAGCACTTTATATCGTATTCATAATCTATTTTAATCATTTTGCGGCCATAATGAAGGCAGCCACAACATAGTTTAGACGTTAAAGAATCCATTTAAGATATACAATTTTTTTCATTATAATTTTTATTGATTATTTTTGTGTGAATTCGTTTGAAAATTGTTTTGTTTGGGTCAATGGGAATGGACGCTTTATGCTTTTATTTATCGATACCACAGAAACAGATAGCTAATGTCATATGTCATTTAATAGCGTACTCGTATTACGTATAATACAACGTATTACGTATAATAAAATTTAAATTTGAAAATTTAGAATTATTTATTTTATTTATATTAAATAAAAGTTTAATTATACCAATAAATTAAAATATATTTATATTTTTTTACTCCAAATCATATATTTTTAGAAACGATTGAACAATGTTCAAAGAATAAACAAAACACTAATATTTATTTCATTACACGCTCTACACTCACGCTTAACAAAATGTGATCCGTCATTTAAATAACTGATTTGTGTAACGGAACGTACTTAGTAATGGAGTCGTGAATTTGTTTCTTTAAAAAAATATTTTTGGAACAGCTATAATTTAGAAAAAATGACTGAATTCTTACAGTTAACTTTACCAGATTACAGTTTAAACGATGATGCGACAAAAGTAACTCAAGATAATCTTTGCATTTGCTGTTTAAGCAAAAATGTTTCACTAATTAATTTAACAAATTGTAAACATCTTCACATTTTTGATGTTTTATTGGATATTAAGGTAAATTTTGAACATTTTATTCATTACATATTTATACTAAAATATTATAATTGTTATCATGAATCGCTCATTTAACAACTATAGTAGTCATTTTTTATATTGGTATCGTGGCGTAAAATGGCGCGTGGTGGTAAATATTTGCTATATGACTCAAATAGGTAAATAATGTAAATATATTTAAAATTAGATATATAAATGTATTTCAATCCAGTTATTTTTTAGAATAATTTGAAGTACATTATTGTATTTATTTTATTACATAATAAAAATATCTTAATTATAACAAAAATAAAATATTACTTTTATTTAAAGAACCAATATATGTTGAAAAAAGAATTAATTCTTAAAGAATACAGTGTTTTTTCTTTATATTTAATAAGTTTGACATTCATTTTATAACTTAAAATTTTAAATTATATAGAGAAATACTAAACAAATGTAGGTACTATTTATTTATTTATGTTTTCAGATACAAATGCATGATAACTTCATCTGTTATTCATGTCATAATATACTAAAAAAATTAGAAGACTTCAAGATACAAGTACAACAAAGTATTAATATATTAACAAATAATGTAAGTATTTCTTCAAAAGGCTATAATTTTTTGGTATATTTTTAAACAAAAAGATAAAAAATTGTTTTGAATAAATTCTAGACTTATAACAAAGATTGATATAAAACGTAAGGAATTATAAAAAATAAAAATAGAAATTTTGTTAATAAAAATGCATTTCTTTTAGCTTTTGTTTTTGATATTGTCACTAGTTTTTTTTTCTATTGCTGTCATTTTCATTCAAATATGTATTTACATATCATATTTATTAAACCTTATTAATATGATTGATTTTTGACAGGCAACATCTATAAAAACACTGAAACCACATCAAAACTTGATATTCTCACAAATCGAAATAAATTCAACAATAAATTCAGAACCAATACAATTTCAAGTGAAAGACAATTCCAATAAAACATTAGATCTGAAATTAGAATGCGAGACCGAAATCAAAATAGAGCATGAAAGTTCAGATTTTGAAGATATACCGTTGGTTGAAATTAAAAATAAAAGATATAAGAAGATAAAAGAAAATAGAACACTATTACAAAAGAAATATGATGGAAAAATAAAAATAACTGTTCTAAGTATGGAGGAAATGTTGGCAGATAGAAAGCAGGAAGCGTTGAAAAAGAGTTTTGTTAATTTGCCATACAAGTGTGAATATTGTATTACTGCTTTCGACCATGAACTGACTTACAAGGACCATATGGAGAAACGACATGAAAAAGTAAGATGTTATATATTTGGCTCAGTCTGTGGGACCTTACTTGCTGTGCCGCGGTTGCGGGTTTGAGTCCCGCTGGGGGCATTCATTTGTGTGATGAGCACGAATGTTTGTACTCCAGTCGTGTTTGTTTATTTTTATATCATGTATGTATTTAAAGTTATATATGTGTAGTGTATCAACTATCTGGTATCCATAACACAAGCCTCGTAGCTTACCGTACAACTAGATGGTGCTGTGTGGTAATGTGACAACATATTTATTTATTTATATCAGGCTATACTTTCAAATACTGAGTAGGTTCTATCAAACATACAGGTTTTAATATTAAAAATGATGCACATATGAGAATAACAGACATGCGAGACCCAAGACCTTCTTTATCTATATATATATATATATATAATAATATATAATAATATATAATATATATATATATATATATATATATATATATATATATATATATATATAATTGAAATCTGCTCCACTTCATAGATATAGTGTAACAAACGGTTCCAATTAGGGGATTTTTAATTTTTCAATAAATTTGTAACAACTAAAATGATTTATTTAATTACTTTGTATTTAAGAATTCATGGCCAAATATAGCGACTTAAAATCAATACTTCGCCATTTATTTTCCATATACATATAAGTAATAATTCAAAATGTTATGTATCAAAGAAATACTGGCCAAGTTCTTTCTTGCAATTTATATGAATGATATTTAAGTTGTCATTGTTAAAAAAAAAAAAACAAAAAAATGATGGCCAAGTATAGTTTTGTTTTATTTAAATATTCCATTTATTTTCAAATTACCTTCGCTTTGATCGGGTGCAAACGTCCAAAGATTTTTTTGCGCCGGAAACCTTCTCATGGGGTATACAGAATAACCCACCAGAGTTTCATCACAATCGGATCAATCATTTGGGAACGCATAGAGGACACACATACGAACATTCATTTTTATTTATATAAATAAAAGATGATAAGAAAAATATTATTTTAATTTTTAGAAAAATGGTGGCTATACATGTAAGATTTGTAAATCAATTCTAAGCACGAAGTCTTCGTATGATGAACATTACAAAAGACATTTTAGGCGGTAAGACATTTTAATTATTATCTGTACATATTTAAACAAAATAATTGATTGTAATATAACATTTCGCACTTTTTTTTCAAAACAACTGGAAATCAGATTTGATAATTCAATTTTTTCTTCCTTGTCGTTACACTTTTTTTGATTCATTTGTTTTTTTTTTAATTTGAACTAAAAAAAAAAAAAAAAAAATATTTGAATATATGTGTTTCTGAAGACCAAAAGAACGGGTGACGGCTAGTATTTGTTTTTTAGGTACGAATGCATTGAATGCGGTAAAAGAAATAACAATGTTTATTCTGTTTTGAAACACTACAACGAGAACCATGGGAAAATAGGGACTCAATTCGCTTGTAATCTATGCGATTTCACCACTGAGTAAGTTTTACTAGGGACTTCCCTAACTCCTAAGTCACTTTTCTATACTTAATATTATAAAGAGGCTGTGTTTGTTTGTTTGTTTGTTTGTTTGTTTGTTTGAACTGGCTAATCTTGGGAAGTACTAATCCGATTTAAAAAGATCTTCATTAGATAGCCCGTTTATTGAGGAAGGCTATAGTCTACTTACACTTATGTCATACAATATATAGTCTATCTATTCCACACTAACCGTTAAGACGCACATCGGGACGGGCCCGAGCGAAGCGAGGGTGAGTCGCTGTGTATATATAATATCACGAGCGACGCCCGTCGCTTCGCTCGGGTTTAGGTACGTTTTAACTGTTAGTATAGAATACACTTTATATATGTACATTGTACATACTTTAAAAAACTTGAAAAATACTTTAAATCACCCCCTATTATAACTTAATTGGTCAAAAACGCTGAAACATTCTTTATTTTTAACAAAAATTATAGGATATAACGGTTTTAAAATACAACTACCAACATTCAACCCCTATTTTACTCCTTTCAAGTTTCATTTCTGCAAAAAAATGTAAGACCCTTCTCCAAGGTCCCATCCATCTTTATACCAAAATTCATCCAAATTGGTTGAGCAGATAAAGCGTGAAAAGTTAACAGACAGACAGAGTTACTTTCGCATTTATAATATTAGTATCGATTTGATTGTAGATCTCATAGAGTATATCGCTACCATCAAGAGAAACACCGTAAAGCCAAAGTGGAGTGCGACAAATGTGGTAACACTTTCGTCAACAATAACGGCCTAAGGAATCATATGTTGTGAGTGTTTTAGTTCATTCAATTTTAAAACGTACAGAAACACTAAAAGCTATTTGGATTTTTATATATAACACTTTCTTCAATTCAATATTATACACTTTAAATTTTAAATGAAATTGTCTTTTGGGTTTTTTTTTCGGATATACAAAAATATGGTTTTTTAGCGTCCCTACCGCAAACAGAAAAAGGAGCCCTTATAGGGTTACTTCGTTGTCGGTTCGTCTCCCTGTTAAGAACATTTTTCTCAGGAATGCGTGGAGGTATCAAGTTGAAATTAATATGAAATGCTCAGATTTGCAATTTCTTGGAGCTGCAAAATGTACAAACTTTAAAGTCGACGTAATCAAAAGATACGGCCGTGTATGTTGCATATTTGGACACTTGCAAGGGGATCAAAACCTATAGGGTACTTCCCGTTGACGTAGAATCCTGAAATTTGGCCAAAAGCCAGCAAGCAAAAATACCAAAAATATTTTGTAGCACAAGTAAAGGAAAAAATCCGAAAACTGTTATATACAGTTATACATCACAAAAATATTGCCATTAAGAACTTATTTTAATGTTTCATGCTACAGAACCCGCGATGTACAAATCAGACTCGCACTTGTTATGTAGATTTGCTTTAAGTATATTTTTTTAAATTATGTGCAACTAGCGACTCACCATTGCTTTGCTCGGATTCGTCCCTATTTTGCTTCCTCATATAAAAATTTAATCTCCATTTTCCTCCTCTTAAGGGATGATTTCCTGGATAAAAATATCTATCCTATCCTATATCCGTTGCAGGGTCACAAACTATCTTCTTACCAAATTTCATTTAAATCGGTTAAATACATCCAGAGATTACCTCCTACAACGTCACAAACTCACAAACTTTACCTCTTTATAATATTAGTATAGATAAGCTCATTTAATCATTAATTCATTTCAGTACCGTTCACGGTCAGTCCAGTAGAGTATACTCGTGTGACCAATGCGGTAAAATATACCGTGCCAAGTCTGGTCTTACCGCACACTTGGCGAAACACGCGCCAAGTACGCCCGCGTACTGTGTGCCTTGTGACACACATTTTAGAAACGAAATTGGCTTGAAACATCATTTGAAAACGCACTCGAAACATATTTCTGATAGCGATAAACGGTATGTATTGTTTAGAACAAGCGATTTCACCTCGCTTCGTTTGTTGTATTTAGGCGCTTAATAATCTATGTGTTACTCCAGCTCATAGCCTATTTTTTACTAAGTTTTATCAAAATCTGTTCAGCCGTTTTAGCTTGAAGGTTTCACACAAACAAACTTTAGCAATAGTACCACGATTATAAACTGACGACACGTTTGGCTCAGTTTGTAGTGACCCCAATTGCTGTGCCAGCGTTTGCGGGTTCGAGTCCCGCTGGCATTAATTTGTGTGATGAGCACGAATGTTCGTACTCCAGTCATGGGTTTTTATTAGGGTAGAGTGAAAAAAAACTTTTGTTTTTTTTTTTTAGATTTGGAATAGAATATGTACCTTTGTTACCTGTACCTTATAAAAAACAAAATTATTGAAATAAAAATAATTTTTTACTCAACATTTTGAGGTAGCCCACTGATTTTTAATATAAATATAATTCATTTGTATTTTTGGTTTGAATGAACAAGATTTTTTTCACGTGATCCTTAAAAACATTCAAGAATTGACGAATATAGTCATTTTCCACTCAACTTTTACTACTAACTTTTACCCCCTTTGGTAGGTACTTATATAATACTTGAATGGCCCCAAAGCATTCGAAACGTCGAGTGCCAAATATCAAAATAAATCTACGAAAAATAAAAATAAAGTTTCCTTTAAAATATCAAATATTCGCGTAAATCTAAGGAAATATTTTATTTTTTCATAGATTTGTTTGCAACGAATGCGGCGCCAAGTTCTTATTGAAAAGCTATTTGCAAGAACATATTGATTGGACGCATTTGAATAAAAGCAAACACGCCTGCAACAAATGTCCTAAAGTGAGTATCTACTTATTTTTTTTAATTTTTAACCGACTTTACCATAATGGTATTATTTTGTTTTTCTATATCTGTACTAATGTATAATGCTGAAGGTTGTTTGTTTGTTGGTTTGAACGCGTCAATCTCTGTGTCTATTGGTTTGATTAGAAACATTTTTTTTTGCATTTTTAGCCTACTAGCGACTTAACCTGCCGAAATTTGTTTGTTTGTTTGGATGTGCAAGTCTCTGTGTCTAGTGGTTTGATTAGGAAAATTCTTTTGTGCATTTTATAGCTTACTAGAATATACCCTCTTTTGCTCGGGTGTGTCCCTTGGTATGTTTTTTTTTTTTTTTTTGAGAGGAATCTTAATTTTTTTTCTGACATAAAAGCAGCCTAAGTTATTCCTTATAATATCAGCTATCTGTCAGTGAAAGTGCCGTTAAAATCGGTCCAGCCATTTTGGAGATTAGCTGGACCAAACAGACAGATAGAGAGATTTTTTTCATATAATCACCGTATATAATTTCATATGCATTTAGTAAAAAGCTGCTATTTTGACATTACACACAGACAATACAATTTTATTTATATGTATAGTTGATATATTTTCTTAACACCAATTTTCTTAACTTTACTGATTATTATAAAATCAGCCATTAAGTAGTGGTTTTGTATTAATTGAGTTCATAGATTTAGTGTATATGTTTTGTCAAAGAAATTAAAAAAAACAGTCACGAGGACCGCCGACAGAAGTGAAAACTTAAAACTATAAACAAACAGCTGTTATTTTTGGATATTCAAATTAATTCTTAAATTAAAATTTGTAAATTAAAACTGTTCACATTTATCTGGTTTCGACATCTATCGGCACTCTGAGTGTTAGCGTCAACACGTCACGTGACCATGTCGATGACGACTCACATGAATTTACTCCTCATACAAACAAATCTGCCTATACAAGTATTCACTTCAAAAAACTAAAGAATTCGATTACTAACCGAATTTCAAATATCCAAACTCTTTGTATGAGAAGGGTGTCCATATTTTGTGTTTTGTGTTGCAGGTATTCAAAAATAAGTCTTGTTTAAATAAACATAGAGACTTTGTACATGAAAAGAAAAGGCTTCCAAGAAACAAAATATGTGATTATTGTGGAAGGGGCTTTACTGTAAGTATATATGTTTATAGCTTTCAGATTTTTTTATCGACTTTGAAAAATGTTATTAATTCAGATTTTTATCCGACTGTGGTGTGTCATAAAGGAGGGTTATGTGTTTGATTTGTGTTTATGTATGTATGTCTGAATCTGATTTTATGTTTCATTGTAATTTATAAACGGCTTAACCGGTTTTGATGTATGTCGTGTGTAAATGTCCGAGACTCCGAGTGTACTAGTGTCCGAGTGTCCGGAAGTCTTGGTCAGGGATGTTGCGGATGCGGATTTTTTTAGTGCTCACATCTGCGGATGCGGATTTAGATTTTTTCCAAGAAATTATTGGGTGCAGAAATAAAATAACAAGAATCGTATTTTTTTAATGTTTTTATTAATTAGTAGTAGAAATTTAAAACAATGGAGCATATACTTACACACACATCGACTCTGCGCGTGCGTGTGTATGTGTGTGTGTATATGTGTGTGCATATTACACGTGAGTAAAGCCCGCTCCACATTCACGTGAGGTCCTCGCCGGTAATCTCGGCAAGAATCTCAGCGACAATCTCGACGAGAACTTCTTTGGGTACACACTCGCAAGGTTCTTAATACAGTTCTCACGCTCGATGACGATGGACGCAGAAGTAACTGCTGCGATAAGTTTATTGCTATGCGAATTTGCATATTATAATTACGCTTATATTAAAGATAAAAAACAAACACGCACAACTGTTCTAATCGGCGAGTCGCTCGCTACTGAGAAACATGCGAGTGTGGAGTCAATACAAGTTCTGGTCTGTTCTTGCGTTCTTAGTTTTTTTATCTCGCGTCAAAAAAACCGACAAAATTCAGAGAGCAAGACGAGAATCTGCGAAGATTGTCAATCGGTTCCACATTCACGTTTTTCGTGTTTTTTTTTCGCTTTCTCGCGTGAGTGTGGAGCGCGCATAACAAGTGGTGCTAACTGACCAACCGCGGGCAGTCGCTCAGCATCCTGCAGGCGCACGTGCGCACGCACACCGGCGAGCGGCCGCTGCGCTGCGCGCGCTGCGCCGCCGCCTTCGCGCACCCCGCCGCGCTCTACACGCACGGGAAGCTCGTGCACGGCAAGTAGTGTTGTGACACTCATATATGATGCAAATAAAAGCGTTTATAACAAACCGGTTTTTTTCCTTTTTTTCTCTCCTCCTGTCTTCCCCATAGAACATCAAACATTTTTTACATAAAACAAAATAACGAGAAGCTCGTGCACGGCAAATAGTGTCTGTGCGATTTCTGAGTCATACGCAGGGTTCCCAGATAACAGTCGTTGATTTACCCGACCAATAAACTTCAAAATACCCGAAAATGGTTTTTTATGTAATTTATTCATGTTTTATATAGAACAAAGAAGGTTCTAATGTTAGAGAAAGAGTTCATTGTAATCAGTTCTCAATTAAGCTTTAAATTATTAAATCAAACATAAAAAAAAAACGAATTAATCAGCTAAACTAAAATACCTGCTTTGACCCTGCTCAATGCAAATGACCATCAAAATTACCCGTTATCAAAAATCGCCTAAAATTACCCGCTTTTCAGGTAATTTACCCCTCAATTGGCATGGTGGAATGATCTTTATATGTGGTGGGAATTGTAGATGTGTTGTTAGAAATTTTGTATGAATCACATAATATTCGTTTTATTTAGCTGTGCAAGTTGACCCAAATTGAAGTTTGTTTTATGATATTTTTAGTCTGTTATCTAGAATTGTTGATTTTTGGTTCTCGACGTTTTGAATACTTTCGAATCATGGTCACGGGAGAGATGTTTAAAATTAAAATGAACGAATAAAAAGGTACTCTAGTGCTAATTTTGTTTTTTTTTTAAGATCATTTTGTAATTTTGTAGGTAGACACTAACAACTATATACTATACTAGCATTGCCCGCGGCCCCGCCCGCGTTCAGATGACCAAAAACCAAATTCTTAGGTTTTACATATTAGTATACTCTTACATTGCAGTTTTTGTATTTTTTTCTCAGAAATGAGAAATTTCCCCGATGTAAAAAGTATCATATATATTGACCCGGATAGCCAGCTACCATCATACCAAATTTCATCAAAATCCCTCCAGTGGTTTTTCCGTGATGCGGTAACACACAGACAGACAAAAATTCTAAAAAATATAGATTCGGCATCTGTATCGATAATAATGTCTATTTCAATAAGATTTTCCAAAAAAAAAATCTACAGATTCGGCTTGGTTACAATTTTATTATATGTATAGATAACCTTTGATGCGTCTAAATCTTTAGTGTGTCCTGTCTCGAGACTCGAATCCAGGACCTCCAGATTATACCGCCGTACATGGTCACTAGATGAACGATAATATACTGCCTGTATATCGAAGAAATAAACATCAACACTTAATATATAGGGGTTATACTTTTTCTCTGGTGTGAATAGAAAACAAAGTTTATTAAAAAATAAATAATTTTATTTATTTTTTATTAAACCTAACTTATTTAACATTAACAATTACATAACTTATGTAACATTAACAATTAATAACATCGTGTACTAATAAAAATAATATAGTCCAAGAGCCAACACTATTTTTAATTATTATATTCAACGCTATCTATCGACAAAATATGGTAAATAATTTAGTTTTTAGTTTTTACTCCCTGATGAGACAAAATTCGAAATCTAGTTACGATATCTAAGTTTAGAATAGATATTTTAAATAAAACTATCTTTTAGAGATTTATTTTGATTGTTGGGTACCGACGTTTCGAATGCTTTACAGCGCACATCATCACGGGAGTAACTAAGTTTTAGACGTCTCAAAGGAGTTATATATTTGTTACAGACAGTGCCTAACTGCCTACCCATCACACGTCGGGAATGAAAAATCAGAATAAATCTACGAAACAATCCGAAAAGATAGTTTTATTTAAAATGTCAAATATTCACGTAAATCAAAAAAAAATATTTTAGAATAGATATTCAATTCAATCCCCTTGTTAATTCAAAGCGTGCCAATTGAGCACGAATTACTTCGATAATGACATTTGAAAATATTTACTGTTGCTTCTCAACACGTGTACGAAAATGTTATGTATGTCCGTAAAAATATACACATAACATTAGATAGAAATATTGTAAATTATAATTTTACTTTAAAAAAAAGACAACAAGTTAATATTAGTCCCGCTGAGTTTCTTTCGCCAGTTCTTCTCAGGTCTGAGGCTTCTTCTTTCCGAACTGGTAGTAGACTCATGACGTTCAGAAAAAAATTGTAATAATTTCATGCTGAATAAAATATTATGAATTTAAATGTCACTTAAAATGGAGAATACACGATATTGGTCGAGATAAAGTATTAATCTTTTATTTTATGTATAGCACGTTTGTGCACTTTGAGAGCTGTTTTTTGGGTGAAAGTAGATTGACATATTTCACAACTGTAAGGTCTTTCCCCAGTATGTGTTCGTATGTGATTGGTTAAAATGCGATTTGTCTGAAAAAAAAAAGAAAGTTTCAATTAAATATACGTATATTAGATATAATATTAATACTGACACAAGGGCTGGCGCATTTTTCGCCCAAAGAATCGGCATTGCCATTCAACGGGGGAATGCGGCTGGCATTCTTGCCACTATTCCACGCGGACATGACTTGTACAGTAATAACTAAGTGTACAATTGTTTTGTATACATAATTAAATATATAAATAAATTATTTTCTGTTATTTAAGAACAGAAAAAAAATGGTAAAAAAATAATAATATAAGTATTAAAGTGTATTGTTGTATGTATATTAATAATACGAGTATATATGTTGTATTAATTTGTGTAATTTGAATAATTTATATTTCTCTTTCTTGGGGCCGAATTTTTGAAAATTCGTGTTTTAAATTAATGCAAAAATAAATATTTATTACAACTAATATTACTTTAAACAACAATAAAGTTGAAAAAATAATCATTTTCTTTACACATGTATGTGTTTCGGAGGAAATTTTTTTAAGGGAAAACTAAAAACTATATAAAAAATGGCATAGTTTAGAAGAACTAAGTACAGACAGACTCGAATATTTAATTATATTTAATTCTTTAAAGAAAACTTACCGAAAACCCTCGACCACAATGCGGACATATTTTATTTTTTTCCTGTGGTATTTTATCATGTACGGAAGCTATGTGTTGTCTGAGACGGAAGCCATTGAGGAAGTACTAAAAAAGGTAAAATATTATTAAAAATATAGCTTTAGACTCTGATAAAACTTAATTTTTCAATTAAATAAATATAGTTTTTAAATCGAATCAACATTGATATGAAACAATATTTTTTATATTTTTTTAATTAGCTAAACCATAGATCATATAATACTAATACAGATGCCTAATCCCATGACAAAAAAATGGGCAGCGCTAATTCGGGCTATTCTTCGGGCTATTTTTGTTTGCTTTAATAGATAATAGATGTCATTGATTCGCAAATAGTTAAACTGTTTTATTTTATAAATATGTGTAAACTAACGTATGGTAAATATTGTAAAATTCATTCTGCATTCGAATAAAAAATATAGTCAAATTTAAGAATTTTTAACCGCGACAAACAATTCAAAAAAGTAAAAGCGCCATCTGTTAATATACACCACAAACACATCATCTGATTGCTGATATTTCAATAATCAGTAAAATTACACAAATTTGAATCACGAGCGCATTATTTCGATTCACTTAGAATATTTTTGGAAGTTTTTTGGGTTTATTTTTTTACTTTGGTTTTGTACTTTGGTTAATTTAACACAATTTTAATAGCAAATCGATACATGTAACGTCATCTATTGGCATTTATTTGAACTAATTTTTCTTTGTTCGTGATGAGACCCCACGGCTATACTTAACTTATAAATCCGATACAGCCAGCATAAAAATAAGAATAATTAAATATTAATTTTAATGCCATCACTCATCACGAACAAGAAAAAGCGAAAAAAAATATAAAAAAAAAAAAAAAAAAAAAAATTATGCCACTTTTACGTCGAACAATGCTCAATGTGGAAGTGGCATAAGACGTCCTTACCCTTTTACATTTATCACAGTAAAACTTGGTCTTTCGCAAATGTACATGATTGTAATGGTTATTCATTGTGCATTTCTTATTATACACTTTGTTACATTCTGGACATGGTATTCTGAAATAATTAATTAACAATTATTTATCAGTCAGTCGTTTTTAACGTCCCACTGCTGGGGGTGGGCATCCCTTCAATACTCGGATATGTTAACACGGATATATTAGCCTGGATAAGTCAACACGGATATGTTAGCCCGGATATGTTAACACGGATATGGTAGCCCCGATTTAACACAGATGTTAGTCCGGATATCTTGATATGGATATGTCAGCACAGAATTCAGTACGGATATGACATAATGGCACAAGTATGCTACCACAGATATGTTAAAATGCAATTAAAAAATATTATTTTATATACTTACCCTACAATCGGTTTATGCTTGATACTAGTCTTCAAATGAGTAGTATACCTCGACATATTATCGAATTGTATGTCACATTCAACGCAGTAACAATGTTCTGTGCGTGATATAACGTGATGGAGATTATTGTGACGTGTTAACGCGTCGAGTGATGAATAATCACGCTTACAAATATGACATCTATGTTTGGAATGACGTTTGCTAAAAAACAAAACAGTAGCCATTTTGACTATTTTCATAGACATAGCAAATATCTTCGTTGTCTCCCTGACTATATTATTTATTATTATCACATGGTATCGTTTTAAGGGTAAATTAAAGAAAGAAATGAAATTATTAATTCATTTTGGGCAAAGATATCGAGAAATCGTAAGAAAATTGACAATCTTACTTCTTACTAGTATGTTAGAAAATTTAGATGTTTGGATGGATGTTTGTTACAAATCACTCCAGAACGGCTGAACGGATCTGGATGAAATTTAGCACAGAGATAGATTATAGTTTGGAATTGCACATAGGCTTTTTATTCCGGAAAAATATACGGTTAAAGAGTTCGTCAAACAAATTTAAATTTGTTTACGCTAAACGCTTAAGCGCTTAAACGCTTAAGCGTTTTGAATAGAAATGGTAGCAAAAGTACCTATTTAACAATTTTCAAGCAATTTAAATAATAAATAATAGAAAAACAATATGTCACTTTCATGTTTTTCAAAACTGAAAACATGAAAGAGAAACTTCAACTAATTATTTTCGGTCGGTACATGTATATAGATGGACCAACATTCACATTTTTGAACAGTAAAGCTATACTTACACTATATGTTGGATAAGGCTTTGTTTTTTTGTATATTTCTTTCCACAAGTATCACAGATCACTTTAGAATGCATTTTCTTATAATGATCATAGAACTCTGGACGTTTCCTTAAAATAAAAAATAAACAATAATTGAATATTTACGTACCTACATAATTTAACTTTGAAATCCCTTTCCTTGTAGGGATTGAGGGGTTTTATTTAAAAAAACCAAACCTTATTTTATACCAAGTGTAATTTAAGGTTTTTAGGTTTATATGAGCTCTAATATTTACGTTAGTATAACTATAGTAAAATCGTTTGAAATGAATAAGTTCGATATTCCTCCGGTTTATTGGTTTATTTTTTGTAGAGCACAATAGTAGTTATACTAAAAAATCGAAGTGGCTTTATGTATAGTTGCACAAACTGACAGACAAAACTCAAAAAACTGTTTTTTTTTATTATTTTTAACCGACGAAAAAAATTGGTTCTCAATTCGACACGAATATTTTGTTTTTTTTTGTTTTATGTTTGACCACGCATTATTTTATACTTTAGTCCGATTTTGATGATTCTTTTTTATTGGATAGGGTACACCTCAAAGTTGGTCTCATTTAATTTAGAAAAAAAAACCACCCTTAAGTGTAGAAAATAGGGGTGATTGATTTTTCACGTACTGAATTTTTTAAATAATTTCTTCTTATTTTGCTAGTACTATGTTATTATTGTATTATGATACACTATAAATTAAAAAATAAATACTAAAAAAAAACTAAAACAATAACCGACTTAAAAAAAACACTAAAAAGAAAAAAAATGCCAACCGATAGAAATCAAAGCGAATTGACTTCAAAAATATCTAGTTAGGTAACTACAGTAAATGAAAACTACCAATCAGTTATTTTATAGTTTTTAGTTTTTTTTTTTGAAGTCCGTTTTTTTAAGTTTTTATTTAGCAATTTAAAAATTAAACTTTTAGTGTTTACATATATACAAATTATTCAACTTACTCAAATTTCAATCCACAAGACAAGCACATAACCGCCCTTCTATGAGCACAATCCAAATGGCCATTAATTGTCCACAATTTGTACGTTTCGAATTTGCAAATTGTGCAGACATATTTTGAAAAGTGTTCAATTATATGACTTTTCAATCTTGACTTGCATTTATACTTCCTTTTGCATATGTCACATTCAAAATTTCCGCTTGTCTGGAAATAAAATATTTTAGTATTCTTCCCAAACACAGACAAATATTTGCCACAAAACAAAGAACCAAAAGAAACGACTTGAACCCAAAAATTTAAATATGTGATTATAATGATCAAAATAATATATGTTATAACTTATCTATACAGTTAAATAAAATTGAAGTGTCTGTGTGTAATGTTGAAATAACAGCTTTTTACTAAATACATACGAAATTATATTATATACGATACTTATAAGAAAAACACAATTTTTTTTAAATTTGTCTGTCTGTTTGGTTCGGCTAATCTCCGAAATGGCTGGACCGATTTTGTCGAGACTCTCTGTGGCGTAACTTAGGTTACTTTTATTTTAGAAAAAGCATTAGGGTTCCCCTCAAAAAAATCAAAACGCACCTACATATAACACATAGGGACAGGTGAGTCGCTAGTATTATATATACAGTAAATATTATAAATACAAGAACAAAGACGAATGTTTTTTACCTTCGAGTGAAATGTTCTCATATGCTTCGCATAATATTCGCTCTTGGCATATCCTGTAGTACACAAATTACATGTATAAGCCATAGTTCTAAAATTTCTTACATTCTTATCCATTGCTGACCAATATAATCTTTCTTTATCATCTATTGAGACCTTTTTAAAATGACGCGTAAAATTAATACTATTATCATCTTTAAAAATTATTTTATATTTGGCGCTCATTGCTTTTTTTATTTTTTCTGATATAATTTTCCTTTTGTTCTTCTGCCATTCTTTTTTTATAACATCTAAATCAAATTCATTTTCAATAAATTCTAAGCTACACTCTTCTTTAACAGCGGTTTCGATCTCTGTTTTGATTTCTACGTCATAATTAATATGTTTAACATCATCGATTTCGTCATATTTGCTATCCGATAATTCTTCTTCTTTAACACTAATGTTGTCAGTTTGTATATCAGCTATAAGCTCATCATATTTTATATCTTTTAAGTCTTGTATATTGTCATCTTCGTGTTGTGCGGATATATATTGGTCTGTGTACGAGTATGATAAACCGGATAGTAAATTTATGCGGCGCTAAAATTAATTTAGTTTAATAAAGCAAAAGGTATTTTAAATTTTATAACTAAACGATATTAATTTGAAATTTTTGAAGTCATTTATTTTTATAATTAAAAATAATCATACCGTGCTTTTACCACTAGTAAAATATTTATAAGCTGCTTTAATTCTTTCTTGAAATTTAACTATCTTACGAAGCATAGCTCGACATTCCCAACACATTTTTGGAATATCCGTAGAAGTCTGGAAAAATAATATAAATTTAAAATTAGCTACTTCTATACAAATTATTAAAAAGTTTTAAAACTAGCTTTAAGATTTTAAATAAAACTATCTTTTCGGATTTTTTCGCGGATTTATTTGGATTTTTGGTTCCCGACGTTTCGAATGCTTTACAGCAATCACGGGAGAGACTCTCCAGTGACTCAATGCTTTAATCAGTCAATGTCAAATATTCGCGTAAATCTAAGAAAAAACTAGCTTTAAGCTTTAACACGCCTATTTTTGAACTTTTAAGAGTGTAATTTAAATGTAATCTTAATGCTATGTCAAAATTACATAATTATTGCAAATATCAGAGCCGATACGCAATTCTAATGTTCACATTAGTGAATTAGCAAATTTTTTGAGATTAAGTACCTTCTCTCCGTGTCATCTAGGTTAAAAATAGTTATTACAATAATTGTAAAATATATAATTTATTACAATTTTTGTATAAGTATTGAAATTTGAACAGGCTGGAGGCAGATAATCCCTCCTCGACCGCGGACACGCCGGCGTTACAGTTAACAATAGATTTCTTAGAAATTTAATTAATTTCTTAGAAATTTTCCTGGAGGTGTTAAGGCGCGCGAAAAGAGTCTGGGAATAATAAAAGTTAGTTGTTCCATAATGAGTTCTGTGCAAATATTTGCTATACGTTTTTGAATTAGCAAGTTTTTATTTATTGTTGCATATTAAATTATTAATCCTCAAAAATGTAAAATTGCTAAGAAGATAAGAACAAGGTCTAATTGGTTTAGGTCCCTACCTAGAAATGCTCATGCGTCTTTTTATTTCAATTATTTACACACTAATATTATAAAGAGACAAAGTTTGAAGTTTAGTAATCTCTGAAACTATTATTTCGATATACTTATGGGCTATTTTTATTTCAGATAGTGTCGTAATTATTATTTACTACTTTTTGTTGCATTGGCGTGCGCTGACTTAACGGTTGGAAAAAAAAGAAATAAAGTGTATGGCATAAAGACACTTAGAGACGTAAGTCGCTAGCATGAACGAATTAGAGATTATAGCAAACTTTTTATATCCATTTCTACTTTTTGCATGTAGCCTTGAAACAGATATACTCTTCACAAAAAACCCCAAACTATTACACCTCCAGGTAAGTTTCTAAACCCAACGTGCGTTCACCTTGTCGTGGTGGGGGGGCTCAGTAGTGCCCGGCAATCCAACCGGGCGCGAAGCTAAGAAACGCACAGGGAGGTTGCCCACTTCGGTGGGCGGTGGGAGGTGGCCCTCTTCGGGGGGCGGTGTACCATGCGGGTTGCTCCTGGTACTTCTCTGATAGCAGAGTGGACTGTGGAGCAACCCCATGGTTGTGGTGGTCTGCTTCGCCAGACCTGCCGTCGGGGCGTCGTAGTTGAATGCGTAAGCGATCCTGCGACGCCCCATTAAGACGGGGGAAGGTTTTGTTGGGTTTTAGTGGGTAGTACTGGCTGTATTACGCCGGTGAGTCCCACACGTCGTGCGTAAATGCTTTTCCCAACGTTAAAAAAAAAAGGTAAGTTTCTAAGAAATTAATTAAAATTCTAAGAATTCTATTGTTAACTAACACGCCGCCATGTCCGCGGTTGTGGAGGGATTAAGCGTGTTATAGAACATATTTTTCCTACAAAAAACATTAAATAAATACTATATAACAACATTTATTCAAGCATTTTCATTATTTTTTATGATGTTTCACTAGATATGATACCCAACATTTATTGCCATAATTATGCCACTTCTATAACATTCTGTGTTCTGTGGTAATATAGGCAGAAAGACTAACTTAGAATAATTTAATAGTTTATAATATACAATATAACATAGCACGTTGTATACCTAAATAAAAAGAATATTTAAACTGTAGTTCTTATTATTCATGATTTCTTACCAGAATACTAATATTTCGTATTTCGTCTTCCATTATTTTAATGTAAATTTTCAAGTAATTATCGATTGGTAATAACAGTCTGTCTACAGATAAGCACCCATAACAACTTTCTAATTTTGATTTCGCCATTTTTTTAAGTTATTGAATAAAAATTATTTTGCAACTGATGTAATCAATTCCTTCACAACTGCCTCTTAGTCAATAATATGTCATTTAACATTTTCATAAATGTCAAAACTTTTAGGCATAGACAAAATTAACATTTCATTTTTAATTATTTTTTAGAGAAGTACGTATTAGGTTTATAATATTATTATTTCACGTATATTTTAAGTTATTTTTGTAACTGATATAAATTGAAATATTATTACAAAAAATGTATCTCGGTTAGTATAAAGCTTTTAAATTATTGGCCCTGGATTTGAGTCACAATTTCATTATTAAATTTGCCCCATTCCATAAAGTATCTAAACAATTAAAATACATATAATTTATAATGCATATATTAAAAATATTTTCAAAACAAATTAATATTTTATTATATATAAAAATTCTTTATTTTGAATTGACTTTTTGATTTATTTACGAAAAGTTATCTGTAACATACTGTTTATAATGGCGGCTATATCTTTCACTGAGCGAACATTTAATAATATAAATAAACAAATTTCATACAATTTAAAGCCGTATATGTGATTTTTATATCTTTTGTACAGTAATTTTAACTATTATTTAAGTTAAGTCATCAACTAAAATAGGATACAATAGATTGTAACTACAAAATGGATATACACGATGTAACAGTTAACATAAAAATGGATACACATATGCACGAAATTCCTGTTACACAAATAAAAATGGATAATCATATCCATGAAGGGAATGTAAATCATGTTAAAATGGATTCTCATATGCACGATGTGAACCTTGCAAATGTTAAAATAGACACACATATTCACGAAGTCCCTGTTACACATATGCAACTTCAACAAGGGGGTATCCAGCAACCAGAACAGAACATTATTCAGAGTAAAACAGAACGAGATGAACTGATAATGCCGCGTATTGAGAAAAAAAAGAAAGAAGCAATAGATGGACAAGCTCGTGAAATAATATTTAAAGTTATAAAGTTTTTTGAAAGTGAAAAGCAGAATAGAGGCTATGCATTCCCAGTTGAGAACGTTGTGAAACGCGCTTGTGCTGCTACTGGCTTATCAGAAAGTACCATTAAACGTATTAAGAGAGAGGGTCTACGAGCTGAAGCCACTCATACAAAAATAGCTGGTCCCAAGAAAAAAAGAGTTCGTAAAACTAAAGTACAACTTGATTACTTCCAATTGTGTGCTCTGAGAGGCATTGTTAACAGTTATTCTATGCGTAAAGAAGTCCCGACATTAGGTAAAATATTAACAGCGGCTAAACATGAACTAAATTATAGAGGTGGTAAAGAATCTTTAAGATTAATATTATTAAACAAATTAGGTATTAAGTTCAAGAAATGTGAAAAGAAAAATAAAATTAAGCCAGAACAAAGTACTCAGAGTATTCAACAAATGCCGACGGTTATGACACATTTGCCAATGCAACAAATGAAACCAGAGAATCAATGTATTTATACCAATATGATGCCCCAGGTACCACCAGTATCGTATTAACTATATAATATAAATATTTAATATTAATATAAAGAATGTTTAATGACATCCTCTCTGCCTAACCCGTAAGGGAATTAGATGCTATATTATTTAATGTAAATATAGGACAGGTATAGATACAGTGAAATTATAATAATACTTTTTTAATGTAGAATATAGTGATAGTAACTTTTTTATCTGTGAACCATAGATTATGTAGAAATATAAAGTATCCAGTTTTAATGGAAAAACTATAATTTTTAAAGGTAGAGTTTTTAATTTTGTTTTTCGCAATACAAACATTCAATATATACACCATAGTGCTTATAATGGTTGCCTAAATGAACTTTTTTACAGAAACATTACATAATTGTCAATGATTATTTAAAAAGCAAATAATCCATAGAGAAGATGTATATTTTTTTTATTTACAATATAATTCTGATATATGCATATTTAAATATAAAATTTTGTATACAGAATCTTAGCAATAATTATTGGGATATTCCAGTGCTATCGCAAATGAATATAGGATTTTTTTTGTTCACACTTGGTTATTATAAGTCGGGAAGGCTAGGAAAAACATGTATTGCCCACAGAAAGGAAAATTTACAAAATAAAGGTAGGTGCATAATGATTCTTCCTTGTGTATCTTATATGGAGATTTATTTTATTATCAGTTCACTGGTGCCGTGTTTGAAGAACATGGAGAAGAAATAATATTTTTTTTTTAATTTATTATTCCATTTGCACACCACACTATTTTTTTTTGTATTCAGCCCTTTTTTTTAACATCCCACTGCTGGGCATAGTACTCCCTTTAATATGAAGGGGATCAACCTATAGTCCACCACGCTGGCCAAATGTGAGCTGCTGGACTTCACATGTCTTTCGATACCTTGCTAGGTTGTCAAAGATATGCAGGTTTTCTCACGATGTTTTCCTTCATCGTAAGACAAGTGGTAATCATGTTGGAAATGATTCGCACATGAAAATATCAGAGGTGTGAGACCCGGGAGTTGAACCCGATTCACTCGGTATCCCAAGTGAGCGTGGTACCACTGGGCTACCACTGCTGTAATTTTATTTATAATAAGGCAGCATATCTCAGTAACACCAATTTATTTAGTTAACACACTCAAATATATAATTAAATTAAAAATGCTTGAATTTAATTTTAATGTAAAAAGCTAAGAAATGTGATTTATAAAAAATTATGTTACATTATTGTATACAATATTACATGTTGAATCCAAAAGTGGCCTAATTTATTTTTCGATATTTATTTTATTTACTTATAAGCGACCTCGCTTCGCTCGAGTTCGTCACTAGGTACGTTTTGACGCTTAGTGTAGAATATAATGAGTTTTATATCCCGTAATTGAGAAATACTTAATTGATTCCCCATACAAATTTCTACCCTACCGCCTTTTCACCCTCATAGGGGATAATTTCCTGGGTAAAAACTATCCAATGACCTTCCCAGGCTCTCAAACTATCTCCATAGTGTTGAGTTTCTCGCCGGTTCTTCTCAGCAGAACTGCTTTCCGACCCGGTGGTAGCTTGCTCACGGACTAACTACACTGACGCTTTCATTAAATTGACGATTCAAAATTACTCGTAATAAATCTAATTGAATAATGTTTATTTCATTTCATAGCAAATTTCTTTTAAATCAATTCGGTGGATCAAGCGTGAAAAGGTAACAGAGTTACTTTATATATATATATATATATATATATATATATATAATTTTGTGCAAAGGATGACTTTTCTCTTTATGAGATCTCTATCAAAAACCTTCAAGAATGAGAAATAATAATAATAATGAGGTGCGGTGTAGGTACAAACTATGTACAAACATCAATATAAATAATACTTTCTTAGATTTATTCTTCTTCTTCTTTGTCTGTTAAAAAAGTACATATATAACGCCTTCGAGATGTCTAAAACCTCAGTCTCTCCCGTGACCATGATTGGTGTAAAGCATTCGAAACGTCGGGAACCAAAATCAAAATAAATCCGCGAAATAATGCAAAAATATATAGTTTTATTTAAAATATCAATATAAATATTAAAATATACAAACATACATACCTAAATACAATTTTAATGTGTAATAAGCATGATTAGGCCACTTTTATATTTAAAGAGTGTATCTACCTATATGAAAATTATGAATTTTTGAGCATTATTCAATAAATAAGTATCAAGTAGTATTTGTTAAAATTGTTGTAAATTTTTTTATTTATAAATTAATTATTTTTACAACACGACATTGAAATGTTAGACAATACATTATTTTAAAAATGTTTACGCGCGGTTGAAGTAAATCTTCTTTGGCACTGTGGCAGATACCGCAATTATGTTAAAACAAATCAAAATATAAATATCATTTTTTTTTAAATATTAATATATATTTTGCTTCCGCATATAAACTTTCATCGCCACTTTTGAGCCCCTTAATGGACGATTTCCGGGATAAAAAGTATCCTATGTCCTTCCCAGGGTCTTAAACTATCTTCTTACCAAATTTGATCTAAATTGGTTTAGTAGTTTCGGAGCTTATTCGGTACAAACAAACAAGAAAATCTTTCCTCTTTATAATATTAAGTACACACTGGTAGAATGTATTGCGTCTGTTAAAGCAACTCTAATGCCCGATTTCACCAACGTCACCTAAGTTTAAGGGATCCCTACGCATGGTTAGGGGGCTGTTAGGGGACAGTTTCTGTTTCACCGACAGTTAGGGGTCACCTAAATATTAAAAGGCCCCCTAAATTTAGGTGCTCAAATTTGGGCTTCGTAAAACGAAATTTAATTTAGGGGACTTTTAAGCTAGAGATCCCATACATAGGTGGTAGCTTATGGGATGTTGGTGAAATCGGGCATAAGCTACTAAAGAAAAGAAAAACATTTTTGTAAATAATAATTATTATAATTTTTTTAACAATAAATATATATTTTAATAAGTTTTATAATTATTAAGAAAATAAAAGTTTTTTTTTTTAAATTATCTATACTAATATTATAAAGAACTAAATAACTCCTAAACTCTGCCAGTTTAAGAGTTCGTGAGTTTGTGAGGTTGTAAGGGGTAATCTCTGGATCTACTGAAATGATTTAGATAAAATTCGTTAAGATAGTTTGAGACACTGGGAAGGGCATAGGATAGTTTTTATCCCGGAAATCATCCCTTAAATGGATGAAAATTTGTATTGAGCAGATAGTCGCTAGTTAACAATAAATACTCTCACTTCGGTGACTCTCATTTTTCCAATGTATCGATTTACGCCTCAGTCAGTCTAAACAAGTTTTACTTCAAACAAAAAAATATATGTGTAAAAATGAAATTAAAGTTTATTTAATTATACATAATAAACAAGCACTTTTGAATTGTCAATTTAATTCAAAGAATGTGATGATATGAAATTAATTTTACAAGCCAAATATTCAAAATTTTGGATGGAAACGCTATTTCTGTTTATAGTCAAAGAGACGGTTGCTTTATAATTTACTATATTTATAGAACATCTGTGTTAACTAACATTTTAAAATAAATTTGCTAAGCATATATGTAAATGTAAATTCAGTGATGCGATTCTCTCATCGAAACAGGTATTTTGGTATTTATATCGATTAGTTATTATTATTCATATGCAAGGTAATGTGTAAGATCGTGGGTTCGACTTTAGCGTGAGATCGATTGTTCAGCGTCCTTTTGTAATTAAGACAGTATTGAATTGATATGAATAATTCATTCAAATGGCTTTTTTTTACTCAGCATTAACTATTATAATGTTTACTTTATGCCACAACAGCTTAAAGGAACAATATAATAAATTATCAATTACAATTATTGTCTAACATTGAAAGTTTTTTCATCTATAAATTAATTTTAAAATAACAACATACGAACATTCATTATATTCATATATAAGATATTGTCTCTTTGACTATTAAAGAAAGAGACAGATATGTTTTAGGTTTATTTGAGATGTACCTAATTTATATAAATATTAGATTAGATATATATAAGGCTGATTTAATTATTAAATAGATATATTATTGTAATATAATTATTTTTAAATGAATTAAAGTGTATGCATTTTTATATGCATTTTATTTAACGGTGGAAAATGGTTACTAAAGAATCCTACAAAATACTACTTTAAAGTAACATTACATCATCCCGACCGATGTCGGCGATAACCACCAATCTCACTGAGACAAGCCAACTGCAGGAGATATTATAGTGCAGTGTGTGAGGGAGAGAGACACAACATGCACTCTCTGTCCCTGTCACTTTCATATTCCAATGGGACCATATTTCGAGACCAATGAGCGTTAAGGCGCGGGACAAACTATCTGCTCTCTGAGGCACGGTGTAGCGCCATCTACTTCCCAATTCCGGGCTACTATTAAGGTTATCTTAACAGAAAAACTTAATAATTAAACTCGACTTGGAACTCGAACCCAAGACCCCCGGATTTGCGGCCATACATGCTAGCCACTAGACCATCGAGGCAATATATCATCAGTACAAATCTGGCATAAGTTTAGTATTTACGCCCATTCTAATTTTATGTCGCTTTAGGACCGATCTATACTATCGTGCCGATCACGGTTTGCTCTCGGTCCGAGATATCGGTCTGGTAAAGTTTTGTTATATAAGAAACAATGAGTGCATTCACACTATCAGTAAGACTCACGTCAAATCACACTCCAGCAACATTTCTTGTATAGAAATAGTTTACCAGATCGATATCGGACTGTGATCAGCACTATAGTGTGGATCGGCCCTTAATAAAGAATTTTTGTGTAGCTGTCATTATTACCAATTAAGCAAAATATAAAAAATCCATACAAGTAGGCCAATTGCATGTTGCAACTTGAGTACCTCTATCTTCTATTGGAGAAACTATGACAGAAATATTCCACTGTAGTATATTAACAAAGTTTAATCGAAAACGGATAAATGATTTATGCATGCATAAAAGGCAATTTTGTTTTGTTTATTACATAGAATACAAAAAAATTGTCAGTTAAGGCCTGCGTATTATAAACTTTTTCCTGTCAGAAAATTTCTGATGCCCGCCGGCTCTTTATTTTGGTCTAGACCCCGCGTACTATCAGAATTCTGACAGATCTGATATCCGCTTCTGATGAGTCCCGAATGCCGCCGATCGGACGTCAGATTTTTTTCTAATCAGAACGTCTGAAGACGCGCTTTCTATACATTTTGTACTAGATACCGCTCATTTATCAGAAATTCGCATTAGTTGTCGAGACGCCGCGACCTCATTGTCATACTCGCTGGAGCGAAGTTTCTGATGCGTGTGCGGAGTGGTACCGGCGGGCGTCGGAAAGTATCTGACAGAAAAAATCTTATAATATGCAGCCGGCCTAACACTGCCCCATCTAAATGACGTCGAGTTAATGGGGCTGATTTTATCAAACCCCTAAAAATACTTTCTTAGATTTACGCGAATATTCGACAATTTAAATAAAACTATCTTTTCGTTTTGTTTCGCGGATTTATTTTCATTTTTGGTAACCAACGTTTCGAATGCTTTACAGGAAACTTCGTCCCGTGAATCTCTCCCGAAAGTTTTATTTACAAAACCAATAGAACTAAATAAAAAGCCAGAACATTGTTATTCACAAATTTATTCCAATTCATTTTTAACATTTTTGTGTTGTGTGCGCTCATGCGCCTTCCTAGCCGTGTCTTGTGCAAATGCTGCATCGCAATAAGAACATTGATGGGGCCTTTCACCTGTATGGGTCCTTTTATGATTTATAAGGACTCTATTAGTCTGGAAAAAACAAAATTACTGTATTTTGTACGTATAATATTAACAGCGACTCACCCTCGCTTCGCCCGGGTACATCCCTAGGTACGTTTTAACGGCTAGTATGGAATAGATAGACTATGTATTATATAATATACATAGGTATGATGAGGTTTATATCCTTTCAGAAATAATTGATTTGCCGTACAAACTTTCACCCCCTTTAAAGGATGATTTTCGGGATAAAAACTATCCTATCCCAGGATCTTAAACTATAAGCATACCAAATTTCGTCGAAATCGGTTCTGCGGATTAAGCTTGAAAAGGTAACAAACAAACAGAGAGAGTTACTTTCCCATTATTAATATTATTATGGACGTAGAGTATTCTACCCAACTTTCACTGTAATATTGCATTATTGCAATTTTTGAAAAATTTAAAAAATAACAAAAAAAAATTTTGTATTATAGTGAAAGTTGAATAGAAAAAAACTATGTATATTCGTCAATTCTTTAATGTTTTCAAAGACGATTTTTCATTCAAACCAAAAATTTAAATTAATAATATTAAAAATCAGTGGGCCACTTCAAAAAGGTGAGTAAAAGAAAATATTTTTTTCAAAAATTTTGTTTTTTTTACCCGCAAGCTAAGAAAAAAAAATTTTCGCTCCATCCTAATGTAGATTTTAACCCCAGACGCAAAAATAACGGAGTGTATAGTTTGACGTGTTTGCGTGTGTGTGTCTGTGTCTCTCTCTGTGTATGTGTGTGTGTGTGTGTGTGTGTGTGTCAGTGCATGGCATCGAGCTCCCGAACGAATGAATTGATTTTGATTTTGGGACGTTAAAAAGGGATGAATACACTGCTATATTTGGATAAGATCTATTCTATGACATTATATTTAGGTATTATTTATGATTGAAATACTCTTTGGGATTTATATTTTTTTTTCTACTATATAATCTAAATTGATTTGCGAAAGAAAAAAACTTGCATACCCTTGTTATTGCCAACAATATCCTAAGTTTCACCTCAGGCCACAGTCTGTCCGTATAATAATTTTCACCCGGTGGACTATGGCCTGATCCCTCACATTGAGTCCCACACCTAATAGTGGGAAATTAAAATGGGTGAATTATTTAAGTTATACTTACAAAGAAACCTCTCCCACATATATTACATATTTTATCCCGCGGTTTTTCGGTCTTGTCGTGTACAAACTTTTTGTGGGTTCTAATTGAATAACCGTTGGCGAAATACTGTAAAAGTCAATATAGATATTAAGAAAAAAAAAACTTATTTTGCTTTTTTTATCGAAATTATTATCTTTTTACTTATTTTTTAAAATTATCTACACTACTATTATAAAGAGGAAAGATTTGTATTTTTGTAAGTTTGTAACGAATAAACACAAAAACTAATAGACCGATTTAGATGAAATTTGGTAAAAAGATAGTTTGAGAGCCTGGGAAGGATATAGGATAGTTTTTATCCCAGAAATCATCCCTTAGGGGGTTGAAAGTGAGGCTGAAAGTTTATATGGGGAAACAAATTTTTAATTTATTATTATAATAAAGAAAGTCAGATAAAATAAAAAATATATAATATTTGATTGATAATAATATTGATGTTTATACTTTTACTTGGGACTTGAGTACTAAATCCAAACAATAAACGTTTCAGCGTGAATGAGTGACAAACATACAAACACACAAACTTTTGCCTACATAATAGTCCGATAGATCGACATTCCCGAATCTGCCCCAAATCGCATTAAAACCTCTGACCTTTTAATACATACCTTGTCGCACAACTCACAGTAATATTTTGATCGTTGTACGTGTATTAGATTATAATGATTAGTCATATAGGTTTTTCTGCTAAATATTTTCCCACAAACCGGACATGGAGCTCTGAAAACAAAAAACGTGTGTGTGTACTTACATATGTACGCACGTAAGAACATAAATAGAACAGAACATAAATAAAAAACCTAAAGAAGTATAACTTCAAAAATGTTTGATTAATTATATTTTATTATTAAAACTAGCAACTTAGGCAGTACGTATTAGTAAAAGATTTTTAAAATCTAATTTCAGAAGTTTCAGAGATTACCTTTACACACAAACTTTTCCTTTGTATAATATTGATGTATATTAAAAATCAGTAGAATAATAAGAAATTATTTCTAGAAATGAAAATAAAACCACACAAAAAAAATATAAAAATAGTTGATGACAAAAGAAACAGCTATTAAAGAAAACAAAAAAGAATCTGAAAAGCAATCTTAAAAAAGTAATATCTCCAAATACAATTAATTCTGTTACTCATTTAAGTCACATAGTTTTATAAGATAGCTAATAATGATATATTTTTTCTAAAAAAAATGTAAAATACATTGTCCGTTATACAAAATACCGTTACAAGTGCAGGATAATCAGCCTTATATTATTTTTCAAATTTATATCATAATATCATAAAAAAAAGCAAAAAAAAAAAGGATAGAGCTTAAAAATTAAAAAAAATCTTGATAGTATATATTTTTAATAATGTACCACCAGCGATTTACTCTCGCTTTGTGCCTATTGTATTTATTAAGAATACGGCAGCACCATCTTTTGGCACATTACATTACCAATATTGACATGGAGTAACACATAGACTTATATGTATTAACCCAGCTCATAGTATGTCTTATTCAAATCCCTCAAACCGTTTCAGCATTAAATACTAAGAAACATACACACATACACTTTCCCATTAAAAATAAATAATAAATAAATAAATATGTTGGAATATTAACACACAGCACCATCTAGTTCCATGGTAAGCTACGAGGTTTGTGTTATGGATACCAAATAGTTGATACACTACACATATATAACTTTAAATACATACATATTATAAACTGTACAGTGTACAGTGTAAATGACTAGAGTACAGACATTTGTGCTCATCACACAAATGAATACCCCAGTGGGACTCGAACCCGCGACCGTTGGCACAGCAAGTATACTATAAATTGAGCCAATCGTGTCATCAAATAGTAGTGTAATTCTGTGAATACATGAAAAAACAATTAAAAAAAAACTCACTTCGTCCTTATTCTATTGGTTGGTTTATGCGCGACAGCCGTTCTCAAATGACGTTTGTACAAAAACGAATTTTGAAACTGCATATTGCATTCAACACAATATGTCGTTTCATTCTCTTCTTTTTTCAAATCTGTGTGATAAATGTAATAATGTTGCTTGAGACGTGAAGCCTTATTATAAACACGGTGGCATAGATCACATTTTTTTGGCAAGTGATCAGACCTGAAATAATGTAAAAATTATAATCATTTGATATTTTTTTAATGTAGTAATCATAAAATATAATTAAACTTAAAGCCCCAGGGGCTCATTCGATAGCCCGCAATAACTTTTGTCATTTTCGGCCCCTTAACTATATTATGTATGATAGAAAAAACAAACAATTTCCCCTTTTATTATAATAATAGTAAAGATTTTATAATATTAGTAACTAGCGACTCACCCTCGCTTCGCTCAGGTTCGTCCCTAGGTACGTTTTGACGCTTAGAATGGAATAGATTTATTTTCAATTTTTTGAAGTTATACTTCTTTTGGCACGTCTGGAAAAATTATGAGCGAATTTACAGCGACAAAGCATCATGGTTGCATTCCTTTTACATATAAATAGTTGTGACATACGGGACGAAGTCTTTAGATATTTTTGTTGTACGCCAAAGAAGTATAACTTCTTACGTGCGTACATAAGTATACACACACGTTTTTTTTTTCGTGAAATTTTCCGATGTTTTAATACTTATTCTGCTATTCGAGATGAAGACAAATCCAATAAAACAAAGATCGTAAAAATCGGTCCAGCAGTTCTCGAGTTATAAGTGTTGTAATAAACCCAACTTTATTTTATATTATATAGATGGATTGTATTCTTACTAATATTATGAAATTTAAACTTAGACATCTCTTTAATACTTTTTTATTACTTAAAAAACCCTGCTATTTAAATTAAGTTTTTTTAAAGGGGAGATTTTTACTTAGAAGAACTATATTAGATGTAATAATACCACATATTTTTTTGATAATTCATAGAGGTATTTTCATTGATTTGAAAAAATATGGTTGGAAAAATAAAAATTTAATTTCTGCTTTAAAAGAAGTTTATTTAAACAGCAGCATTATTAATTTTAATGTCATAAACAATTTTAAGAAAGGAGTACTTTTGTTTAGGTGAAAAAACAATTATTATTTAGTAACAATTCCAATAATAAAACCAGCATTCGTCAAACTTTGCACATGTATTTTCATTTTTTCCAAGAAATGTTCTAATTAAACTCAACCGATTAAAATGATACTTAAGTCGGGAAATTATGATAAATATTACTGTAAATAATAAAATTTACCTACAAATTTAACTTATGATATTATTTAATTTATTCTTCTTTATCTTTTGATTTAAATATGAGCATTTAAAAGAAGAAGTCAAAAGTAAGGTCATGACAGAAACAGCCCCATAATTAAATGAACACGAAAAAAATAACTTACATCATATGCTTCTCAATTCTTTCTTTTCTCGTATACGTTCTTTGGCAATGATCACATATATACTTACAATGAAACTTTTTGTAATGTAAATAATGATCTTTTCTGGAATAACTTGCGAAACCGCATTGACAAAACAAAATACGATAGTGGGTGCCTTTCAAATGACAAAGGACGTCATGCTTATGAGCAATTATAATATCACAATAAATACATTTGTACACGTCGAAAGTGTGTTCATCCCAATGATTTTTAACCGAAACTGTATCCGATTGAACTTTTTTACATAGAGAACATGTAATTCCTTGTCCCTAAAAAAATATTCTTTGTTATACATACATAATTATGTTTAAATTTGATTATTATTATTTATCTTCTTATAGTTACAAAGAGTTTTGACTAGTTAGTCAGACCACATTCAATTACTTCTTTTCTTTGAAGCTTTGAGAAATGTCATAGGAAAATTAAAATAAAATTTTCTTTCCACTGGAATGCATTACCGCAATAAAAGTCATGCGATATTAGTGATAGTATAAGATGCGATCTATCTATATGCCGAGTTTCATCCAAATTCGTTCAATAGATTTCGCGTGATGATTGATTTTGATTAATAATAGATTGACGTGCAAAACTTCAAAGCTGGTTGGATCGCCAAAAGATATAAAAACTCGTGCGAGTGTTTTAGTGTGTATTTCCCGATATTTTAAGCATTTATAAACCGTTATTAATTTTTTTTATGAAGTTGTCACACTGTATATATTTCTAGAAATCATCCGCGACTAGTTTTAGAATATTTAATTTTATTAATTTATATAATAATAATAATGGGAAGTAAAGATGACTTACACAATTTTTTCTTCGCATGTCTTGTTTCATCAAAGAGATTTTCTTTCTAAAATATGTATGTGCTTTGTATGTCACGTCTTTCGATTTGCTTTTACCTTTGATTAAGTTTTCTACATCTTTAAAACTCAACTGTACATTTTTTATATATTTATCTAAGTCGTCCTTTTCATAATTTACTATGGAAGTTTTATATGTCTTTGAATAATTCGATATTATTTTCTTACTTCTGTTTGTTAAGTTGTTTTTTATTTCAACCTTTTCCTCTTTTATTGGACTCTCATTATCACAAAAGCTATCACAGCTTTCTTCTTTAATACTCATTGGTTCAACTTCATTTTGTACAGTTTCATTAAATTTTGATTCTATTTTTTGATTTTCAATTTCATTATATTCAATGGATAAATCGCATTCATTTTTGATATAAGTTTTTAAACAAGACAGACTTAGAATATCCAAAGGTTCTTTCTGGAAATAAAGCATTTCCAAATATAGAAAAAAGAAACTTTGTCCTCGTTTTGTAGAATTTTCACTAAAACTGAGTGCTATTTTTATAAACATCAGATAAGCCACTGCGCAACTAAATTTTAGACTCAATGAGCCACTTTTTACCGATTTCAAAAAGAAATAGGTTCATTAATATGTGTATGTTTTTTGCATAAGCAAATAACACATTAAGAACGACTTTTCTTGGTTCTTTCTAGTTTCTTTGTATGATTCTAAAAGGTCCCAAATAAATTAAAAAATATATTATAGCTACCACTGGAATAATTGTTTTACTGTACAATCAATACATTTTTTTTCAATTTCTTTAGTTTACATATTTTATTTTCAGAGTAACTTCCTCTATTTCTATCATAAGCCCTAGATTTGAAATAAATTCCAAAGTGGCATATTTAATAGATATTGAAGCATTTTGAGTTAAGATATATGTAATTTGTGTAATGTTTTAAATACTATCATGATATTTAAAATTATTTTGATTACTTTTTTTATTATTACTAAAGTTTTAGCTGCTTAACAGGTCTGAACCTATACTTGCTATTGCTCGCGGCTTTACTCCTAGCTAATTTACATAAAATAACTTTCTCCTTACATTCCCCATTAGATATGCCATCCATTGTTTATATGACATAAACAGCCCCAATAACACTGAGGTCCATAGGATATCAAGCACAATATTTCACAAATATTTTTTTACTCCCTTTCTCATTTTTATGTCAGACATATTATTAAAATATTATTATATATTACTAGTACCATCACACAACTAACAGAAGATGACACTGTATAAAACATAAGGAACACATTAGTCTTCAGATAACAGTGTTTTTTTTATTTTTATTATAATTTTATTTTAATAATATCTATATATTAATATGTGAAGAGAAAACTTTTTAACGTTTTTTAAGCATATTGTATGTACGGAGGAGGATGAGTTTTGGTTTAGTTTAAGTTTATATAGGGGACTGCAGAAAGCCTTAAAATTTATTAACTATATATAAAATTACTTAGCTGCTTAAAGATGCAGCATAATGTTTTAGTTTTTTGTCTGTACATGCAAATCTCTGAATCTATAGGCTTGTTTGAATTTTTTTATGGAAGCTATCTATATCATTTTTATTTGATCGATATTGAGGTTCTTTACCTCAATATCGATCAAACTAAATGAATTATGGTTGATTTTCGACCACGGGGCGATCACTACTATATAACTATATATACATACCCAATTCTCAAGAAACACTGTTTGACTCTTCTGAAATCGTATTTGATATGTTACAATCCTTTTCAATATCGCTCTACATTCCCAACACAATAATAAATTAAAGTATTTTGAATCCTAAAAATAAGAAAACAATTATTTTTATTTTTCTAAATATTCCTATCCTAATGGCACATACTCGTACAGTATAGACAACAATTAAATATAAAATTTGACTACACATTTGGCTCCGTTTGTAGTGACCCTACTTGCTGTGCCAGATGTTGCTGGGTTCGAGTCCCGCTGGGTGAATACATTTGTGTGATGAGCACGAATGTTTGTACTCCAGTCATATTTAAAGTTATACTAGAAGAACCCAGAAGAAGTTATACTAAAGAACCCACGGCTTCGCTCGCTCTAAAATTAAGAAAAAATCTCTAAAAATGTAGTTTCATTCAAACTTTTATCCCTTATTTTACCCCCATATATAATGAATTTGGAAAAACGCTAAAACACGTATTTATTTAATTTTATTGAATAGCATTAATACCAAGTTTCAAGTAATGCTAATCATAAATATTTTTTTGGATTGTATTATAACATGTTATCCCGTGGAAATTAGATAATCTTTGGGGGTAAAAAGTAGCCTATGTCACTCTACAGTCCACCAACTATCTCCACACAAAAAATCACGCCAATCAGTCACACCATTCCGACATGAAAGAAGGACAATAAATATTATAATTTGAATTGTTTTGTATATATTTTAACATTTAAGGCTTCCACATTTTCAAATTGTCTAGAACAAATCACTTATTAGTGATAAGACTTTCGGCCACACATGAGGTTATTATTAAATGCCTTTAGTGTTATTTTGTGGTATACAATTTAATTATAAAACAAATAATGTAAAATTAGATAACTACAATACCTCAGGTACATAATTGGCTCCTAAAATAATAAAAAACAAATCTACATTCTCTTTTAACGGCATAAGATCCCGATCGAAACTTAAGCAGCCTCTACAAATGTTGTGTGTCTCAATTTTTATAGTATCCATCTTCTCTTCTCATTTATATACGTTATATATTTAGTTAATCTCTTTAACTATTGAACGGTTAACTTTGTAATTTCAGATAAACAATAATCAGATATATTTATATTTTGACGAAATTGATATCAACATGGATGACAAATAAAATAGATGAATTAGTTCCAGATATCAATACAGTGCTACAAGGATCTTTTAGCGCGTGGCTTTATATATGTAGCAATATACTCTATGCGCGTGGCCGAAATCGGAACTAACAGACAAGATGGCGGATCTTGTAAAGCGTCACTTTTGACCATAGAGTATATTGCTACATATTATATAACTTGCTTTTGACAGATAGCTGGAGTTGATAAGTTTTTCGTGCTTTTATTTCATTATAAATATCTCAAAATATGCCAAAGGTAATAAGAAGTGGTGTTAGAGAGGTGGTGCTAAAAATAAAGGATTTTTTCTATGAAAGAAAAGCAATCTGGCGTTCCGAATATACCATTTGAAAGAGTAAATGAGCGCGTCGCAGCTGCAACAGGTAAGTGTTATCATACTATACCTCGTAAGTGTGCCCGTTATTACATAAGTAATTATGCCCGTTATTACATAGGTAATAATACCAAGAATACTAATTCATATTTTGTATCCTTAAGAAACATATTTTGTCCTTCAAATTTAAAAAAAAAATACGATATCAGGTATATCTTTACGAACAGTTGTAAGAATTGAAAATGAAGGCAGATTGGCTGAAGCATCATCCAGTAAAATAGTTACACCAGGGAAAAGTAGAAAAACGAGAAAGGATAAAATTGTAATGGACAATTTCGATATTGGTATTCTTAGACGAAAGATACATGAATTTTATGCTTGGAAAAAAGAAATACCAACAGTGCATAAGTTGTTACATGTACTTAAAGAAGAGATAGGATTCACAGGCAGTCGAGAAATTCTCAGACAACATATAAAAATGATTGGTTTTCGATTTAGAAAAAGTAAAAGCAACAGAAAAGTCCTGATAGAACGTAACGATATAACTGCTTGGCGCGCTCGTGATCTGCAGGTATGGGTACATGTACTTTTATAGTCTTTAATATTATTAAAAAAGTTAATAAGGACAAATGGAAACATTTATGAAACTGCCACACCAATTCACAAACCATTGAATAATTTTATTTCAGACTTTTAAAGTATAATGATGAGACAGAAAAACTTCCTGTTATTTACTTAGATGAGACATATATTCACACCGGTCATACAGCTGGAAAATGTTGGCAGAATGATGATGAAGGTAATGGCTAATTAATTAAATATCTTGAAATATTAATGAGTAATATATTTTTAAATCATTTTTGACTAATTTCATATGTATTTATCTATTATTAATATTTATTCTAAGACTCTACTCTGCTTGTATTATAGTTGTTTTATAGTTCAAAAATTCAATTTCAGATGGAGTATTAGAGCCCATCTCTAAAGGACAAAGATTTATTATTGTTCATGCCGGAGGTAATCAAGGCTTTGTGAACAATGCTTGTTTGGTTTTTAAATCACAAACAAAGAGTGGTGATTACCATGGAGACATGAATAACACAATTTTTAATAAATGGGTTTTAGAAAAGTTGGCTCCCAATTTGATGGAGCCCAGTCTAATTATAATGGACAATGCTCCATATCATAACACACGAATTAATAAACACCCAAACACAAGCACAAGAAAAAATGAAATAATTGAGTGGTTAATAATAAATAATTTTGAATATTCAGAAGAATATACTAGACCACAACTATTAAAAATTGTAAATAAAAACAAACCCGAACCAGTGTATTCCGTCGATGCTATTTTAACAGGACTGGGTCACAAGGTAATTATAGCTTGAATGCTCTACTAGACTTTTATTATTATTATTATTGAGGCACTAATAAAGTGTCTTCTTATTATGCTATTTTTTAAAACAATATTTTAAGTATGGGTGAGTAAACTATTTAATTTTGCTTCTTTTTTTTCTCAGATATTGCGTTTACCACCTTATCATTGTGATCTTAATCCCATTGAAATGGTCTGGGCATCCATGAAACGAAAAGTAGCCGAGATAAATATTGGAAAGCCATCCAATCAAATTCCAGAAATGGTACAGAATGCTTTTGATTCCATTCTTGTCGATGAATGGCGCAATCATTGCGCCCATGTCAAGAAAATAGAAAAGGAGTATCAAAAAAAAATATGGATATTTGGACGAACCTTTTTTCATACAATTATGCTCTGAGAGTGAAGAAAGCAGTGACGATGATGATTCTCACGATGAAGATGAGGAAAGCTTTAGTAGTATGCAACCTCTTGACATAGTTCATGCAGAACATAGTTACAGCAAAAAAATTTAATTTTTATTTATTTATATTAATTAAATAATTTGTATATGAAGTAATTAAATTTCATTCATATTTAATTTTATTTTTTTCATTACCTAAGTTAAATTGAATTACGGAATATAAAGATAGAGTTTTTAAAAGAATTCCCTAAAACTAAGTAGATTTTATTAGCTTGTAACCCTAATTTCACACCAACGCCCTCATGTCACTGTCATGTAAGTGCCAAAAGATCCTTGTAGCACTGTAGTTTTCGATTTTCGTGTCTTTGCGTTCCGTTATTGCGAAGGCTAGTTTTTCAATAATTCGGGGTTTTACGATTTATTCTTACTCAAGTTGCCATCCATAAATAAAGGAATCAATATAAAAAAAAGGGAATGTGCTTTTAATTTCTCACAATATTTCATATACCGGATGAAATATATCGATATATAATATTGATACTAGATGATTCTATAATATCGGGTTGAAGCGATATATCGCGTACATATATCGATATTTTATGAAATATCGATATATATCATGCACATAGTGACTACTTGACTAGTGTGAATTTGTGAAGTGTCTAGTCCATAGAGTATGTTGCTACATATAAAAAGACTAGCTGTGTAATCTTTACTGTAGTTTATATATGTAACAATTTTTATTTGTCATCCATGGTAGCAAATAGTGATGTGCCAACTCAGAAAAAATATAACTCGCGTTAACTCGAGTTGAAATTCACGTAACTCGAGTTGAACTCGAGTTACGTAACTCGAGTTACCTGGATGAAAAATGAAGTGAATGATTTGTTTTGTTTGTATCAATTTAATGACTCGGCTTCGCAACAATATTAAAAAAATGGTACAGATTCTAAATAAATATTTATTAGGACAATTATAACTATTTATATTTTTTATATTTATTTATTTATATTATTACTAGCAGAACCTGTGGCTTCGCTCGCGCCAAAACTCCAAAAAAACACTCTAAAAAGGTAGGTTTTATACAAATTTTCATCCGATATTTTACCCCCCCTAACAGGATAAATTTCGAAGAATGCTAAAACATATATTTATTTAATTGTATTGAAGAGCGTTAATACCAAGTTTCAAGTAATTCTGATCATAAATATTTTTTTGGGTTGTATTATAACGTGTTTCCCCGTGGAAATGAGATAATCTTCCGCGGTAAAAAGTAGTCTATACCACTCTCCAGCCCTCCAACTATGAACTATCTTCACCCAAGAAATTTCCTCAGTCCGTTACTCCGTTTCGACGTGAAAGAAGGACAAACAAACAAACATACTTTCACATTTATAATATTAGTATGGATATTATAATGCTGTCATTCGGTTGAAACGCTATGACGGACGACAGCGATTAAGTTAAATACTGTGGCATCTTATTCGGTTGTAATAGGAGCGATTTTGCAACATAAATGTAAAGTCTAAAGTGCTGACGACTGTACAAAACATGAACACAACGAACAAATTGCCGCGTTTGAGTAAGGGCAATCGCGTACTCGCTTGATTCGATCATTTACCACGCAAATCCAATTCGAGTCAGAGAGAATTCAACTCGAGTTTATTCGAGTTAAGCCCAACTCGAGTTAACTCGAGTTAGTAACTCGAGTTGACACATCTTTATTCTTTAGTAGCAAATAGCAATATAATATACTCTATGGTGCAACTGCAGCGTGCCGCGTGTGCAATATGTGGCGTTCTATGTTAGACCACAATTTAAATTTTAAAGTCAGTTGTGCAAAAGGTAACGACTAACGTTACGGTTTAAGATTACAAGGTAAAAAACATGTTGCAACATCTTCAATGACACGTTGGTCCAAGATGTCTGGACAAACGTAGGTTCCATAGTCAACTGTATTTACCATGGGTCGAAAATCCAACAATGTTCTCGCCAGCCAGCTACATGCGGCGGTTTATCATAAACGAACTCTCACTCAGTGGAGCCAGGAATAGTAGTATTAGAAAACCCTGAAAGATATTGTTCTACTGTTTTGGTGATGGAATAAGTTTCGCAAGCCATCTGTGTGCAGTCTGACTCGCTTGGATTTGGACGTTGTCGTTCTTACGATGTATCTCAAGCCAATACCCACCGTAATACGTGTGCATTTATTCACAGAAACATTCTTAACATAAATATGAGAACGTGAGACGACTGATATATAATCCTCCTCAACTATCTTAGCGAAGACAAAATGCCCAGGAACTTCATTAGATTTTAATAGCGTAAATATGCGTTAGCGAAATTTGCTTATATAAGTAAAAGAAGACTGAAGGTTCTGACTTCAAGCTTATAGTGCTAAGTTTTTTAGTGTTCTCTCCATAATTGGTAAATCACAGATAGTATTCTTCTAATTTATGCAATTAAATTAAATATATTAAAATTTTGCATTGTATTACAAACAATGTACAATAAAGAAAATGTCTAGAGATGTCCATATGTTTAAATTGTATACATCATTTTATGTGGCTTAAAGTCGTCTTTAATAGAATATTGCTAGTATTTGATCTTTTGTATTAATTTTCCTTATATTCTAGAAATAATGCACAACTTCCGGGCATGTGTTGGTTGAGTCTAAGGTCATAAAAATAAAATTAGCATACTCTTTGCTATTTAAAAATGTATTTAATAAAATGTGTATTGTGATCTGATGCAAATATCTAGTAGGTAGTCCAGCTATAAATTGAGAACTCAATAATTCATTTTCATAATCAATCACCAATCATTAAGGTAACCATTATTTTCACTTAACATAACTTTTTTCCAGACTTATATTATAAAAGACTTTTACAATATCTGAATAAATTCTTCAAATGTTCTACCATCATTGCATCTAGATGCATTTATATTATAGGCTTACCCTTTCATGGGCTGTCTTAAAAATGTGGTTATGTGGTTTTTGAATGTTTGATACGTTTTTTAAACTTATTCCTAAAACATAATTTTATTCCCTTTAAGTTTTACCGAACATGGCATTATGCTTTCCAATGCCTGATGCGCTTGATACTGTGTTAAAATGGTTGCCGCTGCACAACTTGAGTTTTTAAATTTTAGCTTGCCAGCTTTCACTGTTGATGCAAGTGTGTATAAATAAACTTTCTGACAAACCTTTTTATTTCAATGTTATTAAAGTTTTATTCGTTTAAGTTATCAATTACAAAAATCTAAATATGAGATCAATAAGTACAGTAGGGCCTCGTTAATCCGGAGAGGCAAAAACAAGACCCTTTTCGGATTATCGAGGTATCCGGATTATAGTATGCCATATTTAATGTTAATTAAACACATGTTTAACCTTAGTTTCTTTAATCAATTTTTAAATTATAGCATGAAGACAAAATGTACATGTTCAAAATAACAACCATGTAAGGAAATCAGTAAGTTAAAATAAAAAATGTTTTATAAAAAATGTCTTAAATTTTTTTCTCGACTTTTTCAAGAAGAATTAACTAATGAGTTAATTCTTCTTGAAAAAGTCTGTAATACTCTTCTGTTTATAGTTTTTGCACTTCACTTCGAAAGCCCGGTCTCTAAGTCGACGGAGAAACATAACTTCGTGGCTATCAAATTCGTTATCTTCAGCCCATTTTAAAGCAGTGTTTAAAGCTGCCTCTGAATTACCAACTTTTCAACGCTATTGTCCTCATCTTGCTCATCGTCCTCACACATAGCCGCTCGCACAATCTCCTCATCAGTTAACACTTCATATCTTTGTAACTCGCTTTCGGCACCTCCAGCAGCCCATTCTTGAGCTTCTGCCTCACTTATTTGAGGATCATTGGGTCCCCTCAACCTGTCAAAAAGCTGGGCTAAAGGGACATCATCTTCTGGTTCGTCATTATCAGTGAGAAATTCAGGGTGCAAATTCTTCCATGATTTGTTAATTAGCGATGTCTTAACATTGGCCAAAAGAAAAACTGTGTCCTTTAAAGTTATCGATTTTAATGAGTCCATGAGGTTTTCAGAACATAATGCAAGACAGTTAACCAAAAGTGATTTGCGGTAATTTAACTTCACATTTTGTATAACGTTCTGATCCATTGGTTGTATACACGCCGTGGAGTTAGGTGGCAGGAACATTGCAAAAATGTGGCCGTCTTCAGGACAAGTTCATCTGCTGATGGATGCCCAGGACAATTATCCAACAATAACATTGCCTGAGGAGGCAAATTAACAGACAAAAGATAGCGGCGGACCGCGGGAACGAATTCCGTTTTAAACCACTCAAGAAACAAGTCTTTCGTAACCTAAGCATTTTTTTGTGCACGATAACAAATAGGAAGACGTGTTGATTTAAATGCCCGTGGGTTTTTTGATTTTCCGACAACAAGCAATTGAAGTTTATGAGTTCCAGCCGCATTTGCACAAGGCATGAATGTCACTCTCATCTTCATCATTTTCCTTCCGGAAGCCGACTGCTCATTGCCAGAGGCCAATGCATGATCTGGCAATAATCGCCAGTACAAACCAGATTCGTCAGCATTGTAAACCTGTTCCGCTCTTAAATTTTTTTCTCGAATAACTTTCTGTCACTCTAGTTGGAATGGTCCGATAGCGGCTTCATCATTTGACAGTTTTTCACCGGTCATTTTTAAACGTCTTATTCCGTGGCGTTTTTAAACTTGTCTAACCATCCCCGGCTTGCATTAAATCCGATATTGGAGTTTGTAATCTGGCGATGCAAAATTCGAGCTTTCTCACAAATCATATCACCACTTACAGGAACATGCAATCGCGTTTGTTGCAAAAACCACGTAAACAAAGCATCTTCTAAAACAGGATTTTCCGATTGCTTCAGTGTTTTTCGTACACCGGGACCACGTTCTGTTAGGCTAACAAACTTCAAGAGTTTGACTTTGTTTTTCTTTATGTCGCCTACTGTTGACCTGCCTATCCCAAACTTCCGAGCAATGACAGGGTATCTGTCACCCTTATCTAACATTTCTATAATCCGCAATTTGTCTTTTATTCAATGTAGAATGTTTACGTGGTGCCATGATGTTAGCAGTGCTGCCACAGTTAGTTTTGTAAATTCCCCGCGTCACGTTGAAAAATTCCTCTTTTTATTGCAAAATTCCCCTCGAAGTTCATGATGTAGGAAAAAAAGAATAAAAATGTTTTATTAATGAAAACTTTATTCCAAAAACTAAAACAAATACATCACTTTTTGTATAGGTTCGCTTTGAGCATATTTATTGTCGGCTCAAATTTTACACAATCTTTTATTTGGTCTTTAGTTTGCATTAGGGCAACTATCGTGCTTGTTTTTAGTTTATTTCTATGATCATTTTTAATATTTTTGAGAGAACTAAATACACGTTCCACGGATGCATTCGAGAAAGGTAAAACTAACAAGGCATTTAAAATGCCTTTTAAATTTGGAAACAAACTTTGACCAAGGGCATTTTTTAAGTGGAAAACTTTACGCCAATACTCCTCAGCACCATCTGAAGGATGCAAGTCGTAGCTTTCATGATCAAGTAGAGCATGTTCTCGCCATTCATCGTCAACTTCTTGCATGTTGTAATAATCGTACAATACTGGAAATCTTACAAAGATTGGCTTCAAAGATTTAAAAGTGAAACTTTGAGCAACAGAAGGATTTACCAAGTCAATAAAATTAAAAAGACTGTCCTTAAAGTCAAACCTCTGTAGGATTTGTTTAGCCAACTCCACATAAAAGCTGCGACAAGTTATCAAAAACATATTGACATCAGTTTCAGGAACCTGTGAGTTATTTTTTAACTTTTGTAAGCTTTCGGTAGCTAATACACCTAGATACACTCTGTCCAATCTGTCATATTTGGATTCATCATCAAACTCAATTTTCATTATATCAGTACAAGACTTCACATAAGAAAATGTGATGTAATTGCTACACACAGTTTTCAACAGATTTTCGACTGAAGATTTCATTTTATATAGCAGTGGTGTTTCTGACTGAAACAATAAATTGAATTGAGTCAGTAAACCTAAAGTATAAGACATGAATTCTAAATAAATAACCGTGAACTCATTATCCATTGTAGCCACCATTTCTTCGGTTGTTTTAGAGGGATCCTCGAAAACAGCTAGTCTTAAATATTCTCTCAGGGGAGTATACTGTTGTAACACACGATCTACGCAGTTTTTCACAGACAGCCAGCGTGTTGTAGCTACGTTCAAAATTTTGTGTAAATCACATTGAAAAAAAGCTTGAAACTCTGCGAATTTTTCTTGTCTAAAAGAGCTGCGGCTGAAGTGCGACCCCAAGTTTCTTATAAGATCTTCGACAGATCGTGGGAGTTTTAAGCATGCTTTAGATGCTGCTAAATGTATTAAATGGCAGGAACATTTGATGCACGCTATGCTAGGTAATGCGGCTTTCAAATGAGAAAACACTGAGTTGTGCTCTCCAATCATTACGTTCGTAGTATCTGAACAGAAGCCTATGAGATTCGATAATGGTATTTGTTTTGATTCTATCACATTTGTTAAATACTTCACTAAAGATATGGCATCTCCGGATTTGACCTCTATCATATCAAAAAAATGGGTCTCAACTTTGTTACTTTCAACATTAAAATAAATAACTGTGAACGCAAGCTGTTTAATAGTACTACAGTCTGTAGTTTCATCCATAATTATGGAGAAGAAAGCGCCAGGAACTCTAAGTGCATCAAACACAATATTAGCCAAGTTGTTGCCTAAAGCATTTTTTATACAATGAGAGGCTTTAGTTCGTCGTACTGCCAATTTGCTTACGATCTCAGAGTCTGTGAAAATGTCTTTAGCTAAAGGGATAACAGTGTCCATCAACGAGAACGGTAAGTTATTTGTAGCAAGCATTGCACAAAGCTTTAATTCTGCACGACGTACTTTAACGTCTACAGATGATTCCCGCACTAAATCGTCAATTTTTTTTGATCCCGATACTTGTTTAGAAATTCGAAGATGTTTTTTTGAATTCAGGTGGCGTATTAAGTCACTTTTGTGTGCGATTACAGTCATATTACAAATTCTGCAAAATGCTAGTTCGTGACCATCTCTAATTTCATTGTGTTTCGTTAACCATCCCTTGAATTCAGGCCGAGTAGTCCAAGAATCTAGAAATTTATTGAATCGTTTCTTTTTTTCGATAGGTTCTTCACGAGTGCTTGATGTCATCTGTGCAGATGTAGAAGGAATTTGCTCAGAGTTGTTTGCCACTTCTTGAACAGAACTGGAAGTACTTGGTGAATTTTCGTCATCTATGGCACTGGCTATCTCCTAAAAATGGATATAATTTAAAATATCGTTAGTCTTGATATGCACAAAATATTGCGTTTAGGCTTTCAGAAATACCCGACAATAGGGAAAATAGTTATACTGTTGCAACATTGATTATGAAAAAACATCGAAAGCAAAAAAACAATACAAAAACGTTTCTCCGCTTTTCGCTACGTTAAAATTATAAAATATCTCTGTGACAAATACGCAAGTAGCGTGATGCCAAAATGAAGAGAAAAAAAGCAAAACAAATTTAAAAACTCGAACTACATATTTAGGTATTTAGAGGTTAGGAATGTGAATAGCCCCAAATAGTCTAGTCAGTAGGATAGAACACTACGTTAATGGCCCAAGGAATTAGTAAAGACGTGCAGTTTAAACTTATTCATTCTATGAAATGCCCAAAAATGTCTCGTATTGTAGTAATGATTTAACTAGTTATACAATAGTAAAAACACTTTAGAAATGCCTACTTATCAATTTCGAAATAATTTTATAATAGTGAGTAAATATATACCTTTTCTCGAGATCTTTTGGTTAGTTTACTGATGAATTTATCCATCGTAACTTAGCAAAACTTTTTACAAGAAAAATAAACACTCTGACCACAGAACAATATTTACTCTGACTGACTGACGTCTGACTCTGTGCCACAGTGCCATCTCTGTGCAACGAAACTAACCAACACGTAAAGACGCAGGACGCAGCCAACAAGTCTAGCCATAGACCTTATTTTTTAGTTTCTTTTTATCAACTAAGGGGACAGGCAAAAGAATCATAGCCCATCCAGCCTTATTAGATGTACATACAAGTATAAATTATATATTTATTGCATTTGGAGTATTGAATTCCCCTTTTATTCTTATAACCCTTTTTTGCCCCTCACATACGTGAAATTCCCCCCAAAAAGGGGAATTCCCCCCAGATCGGCAACGCAGGATGTTAGCGAGCGCGCTTAATTGACACTACGTATTACACGAAAGGCGATAAACAAAAGACTGACGGCGTCGCATTGGCTCATGACAGCCCACACCTTCACCCCGCCCCGGGCCTCCCCCGCGAATCCCATTGCCCGGCCGGATTACAGCGATCACCGAACAAGCGGGAGTCCGGATTACCGAGGCCCTACTGTAATTGGGAAAAATCCCACATATCTACAGGGAATATTCTACTAAACTAGGACCTATTAATCGACTTTAAGCCAAAACATATAGGGTCAATGAGGGCAACATCGGCATATTTTTTTGCAAGTTGAAGTATGATTAACTGTAATTCATATCGTAAAACCGGGGTGAAAAGGGACAAAATTGAACTTTGCACAAGAATTTACAATGTCACTTTAGGAAAAGTGAATGTTATTTGAATGAAATGTATGTCCGCCAACTCATATATTGCAATAATATCTTTAAAATAACAATTATTTGATCGGTTATTAAAATATTTGCTAAAAACTATGCTGTCCCTTTTTAGACTGAACGTGGGGTCAAATGAGACGGATAGGGGTTGCTAGAGTAAACTGGTCAGGGCTGTCAAAAGATGAAAAATATAAATCATAATAATAAAAAAATAATTACAAAAATTAAAAACCTAATTGCGTATAAAGCGAACATAATTAAAAGACAAAAACAAGTTGATGAAGGAACATGGTATTATGGATTCAAGTTTTTTTGTTTTTTTTTTAGTTTAGCATTTCTTATTCCAAATTTCATTTAAACATATAAGTTCGATATATTTTTGTAAACCATTTATAAACCACTTTATTTTGATAAATTTTGAGGAAAAATATTTTTAAAGATATAATATGGCACCAAGAATGGCCATTTTAATTTTTATAATTTTAATATACCCAGTGTCACTCTTTTTTATTAAATTAAGTCAATTCAATTAATCAAGTCAATTAAGTCAAATCTAACGACAGCTCTCAAGCTAAAATCCATCAAGCCGTTTAGGCTAGAGCGTGCCAAAGTTACTTACATACATACATAAACTCGAAAAACCGAACCCTCCGTAAAACCGTTACCCTTCTGGCGCAGTCGGATAACAAATAAGTAGGTAATAAATTTGTTCACTTTTGATTTCGGGTGAAAATGTGGAAGTTTGAATTGTAAGTAAGCTTTGGATAAGAATTCAAATAATAGAATTATGATTATTTTTAATAATATATTTATTGGAATAAAGCTTTATAATAATGGTAAAAAAAATATTTATCCTTATAACATATTCAGTTTCAGTAGTCAGTAAAAATAAAAGTACAATAACCTTTTTTATATTTATTTAAAACTCAGTCTACAATCTTTGCTGTATAAACGTACATAATCTACTTCTGAATACGTACCTATTGAAAACACAACCTTACATAGTTACATCACATACAATCATTGCTCATAATTGTTTATGATAATTAAGTGTACAATCATTTATAAACTTTTTATGTTATACTTAATCTACTTAAAAAATTTGTTATAATAATCTTAAAATATTTTATTCATATATTAATTAAAATAATAATAAATATCTTTATATCATCATCCATGAGATCACGCAATATATCAGAATCACTTCTGTAGAATTTATTTTTCTTATTTAAATCAATTTTCTCACATTTTTGAACATCAGCTGAAGTTTTATTTTTCAGAATTATATCAGAAATTTCATGTATTTTACGAGGATCATTTTCTTGTATTTTACATATTTTTGTAACTGTGTCTGCTTTTTGAGAAAGAAGTTCAAGTTCTTGTGCAATATCGAAATTGTCTTCAAAGAATATAGGCATTTTGCTGATATCCATATCCAAATTTGTCATACTATTAATATCGATATCTTGACTTTCTTTAGGTCCAGTGGCCATAATATGAGCGTTGGTACAACATTTTTGCTCTATATTTACTTTGTCAGCTTTATTAATCTTCACTTTAATTGGGTTAATGTTAATTTCAGTATTTTGTTTAGACACAATTCTTTTCTTAGAAGTTGTTATGGTTTCAGTCTTTTGATTGGGAATTTTTCTCTTCTTTGGATTAGGTAGATTCTTTAGCATCAATGGCCTCAGTACTCCAGAACTCATCCAAATCGCCAGTTGGAGGGGCGCCTGCATTATAATCCGCGGGTTCCAGCGGACGGCCGAAATTGAACACTGGCGGATACTTAAGCCCACCAGGATAGTTAGATGTTAACTGTCGGCGCTGTCCATTACCATCATAGTCTATAGAACATGGTCCACTCAACATACTTGAATTCTTTCTTCCAAGATGGGACACAAAATTCTGGTAATGGATAATGTCATTCTCAAGCTCAGCAGCACCATAATCTTCAGGCATAATGGCGTCGGCATTGAGAAGCAGGGGATGGTTCGGATGACCAGCGGCAGCTCCAGCTGGTATTCTTCTCCTACGACATTCGTCCAGATCAGCTGGTAAAGTCCACTCCGCATACGGAAGCGGATTATTATCATAGAAATCCTGGCGCACGGCGATCGGGGTGTGGGCGTCTGACATTGCGACAACTACACGTCTCATGTGGTTAACTTTAGCGTCTTCAGTCTTTTTTTTATCGCTTAAATGTCTATTTTTTTCCTTTTGCTTGTTAGTATTAGACTCAAAACTGGATCCCGGGACAGCAAGAGATTCCGTTCCAGATAAAACTTTCCAGATAAAATCCTTCTACAGGAGAAGCTTCACTTTTCAAAATTAAAGAACGATCATGCATTTCAGATTCTGAATCTTCATTTTGTGTATCCATATCATATTTTGTACTAATTATTTCTGAATCAAAGTTACCATCATCTGGATAGATGCTGACTTCACTTTCTGTATCGGCATTATCTGGGGATACGCTTTGTCCTGCCTTAACAGTAATCTTTTTTTTTATTAAATGTTTTCATGCCTGTGCTTGTGCCATAGCGCATTTCCTGGAGCATTGACATAACCGTGGCATCTATAGCTTCTTTAGTGAAGTTGTCGTCTTGGCGTGAAACGTGTCTGGGTAGTCTCTCCAACACTTTATTTTTATGTAATGGGTAAATACCCGCTTTCTTAAACCCGGTGAGTATATTAAATGAAGCATTTTTCTTTAAACGCGGAATTAAGTTCTTTAGAAGACGTGGAAATATACTTTTTGGGACAGTTGCGAGAGCCCGTCCATCTGTTTTCTTCCAAGTGAACAGTATATCCCGTTATGCAACTTTAGTAGGCCTAAAAACGCCACATCAAGTGGCTGGGTTATATGCGTGGAATTTGCTGGCAAAAACACAAAATGAATGTCTTTCGTTTTACACTCCCGAATTAAATTAATTGATAAATGAGATGAAAGGTTATCGCCTATTAAAAAAAATTTACCAATTTTTTTGTCAAAATATCTACTTTTTCGCGTTTACTAAAACGTGGTCATCTTTGCTATATCCTGTAAAGTCAATTCGACAATCAAAATTTATAATTTTATTGTTTTTTAAATTATATTTTTTAAAATCAGTAGTTTCAGTCTTATCGATTTTCACAGTCTTATCATGTTTTTCAATTTTAGTCTTAAGTTCTATGTCTTCAGGTGTAGTATAATTTTCGGCTATATTTGTTTCTATAACATCATTAAACTCATAATCACTTGAATAAGTATCCATTAAATCAGAATCACTATGACTACTTATTATACTAGACACGCTAGTGGTTGAACTTTTTGAGGACATAAGATCCATTTTCTTTTTTTCTTTGAAAAAAGCAGGAATATTTGGGTCAAAACAAGGTATGATTGGTATTATATTTTCTTTTCCACTTTTTTCCCAATACCTTTGCCTTTAAGATTTGTAAGAAGCGGTTCATTAGGATGAATTTTAAAGGATGTAGCAAAACTATTTCGTGACGTATTGTTAGTAAGCTCTCCTTTATTAATGCCAGATGGCCCTGGTGCCGGACTGTTAATTATTACATCGGACAGAATTTTAATTTTGTTAGATTTGGGTTTTAGTTCTTGTAAACAATGTGGTAATTCTTGAATATTTTTTTTCGATTTTTCTTTGTTTCTCTTCCATTTTAATATTCACCACGTCATCTCGGGTAATCACTTCTGCACCAGGTGCCACTTTACGCCAAACAGTCTTAGTTGAGTCACCTCGTCTTACTTTTTCAAGAAGTAATGCTTGGAATGTAGTTGTCTGTTTGTTAATTTGGCCTAATTCTAAAGTATTATTATTGCTGGGAATTCTATTCAACAAACATAGTTTGAGATTGGTTGTGTTTAACTTATCTAAGACTATTGCCAATGTTCTTGGTTGCAGTGTCTTTAAATTTCGGTTTATTTTAATGTCTCTGTGGTTATTGTGTGAAATTCCATAATTATCCGATGTATTTGGAAGCTGTTGGGGTATATCATAAGAAGTCACGAATTCCTTCCAACGTTTTAATTTTAAAGCATCAAATGCTTCTTTGGAAATTTCGCTGGGATTAAAAGGATATATACCACATTTTCTAAATCCATTACACAATATTTGAGTATCTATTTGTGGCCATACTTAGCCAATTAAGCGTGCAAATTCTTTTTTTTGATAACGGAACGCCAATATTCATACGTTGCCACTTAACAAGCAAGGGATCCCAACGATCTTTAAATGATTTCATTACTGCCACATCAAGCGGCTGTAATATATGGCTTGTATGAGCTGGAAGTTTTAGTATAGTGACATTTGCTTTCCGTGCTTCAATAATTAAACTTAAACCTACATGTGTTGAATGCCCATCGTAAATGAGTAGAATTGGTCGCTGATTTCCAACAGTCGGTAAAAACGATTTTTTAAAAAATGCCTCGAAAACGTTAGCTTCCATCCACCCATTTGGAGTGGAGCTAATTCTTCAATTGTCTTTTGAAGTAAGTCAAAGTAAGGGTACACCATAATCCATATACAGATCTACAGCTTTTTTCCTAGCGTACTCGACAGATTGTGGCTTTTTTACCGTAAGATTGTGACGTTGTTGAAAAGCATACAGCCAGTCCTTGCCAGGAATTCCATTTTTAAAAGGTGTAGAAATCTCGTTGCGGTTTACATAATCTCCAACCATGTTTAAAATTTCTTCTCTACTCAGTCCAAATCCATTTTTTTCCATTATATGCAAGCATGAAACAAGTTTTTTCTCTATTTCAAAAGACGATGCATCTCACTCTTTTATTCACATGATCCATTATAGTCATCCGTGGAATTTGGTACAAAAGTGAAGCCTTGTACTCACTCATGGTTCTATTTTGGACCGCTCGAACGGCTTCTTGCAGTTTCTCGCTACAATACGAACCTTTGTTTGATTTTCTCCTATAATTTCGAACCATAGTTGTAGTCGCATACTGAAAAAACAATAACAAATGTGATGAAAAATATCGCTACTTAGAAATATTTGTAAATTTAACCAGATGTATATGATCAAAACCGAGGAAAATTATATCTTTAAAATCTTGTTTAAAGTTTTATGTAAAATTTAGAAAATTAAGAACTCACAACCGAAATTAAATGCCTCGTTATTGAAGTAAGTTATATTAGCAGAGATACAGAATAACACGTAATTAATATTTGGATTGGTAATACAATTATAAACAAGTTGATATTAAAAATTAATACACAAAGGTTTGCGATATATGTCCTTGGGGCAAGTCCGGCATATGACGGTCTTACCCCAGACGGAATAGACGGACTTCGCCACTTAAACATTTTATAAATAAATAATTTTCACAAGTTATAATTCTATATTTTTAAAATTTAATTCAAAAGAATTATTAAAAAATGCTAAAATATACACTAAACTATACACACACTTTAAAACAAAGCCGTAATTTACTTATTTCATTCTTACAAGTTCTTAAACACCACCACACTACACTCTGCTTTCGAGTTTGAAACACACTAAAACTTTGATTACTGTTTTTTCCGTTTGTCAATTACCTAGCGCCATCTGCAAAATCTATTTTTGACCGAAATACTATACTGTTTTATCGGCAGAATCGTAGGCAGCCTGACTATCGAAGTTTAGACAATATTGGAAGCATATGGACTAGCCCCGCAGACGGACTTCCCCACATTGACCCTAGTGACCATTTCATTACTAGGATATAACATCTTTAGCTTACTCATTATATCTTCAACTTCGTTTATATAAAGAATTGAGAATGGTGTACTAGATGCACGGATAAACGAAAGGGTGTTTTCTAGGTTCTGTAACTCATGATACATATCTTCTACGTTATCACCTATAATAAGTAAGTGATGTGCTAGATGGGCATATTTTATTAAGTCCGTATCCCTATTAGCGTCGCTTTCTAATATTATATTTAATGCTTTAGCCATTTTATCCTGGTTTGTGCCTATAAGTATGGCTATACTACTTATTATTTGAGAACTTTGTGAAAAATACTTTTTATTTCGACTGATATGATTATTTAATTCTAATTCTATTTTCTGTATGTTACTGCGTAAAACTTTAATGGCGTGGTCATATTTAAGTGCATCAGTGTAGTCTAAGTTACCGAAAATACTTTTTATAACAGCCTAGACCGTCAATGAGACCTCTTACTACGTACTACTCGAATGTGTTAAGTTTACTTATGATTGCTGTAATTTTACTATTGAGATGTTCTATATGAGGGTCAAAAAGGGATGAGGTTTTGTTGTTTAATAGGGGTCTTAGTTCAGCCATCTGGAATTTTAATAATTCAATGTGCAGATGAAGATTTCCTAAGTCTATATGACTTAAAAAAGAATGGTAATGGGAGATAATCTTTGCTGTTTCTAGTTTGAAGGGAAGTAGTCCTGTCCCGTTATCCAGAGAATCCATTGATACTCCTTGTCCGTCGGTTGTATAGAGCAGCGTCACCCATAGTAATATCCTGTAACAAGGTGGGGTTTTTAGGACTTCGCTTAAGGTGAGATTTTGCGACTGGACCGCGGGTTTTCTTTATATAGATATGAATTGGAAGGTCGGCTAGTACAATGTTCTGTATATATCTAGGCCAACTTTTGTCGTGACGCTATAGGATATTGAATAAAAACCTGCTGATCAGTGTTATAGTCTTTCTGGGGTTCCCTATGTTTATTCCGATTTTCGGTCAGTTGGGTCCGCTCGTGCAAAGATGTTTCATTAATCAGGTCGTACACTTGTGTCATACGTTTTCTATGGTCATGGGAATACTGCTGAAGTAAATGTTTGTATAAATCAATGTCTATATGATCACGTGGATCAAGATGTCCAGTTATCAATTCCAATGGTCTACACTTAGTGAAGCTATGTATAGAGCTATTGTATGCTAAAATGGCATATGGCATGAGATTAGCCACTGGTTTTTTTTTGTTGTTAATGATGTTGACATTCAACTCGCGAGTCTTGAAATAATTAGAGGGGGGTGGATTTCCGTGTTTCGTCCAGTCATGTGCTGTTATGGGCCTAGGCATAGGCTTGGGAATGAAATGGTTTACATCACTCATAGGTTTAGAGTCGTTACTAGTAGTAGGCACGCACCTTTGTTGAGATGTTCGAAATACGTTACTTTGGGGTCTATAGTGTGGTGGGGGAGCGCTAAGCATGTTGCGTTCGTGAAGGGCCACGATTTGGAGGTATCTGGAGTCTCCAACCTTGTATTGGTCTTGGTGGTTGAGAAGTAGGCCTTAAGGGACTTGACATATTGTTAAATTGAGGAGAGAAAGTAAATGGTCGCGAGAGTGGTATACTGAAAGGCTTGTTACTAGCTGGGTCATTACGTTGGTGTAAATATACTGTGTTAATTTCCTCTGGAACAAACTCAAATGCTTTTTCTATTGTATCCGGTCTCATACACCGAATACGTGAACCTAAAGGCTTCCCTAAGGCCACGAACAAACGCTTGTAAGGTCAACTTCTTATATAATATACGTTTTGATTCTATGGTAGGGGGTACAATTTCGTGTAAGGTTACAAGGTCATTATAGTGCTAAAAACGCTTTGTAATTTATCGTAAAATTCTTGAGGTGTTAACTGCTTCTGCGTTAAAAGAGCTAGATCGTTGTATAAAGCGGTCTCATCTCGTCTGGTCCGAGAAATTATTAATTAACGCATTTCTTATACCCTGCCAGTTCTCGGGAATGCCATTTGAATTTATAGTGCGGGCCGCATTTCCGGTAACTTTATTAAGGATTCCGTTTATTAACTCTAAATTAGTAAGCTCGAATTCAGGCTCCGCTGTAATAAATGGTGCAACTAATTGACCACATAAATATACAAACCGCGTGAGTACGTTCAGGTTTCCGTCGAATTCGGGTAACAGGCGTAAGGCCTTATACACTTGGTCTACTAAATCTACGCTCATTTTGTTATCTAATAAAGTACTAAAACCTGTACTTAGTTATTTTCTAAAATATTATCTATGTTCCTACGCGCATTGATTTGCGAGATTCTATTATATGACCCAGAGGTCCGCGACTTCCACGAGTGAAAAATTTTGGAAAACAGAATAAAACACACAAAGAAAATTAAATAATAAATAATTTTTTTTTTTAAAGTTCTGAAATATTTCCTAAGCTCCATTTCCATTCGCAACGATTTGCTATATTATATTGATAGGAACAAAGGAATAAAAAATAAAGGGAAATTAAAGATAGGAAAGGTAAGCAACTCTAGAAAGATTTTATTTATTTTATTGGGTTTGGTGCCGAGGTCGGCTCTAGCTACGTCGACCAGTTATGGTCCATTGTAGCTCCCTTTGGAATGAATTAAAGTTCTCCGCTTAGTCCTGTTGACTCCAGGAACTTCCAGATTTTCTGAGCGGGCAGCATCTGTATCTCTTCTGGTTGCATAATATGCTGCCCTAGATAGATACTTCTGCGGTGCATGAGTGAACCGCACGAGCAGAGGATGTGCATAGCAGTTTCCTCTGTCTCATGGCATAGTCTACACATTGCGGTCTGACTGAGGCTAAATCCAAACGCTCGCGGCGTTCTCTGGTCGCAGTTACGTCAGCGAGGAAGGTGTGGAAGGAGATCATAGGGGCGAACTTCGTCTCGTATGATCTGTGTCCCATGGTGTCGAGAACGCCAAAATGCCCTTGACGATTGGGCTCACTCGCTGTTACGTAGTGGTGCACTCCGGTCCCATCAGTAAAGTCACCCAATCCTGAAAGATAGGTGGCAGCGCCAGCCCCGACTACCGACTCATATCCCTCTATAAAAGCGATCAGCCTCTGCTGATCGTGGGAGGCGTCTCCGCGTTTTTGCGCTAGAAGCGCAATCTTGTACACCACATGAGGTGATGGTAGTATGTGAACGCCGATAGAGGTATCGTCTTACTAAAATGTCGGTCGCAGTCCGAAATCGCAGCATATTCTTTTTCGACTAAGTCGACTTATCCAGTAGCGTCAGCCTTACAGTCCTTGACAGCTTCTTCGTGACTGAGGCCCCGTTCTCCATCCAAAACAAAAGCGTTTAGCCATAGCGGATCATTTGTTAAAGCGGTGCTTGATGTCGATTGCTTTGCTGGCTGTCTTGGGCGGAGGAAGGACTTACGCCTCGGAGGCGGCAAGCCTGCTGACGCGCTGAAAGGTTGTTGCGTTTCAGAATTATTAGTCGCCATCACGGCTAGTTCACCTTTTACCATATAGATAAAAAGATTTAGGTACTCACCAAATAATTTGCATCTCTCTGCTTGTGTCGATTTTTAGACGCTCCTCCCGGCCACAGCTCCCGTAGATCCTGAAGATAGTCGCCGTCGGTGAACGATTCACTAACTATACTACGACTATCCTACCGACTGCTCCAATTATGTTTGGAGGCAGCCAGGGGATGCAAAGAAATTCAAATTAAATTATAATTAATTTATTAACTAAAATTCTTACAATTACTATGGTGTATGGTGAGTACTAAGTGACTAATGATCAATGTTAGATCAATGAGTAAAGATGTAAATAAGTAATGCCCATATATACGGCATTTCTTATAGGAAGTTAGTATTTGGCATAGTTGAATGTACTTGACTTGCTGCGCTTGCGCATGCGCTAGCGCCTGCGGCCGGCACGTCGTCTCGTCGCTTGTGCGTGAGATTTGATGCTTATGCGGTCGTTTGGCTTTGCGTAACAAATCTCCTTTTTACACATAAAATTCACCTAAAACTTAATTTACATCGACTTTCTAAAGTTAAAAAGCGCAGTAAGCTGCTTGAACGGATTCCGGGCCACACTGTGTCCGTCACTTAAACGACGAATATCGAAACGCGCACAAAATTGTCGACGAGCAATGGTGCACGAATCGTTGCTTTTAAAGTACGCTTCTACTGCGATCGCGCATTGCTCACTGGTCCACCGCGACATTGTGACTAAACAATCCGCACGAATGCCGCGTCGAACGTCGCCCCTCTCCTGTTTCCTCGTGTAATGGTTTTAAAAATATTTAAATTTTAAGCTGTAAAACTGCAACGGTCCACTCTGTATTTACCTTCATTAATGAAATCAGCTATGTCTATGTCTGACATATAATAAAATTTTCAATTGCATGACGCAGCATAGCGCATTGATTTCGTTCGTGATTTTTTGCTGCAATTGAAATAAATTTTGTGGTAATGGATTATAACCTTTCTCTTGAGATAGCTCCATAAGAAAAAATCCGCAGGGGTTAAATCGGGACGCCACGGTGGCCAATTGATATCGATCGTATTGACGACTATACTAGCGGCACGCTATGATGGCCGGTTTGACACATTACAATAGTGATGTGGAATGTCAATTTATTCTCGAACAAAAAACAATTAAGTTTTGTTTTTGTACCTGATTAAATAGGTTTAATAAAACAAAAATGTATATGTTTATTTAATTTATTTGAACGAACTGAATATTTGAACGAAAATGAATATACATACTTTATATGCACACAAGAAACATATGAATACAAAAGATACCAAAAAAGGTGCCACAAAAGGCCATAATTAATCAGATTCGTCCATACTACTATTTTCACTGTCGTCACTGCTATCATCACATACATTAATAATTATATGTTCGTTTTCTATAATATTATCTATTTTCACATCTCTTTCATAATATTCCCTTATTAATTTAACAGTTCTATTCACAACCTTTTCCCAGTCTCCTTTAGTCACATGTTCACAAGCTTCTTCTAATAATTTTAGCATTTTTTTTTGTGGTAAATGGGGGTTCTGTATTGTGTCTTGCAGCATATCCCTTAATTTGAGCCCACACCAACTCAATCGCATTATACTCACAATGGTAAGGCGGTAACCGTATAACTCTGTGCCCATGTTCTAATGCTATTTCGTCAATGACGTATCGGATCTTGGTTGGTTTGTTTTCTTTTAAAAGACGTACTAATTCCGCTTTTAACATATTCATGTTTGCATCTACGCCATTTTTACGAAGCCATGCGACGATATCAGCTTTCTTTTGGGATTGGGCAGGTGGCTTGTCAATTTGCATCGAGTGGTATGGGGCGTTGTCCATAATTATAATAGATGGTTCAGGGAGGCTACACAACATTGAGGTAAACCATTCAGTAAACTTTTCTCCATTCATGTCTTCATGATAGTCTCCAGTGGTTTTTGACGCAAAAGCCATGAGAGAACCTTCGACAAACCCGTTGATGGTTCCGGCGTGACAAATTATAAGTCGCGATCCTTTTCCTACAGGAACTTTGGAAGTAGATGCTGCTGTGTCATCGTTCCAAGAACGGCCTACAGTATGGTTAGCATTAAGCCATGTTTCATCCAAGAACACAACATTTTGCCAATTTTTGATTTCTTTCACTTGCCGTAAAAAAGTATACCTTGCCATCGCTATATCAAATCTTTCCATCAATATTTTGCGTTTGTTACATTTTTTGTATCGAAATCCAATGGTCTTCAAAATCTTCGTTAAAGAACTTTCCCCACCGAAGAATAATCCAGCTTCCTTCAGTGAATGCACCAACTTTTTTCTTGTTGGATACTCCTTCTGTAAATAGTAGCCGTAAACATGTCTTCGGATAGCATCGGCATCAAAGCTATCGATGCCTACGACTGGTTTTGCTCGTTTTCTCTTTTTTGGTGTGTGAAGTTTATTTTCTTCTGTGCCAGTCTCGCCATATTTTTTTTTAGTTATCCGTCTAACAGTTCGTTGTCCAATATTAAGCGCATCAGCTACGCGTTCAACCACTGACGTTATAGGTAAAATTGGCCCTCCATTTTGAGCTTCACGATCGAAATAGTTACGAAGGCGTATTACGAACTCACGTGTCTGACTATTTAGAACAGTTCTCTGCGTACGTTCGGTCATATCGACGAAATCCACAACAAAGGGCTTGAACAGAGTCCAAATTAACGAGCAAGGGTCAACAGTAATGCAGTATCAATATTTGAAATCCAAAGCCAGGTCAAAACTATATCACAATCGCATTGCACTGACAGTTTATACTTTTCGAAGCAACGTCAATTCGAAACTGCTTTGTTTTGCATTGAGCATTGACGCGAGTTTGCCGGAGGTAGTAGTTGTGCTAGCCAGCGATCCTATGTGACGATCGTATTAGATTCCATTTTTAAAAATTTATTGATATTTTTTTGCGATTTCAGAGGTTTGTCCACATAGTGAAAATTGTTCATATTCACAAGTACATTCACCCCTTAAATGGTGCAAACTGATTTTTCTACACTTGTATACATTTAAGAAATCAATTTAATAAATAAATTTTGAGTCCTAAACCTAAAACTACATTCGATAAAATTTATGAATCTCTGCACATCACTATCGTCAATAAAGTAATACAATTATTTCCTTCAAAGTCGTTATCAATTAATACGGAACTTCATGAGAAACTACATTCGATAAAATTTATGAATCTCTGCACATCACTATCGTCAATAAAGTAATACAATTATTTCCTTCAAAGTCGTTATCAATTAATACGGAACTTCATGAGCGGACAAACGTCAAACCGGCCATCATAGCGTGCCGCTATTATAATGATTCTTCCTGGGAATAATTTGCGAAGGGCATCAAGCGCGTGTTTGTGATATAAGGTCATGAACGCAGTTGACCTCAAACTACGCTTATCAATTTGTAGGTAGGTAGTTTGTTATTATATGAGGACGCCTATGCGATGGCTGTGATGGAGATGTTGTTCCATGTGATGGCCTCCACGAGTGATACAGGCTTGACACCGCCGCAAAAGGTTATTACGGACAACTTCAAGCACATTTGTGTCTGATTTTATTTGTTCAGACGCTGCTACAATATGCCCACGCATTTCAGCTTCGGTGTCACAGATTTTCATAAACACAAATTGAAGTGACCCCACAGATAAAAATCATGCGGAGTCAAATCTGGAGACCGCGCTGGCCACGAAATTGGTCCACCCATACCGATCCACTGCTTTCCATACTGCTGGTTTAGATAGTCACGCACGGCTCTGGAAAAATGTGATGGGACACCGTCGTGCTGGAACGACATAGACCGATGAGCAGCTACATCCAAATCTTCTAATGCTTTATCTAGTCCTTCTCGTGAAAATGACAGTTAATTCGGTCCGTTCATCGTTTCATTTAAAAAGATCGGGCCAATTATTTGGTCACCTAGTATATCAGCCCAAACGTTTATTCGCCAACGATGTTGAAAATGGCTTGGTTTAATGCGTAAGGATTTAGCGTCGACCACCCATGTTCATTCCAGCTGTTAAAGACGCCTTTTCTATGAAAAGTATATTCATCGGTGAAATTAACGATTTTCAAATATTCAATGTCCTCTTCAATTTTCCTTAAAATCCATGCACAATATTCCACTCTAGGTTCATAATCACTGGGTAGTAAAGCTTGGACACGACGGTAGTGGAAAGAATGCTGGCCATCTTCTTTCAACACTGCATATCCAGAATCACCTACAAATAGAAATTAATTTTAACATAGTACCTACTGTCAGATAAATTACTGTCTGTGCATAATATTTTTTTTTCTATCAAAATCATTGTCTGTATTTAATCTGTACCCTATTATACAAGTTGTATATGCATACCTAAAAGCCAAAGGCGCTCTCCATTTCTTTCTAATCCTTCTAAAAATGCATCAACATGGAGGATGGTCAGTTTAGCATCACAAATCTGAAATCAAAACAAAGTTTGTTCTATCAAATTATGCAGGTACAAACTCACTACTGGAACAATCTTTTATTTTAATGCTATGTATTGCTATACTTTACAATGCTAATTATAATACACTTACTAGTAAAACATTCAAAGAATGGTAATTCTTTCTATTAAAATAGGTCTCCTCATGCTCCTTAGGACGTATTAAAGCCACATGTGTACCATCAATGCAACCTATAACACCTGGAAATCCATATTTCTCCATAAAACTGAAAAAAAAAAACAATTCAAAGTTTTAGGCTACTTGGGTAGGTATGTATCTACTAAGTACATAATTATTGTAACACTATTTAAATTTAAACTAACTCTCTCATAATTATTTCCTTTTCATGCTGTGTCATAGGAAACTTTATGTACTTCCTAAGGATTTCGCAGGTATTGGTGCACCAGTTACCTCATGTAGACATTTACTAAATGTTGGTTGCGACATGTTCAGTAGAAATGATGTACCTACATTCCGTTGATAGGATCCATTCGCATAAAAATTTAATGCTGCTAAAATCTACAATAGAAAGAAAGTCATCATCAGTCAGTTATAGTAACAGTGTAAATGAAAATATAAATTTACAAAATACCTAATGTCAAAAATACCTAATATTTAAAAAATACCTAATGTCAAAAAGCAAAAGACAGGTCAAAGTAAATGAACAGTGTTACTTACTTTGAGTTCATTGCGAACACCTGTATTTCGTCTAACTATTGGTAGACGAGGACTAAGTTCCACCCAAACCTGTTGGAATCCAAGTTTTGTTAAACGAAAATGTCCAATGAACTCTTTCTGGCAACTGCAATGGATCACAAGCGTCGCGCAGACGGCGTCTTTCAATTCGTAGAATATTACGTCTACGTTCTTCTTCCGCATATGCCAATAAGAAAGCGCGCGCCATTATGTTCACAAAGGCAAATGGGCAAATTGGCCCAAAGATACTAAAGTCTGTCCCCAGGGTTGGCACGTAGTGCATTCAAGAGTTTCATATACGGACCATTTCTTTATATGGAATCGTAAAAATCCAACCTACGGAAAAAGAAATAATGAATAAAAATATCCGAAAGTACGAATTTGGTAGATGAGTACATTAAAACGCAGACATTTTATTTAATTTTTATTTCAGTTATTATATATTTTCGTCATCTACAATAACAGAGTCTAAAAATGCTGCAAGGTGACTAACGGTGTCATATCGTGCCCATCCCAGAAACCATACAATAGACATTATGAGGGCGCATGAACCCAAGGTACGTCTGCCGCTTTTGCATGAACAGTAATAGTGTTCCAGAGCTTCCAGTCCTCGTTGGTCCAAGTTTATTAAAATGTATGTATAACATACGCGACTTCTTGTGTGTCTTGATTGTATTTATTGAGTGTATTGAAGTTATTACCAATTATAATTGATCAAAGCGTTATTTAAATCGTCGGTACTTTTGAATATTTCAATGGTGTAAACACCATTTCTATCGTGTTCTGCGTAATAACTTCTGGCTAGTTTTATTTGATATGTCCCCAGTGAGAACATAATTAAATCGTTTTCGGACAAACGAGGAAAATCTTGAAGCTCTGGTAAGTCGGCAGACATACTTTGAAAATTCACTCTTCTACTATTAAGATTTTGGCCAATAACATATTCTGCTAGTAAGTTTTCAACATTTAGTCTATTATTTATTCTCTCAACAATTTCGTGGGCATTGGAACAATCGGTTATTGGGTCGTGAAAGGCATTGGTGATGGCTGCGGCAATCCGAAAGTCATCTTGCATATGCAGTAACGCTTTGTTAAAATATTCTTGTCTGAATAACTTGAAGTCACGTTTGAAATGGCCATTCACCACTTCCACGACCCACCGACAAATAGTCACCATTCTTGACTTATTGGCATCTATTGTTTAAAGTTGCGTTTGGCCTCTAGCTACAGATAGGGGCATATGCATTTCATAGCCGCAAGCTTCAACATCAGGTAAAGCATCTCTATTTTTTTTTTATTTCTGTTTTGCGGCTATATGGTATCACTGCGACCATTTCTGGTTTTATTGGAATATAGTCATAAACCAGAACATATTGTCTATTACACGTTATATTTATAATCTATGATACACTTAAGCGTCTACTCTGCTTTGTCTTTGCCTCTCTCTCTCGTTCTCGTTGTAAACCGGTGTCATGTACATTCTCGAATCTCAATATTGTAATAATTGTAATACTGTGATTAAAACACCTAATACAATAATATTGCTTTATTTCATCAGGTTATGAGCCCAGGTCGCCTAATAAGTGATAATATAGTAAAAGCAATTCCGATTGTTAAAATAAAAGTAGATTACATTTCTTTGTTAAATTCACGCGGTACGAAGTTCGTAATTTTTCTGATTTTTAGGTTAGCATAGCTGGTATTACGTGTAAAGATTTGCACTGACATAAAATGGCTATGTCTAATAATATTCATATTGACAAACTATTAGGAAGAGAGAATTACAGCACGTGGAAATTCGCAGTACAGACATATTTACAACATGAAGACTTATGGAGCTGTGTTGAATCTTCCGAAAACATTCCGGTAAATCCGAAGCTCGACCTCAAAGCTAAGTCGAAAATCATACTACTTGTGGACCCAGTAAACTACATACATGTCCAAGATGCGAAGACTTCCACTGAGGTATGGCAAAATTTACAAAATGCATTTGAAGATTCAGGTTTAACTAGGAGAGTCGGTCTATTAAGAGACTTAGTCAATACAACTTTAGATGGTTGTTCAAATATTGAGGAATATGTTAATTAGTTGATAACCACAGCACATAAATTAAGAAATATAGATTTCTCTATAGATGATGAATGGTTAGGGACTTTAATGTTGGCTGGTTTGCCGGAGATATACAAACCAATGATTATGGGACTGGAAAGCTCGGGTGTAAAGATAAATACAGACTCAATCAAAACTAAATTACTACAAGAAGTTAAGGAGTCTAATGTCTCTGTACTATACACAAAGCACAAATATATTCCCAGAAATAATAAGAGTAAAAAGCCAACCATTGGTCCTCGTTGTTATAACTGTAATGAGTATGGGCACTTAAGTAAATTTTGTAATAACAATAAAAAGAAAGTTAACAATAAAGGTTTTGCAGCAGTGTTCTCAGCAGCTCATGGACAAGTAGACAAAGTGGAATGGTATGTGGATTCTGGAGCCTCCTTACATATGACTAACATATCAGATTGGATGTATGATATCCGGGCAGCTCCGATAGATCATATTAAAGTTGCTAATAATACATCAGTTGCAGTGAAGCAAATGGGCAATGTGAATATTGATTTGGTTGGTAAGTATGGCACAATAAATCACATACAGGTGAGAGATATACTTTATGTTCCACAACTTAGTACTAATTTATTATCAGTCAGCCAGCTAGCAAAGAATGGATGTCAAGTAATTTTTAAAGATAAGAGCTGTGAAATATATAATGAGCAAAAGCAATTAATGACAACTGCATATCTTTCTAATATTATGTACAAGTTGAATACATTTAAAGGAAATTTAGCATTTCTGTCAGCTGTGGAGTGTCAGAATATTGATCTGTGGCATCGGAGGATGGGGCATCTCAACTACAATGACTTAAGTAGGCTTCCTTTGTGCACTGAAGGTACTGGTATCATACATCAGACGACATCTCCGTACACACCAGAACAAAATGGGCTTGCAGAGCGCATGAATCGCACTCTTGCTGAGCGTGCCAGATGTATGTTGTTTGATGCTGGATTATCAAAAGTATATTGGGCAGAGGCAGTAGAGATAGCTGCTCATATAATCAATCGCTCTCCGACTAGAGTCCTTAACTATGTGACACCATTGGAAAAACGGACAGGTATGAAACCAAAAGTTTCTCATATTAGAGTGTTTGGTTGTAAAGCTATGGTTCACGTGCCGAAGGAAAAGAGACTAAAGTGGGATCCGAGATCTAAAGAAATGATATTTCTAGGATATTGTGAAAGTACCAAAGGGTACAGACTGATGGATCCATGCACCAAGAAAATTATTAAAAGTAGAAATGTGCTTTTTCAAGAGGATTGCTGTATAAAGATTAATGATTCTGCAGCTAGTATCACAAATCATGATATTACATATGAACCAAGCAGCGATTGTACATTTGATTCACCTACAAATTTTATAAATCTCAGACCTCGACGAGGGCAACAAAGATGTACAGAAAATGAAGATGATGAGGTTAATTATGCGTGTATGGTTTTAAGTCAGGATCCATTAACTTTAGAAGAAGCTTTCTTAAGCTCCGAATCTGATCAATGGCAGAAGGCCATAGAAGATGAGTTTCAGTCATTAAAAAAAAATAACACTTGGATATTGTGTGACTTACCTCCTGGGAAGAAAGCCATATCTTGTAAATGGGTTTTTAAGACGAAAAAGAATGCAACTGGTGAAATAGCTAAATATAAAGCGAGGCTAGTAATTAAAGGCTGTGCTCAAAAGAAAGGCTTGGATTACAATGAAGTTTTTGTTTTTTTGTTTTTATATGGATTTTATTTTTTTATCGTTTTACTTTTTATATTTTTATATTTTGTTTTAAATATTTATTTTTTATTTTAAGTTAAAAAGAATATGGAGAGGGTTAATATAGTTTAAAAATAAAATTTTAACCTTAAATTTATTCATTTAAGGAGATCAATTTGGTAGTGATCCCGTCCTTGCAGCAACCATTAATAAAGAATGGGACGGGTCTTCAACTCGCATGGTCTCTAAGGCCTCACAACACTTAGTATTGACAAAAAGTGCTTCATCAGTAGGATAAATTTTTGTTTGATAAAACAATTTCACCTTTGACATGACTTCCAACCTAGAAGCCTCAGGGGTAGCAGCTGATTCAAAACCAGCCTTGTAATAATTTAAAAGTTCATCCAATGGAGTGAAATTTTTTTCTTTCTTTTGAATGATGTCATCTAACCGAATCGCTACAAACAACATTATAGCATGAATGTGTCCTGCTTTCTCTGTTTTCTTTGGATGCAATGATGGCAAGAAAGGACAGCATATAGCATGAGATAATTCAGAAGTAGTTATGACTTTGACAGTCCTGGATCCGGTTGCCTCTGCCCCTCTTCCTTCCAATAACTCAACTACTCCTGGGATTGAATGGTAAGGAACAGTTTCTTTGACTGCCCTCATGTGGAACATCCTTACCGCAACGGATGGCAAAACGCCAGCGATTCTGGGTAGTGTAATGTCTCTTGAACCCAACTGAGTCCCTGAAGCTCTTGTTTCATCGTTGATTTCATATTTCTGCTTAAACATCTCAAGTATATCAGACAGTCCACTGATAGACTTTTTTATGATTTTGCTGATGTGATTGTTCCTCAAAAGGAACATCATGATCAGAAATTCCAAATCTTTGGCGAGGGACTGCTGGTTGGTAATTATGTTCCCTAGTTCTGACCCATCATGAACCTTAAAGTCGTCACCAGCATTGTTTAGATCCCATTCCTGCCTCGTCGGATTAGCTTCCATGTAGGCCTTCCTGTTTCTCACTAATTGCCTCAGTATAACTTTAGGGTCAAAACCCTGGAATTCTAAGGCAGACCTAAGCAACTTCAAATAATCTAATTCAGGATTGACTAGCAAGTTAAATTCAGCTTTGGTCAATTCTGCCTTGATATCTTCGTCTTCATGATAATATGCTAATGCACTTGATAGCGTCAAAGACTCCATCCTGCCGTGTGATTCTTTGAACAAAATGATCAGATCACTCTCTTTTATTGACAGAATTTTGATTTCAACAATTTATTTAACAGATCAAAATTTTAGCCTGACAATGTGTGTATAGAGTGATATCCGGCTCGAAGGACCAAAACTTTATGGTGGAGCAAGTGGACTGTATTTTGGGGGATGCGGGAAGGCGTATTACCTCCCGAGAAGGGAACCCCTGCCGGTGATGGACACACCACATGCAAAAAAACATAAGTTCAGGGACTCACCTTCTGCTGCAACTCCTATCTCCGCTTCCATGTAAATTAGCACAGGGCACTTAAAGTTCGTATAGTACACAGTAAATAAAAAGTTTATAAAGCGTATAGGCGCGGTCAACCTGCGCGCGCGCGGTGCGGGATAATAGTTAATTACGCGGAAGCCGTGTTAATTGCTACACGACGGTGTAACGACGACTGGGGTGAGTGCATTAGCGCACTCACGCGGCTAATCCCATCACAATTGCCTATTTGCAAAATAGCGCAACCATCCCCCCAGCCTTTAGGGTTTCCCTAAACAAGAAAAAAAGGGATGGGAAAGGAATATAATGAGAATTAAGGATGGGATAAAAAATTATAAATGCGGAACGAAATGAAGCGGATGAGATGCGTCGCGGATGCTAGCGGAATATAAATTAAAACGCGGAAATAAACTATAATGTAACTTAGTAACTATGAAGTAAGTTAAACTAAAGATTTAACGTAAACTAAATGCGACTAAAACTAAATGAAAATGTATATGAACTTTACTGATTGGGCAAAGGACAAAGTTTTGCCACTGGGCGCACGTAAGTTCCGGTTTGCGTGCGCACACGCGCTACCCTGATAACACCATCGGAGCCAGGGTGGACCTCGTCTATGACAGCAAGAGGCCAATTAAGCGGTGAACAATTATCTGATTTTACAATAACAATCAAGCCTTTCCTAACTGGGTTGGATGGCGTGTTCCATTTTAAACGCGTTTGCAACTCTGAAGGATACTCCTTTCGCCACCGATTCCAGTAACTTTGAACAAGCTTGTCGAGTAATTGTTTGCGATGTAATAAATTAAGATTTGCATTTTCGCATGGAATGGAATGAAACGAAGTCAATGGACCTAACGTTAAAAAATGAGACGGGGTTAACGCGGTTGGTTCGGAAGGATCCGAACTCATGACAGTAAGTGGACGCGAATTGAGCACGCACTCAATTTGTGTAAGCAATGTATACATTTCTTCGTAGGTAAGCAACGTCTCGCCTACGACGCGTTTGAGATGAAGTTTGACACTACGTATGTTAGTCTCCCATAAGGATTTATTTAAACGTCATCCTACGCGGAGTAAACCATCCTTATGAACGAACGGCGCATATGGTAACAAAGATTTCGAGACTTTGCGGTGTGAATTGATTGCCGAAATGTCGTTCTTAAAGACATGCGATTGTAAACAACGAAGAATAGTTACCTTAGCAACCTTAAGGTGTTCAAACTATAAAAAGTCAGAGCGCGGAAGTTTACGAGTGAATTTTAAAATATAAACAATGATACGAAGTAGTTTGTCCCACGAGGACACGCGTGACGCGAGTTGAAGAAGAAAATTTTCTTCAGCGACTACGGTTGCGGTGCAGACAATAAGAGATGGATTAATATTCTTATATTCATAAACTTTATCATTTGCGGTGTCATCAAATGTGAACCTATAGAGAGGCCACGACGCGGGGTTGTCACGAGCCCATTGCGGGCCGTGCATCCATAGCGGATGAACTAATAGTTGCGCGGGAGATAAACCTCTAGAGATGCAGTGACTAGGGTTTTGATTTCCATCAACATGGAAAAAATGACGCGGCGCGAGATACTCTTGTTCTTAGAAATACGATTGGCCACAAAGGTGTCAAATCGGTGCGGAGACGAATGAGTCCAGTGTAAAGCCACGGACGAATCAGTAAAAGCAAACACGTCATCAACTGTACAACGTGTCGCTATTGAGTCGCGGATAAAATTAAGCAGCTGTGCCATGATCAACACAGCGCAGAATTCTAGCCTGGCCAGCGAGACGGTACGTGTCGGAGCGACGCGACTCTTGGCCATGGCCAGCGTGACGCGGTTTGGTTCTCCTGGAACCACAACACAAATATAAACAACGGCTCCATAGGAGCTCACTTGCGTCAGAAAAACCAAGAAGAAAAACGCGGTGTGTATCAGATGTGATACCAAAAAATCGCGGTATTTGAAAATTATGTAAAAGTGGTAACTCATTTATAAAAGTTTTCCACGCGATGCAAATATGTTCAGACGGCGAGTCGTCCCAACCGATATGGGCGAGCCATAAAGCTTGAATTAATAATTTCGCATATAAAACTACTGGAGCACAAAAACCGTTGAGATCCCATAGTTTAGCTACGGTAGACAACATGAGACGCTTTGTACACTCAGCCCGCGGGGTAAAATTAATAGCAATACGAAAAATATCTTCGCGGGGACACCAACTTAAGCCTAAGATTTTAAGTGAATCATCATTGTCAAACTGAACCTGGTTTGACAAGCGATTTTCAACCGGGATCGCGTTCAATACCTCTGTCGAATTACTAACAAATTTAACTAAGTTTAATCCGCCGCATCTTAACAGTTCAATTAAATCCTGTGCCAGGCTAGCGCCATCTGCAGACGAACGAGTCGAAATACACAAATCGTCCATATATATGTAGTGTGACGCTATATCAGCAGCAAGCGGAAAATTCTGCTGCTGCTCAGAAGCGAGCTGTCGTAGAGCGCGCATTGCGAGATAAGGACTGCAGCGCAGGCCGAAGCAAACGCGGTTAAAATTATATAATTTTACGTCGCTTTCATTCGCAAACCTATAAATAATATTTAAGAAACGACGATCCGATTTGCGAACTATTAAATTTAAAAACATTTGTTTAATATCAGCGGTAAATGCAATTTTAAAAAGTCGAAAATTTAAAATAATAGCGGTGAGGTCTGTTTGTAAGTTAGGGCCTGAGTGTAAGCAATCGTTTAAAGACATTCCTGACGTTGTCTTGTGACTAGCGTCTAATACGACACGAAGTTTAGTAGTAAGTTTATTTGAGCGACAAACACCATTATGCGGTATAACGTAGTATGGATCCTCCACGTTCAATGGAGGCGCGGGTTCGATATTTCCATTTTTTAAATATTCGCGGAACATCGCGTCGTATTCCTCACGAAGAAGAGGGTTTAAATTAAATTTTCGCTCCAAAATGTTATAGCGACGACGCGCAGAAACTAGAGAATCCCCTAAGCAAGAAGGATCGCGGTTAAACGGTAACGCGGTAACGAAGCGACCAGTGCTATCGCGGGACGTAGTAGAAACAAAGAACTATTCGCACTGGTGCTCAGCTATTGTCGAATCAATTTGTTAACAATGGACTGCCAATTTGCTTTATATACTACGTATATCTTGGTGGTTGTTGCTCGATATGCATGAAAAATATATTCTAACCTTTGGAATATTCGAATGGTAGTTTGGTTATTATGTAGTTGCCAATGGCAAGGCGTCAGTGAATAAATTTTATGTAAAGTTTTTGAAATCCTGTTAACTTATTGAAACTATATGTAAAGTTCTTATCTATTTAAAACGTACCTAGTTCGATTATTAATTTCTTGTTGTACCTAAACAAGTCAAGTTGCTTAGTTTCAGAGACTGAAGTATTTCGGAAACTGTACATTAAACATATTATAAATAACAAAAAGAAAGATATAGTTTTTTAGAATAATTAAAAAACGTCATGATGCCCTACCATTAAGCTTGTAAGGATGGATGATTATAATTAGGAGTATTACAAATGTACAGAATTATATTTCAATGCAGTACCTATGCCATATCAAACTCCCACTAACTTATTCTGATTTTAAATATTTATTTTACACTTAAAGTAAAATGCGTTATAAATGTAAATTTTACTCAGCAATGCATTGCATATCAACCAAGCAGCGATTGTACATTTGATTCACCTACAAATTTTATAAATCTCAGACCTCGACGAGGGCAACAAAGATGTATTGAAAATGAAGATGATGAGGTTAATTATGCGTGTATGGTTTTAAGTCAGGATCCATTAACTTTAGAAGAAGCTTTCTTAAGCTCCGAATCTGATCAATGGCAGAAGGCCATGGAAGATGAGTTTCAGTCATAAAAAAAAATAACACTTGGATATTGTGTGACTTACCTCCTGGGAAGAAAGCCATATCTTGTAAATGGGTTTTTAAGACGAAAAAGAATGCAACTGGTGAAATAGCTAAATATAAAGCGAGGCTAGTAATTAAAGGCTGTGCTCAAAAGAAAGGCTTGGATTACAATGAAGTTTTTGTTTTTTTGTTTTTTTATGGATTTTATTTTTTTATCGTTTTACTTTTTATATTTTTATATTTTGTTTTAAATATTTATTTTTTATTTTAAGTTAAAAAGAATATGGAGAGGGTTAATATAGTTTAAAAATAAAATTTTAACCTTAAATTTATTCATTTAAGGAGATCAATTTGGTAGTGATCCCGTCCTTGCAGCAACCATTAATAAAGAATGGGACGGGTCTTCAACTCGCATGGTCTCTAAGGCCTCACAACACTTAGTATTGACAAAAAGTGCTTCATCAGTAGGATAAATTTTTGTTTGATAAAACAATTTCACCTTTGACATGACTTCCAACCTAGAAGCCTCAGGGGTAGCAGCTGATTCAAAACCAGCCTTGTAATAATTTAAAAGTTCATCCAATGGAGTGAAATTTTTTTCTTTCTTTTGAATGATGTCATCTAACCGAATCGCTACAAACAACATTATAGCATGAATGTGTCCTGCTTTCTCTGTTTTCTTTGGATGCAATGATGGCAAGAAAGGACAGCATATAGCATGAGATAATTCAGAAGTAGTTATGACTTTGACAGTCCTGGATCCGGTTGCCTCTGCCCCTCTTCCTTCCAATAACTCAACTACTCCTGGGATTGAATGGTAAGGAACAGTTTCTTTGACTGCCCTCATGTGGAACATCCTTACCGCAACGGATGGCAAAACGCCAGCGATTCTGGGTAGTGTAATGTCTCTTGAACCCAACTGAGTCCCTGAAGCTCTTGTTTCATCGTTGATTTCATATTTCTGCTTAAACATCTCAAGTATATCAGACAGTCCACTGATAGACTTTTTTATGATTTTGCTGATGTGATTCTTCCTCAACCCCCTAACTTTGAAGAAAATAACACACAAGTATGTTTGTTACAAAAATCCTTATATGGATTAAAGCAAGCCAGCAGACAATGGAACAAAAAACTAAATGGTACACTAAGAGAAATTGGCTTAAAACTATCACTCCTTGATCCTTGCATCTATTACAGAATAAATAGAGAAGATATATCATTTTTAGCAGTATATGTAGATGATCTGATATTGTTCACAAATGTAACAGAAACTAAAAGTTATATTAAAAATAAGTTATTCACTAAATATGAAATGAAAGATTTAGGTCAACTAAAATATTGTTTAGGACTACATGTATCCAGAGATAGAAACAAAGGAATTTTATGTATTGATCAACAAAAATATATACAAGAAGTATTGCAAAAATATGGAATGCAAAACTGTAAAAATGTAAACACGCCAATTGATCCGAAGACGAAGCTTATTTTTGATGAGAAGTCAGACATAATTTCCGATAAACCATATCAAGAAATTATTGGATGTCTATTATATTTGGGACGCGCCCTGATATATCTTATGCTGTGAATACTCTTAGTAAATTTAATACAAGGCCCCAAATTCAGCACTGGGTTGCACTCAAACGAGTTTTAAGATATTTAAAGTTCACTGAAAATTATGTACTGACATATAAGAAGAATGATAATGAAACACTATTTGCTTATTGTGATGCTGACTGGGCAAGCAGTGATAATGACAGAAGATCATGCACTAGCTATGTATTTATTCATCAAGGTGCTGCAATATCGTGGAACTCACGACGGCAACAAACAGTTGCATTATCAACCACTGAAGCGGAATACATGTCTTTATCAAGTTGCACTCAAGAGGCAATATGGCTTAAACAAATACAAGAAGAATTTTGGCCACATTTAAACAGTATACCTATAATAATTTTTTGTGATAATCAAAGTGCAATTAAACTTGCAGGTTCTGAAAACTATCATTCCAGGTCGAAGCATATTGATGTAAGACACCACTTTGTTCGTGACAAGTTACACTTGAAGAAAATTGCTATTGAATAGATCCAGACAGGCGAGATGGTGGCCGATGCGTTGACTAAAGGTACTCCGCAGATGAAGCTCAACTACTGCTCTTCGAAGATGGGTTTATGTCTAAGGGAGGATATTGGAATATAGCCATAAACCAGAACATATTGTCTATTACACGTTATATTTATAATCTATGATACACTTAAGCGTCTACTCTGCTTTGTCTTTGTCTCTCTCTCTCGTTCTTGTTGTAAACCGGTGTCATGTACATTCTCGAATCTCAATATTGTAATAATTGTAATACTGTGATTAAAACACCTAATACAATAATATTGCTTTATTTCATCATTGTGATTTCGTAATTTCCGAAGTACCTCTCGCAGGATGCTAATGCGTCGTATTCTTTTTCTATAAGTTCTACATACCCGACAACGTCGGCTGGAGCCTCTTTTATGCCTTCTGAAACAGTAAGGCCATGGTCGCCCTCACGCACGAAGGAATCGAGCCAGAGTGGGTCATTAGTTAATGGAGTCGATGTGGTTGACGGTTTGGCTGGTGTTGGAAATTCCTTGTTTTTAAAGTGTGGTCGTGGACGAGGAAAAGGCTTTTTAGCCCTGGTCGGAGGAGGTAGACCTGTCGCATTCGTAGCATTTGCTGAAGTGCTTGGAGTTGCCATCATGGCGAGCCTCTTTATCACCGTAGTACTAAAAAGCATCTCTAAAACATCGGTCTAGTATTAGAACGTCACCTGGTCTGAAAAACCAGTTAAAAACACTATTTTCAGCGTTCAGCATGCCACTTAATATAGTCGCGTCTGATGTTGTGGCTGCGTAAGACCCTGTGACATCAATAATATAACCATTGCAACAGACTATCAAAAATGGTTAATAGGTTTTTTATTAATAGCAAAACTTTCGTTGAGCTAAGGTCGCAGAATCGTTATTTCGATAATACTCTCGTACACGAAACGCACGTTGACTACCGCTGAACGAAGCCATGGTACTGAATTCCCATTGGCCGCTCTAGCTATGCCTAACCCGTTCACCCCCCTCCGCCGCCGCTGCTAGACGCGGCAACCGATTCAAATTTTAACGGACTTTTGTCCACCCTGTATTTGGTGCCCTTAAAACATGCGATAGATGTATCGTAGATTGTTGTCTTGCGTGTTGTTCTCTCGCAGGTTGTTCTGCAGGTTCTTATCTTATTTGAGTTTTATCCCGAGGGTTTTTAAAATATATTATACAACTCGAGTTTAAAGAAATGTCTCTTTGACGTTTACCCTGATGAAATAAATTTTGTGTTAAATAAAATACACTAAGATTCCTGTGATGACTACCTTTTGTAAATATATCCACAATTCTTCCATCAGACTCTCTCATTAGATCATCAATAATAACAAGATGTGGGTTTTCACCATCAAACATATTGAGATTTGGAATTCCTTGATGATAGTAACATTTGGTAAATTATATAAAGGTTGCATTTCGTCAAAACACCGTGTGATCTGGCTAAAATCACAATTACATATTTCTTTAACTGATTTTCATGGACGGTACCTGAAGTCGAAATATAGAAATTAATTGCTTTAAAGTACGCGTATGTAAAACCTAATTCCGAACAAGCGTGATAATTTGTTTTGAGCGCAAGTCGATTTTGCGTACAAATATCAGCAATTAAATCTAACCTGCGTGGGCTTATTTTATCATACATACAGATGTTTGCCATAAAATTGGGCGCCAAGTGCAGTGTAACCGATTGAAAAAACTAACTTTTATTTTATTATAATGTGCTCACCGAAAGTAATAAAATGAACATTAAAAAACTCTAGTAGCCTACGAACATCACGATTTATAGCTTAGTGTAGCGTTAGATGTCTCGATAATAAAATCACGACACTAAGAATTAGTATTAGCTCTTCATATACAGGTGTCCCAGAACTCAACGTCAAGCCGAAACGGGGCGACAGGATTGATTGTAACCATCATGAAAAAAATCAGAAAATAAATCTATCCCATGCAGTTTGAAAATTATGGACATTTAAGAAAAACCTAAAAATTTGGTCACACTGTAATCATTTTTCGGTTATTGTGGTTAATTTTTATTATTTTTGTTCATTTAAACTTTGGAACCGTAACCCTAAATAACATTTCTAGAATCACAGTCAAAAATAATGACACAATTGCCCCAAGTTTCCTAGAATTAAGACTATTTGTTAAACTATAAATTTAAAATTTTCAAAATTTGTCAACTTTGAAAGGTCCTCCTTTAAAAAAAATGTATTAGAGCGCCTTGGCAAGTACCGTTAAAAGTTAGCGTATTTAATCAGGATTGTAAAATGGTACAATACTTGTTAGTTTCATACTAAATAAAACGAGTAAAAAAATAAAAACCTCAAGTAACCCGATTTTTGCTAACCCATTTTACTCAGTTAAAATGATTTTTATTCGCACAAGCTCTTGGTAGGTTCTTAATTTTACGGCAAAATGATGAGAGAGATGGGTAGTGGACATGTTTGCCATGAGCGAGCGAGACAGTGACGCCACTTTTACCAAAGTCAACAAAAGTAAGTAAAATTAATAAAATAATGAAAAATCTTGACCTAGTTTAGTTTAGGTTTATTGGAATAATAAAAGTCAGATAGGGAAATAACATTTTTTATTACAACAAATGTTCAAATTGTTTACCATTAGCTTCAATACACGCCCTACTTCTTCTTACAAACGATCTACTTATTAGCCTGGCATATCCTCGAGAGTTGATGTCCTCAGCAGCTTGAGAAATTCGTTCACGCAGGTCGGCTACGCTCTCAAAGGGCTTTGAATACGCCCCAATAAAAAAAGTCCAGGGGATTTAAATCTGGGGAACGGGCTGGCCACGAGATAGTGCCTGAACGACCAATCCACCTTCCCGGATATTGATGGTCAAGGAAATGTCTTACTTGCACTGCGTAATGCGCTGGACAGCCATCTTGTTGATACCACATGTGACGACGATCTGCTAGTGGTCCGTCCTCAAATAAGGTTGGTAACTTTTCTCGTAAAAAATGTAGGTAATTCGTGCCATTCAAGTTTTCAGGCAGCTCAAAAGGCCCAACAATTTTGCCGTTTAATATTCCGGTCCACAGGTTTACTTTAAAGCGATACTGGGATCTGTCTTCTCGCATTAAATGTGGATTCTCCACATGCCACTCGTGAAAATTGTGTAAGTTTATGTACCCATCTTTTTTAAATGTAGATTCATCTGACCAGAGAATTTTTCGGATGAATTGGGGATTTTCATTATGCCTCTGTAGCATGGTTCTACAAAATGAAATCCTTTCAGGATAATCTCGAGGGAGAAGACTTTGAACTCGTTGTACGTGAAACGGATGCATTTCGGTTTGTAAAATACGATGTGCTGTGCTTTTGGGTATTCCCGTTCTTTCTTCAATTCCACGAACGGAAATACTTGGATCATCTGCGACCTCTTCCAACACTTCTTCCTCGTAAGAAAAGCAAGGTCTACCTCCAGCATGTATTTGATTCGGGAAATAGCCGCCCTCCGTGAGTGAATGGTGCAAATTAACAAACACGCGGTGATCCGGATAGCGCTCTAGATTTGGATATCTTTCACGATAAAGTCTAGCGGCAGCACTTGCGTTGCATCTGCATTCCCCATAAATGAGGTGCATGTTCGCATATTCTTGTGAAGTGTAGCGCGTAGGCATGGTAGATAACAAGGATGCCAAGACAAAAGTACAATTCCAAAAAGAGAAGCCAAAGTTGTCAGTACTAAATTAACACACGCGAATACGGAAAGGTGCGCAGTAGACGAATGAGCTTGGTATGGCATCTGTATCTGTTTAATTCGCACTCGGTTAAACGACGCATCTTCGTCTCACTGCGTGGCGTCACTATCTGTCTCGCTCGCTCATGGCAAACATGTCCACTACCCATCTCTCTCATCATTTTGCCGTAAAATTAAGAACCTACCAAGAGCTTGTGCGAATAAAAATCATTTTAACTGAGTAAAATGGGTTAGCAAAAATCGGGATACTTGAGGTTTTTATTTTTTTACTCGTTTTATTTAGTATGAAACTAACAAGTATTGTACCATTTTACAATCCTGATTAAATACGCTAACTTTTAACGGTACTTGCCAAGGCGCTCTAATACATTTTTTTTAAAGGAGGACCTTTCAAAGTTGACAAATTTTGAAAATTTTAAATTTATAGTTTAACAAATAGTCTTAATTCTAGGAAACTTGGGGCAATTGTGTCATTATTTTTGACTGTGATTCTAGAAATGTTATTTAGGGTTACGGTTCCAAAGTTTAAATGAACAAAAATAATAAAAATTAACCACAATAACCGAAAAATGATTACAGTGTGACCAAATTTTTAGGTTTTTCTTAAATGTCCATAATTTTCAAACTGCATGGGATAGATTTATTTTCTGATTTTTTTCATGATGGTTACAATCAATCCTGTCGCCCCGTTTCGGCTTGACGTTGAGTTCTGGGACACCCTGTATATACCCCTGTGCAGCGGAACGCCGCGCCGCTGCCATTTCGCACTAGGACGCTTAAATAAGAGTAAGTATCTAGACTATCTTTCTTTTTTTCGAGAACATTAAACACGTGTTAAGTGTTTGAACTAATTGTCAGTGATCGATTAAAGCAATTATAGTTTTTATTAACAGTTCGGTCACTATCTCGTTGCTATGCTTAGTACAAGGTTATTGGTTCTATCTCCACAGAGGAGTCCGGTCGGAACGTCCGTGTATCGCGTTCATTAAAACAGTTCGTTGGTGCGACGAGATCTTGGGAGCACAACGGCTTTTTTTGGTTTATAATTTATTGCCGAACAAATCACTTCAGCAAAACAAAGGTCACTGTTCTTCAAAAGTATTGAAAAGAATTCAAATTATGTTATTTCCTATGCTCTTTAATTCAGGTTTTTAATCAGGGAAATGTTGTTTATCAAAAATATATTATTATACGTAAAAATATTTATTTATTTCATTACATCAATATTATACATACATTATACATTACATTACATTTTATACATTACATACATTACGTTATCTTTACATTAATCATAAATCTACGAATTAATTTAAACAAATCAATGGAAACTGTGGCCATTAAGTAATTTCACTGTACCGGAATTCGCCTGTTAAGGTTATTCGTCCCCCGCTAAGGAGCACAGTGAACAGGAAAACCATAGAAAACCTGGTCAAGATACAGGCGGCTTGGAATCGAGTCCTGGCGATTGTTGAAAAAACTCCAAGGGTTCGAATCCAAGCCTGAGCGAGCTGTTGTACCCAAAGACGTAGAAAGAGGTAGATAAGTTGTTTGTCAATAAATCAGATCGATTTAAAAATTCCCGTTTTCGTTGTGTGAGTAATGTCTATCATATGAAATACGATTATCAATTAACTCTTGGAGTTTTCTAACGACAGGAGCATCTGCAGAACGGCTAATTTTTGATCCAAGCTTCACTTCTTCTAAAAATTTGCTAACGCTCATAGGCGTTAAGTCGAACGTTGCTGGGCTCATTTTGCCTAAACTGTATTCTGTATGTGGTCTTACATCATTAAAGGCTCCAGTTTTATAATTTGACAGAACGTTAGGGTACAAACCATATGTTATGTTCGGGGGATTTTCCGTAAGTATTACATCAAACGGATTTCCTTTAGATTAGTTATCAAACACCAGGATAATAGTTGCTGCGTATTGATGGACTCTGTAATCACCATCAAACACATTCTGGAATACAGTGACGTCATATCCCGCTACTTCATGAACTTGGAGATCGCCTTGATATGTATTATTAACTAGAAGTACATTATCTCCAACAATGTAATGATTTTGTTCTGGTCCGATGGATTCATTATCAACCATTACTATTTTCTTACCAGTTATGTTGAAAGCATTTTCCAAACCGGGAAATTCAATGTTTTTCAGAATAATTACCGGAGCTTTCATGATGCAAGGGTTGGACACGTTCATAATGATGCTATCGCTTAGTTGAATGGAATCTCCACCCAATGAGCTTTTGTGCAATTCCGAGCAGTCGAGATATTGAATGATTTTACGTTGAGGCGCCTCCGGTGCTTCTGAGTTTCTGTTGTTAACTATAGGATTACCCTCTGAATAAACAGAAAAAAATTCAAATACTAGTTATATTTCTCAATAAAACGATAAAATAAATTATATTTTTGTATCAGTAATAAAGAGTATCTCAGCCAATTTCTCGGAAAAAATATTATAAATTCAGAATGAGTTATTTATTGAGTTTAAGAACAAAAATGAAGAAAGAAGTATATTGCACGCCTCATAAGCAAAGCGAATGAAATAGTGCTCTACTCTCGCCTTCCAAAAATCAAGTGAGAACTAAAACTGTCTCTACTTATTTTCTATCGCATTTTTAGAACAATATTTACACATAAATATCATAGAAAAACACTAGTTTCAACACTTATGACATTTTTAAAAGACATTTTGCTAATTCAATGTAATTTAATTATAATTAGCAATAAACTAAAATCCACTTATCGTTTGTATATCTATATCTATGTAAGTAAGGTTCGCTTATAACACATGCGCAGTACTCTTCTTTTCTGGGTAGACAATAGCGCGAAAGATTTAAAAGTAGTTGCATTTTTTTTTTAATCAATTTTATTACAGATCAGAAATATTGAAAAAGATTCAAATTATGTTATTTCCTATGCTCTTAAATTGATTTTTTTAATCAGCGAAATGTTATTTAACAAAAAGTCATTATTAAGCGTCAAAATATTTATTTTATTATATAAATATTACATTATACATATATCATCTTTACTTTAATCATAAATCTACAAATTAATTTGAACAAAAGAATGGAGACTGTGGCCATTCAATATTTTAACTGTACCGGCATTCGCCTATGCCCTGCTCTGGAACACAGTGACCAGGTAAACCACAAAAAACCTAGTCAAGATACAGGCGGCTTGGAATTGATTCTTGGCGATCGTTGAAAAAACTCCAAGGGTTCGAATCCAAGCCTGAGCGAGTTGTTGTATGGATAGCCAAAGACGTGGACATTATATTTTTCAATAAATGAGATTGATAATGATTGATTTAAAATATAAGAGTTTGTTGTCTGTGAAATATTAATAAGCTTGAAGCATTGGAAAATCCCTATTACTTAACTCCTCGAATCTTTGAACAATAGCAGCACCTTCAGGACGTTTAATTTTTAATCCATCCTTCAAATCTTCTAGAAAGCGTCGCTTATATGCAATCGTTATGTCGGGCGTTTCGTCACCAATTTTACCTAAAGAGTATTCTGCAAATTCTCTTAGATCATTAAAGGCTCCACTTTTATAATTTGACAGATCGTTAGGATACAATTCATACATTGGCTTCACGGGATTTTTCAGAAGTAAGACATCAAACGGATTTCCTCTAGATTCGTAATCAAACACCAGTATACTAGTTCCTGCATATTGATAGATTCTGCATATACCATCATATACATTGTGGAACGCAGTGACTTCATATCCCGCTACTTCATGAAGTTGAAGGTTGCCTTTAAATGTATTATTAACTAGAAGTACTTTATCTCCAACTATGTAATGATTTTGTTCTGCTCCTTTGAATTCATTATCAACCATTACTATTCTCTTTCCAGTTATGTTATAAGCATGTGCGAAACCGGGAAAATGATTGTTTTCCAGAATAATTACCGGAGCTTACATGATGCAAGGGTTGTCCGCGGCCATAATGTTGAGATTACTTAGTTGAATGGTATCTTCCGCCAAAGAATATTTATGCAAGTCAGAGCAGTTGAGATATCGAATGATTTCACGTTGAGGCGCCTCCGGTGCATTTCCGTTGTTAGCGATAGGATTACCCTCTGAATAAACAAAAAAATTCAAATATTAGTTATATTTCTTAATAAAACGATAATTTTTTTTTATTTCTGATTGCTAATACAACGGAAAGAAATAAAATACAATTTGCTGAGTATCTCGGCCAAAATCTCGGAAAAAATATAATAAATTCACAATGAGTTATTTGTTGAGTTTAAGAAAAAACATGAAGAAAGAAGTATAGTGCACGCCTCATAAGCGAAGCGAATGAAATAGTGCTCTATTCTCGCCTTACAAACATTAAGTGAGAACTGAAATTATCTCTACTTATTTTCTATCGCATTTATAGAACAATATTTACTCATAAATGTCATAGAAAAACACTAGTTTCAACACTTATGATATTTTTAAAATACATTTTGCTAATTCAATGTAATTTAATTATAATTAGCAATAAACTAAAATCCACTTATCGTTTGTATATCTATATCTATGTAAGTAAGGTTCGCTTACAACACATGCGCAGTACCCTTCTTTTCTGGGTAGACAATAGCGCGAAAGATTTAAAAGTATTTGCATTTTATTTTAATGAATTTTATTACGGAAAATTAGATTATGAGGCGTGCACTTTTGGATTTTTCAAACTTATTTTTGATAAATAATGAAAAAAAAAACAATTTACCTTCATCCAGCTCTGTCGTTTCATTTTGCAGTGCCGAGTTATTTTTTATGAGCATTCAGTCATAAATAAGTTAAAAGGTTTTAATCTATAAGTAGAAATAGACATGTATGGTTGAAAAATGAGCATATAGAACTTTTGTTAAATGTGTAATAGAGTTAAGGATTTAATATACAACTTTTTTTACTGTTATTTCTTTAAATATTATTTATGTTACAAAACATTAATAGCAGTAATTAATACATTCAGTCTCAAAAATTATGGAAAATGTCTTCTAATTACTCCCAAACAAGTCTACTTAATTAGAAAAAAAAAGTTTAAAATATTCAGAAATATTGAAAAGGATTCAAATTGACAACATTTCAGAAATATGAAGACCCTAAAATAAAAATACTGTTTCTTTATTTTCCTATTTTGAGTTCAAATATATTTTTTTGGGATTTTTTTAATGCTTCGTTTTGGAGAAAAAAAAATCTGAAAATATTGTGGTGACGTCACAAATAAGGTTGAATAAGATGATTGCCCTTGCCTACTAAAGATAAAGATGAAATTATTCGTCCAACGTCAGTGTCATTATGTCATATGTGTCATTTCTGAATAATTGACGTTTGAATTTTGAATTGTTTCTCGAGCTTTTGCAGTTTTTGCGCTTGAGCAGTTTTTAGTGTGTTTTTAGTTTTTATTACTAGATATTTAGCAAAAAAATGAATCCCCATGAAGCGTGGACACCATATAAGGATACAAAATTTTGTTTTGTACCAACCTGCAAAAACAGTTCTAGAAATACTCGGAAGACATTTTTTGGGGTACCAAAATCAACGAAATAGGAGTGGTGCGAAGCAGTGGGTATTGAATGCCCCAAACGTTTTCTATACATATGTGAAGATCATCTCAATGTAAGTAAATTTTTACATTTAATTACGTACATAAATGCACATGGCAAATCTTCTCTAGTACTCTTTATTTAAAACACATTATTATGCTTAGCAATTTAGTGATAGATAAGTCGGCCTCATTTTATTGAAACAGCTTCATTTTATCTAAACAATAAAGCCATCATTTTTAAAAGCTCACATGCATGCCCTGAACATAGCATCCTGTCCTAACATGTTTATTTTGTTTTATGTAATTTGCTATGCAATTAGGAGGATTGTATTCCATTTTGATATAACTATGTACACAAAATATTAAAAAAGTAGGTTTTATTTTTTGCATATTTTTTTCTTAATAATTTTAATTCTTTTTTAGTTGAAGGAAGATGTGGAAAACTACTTGTTTTGGAAAACAGTGCAAGGACGTCCTAAATTAAAGTCTCGGTTACCACAGTCTCTTGTCAAAACTCCCTCACAAGATCTCACTTCAATGAATGAACCTAAGCCTAGCACGTCATCATCAGCATCATCAATGGAAGTAGATGTAGTAGCTGCAACTACTAAAGCTCATAAAGGAGTGCAAGTAAAGCCAAAAACTGCAGATCGCACAACTTATTGCAAAATTTATAAAAAGAATACACAGACACTCTTGCTAGAAGAAGAAGAAACCACAGCTATGGAAGAAGCATTACCTTCAACACAAGGAAGTACCACAGAAAGTATCACATCTGCTGACATATCGGAAATCTCCTCTGAAATTAATGTTCCAGCACCAAACCCAAACAAAAGCTTCATGTTTAGTGTTATCAAAAATAAACCACACAGTTACATTGGTTTACCAAAGACCTACTATTGGCTGATTGAATATTTACAAATTAATCTTAAAGTAAAATCATTACACATTATAATAACATTATATAAAATTAGAAATAATACCCCTTTCTATCAGATTTCTGATATGTTTGAGGTGTCATTAACAACGTTATGGAGGATATTTTTTAGGACATTGTATTTATTATCCAAATTCTTTAAACAACTTATTCCTATTCAAAGTAAATGTGATGTAAAAAGAAATTTGCCATCCTCTTTCAAAACAAACAAGGAGTACTCAAATGTGTTTTGCATAATCGATTGTTTTGAAATAGAGATAGAAAAACCATCTAATCCTATAAATCAGTCCCTAACATGGTCACAGTACAAAAATGCTAATACACTTAAGTACCTGATAGCTTCAACTCCTGATGGTTTCATTAACTTTGTATCTGCTACATATGGTGGTCGTATATTTGATACTAATATAGTAGAAAGCTGTGGCTTCCTAGACATACTACCACTTAACTGTACTGTATTGGCAGACAGAGGCTTTAAACATATAGATACCATATTAAGCAGGAAACAAATTAAACTTCTTCGGCCACCCAGTGTGTCAAAGGATATGAAATTATCAAAACGAGAAGCTATCAAAAGTAAAGTTATTGCTAGTCTACGGATACATGTGGATAGGGTAATAAGAAGAGTGAGGTTATTTAAGTTTTTGAAACCACATTCTGTGATAAATAATAAGTTGATCCAACATACAGATGAAGTGGTTATAGTAGCATGTGGTTTAATAAATTTACACAGTTCTATTGTAAACAATAAATAAAATACTTAAAAATGTAGATTTTTATATTTTGCACTATCCAAAATAAGTTTAAAAATAAATTGCTTCCAAAATTTTTCTGCTGCATCTATTAATTTCATGACATAGTTATTGTCATATTCCACTATATATTTATGTATTAGTCTTGTCTGTTCAAAACTTGGATCAGCAACACAAAACCATCCCTTTAATTTTTTTGCAGCATGCATCTGTAGCATCATTTGAGCTTTATATTTGTCTTGCACTTTATTGTTTTTTATATAATTTTTGAAACTTTTTTCATATAATGGACATTTTATTTCAATAACGAAATCCTTACAAATTCCATCTGGAGAAACACCAATAATAGGAGACACCAAAATTAAACCTGTAGTCTCAATAACTAAGATCTTTTTCTAATTCTTTCAGTACTTCTTTTTCTAGTAGCTTACCTCTTCTTATAGCTAAAGTCTCTGGCACCTTGTATCCACCAAGAATGCTTTGCACTAAAGCACCATTTTGGGTTTTACAATGTATGTACTCATATATTCTTGAACCAGTCACTCTTCCTTGTCTCATGGAATGCCAGTGTTTTGAATTTGCTTGTTCTTTTGTTTCTTCAGCAATCTTAACTATTACATCTGAAGTGATAATTTCTTGTGAATATAAATTAAATTTTTCATAGTAATGATCAACTTCTTGGTTTACAAATAGCAGCATTAAATTAAACACACTAAAATCATTTAATGTGAACTGATGATTTCCACTGTAATTTAGTATCATTCCCGTAGTCATTTTACGCCGCTTACATTCTTCAGAAAACATTGAAAAAGTAACATTCATGTTTATATTTTCTGGTGTAGATCTTTTCTTTTTCCCAATGTTTTTTGCCATGATGAACTTCTGATCACCTACAGCTCCAGCAAGTTTTGGTTTACTCCAATAGCAAATTATAGATGTCACTGAAGGTTCATCTGATCGTTTAATGAGCCAAATGGCAAAGCATATGGCATGCTTGCATCCTCCTGCAGAAGCAGCACAGTCGTTACACTACTGAGACGATCTTCTCGTCAGATTCTTTAATAACAGCTGTGATCTGATACAACTTCGCCTTCACTTTGTGTTCAGGTGTGACCCGGCACTGCACAGTACACATGTCTCCTTCCCTCTTGACTTCTACATACCCCACTGCTGTATCCACATATGCCTCTCGTGATGCTAATAATGCCTTAGCACTGCATGTTTCCGCAATGTTGTAACATTCATTTTCGTGCATATTCTAATAGCATCAAATAGTCTACTTTCGGCAAGTTTCTGCTATCCGCAACTTGAAATCCGTTAGAAAGTTTCATGGTGACTAAATAAATATATAGTATCAGTTGAAAATTAAAAAAATTAGACAATCACAATAAAAAACAAAACGTTTAAGCTTTGAAACTTTGTTATTATTATTCTTTTGTTTTTTGAAACTTTTGTACACAGACAACTGACAAGGAAAGATTTTGTAATGCCAAAATGACATTAGAATATTTTTTTTGACAGATGAGAGAAAGGCAAAGGCAATATCGCTATTCAACCTAATAAATGACGTCATTTGTCGCTTACGTCTTTTTAGAATAAGACGAGTTTCAAAGTGGAAATTTTATATGAAAACGGCATCATTTCGAAAAAAGAAAAGATATGGGTCGCCTCATTTTTGATCTAGCTTTATTTAAAATAATAACATAGGGATGTTGAAAAAATGAAATGTTGTCAATTATGTTATTTCCTATGCTCTTAAATTGATTTTTAATCAGGGAAATGTTATTTAACAAAAAGTCATTATTAAGCGTCAAAATATTTATTTTATTATATAAATATTACATTATACATATATCATCTTTACTTTAATCATAAATCTACAAATTAATTTGAACAAAAGAATGGAGACTGTGGCCATTCAATATTTTAACTGTACCGGCATTCGCCTATGCCCTGCTCTGGAGCACAGTGACCAGGTAAACCACAAAAAACCTAGTCAAGATACAGGCGGCTTGGAATTGATTCTTGGCGATCGTTGAAAAAACTCCAAGGGTTCGAATCCAAGCCTGAGCGAGTTGTTGTATGGATAGCCAAAGACGTAGACATTATATTTTTCAATAAATGAGATTGATAATGATTGATTTAAAATCTTTAGAGTTTGTTGTCTGTGAAATATTAATAAGCTTGAAGCATTGGAAAATCCCTATTACTTAACTCCTCGAATCTTTGAACAATAGCAGCACCTTCAGGACGTTTAATTTTTAATCCATCCTTCAAATCTTCTAGAAAGCGTCGCTTATATGCAATCGTTATGTCGGGCGTTTCGTCACCAATTTTACCTAAAGAGTATTCTGCAAATTCTCTTAGATCATTAAAGGCTCCACTTTTATAATTTGACAGATCGTTAGGATACAATTCATACATTGACTTCACGGGATTTTTCAGAAGTAAGACATCAAACGGATTTCCTCTAGATTCGTTATCAAACACTAGTATACTAGTTCCTGCATATTAATAGATTCTGCATATACCATCATATACATTTTGGGACGCAGTGACTTCATATCCCGCTACTTCATGAAGTTGAAGGTTGCCTTGAAATGTATTATTAACTAGAAGTACTTTATCTCCAACTATGTAATGATTTTGTTCTGCTCCTTTGTATTCATTATCAACCATTACTATTCTCTTTCCAGTTATGTTATAAGCATGTGCGAAACCGGGAAAATGATTGTTTTCCAGAATAATTACCGGAGCTTTCATGATGCAAGGGTTGTCCGCGGCCATAATGTTGAGGTTACTTAGTTGAATGGTATCTTCCGCCAATGAATATTTATGCAAGTCAGAGCAGTTGAGATATCGAATGATTTCACGTTGAGGCGCCTCCGGTGCATTTCCGTTGTTAGCGATAGGATTACCCTCTGAATAAACAGAAAAAAATTCAAATATTAGTTATGTTTCTTAATAAAACGATAAAAAATTTTTATTTCTGATTGCTAATACAACGGAAAGAAATAAAATACAATTTGCTGAGTATCTCGGCCAAAATCTCGGAAAAAATATAATAAATTCACAATGAGTTATTTGTTGAGTTTAAGAAAAATCATAAAGAAAAAAGTATAGTGCACGCCTCATAAGCGAAGCGAATGAAATAGTGCTCTATTCTCGCCTTACAAACATTAAGTGAGAACTAAAATTATCTCTACTTATTTTCTATCGCATTTATAGAACAATATTTACTCATAAATGTCATAGAAAAACACTAGTTTCAACACTTATGACATTTTTAAAAGACATTTTGCTAATTCAATGTAATTTAATTATAATTAGCAATAAACTAAAATCCACTTATCGTTTGTATATCTATATCTATGTAAGTAAGGTTCGCTTACAACACATGCGCAGTACCCTTCTTTTCTGGGTAGACAATAGCGCGAAAGATTTAAAAGTATTTGCATTTTATTTTAATGAATTTTATTACGGAAAATTAGATTATGAGGCGTGCACTTTTGGATTTTTCAAACTTATTTTTGATAAATAATGAAAAAAAAAAAAACAATTTACCTTCATCCAGCTCTATCGATCCCTTCCGCACTATCCATTCATTCTGCGGTGTCGATTCATTCAGCGGTATTAATTCATTCAGCAGTGTCGATTCATCTTCTACCGCTCGAAGCGCTAAAAAAAATAGCATGATATTGAAATGAGTCTTATTGTTGACTTTCACAGAAACAATAAAGAAAGAAGAATATATGTTTGATCACTAATGCAAGACAAAAAAAGAATTTGCACGGCATTCATTTTGCCGTGCAAACTCATCCTATATTATTCGAAATATTGAAAAATAAATATAATCTTTCATAATGAGTTATATTACTGGCTTTTAAAGACAAAATACAAAAAGAATCTATTTCTGTTAACAAATGCAACAAGAGGAAAAAATCAAAATATAAATTTCGAAATATTTTTTAAAGACAATTGTTCTTGACGAGCGTAACGAGCACCATAATAACTACTGTTTTCCCGAACATCTTCCCGATGCTTCTAAAACTGGAATGCGCTTCCCACTCCATTGTACCGGATTTTATATGATTTATTATCAGTATATACTTACGTCAAGTTCACATGAACTGTAAACAATTGTTAGTTAGGGAAGGGTGGGGCAGAGCGGCCCCTCTAAGCCGCTTATTACTTTTTGTGGTTTTTTAACATCTTATTAGTTTACCTTGGCTCTAGGATGAACGAATTTACCAAAATTTTGGAAAAATTCTTGAAAAATAATTTTTTTTTTCCACTATTAAAAATACTTTGAAAACTATAAAAGTATTTCCTTATTTTTATCACTCTCTAGATTTCATAATCATTCGAAAAATACCTGATGCTCCTCGTTTCGTTCCGACCCTAACCTCTTTTATTTTCTAAAAAATAATTATACTTGGCTCTAGGATGAACGAATTTACCAAAATTTTGAAAAAATTCTTGAAAAAAAAATTTTTTTTTCCACTATTAAAAATACTTTGAAAAATATAAAAGTATTTCCTTATTTTTATCACTCTCTAGATTTCATAATCATTCGAAAAATACCTGATGCTCCTCGTTTCGTTCCGACCCTAACCTCTTTTATTTTCTAAAAAATAATTATAATTATAATGGTTATTCAATTGCCATGAAAATATCATACTCCTGCTAAATTTAAATTTAAAATTGCAGCTGAAACGTAAAAGATTCCTGTGCGGGAATCAACGAAGATTATTCTGAAGAATATATATTTGTCTCTATTGTGAAAAATAATAAATTAATTGTAAATAATTTACATTTGAGACTTTATTTTAAAATATTCATATTATTACGTTTTTGAAAATTCATCATTAATAATAATTAATAATTTAATAATTGTAAATAATTTACATTTAATGTTTTGTTTAAAGATTTTAATTTTTTTACGTTTTATGAAAATTTATTATAAATAATCTAACAATTAATAATTTTCTTAGGATTTAATAATATAAAATAAATAATTTATTAATTGTAAATAATTTACATTTAATGTTTTGTTTAAACATTTTAATTTTGTTACGTTTTATGAAAATTTATCATAACTAATCAAACAATTATTAATTTTCTTAGGATTTAATAATATAAATAATAAATAATTCTATAATAGTAGATAATTTACATTTGAGACTTTATTTGAAAATAAAGTTTGGTGAAAAAATATTTTTTTAATAATTTTGTAATAATTTGTTGAAAAAAAAAATTTTTTTTGAGCAAATTTTGAAGGAGGGGCTGTTATACCCCAGGTATGATATATTAGCTCAAAAATATATAAATATATCAAATTTATGATAATTTGGTAAAAAAAAAATATTTTTTGACCAAATTTTGAAGGGGGGCCGTTTTACCCCAGGGGGCCATTATACCCCACCCTCTCCTATGTTTTCAATTGGTCAACCACAATTGATAACAGCTGAACATTTGACTCCGACTTGTGGGCGGTTATTCGCTGTGGGTTTTCCCTAAAAAATATTTTGCACGACCCATGACACGAAGCATTAGATAGTGCTTACGATCGAACAATCGTTTAATATTATAATATTATAAATATTATATACCCCTCTTGGTAACTAATAAAGATTTATTAGTTACCAAGAGGGGTTTCAATACTTTGGAATATCTGTATTCGGATTTACCCATCCAAATCCACCAGTAGGAAGATTTTGAGACATAGCCCAACCATATAAATTGTTAGCATCAAAATATGTGATATATGACTTTGGTTTCTCTACATCATAATCCTCCATGTATTTGTTATTAGCTATAGCATAACGTTTACTACATTGATATACACCACCCCTGATACCTGACCTAATAAATGCAATTTTCTCATAATCTGTTAAAAGTTCTAATTCTATTTGTGTATATTTTAGCATTGCATCCCAACTTAATCCTGGAGCTGTATAATAATGGGCTGGGTCTAAATGATAGGTATTCATACATAGATTTCTAAAGTTTTCAAATACATCGGATAAAAGTAAAACATCTGTTTTTAAATACAAGTTTGAGTAATCTAGCATATTACAACAACCAAAGTGCTCCCAAACATCTTTTGCATGATTGTAATCATCGTTTGAAATATGGGAATCTGTGAGTGAACTAAAAAAAACATTTTTCTCAGGGAGCGATGTTAGCTTTAAACTATCATAATTAGTCATAAATTCGTATGGATAAACCCCTTTCCGTTTTAAACTTTAAGAATGAAATCTTCATCCTTAGGGAAATTTCTGCGTAACTCTTGAAATTGATCATTACTGAGATTTTTGGCTAATTGATATAATTTACACGATAAAAACTTAAATGAATCTACGAATCTTAATATAACTTCATGGTTATTTATTTTTAATTTTTTGGAAAAGGATATATATTTTTCTTTATTTTGAGGGATAACTTCGATTTCACCATCACAAAAGTTAAATGCATGAACAATAAAATGAGCATCATAGTGACTAAGGTTGTGTAAAAATATTGGTATATGACGTGGTGTTCTGAATTTTGAGCTACATGATTCATGAGCCACACCTATAAAACTACCGGTGTACCAATCAAAATCATAAAAAGGTTCTGCTAACTCAACTTCACAAATATGACAAATGGTTGCATTTGAAATTTGGTGTTTGTTTTCATCTGTTAGCGGAACTGAACATTTTTGAAATCTATTTTTTTGACATATTTCTTTCAAATTGTTAGATAAACTTTCCATAAACACTTGTGCACTATATGTTATTATTGGGTCCACTATATGTTACATATTTCGATAATTTATCATCATATGAACATTTTATATCATAACCAAAACTATACACTCCATGTTTCTGAATATTATGTGTGAATGGTTTGGATGGATCGTTAGAACATGATTCTATTGGTTTTAAAAATGCTTCTAAATCAGCATAAACTACGAATGGTATCTTTAAATTTTTTTCGTAACTATCAAATTTAATTTTATTATTTGAAATAGGTTGACCAAACCAATTCTTTTTTAAAGTTTCACTGTTTGGTAATTCTGTACAAATGTGCGCACAATCATGTTTTTCATGGTTATTTACCCTTTCCTGAGATGGAAAATGAAGTAGACACGCATCGCAAATGTACATGATATGACAGTCTTTTAAAATTTGTTTACTAACTAACCGTGATAAATTCTTTATGTAACAATAATGATTATTCGTATCCTTAGAAAAATATATAGACCAGGGTCGATAATTTTTAAAACCAAAAAAAATAATAGTAGGATGAAACCCATTAGAAAAGGAGGAGAATATTATAAAAATGAAAGGAAAAATAATTTACGGGCGATCTGAGGTCGGGAAGGGGATGGGGGTGAGGTTTTAAGGGTTTTTCTCGATTTCCGGCAAAACTAAAAGTCCTATCGAAAAAAGTCAAATGGCAAAGTTGTAGGTAATAAAAATATCTAAAACTTTTGTATTTACACTTTTTTCACATAAACTCAAAATTTATGTGAAAAATTCAAAAAACCAAGTTTTTGGTTTTTTATTTTTATCTTTTACAAAAAAAAAAATTGTTTTAACGAAATTTGGTGAAAACTTACCTTTTTATGTCCCAAATACGCTGTAATTTATTTTATTAAAAATATTTATTTATTCACTTTATTTTGAATTAATATCGAAAAAGCACCCTAATTTTCAATCGAAAATTCACCCGTCAAAATATCAGCTTTTTTCAAAAAGTTGGTATGTTTTCTGTTCGTTGAAATCTCTACTTTCCGATGGTGAAAAAAAAAAATTATGTTACTATAGTAAATCTTCTGAGAAAATGCAAAAAACAAAAAACCTTTTTTATTTCCTACACTTGCTTATCATCTGCCTTATTGCAGATGATACAAACAGATTCATCCATACTGATAATCTGAAAAGACAAAATCGAATTAATAATGCCTTCACTATTTTAACGTGAGTATACCCCCATGAAAAAAATATATTAAAGAAATAAATGTCAAAATGTATAAAAAATATATCATAAATATATTAAAAATCTGTACTATACATATTTTTTATGTACAACTCTCAACTGGCAACTGGCAGAAGTTATGAGGACCTAAAATTTTCAACAATTATTTCGCCTCAGGCACTTGAAAAAATTATTCCTAAAACATGTGAGGCTTTGTATAAAGTACTTAGAAGAGATTATTTGAAGGTAAATCATTAAAACACTGTTATATTACAGATAGAGAGAAACTGCCTCCGTGGTGTAGTGGCTAGCATGTACGGCTGCACACTCGGAGGTCCTGGGTTCGAGTCCCGGGTCGGGCCAAGTTTAGTTATTGAGTCTTTCTGTATAAGTAAGCCTCAGTAACAGCCCGGAGTTGGGAAGTTGGCGGTGTTTCACCCCCGTGCCTCGAAGAGCACGTAAAGCCGTCGGTCCTGCGCCTTAACTCTCACTGGTCGTGTCGAGCAGTCGTCCCACCGGAATATGAGAGTGACAGGAATAGAGAGTGCACTTGTGTCTGCGCGTACACTTGTGCACTATAATATCTCCTGCTCAGTTGGCTAGTCTCAATGAGATTGGCCGCCGTGGCCGGAATCGGTCGGGAGAACATCACATCGAACATCACATATTACAGATAATATTTATTGAAAAAAATACGATTTTAATTATAATCATTAAAGTACAAAACTGTCGCGTACAAATTATTCATTATCAACATTGAAATTATTAAGTAATGTCTCTGCCGAATCTGGAATCGATAAAACTACCTCTGTTTGGGCTGATTTCCTGTAATTGTAGGTGTTCGTATTTGTGGCGAGTAGGGATTGCCTTGGGAACTGTTGAGTAGATGGCTAGTATGAAATGATTGAGAAATATACTCTGAATTTTTACTAGTGGGAAATGGAAGGCAGGGTGGGCTAGGACTTCCGGAAGAAACAAAACTTACAGGGGCATATGCCCTATTGGAATTAGGAGAGGACTGATATGCATGTTGTCGATATTGCTGAGCAGGAACATAGCTTCGTTGATTTTGTTTCAAAATATCTCTCATGTTAATATAGGCATGCTCGGGAGTGAGGTTTCCTATTTCTGTTTCAAAAACTAAATCATTTATAAGTTTTTCTGCGACTATTATTTGTTTCGCATCTAAAGCCCTCAATTTCATCGCCACATATTTGCCAATAATATCGCACCTTTCTTCTGTTACAATTGGGCGAGGACGCTTAAAGTGATCTCGTACCGATTCCAATACTTCATTTGCTAAGCTTTCATCTTTTCTTTTTGTTTTACAAGGTTTTGGTGGGCGAGATGAATTATTATTTGACGATGTGGTCCGAGCCTCGTTGTCGTTAGATACGCTGTTGGATGAATATTCTTCAGTGGCATGGTCTTTCTAAAAACATAATAAATACATATTATATTAATAACATAAAATAATTATGATATATTTTTGTGTCCTGCCGCTATAGATATTTCACATCAAAAATAACTACTTATTGTAAATGATAAATCTGTTATTTTTATATTACAGTTTCCTACATCTGAAGAAGAGTGGAAGGAAATAGCAAAGATGTATGAAGATCGATGGAACTTTCCTCATTGTCTTGGTGCAATAGATGGAAAACACATAGCGATTGTTCCACCGGCCAATAGTGGATTGTATTTTTATAATTATAAAGGGCAACATAGCGTAGTTCTTATGGCAATTGTAAATGCGAAATACCAATTTATTGGCATGAATGGCAGAATATCCGATGGAGGGGTTCTACAAAACACTAAATTTTTTGAAAAATTAGAAAATAGTGATTTACGTATTCCAAGCAGTGAATTGTTAACAGGAAGTAACCGAAATTTACCATATGTATTTGTGGCAGATGACGCGATCCCATTACGCCCCAATATGATAAAACCGTCTCGGCAGGCAGATTTAACATCGCAAGAAAGAAAAATCCTGAATTACAGATTATCTCGCGCGAGGCGGACTGTTGAAAACGCTTTCGCGATAATGGCATCACGATTTCGGATATTTTATACTCATATAAATTTAGAACCCGAAAATATCGATAAAGTAGTGAAAGCATCTTGTGTATTACATAACTTTTTAATTGAACACTAAAAAAAGTCTTATGCACCTCAAAAATCTTTTTATTGAGAAAACTCTGAAAACGGGACTATAATTTCTGAAGGATACAATACACAAAATAGTACCATGGAAAACTTGGAAAGAAGAAACCCAGGAAATACTTTGAACAACGCGAAGACAGTCTCACTTCTGAAGTTTCACTTCTTGCTATTGTCTTTGTAATATTGTATATGAGGCTGTTTGTGTCGTCATAGATGCTATCCTTATTATTCTTTATATAATATTTAATCCTCGTGGTGGCATGTTTCCAATGATCAGTAGTTGGAATCTTGCATAGTTTCTTCATATCATACATTTCAACTTTTATTAGATGCGTCGCTTGGTCTCCGTCGTCGGAATTAGTAGAAATGTATGATACAACATCTCTAGAGGCTCGTGCGACGGTTGATGATAACAGTTTCTTCTTTTTTATTTTTGGTGCCACTTCAAAAAACTGATCAAGCGCCGGCGATTTCCTTTTTACACCATCGCATGTGTTATTAATCACGATGTCATCACTCTGTTCTTCGCATTGAGGGGAGAGTGACGAGTAGTAATACTGTTTATATGTATTTTCATCGAAGCTGAATGATTTCTGCAACAACACAGTTATCATGTTAATATCAATTTATTTACGCTTATGAAACGCCACACACACGTTTTGAAGTAACACACGTGTAGTATTGGTAGACTATATACAATTCACTGCGGTCAAGCGACCATAGACTGATTGCATGCCGGTAGCTGCTCGACCTTATATAGTTATTTCTTATCTAAAGCAAATTCCTAAGCACAACGAAAATTTATGACTCAACAAATTTATCTCACATCCCTTCGTGATGCGCTGCACAGTTCCATGACTTATCACAAAAGAATGCGATTTAATAATTAAAAAGCACTATAATTGAACATTCCTAACTTAACCATTGAATAGATTGGTACTGTATAAATGTACCAATAGCAGTAATATCATGGATACACTAGATGTTCAGCGACATATGAAAAAGATTCATCCTAGTCTAGAAAATAATGTTTATGCTGCTAATAGACTACCCATGTATACTCATGTACCAACGTATATAATATGCAATTTGGATACGGATGAAAAACCAGGCTCACATTGGGTAGCTTTACATATCGATACGAATAGCATAGGTGAATATTTTGATTCATATGGAAGAACACCTACACGATATCATCTAGAGTTTTTAAAAAGGAATTGTAAAAGATGGGTCTGGAATATTAATAGGATTCAGAATGATTGGACTTCAGTTTGTGGTGAATATTGCTTAATGTATTTGCAATATAAGTTTCAGGGATATTCAATGTATAGTTTTACGAACATATTTACAGGGAACACATTGTACAACGATATTTTAGTGGATGAGATGTTCCGCTCATATTTTAAAGAGAACTAGCAAACCAGGCCCACTTCGCTGGGCGTAAGTTAAAAGAAATTAAACGGGTTTTATAATTTTATGTTAAAAAGTTACTCTTAGAACCTTAGGTATCTGCCAGTGAAAGATAGACAGACAAAAATTGTAAAAATTGATTTTTTGATGTTAGTACCTTATATACTTTAATATGTGTTAAGTTAAAAACTGAGAATTTGAAATGAAAAACAGACACTTCAATGTTAAGTATGTGTATAGATATGTAATACGAGGGTGCGTTTTTAAGTTCGCGGAATGAGAGGGTTGGAGGGGGGTGATTAGGCTCATTAGGAACGTAACGTGTTTAGTGACTCATAATTAGTATAAATACGAGATTTCATTGTTATTAGACTATTAGTCTTTGAGCTATTGCCAACCAAGCAACATAATCAGGAGTGAAAAGTGAAATATGGAAAAAATCAAATATCGTGCCGTTATAAAGCTCCTTACCAAGCAAGGAAAATCAGTTGCGACCATAATGGATGAGATGTCATCGATTTACGGTGACTCTTGTCCAGGAAAAACCATGGTGTACAAGTGGCACAGTTTGTTTAAAAAAGGAAGGGAATCACTTGAAGACGACCCGAGGCCGGGCAGGAGCATCGAGGAGTCCACGCCAGAACTTATCCAAAAAGTCGAAAAACTTGTACTCGACGATGCTCGACTAAAGAAGAAACAACTCGAAGAAATGGTTGGACTATTGACTGACTATTGACTATTGATTGACTATTGACTAAGGTCAGCGCAAGATGGGTACCGAAAATGCTCACGCCGCCGCAAAAACAACAACGCGTAGAGTGTTCACGTGCATTTTTGGACCTCTGCAATGAAGACAAGGATGGTGTATTGAGTCGAATTGTTACTGGAGACGAAACTTGGGTTCATCATTATGAACCTGAGTCGAACAAGACTATGCAGTGGCGTAAAAGGGCACAGCACGACCCAAGAAGTTTAAGGTGTCTCAGTCAGCTGGGAAACTCATGGCAACGGTTTTTTGGGACTCAGAAGGAATATTATTGATCGATTATAAAGATAAAGGTGTTTCTATAACCGGAGAATACTACGCTTCAATATTAGAGCGACTAAAAGAAGCCATTAAACAAAAAAGTCGGGGAAAATTGACGAAAGGTGTGCTGCTTTTGCACGACAATGCGCCCGTCCACAAGAGCCGCGTTGCGTTGGCTGCCCTGCTTAAAGTGGGCTTCGATATTTTGAACCACCCACCCTACAGCCCAGACCTGGCCCTGAGTGATTATTACCTCTTTCCAAAAATGAAAAAAGAGCTGCGGGGTAAAAAATTTACCACCGATGATGAAGTTAAGGAGGCAGTTTCAGCGTATTTTGAGGACAAAGACAAAACATTTTTTTATGAGGGTATAAATAAATTAATTGAAAGATCTGAAAAATGTGTCCGTTTTGCAGGTATATAATATATTGAAAAGGAAAAATAATTTGTTTTTTTTTTATTTCAACCCCTTACCCTTCATTCCGCGAACATAAAAACGCTCCCTCGTAAAATTATGAAATGTATAAATAAAAATTGTTAGAAATGAATGAGTGTGTTTTACTTATGATTAAGAGTAGCATGGTAGTTCATGACCAATAGAAGTATACAATAGCATCATAACGGCAATGCAGTCGTAATGGGGGTGTTCGAGGAACAATAGATAAGGAGAACAATGGAGCGCTAATGAGGGTTCGAGGCCACCGGATATCAATCAGATATTTCCTAATTGATTTCCACATCTCCAGAACCGCGCGTCGTACGCAAAAATGGACCGCAGATTCGTGATCAGAGCATGCCAAAACCTTTTTTTTGTTTTTTTTTTTTAGGATCCGTCACTCGAGAATCGACCGTTGCAAAACAGAATCGCCCGCGAGTTAGCCCGTTAGTACAAACTAACTACATATATATCTATGTATGATTAGTGGTGGAGCAAGTGGACTGTATTTAGGTTGCGGGAAGGCGTATTACCTCCTGAGAAGGGACCCCCTGCCGGTGATGGACACACCACATGCAAAAACAAAAGTTCCGGGACTCACCTTCTGCTGCAACTCCTATCTCCGCTTCCATGTAAATTAGCACAGAGCACTTAAAGTTCGTATACTATGTACACAGTAAATAAAAGTTTATAAAGCGTATAGGCGCGGTCAACCTGCGCGCGCGCGGTACGGGATGATAATTACGCGGAAACCGTGTTAATTGCTACACGGTGTAACGACGACTGGGGTGAGTGCATCAGAGCACTCACGCGGCTTATCCCATCACAATTGCATATTTGCAAAATAGTAGTAAATATAAACTGGATGTTAAATGAAAAAGAGGTAGGTAAATAAAATAAACTGAAACATTTTAATCTTTATTTTTTAATCTTAATAGTTTGTCATACTTATTAAATAAATAATCTAATTATTACAAAAAAATAATAAATAATTATTATCTAACTTACAAATTTAATCATAACAAAACTTATTAGCTAGTTAATCTAATATATCTAACATTCTTGAACCTAAAGCTTGCCATTCCCTCTGAGTCTGCACTTCCATTTCCCTTATCCTATTTTGCTCCCTTTTCATATGGAGATATGATCTCTTATGTTGCCGCATTCTGAATGCTCTCCATTTAATACAAATTGACATGCAGCCTGCTCCGTTTGTGTCAGCGTTCGTTTTTGTCAACTTTAAGACTCAGATAAAATGGGTAAGCTTCAGCATCTGACAATTGAAAATATTTGTTTTTAAGTCAGCAAGCTCTGCTAATATTGTCAAATAAATAAGATTTTTTATTTCTACATGCAATATTCTCTGGATATTTTCACTTTATGATTTAGATTAAGTACAATATAAGTATCAAGTAACATACTTTCTATGATTTCAATATCTACATTGAAGGCTTGGCTAGGAGCTGGCTTAAAGGAGGCTCTACATGCGCTCTGCTAGAAGGTCCAGGCTCATTCCATGGCTCAATACCTAAAAAATAAATATATATTCACACCCATCCTCTCCTATTTATTTATAAAATGATAATATCTATCTATACCAAACAACTATATTTCATGAATCTGACCTTTTTCCACTTCTCTCTCGTGGTTTTGTATCACCACTGCCATCACTGTTGTGTTAAGCTCCTTCCAATACTGGATGGGCACGATTCTACCTCTTGCATTGATTATTGGCTTACTTTGATCTCCATGTCTATCAATAAGAAAATAAAAACACATATCTATCACAAGTTCACTTCAACAACTCGCATTCAATATTGTAAATATTTAATAACTTGTTTAGGTTAGTACTTACTCCTCCATAAAAGATACTTACAATTCAAATTGATGATGACTTGATTTCATTTTAAGAATTTTAAATCCTGAGAGTTGAGTTAAATAATAAATGGTACATACACAGTTTGTTTACACAACAAATTCCAACAAGTTTTACGCCACTCGACTATTTAGATAAT